GATGCTCGCGTGTCGTGATTTCACATGTGTGCGCGCGGATGATGGACGCGAACGCAAACATTAAGTTCATCGCTTCCATCTATCTCTGTGCATACATTTACAGCGTGAAAAATACAACGCGCTGGAAACGGATATAAGGATCGTCAACTTTTCTTTTCACCGACGCCAACAAAACAGAATCGAAATTATAATCCGCCGTTCACAAACGCGCTAAAATTTCAAACCGGCAACAGCGATTGTTGTGTGTCGCCGCGTGCAGAAAAATTTCCCATCCGCGTAAAATTCGTCTAAAAGTCCTCTTGAAAATGTAGTTATTACAATAAGTGCTTGCTTTCCAACTGCAGCTACATACCACCGATCGTCGTTCGCTCGTCACACCCTGGGAAACACATACGTTTTTCTCACAGCTATTACACTGCCACCGGTTGTGTTCCCTCACACATAGACACAACAATAATAAACACACATTCGCCCATACCAACAACAACAACAACAGCAACAGCGAGTATGTGGTTTCGCGCGCAACAAAGTTGAAATTAGTCGGAATTAAATACACACTCGAGCATGCGAGTGCGCATACGAAAATGTCGGGTACACGCTTGGTTAGTTAGGTGCTTATTAAAGTTTCCGTTCTACATGACAAACATATTATGACCTTTTTTTTGTGAAGCGCAACACACATGATGAATTTCGTTCGTAATTAAAACCGGAGTGTCGAATCGAGATCGAATTGGAAACGTATAAACCCGCTGAGCTTTTTGTCGCAGCGAACGTGCACTAATACGTTTTTAATTTCGAGCATTGCGCAATTGAATAATGACGATGTTCGGATGTCAGTTTTTGATCCAGAATTCAGCGCTTCATGCATGACTGCCAACTGGATTAATTTCGAATGAATGAACAAACAAGCACTGCTTACCCACAAATCACGCATTTTTGCACAAAACACACAAGTTTACAGGTTAAAATTAAAACTCTTCGCGTGCACGAGTCCCGCGCGACAAGACGACCTTTCGATGACTGCAGGCGCACGAAGCCAAAATGTGATTTGACAAATTTTCACTCAAATTGACATGACAATCATCGCCGCGTCTCTTTCCAGCACAACCTGTGCAGTTTCTTTTCTTCTTCGCACGCAACACAGGCCGGTTCTACCTTTCTTAACCATATTATGCATTTATTGTCTGTGCCTGCGCTTATGTTTATCTATTTGTCATTATTCCACGTTTGACCCACCCTGGCCCATCGGCCGGACAGCAAGCGAGGCGTCTGGTCGAGAATGGGTTCATCACGTACGGTGCGCAGTAGCTTCTTGCCGTGCCATCGTGGGAGTCAGTCCAGTTGTTGCGTTATAAATATTAGAAACGGAATTGCACTGTCGTAAACGAGCATAATACAATTCGAGGGATTCCGAATGGTGACGTGACATCGAAGATGAGCGAGTATAAAAAGTGCACAAATATTTGCTGTTATCTTTCGGGCGGACGTTGCCGGCTTTTATTTGTGGCCATTTCCGCCGAGCGGACCAGCGGGCGGGTCTCGTCTAGTCGATTCTCGTTATTTTTCAACAGGTTGCTGTTTTGGCACGTATTTACGTAAAAATACAGTCATTACCAGCACGTCATTAGACACGCGCACGCTTGACTCTTTTTTTCTGTGTATTGTATATTGTATGGTAGGGGTACAAATTCTCGTCGGAAATTATTTAAAAAAAAAACTTAAAAACACATAATTAAATATTGAATTTTGTTCGCAGTTAGCGTAAATCATGAGTTTGCCGTAAAAAATCTAAATATAACAAAATTTATTTATACTTGCAGTGATTAAAGTACTTTAGTCACGGGGTGGAGCTTGCGCATGCGCATTTGCTGCTCAGCTTTCTCCATGAAAATCAATGCTCCCATAAAAATTTTTAAAATTTATAGAGTTTCTGTGTGCAATTTAAATTTTTCTCAATGATTAGCAAAAAAACATGATGTATTGACACCGAAACTCAGTGGCATGAGACAAATTGAGAAATATATTTTTCGTTTTTGCGTTCAACGCGCGTCATACTGCTTTGTTCTAAGCCTGGTATGCACGACGCGTACGGAAAGCGCAAAGCGGCCCGAAAGTTTATCTCTAATATTATAAATGCATGATTGTATGCAAATCAGAGCTGCGGCGTGCTCGGACGCTTGGGAGCGTTCTGCGTCCCTTCGGTGCGCGCTCTCACCGCGCCGCAGAAAAGTCGCGTGTAACGCAATGAAGCAATGAAATACTAACTAACGCAATCAAACGAAAAGCGTGTCCATTAAGCTGTGTGTTTGCGCCGCGGACGAGACAAACGACGAGTAGGCGCACAGTGCGCGCGGCCGCTCTCTTTATGCGTCTATAATTTTGATTTCTTAATTCCATTTAATTTACTATTACTCATTGATGTCCGCGGCGAGCGCGCCTATTTAGCTCGCAGCTCGTTCGGCGCTAGGAAATCTAGGATAAGTGCTCGTAATGAATGCTTGATTAGCTACGTTTCTTGCGCATCGCGACTTGTAAATGATAATAATTAATTGCGTCCACCGGCGAGAGCGCCTGAAAGAAATCTTTGACATTTTCTGCGTTCACATGATAAATTACTTCGGATGCATTTTAACATCGAGCGAATTAAAATCGCAAGAATCGAAAATTCGATTTAATATCTTGAGATTCATAGTCGTGGCTAAAGTACTGCACTGTAGGTAAATGCGCCTGCGCAAACTCCACCCCGTGACTAACGCCAGTGACAAAAGTACTTTAGTCACGGCCTTGGTCGTCCGTGATTAATATAAGCCATTAGCCAATCAGGGCTGTGCACACTGGACTAATAAAGTACTTTTTCTACTTCCACCTTTAAAATGCCCGTTTTTCCTAGATTTGATACACAAAAAGTGTTTTTTTTAAACACAAACAGTCACGGCTGTGACTAAAGTACTGCATCGTTAGCAAATGCGCAGGCGCAAGCTCCACCCCGTGACTAACACAAGTGACTAAAGTACTTTAGTCACGGCCTTGGTCGTCCGTGTTTAAAGTAAAGAAAATATTTAAAATTAAATAATTTTTCGCTCACCGGGTGAAAATCATGCGAAAAGAAAGGTTATTGGTCGCATTATGCGGATTCTCTCCTTCCATTGCCCCGGCGTAATTGAAATTCTCATTCTAATCGCATTTATTTAATTCCGAATCATATTCCACGTCGTATTCGTGCGCGCTCTCGTTGCGGCCGCGCGTGTTGCGGTTCGGAAATTATTCGCGTAGTTATTGGGGATTATTACCCAGCCTCATTGTCATACAATAGAATTACGCCGCGCTGCACGCTTTGTTCGCGGCGTGCAGCGGAGTTCGCTGACGCTGACGTCCTCCCTGTTCCTGTTCCGACTCCTCGGCGCGGCGAACAATCGTGGATGCGCATTCTATTCATAATAGAACTGTTATCTCAACCTTTCCAGCCGCGACGCGCGCGAATTTCGAGCAATAAAACTATGCAAATTTCCGCGCCGCGGAATGTACCTACCTATATATATATAATATCAACTTGTTTTTTCGCTGGTTCTTGTTTAAAATATATATCTGCAGGCGCGAGCGGGACCGTTATCCCCGCGTGCCGAAAATGTCCAGAGTGAAATGATAATTACGCGCATTGTTTCATATTCGATTCGCTAATCATCGACGCGTGGAAACGCGTTTCGAATATTTTCCGCGAGATCGGCGCTGACCCGCGCAGCACTGTGTGATAAATCTATTCCGGCGCGAACGTGCGCGCAGCATTCAATGCATATATCATATTGTTGTTAATTCCCGCGCGATAATATATAGAATTGCGTTGTCGGTGCAGCGACAGAGCGCTTTCGTTTTGCCCGAACAATCCGCGCTCGACGTGCGCGCTGTGTCGAGCCGTCCGTCCGCTCGAAAAATGTGCGAACTCGAAACTCGTACGATTTATTATTAACTAGGCGCGGTCATATTATAAATTACATTATACGCATGTCATCCGCGCGCGCGTGCGCCGGTGTGAGTGCGCGAATGGATTTGATATAGGTGTTTATAAATAATAAAATATAACGCGCGCAGGCTGCAGGGCTGGACTCCGGGGCGGCCGCGCGCCGATTTCAACCTTAATGATCCCAGTTGTGACCTCATTTGCTTATTGTGTTACTCATTTACGGCACTCGATCGAATGGCGGCGGTATCAATTTACAAATTCCTCTCGTCCGAGTCCTCATTTCGCGCGCGTACAATGCCGTGCAACGCCACAATGCGGCTTAATAAAATGCATTCGACATAAATGTGATCCATATAAGTGCGCCGAGAGTCTGATATAATGTATAATGCGCACTTAGAGAGTTATTTGTTATTTGCCATTCGACGTTTATTTGGCGCGCCGCGCTGCATTCTATAAGGCGTTAAACGCTCCGCAAGTTTCATGTGCACGATTTAATCTCCCATTCAAATACATATTCAATTACATCCACTCAAAAATAACACGATTAAATTTTACATGCTTATGATGTTTGTTGAGCCATGCGCATGCGCAGGTGTACCGTTAAATATATAAAGAAAAAAATTGATTTTTCCGCTTTTTTTTGTTTCGAATATTCGTAGCATTCTTTCGCGTGTGCAAAGTGCAGATGCGTTCGCGTTGGGACTTTAGATTCGTCGTTTCGAGCGCACATTTCAAGGCTTCTCCGAGGGTCGTTTCCATACGCGAGGCGCACGATATTCGCACGCCGGCATGCTCGGCACGCCATATCTAGCGGCTTCTAGCGTCCGCGCGAGCATCGCATGCTCGACGGCGGCGACTTTTTCCTCCGATTATGTCCGAGCCGCGATTTACGCACGCGTCTAATTGTGAAAAATTGTAAACATTTTAAACAGTATGACCTCCTCGACGCCGAGCCGCGAACAATGCGCTTTGTTCCGCTCGTGCGACAAGTGATTCCGAAGTAATCCAGAAAAGCAAAAAAAAAAATATCAACTGCACTCACCTCTTTGAGACCGTCCAGTCGGCCAAGACTGCGCGCCTGTCGGAGTCCGGGCTCGGGCACCCGCCGGCCCTTGCGGCGGCGCTCCAGGAGACGCGGTTTCCTCGTCGCGCTGGTCGCGCTCGCCGGCAGGCACTCGTCATTGTCCTCCGGGTCCGAATGCACCTCCGGACAGTGATAGGTGTGGCGGCGGCGCGCCGCCGGCGACGTTATGCGCGTGATCAGGTTGTCGAACATGCTGACGGCGGTGTTTCTTCGGGGGCAGCAGTTAGTCGCACATCCCTGAAACAATTAATAGTATATTAAGTATCAAGTGGAGTAAAGAAAAGTTTTTGGCACAAAAAAAAAAAACAAAAAAAAAACACGTTTATTTTACTCCCACGACAGTTTTTTCACCGTTTTGAAAACAAAACGTAGTGCGGATGCCTAAGACCGTGACAAAAATACTTTAGTCACGGGCTTTAGTCACGGGGTGGAGCTTGCGCCTGCGCATTTGCCCATGGTGTAGTACTTTAGTCATAGCCGCGACTGTCCGTGATTAAAAAACAACATTTTTTGTCTAAAAATCGCGAAAAAATTGACATTTTAAAGATCGAAGTAGAAAAAGTACTTTATTAGTCCACTGTGCTGGGCCCTGATTGGCTAATGGCTTATATTAAGTCGTCCGCGGGTACGTGCCGCGGAAAATCGCATAAATATTAAGTGCCCCGCGATACGCGCAACGAGAGCGAACATTAAAAATGTAAACTTGATGATGATAATAATGATACCCATGCACGATATTTAAATATCTGCGCAGAGGAGCGCGCGCGCCGCCTGCGAGAGAGGAAGTCGACGGGGGCAATTATCCGGACTAGTTTTCACACACTTAGAAACTACGACATATAAACTTATCGGACAAACGTTTGCCATTTTCGTCCGATCTTCTTCCTCATCTGCTTGTCTTCCACCGGGCTTCTTATCGGCGCGACGAAACGTATGCGTTTATTCACTTATTCACCTTCGCCGGGGAAAATTCAATCTCACGCGAAAGAAAACGAAACCGTCTATACGCTGCGCTGACGAGACGCAACAAGACAAGTGCGTAACTCGCGTAATTGCGAGTTTCTCATGATTATAATATTATTAATGCGATTATCGCGGCGATCGCGCGGATTTGAATTTCAAATTTTTCACCGTAAATGTTTGTTTTCTCGCGGCGGCGGCAGCGGCGGCGCACTCATTAAAAATCCAACATATTGTTGTTCGCAACATTTTCCGATTTTGCATGCGACGTGATGCGTCTCGAGTGTTCTCAATAACTTGTTGGTAATACTAATTACACGATGCAATTGCGAGTGATACTCACACCGACCGACGACTTTTTCCGCTCGCGTTTTTCATCATCATTATCATTAAATGCATGTTGCGAATGGTGGTAGTCTCATCCTTCAGTCGCCAACACACACACGCACTTCGCACGCAGCCAGCAGCGACAGCACACGCAATTCTTCACTTTAATGCCGCTTGCGGGTTGGAGGAGAGCGCGACTCAAGAGCCCGGCTAATAGTTTATACATAAATGTATGAAGTCGCGCAAGTATATGCACGCGTAATACGTATAATACTCGTAATAATCTTCATTCAAACTTTTCCTTCGCGTACACGCTTTTTTGCGCGAGCGCTCGCGCGATGGCGAATAACCAGCTTTTTTGCGCCGCGCGACATGCACGCCGTGAGACGAGTAGATCGACAAATAAACCGCGATGAAAAATGCATAATTTTCGCATGCATTAGTTGAATTTACGGACGGCGAACGCGTCGAGAAACCGGAATTCAGAGCGCGACAAAAACGACACCGACACCGAAATCCCCAACATAGTTGATTGAAAAAACGACATCGAAGTGCTTCTCATTGATAAAATATTTCTATCCGCCAATCGCCACTCGTTACGACTTCGTTATCAGGTAATAAAACCGATTGCAACTTAATGAAATTATTTTAATTTTTAATTAATTACGGAATAGAGCTGCGGCGCACCACGACACATCCTCTCCACGCACGCTCGCAAGAGACCTCACCATTTCCATGCAAAGCACACATAAATTTAATCATTTTAATAACTACGAGCGCGGCACTAACGCGAAACTGGAATCGGAATTGTCGAAGGCTTTTAGACGCGGAAAATGCACCGACTTAAAAGGCGAAACCGTTTTATTTTCCTCGGCCCGCTCGCCGCGGCGTACCACCTTTTTCCATTTATTCCGCATTACATATTCAAAACGTATCCGTCTTTCTTCAAATAATCAGCTGAAAGATATGCATACATGCACATTGCCATGAATATTATGTACACACTCGTTGCGTAATTTAATAGAAAGTCATTTAGTGTTTGAACTCGCCTGCCGATCGCTCGGAATAACTGGGTAAACACTAAACAGCTTCGCAGCGCGCAAAGATTTATCATCACACCGCGTCGTTTCCTATTTTGCATTAATTAATATGTAATCTGTAATGAGCGCGATCAATCAACGAATGTTCTTATCGATTCCCTGCGTGTTGGCGGTTCAAGAAACGTTTTATTTCGCTTTTATTTCGCTCGCAAGCACGCAAGCAATATTTTCATATCTAATTTTCCTTCCGTTTCGTGCGCTTCGCATTGTTCCCCCGCCGTTTCAATTCGCGTTATTGTTATTATTTACAATGCTTTGACACTTCGTTGAATCCATTTATCAGAAGAGTAACAAAACGTAACGAAACGTTTAGCAGGCGAATAAAAAAACAAGCAGTGAGTGAGAGTAAAATTGCATTTATTGCGATGAATGAAGTCATAAGACCTGCGCGTCTGCGTATCCGAGCACGAAAATAAAAAAAAAGAAGAAGAAACTTACATCATCAGCGCACAATGCCGATTACATAAAAGTCGATTAAATGTGCTTTTGAACGCGCTAATGCACGAAAACGCCGCGATACACAAACACGTGCTGTAATGTCAAAAATAAACAACAATAACCACTACCGGAATGCGCGGATTTGAACGCGAATCGACGTAAAAGTGCGTGCATGAAGCTAATCACATGACCACATGATGTGCGCGCGCACACTTCCCGGTATTCATATCTTAAAATGATCGTTTAATTTCGCGTTGAAGCAGGTTATAATTTCGCGACCCTGCTTAATAAATCTACATCCACCTTAATCATGTTAAAGCAAATAGCAATCTAAATGTATATCTGCTTAACTTAATTAAGCCGAGCGAAGTATTAAGAAATAAGTGGAGCTTTTTGCGCGGCGACGCGCACAGTTGGCGCATTTATAATTGCCGAGAAATATTCCGTTTTCGCGTGGCGGGCGCGGCATTTTCCGGTAGTGCGAGCCGGAATCCCTTCGCGTTTGCAAATTAGTTACATACACGTTGAATTACAAGCGACATGCATGTGCGGCGCGGCCGCTCGGCTGGCAGCTCGCCGCGATTCTAATTTGTAGACATGATGTTCGAATGCATGCGAGAACAGGCTGTGGAGTTTGGGCCGCATGCGCGCGCGCATGCTCGCTCGCTCGCTGAAATCGCGGAAAACCGTAAGAAACTACTTTAGCTAACGGTGCATTTGCAAATATGCGCGCTTTTTTCGCCGGCGCGCTTGCAGCGCGAAAATAAACAATAAACGAACGCCGCAGCGCGGTGCCACGCTAATTGATTGGATAAATTGTCAAAGAGAAAGGAAAAAGGAACGCGCGCGCGCCTGCGCGTGTATACGCTGGACATTTTTACTTTCGCACGGGAAACGCGGGCGACACACACTCACTGTGTTATCAACACGTGCGTGCGCAATTTGCGCGCTGTGTAAAAATAGCAAATTAAGGAAATTAACGCTGCGCGCGGAATGCGCGACACCGCAACGAAATTGCATTCGGCGCGCTCGTGTTAATTACGGACAATTGCGACAATTAAACACTTCCTTCCCGTTCGTCAATGCGATAATTACGCGACAGACTGCGCAAATGACGGCGCATTCGGTCGTTACTCGTTACTCTTCTATGATCACGTAGCGGGCAGAAATTTCACATTTTTCACTGCGCGCGCGCGCGCTAACAACAAAGTAAAAGGCCGATTACACTCAGAATATATTCCTGTTTCACAGCCAAGGATAAATGATTATTAAAAAGTGGCAATACACAGTTATCGTGTTTTATTACCTGCAGCCTTTAACAAAACGCGGGAATTGCGCGCCGTGCACGACGACACAATGAAAGGCAGCCGAACGCGAAAACAAATAAACTCAGCGTAGGTACAGCGTGAAAGGTTTACGTCTTCGGCACACGGCAAACAATAATAACATTATTAATTAAATTACGCTGACAATGCAGCGGACGACCGCAGGCACGCGAATAACAAGCAACAGAGAAGAGAATTGCAGTGTTTACACGGAATTATTCTAATCAACAATATGCTAGGGAAGTAATTAGGCGCGGGCACTCGCTGGCAACTAATTAAACTGTTAATGAAAGAGGCTCGTGTCAATTGTAACATGTTCGGCTTTAAGATTACTTCCTGCATTTGTGGCAAATGAAATTTGTCACCATTTAAGCGGAGGATTTTATTAACGACTGAAAAGGCGAACGCGTTTGATTGTAAATTAATTATGGAAGATGGGCCACAGCGCTGGTGAAGAACAAGGCGGCGCGCGCGCAGCCGCTGCATTCCTGAGGACGGGCTGTCGGCGTCGCCGCCGCAGCATCACCGTTTCGCTAGTGCCAATAAAACGAACGAAACACTGACGAAACACATAAAATCGTTGTGTACCGACGACGTTACCGTTAAATCGAGACGATTGGAGACGCACCACGTTGCGACTACCGCGGCCCGACGCGCCGGAGCGCTCTCCGTGCTACGGTATATAAAGTATTTTCCGATGCGAGCGTGGATTGGATAGGTCATATCGCTGTATGAACACACCGCGCGCGCGACTCGTGTGATCGTGTCGCATGCGTTTTGTTTGATGAGCTGAACGCGCCCGACCTTTCGCGGCGGATGGATTCGGTTTTGCATTCATTACGCCCCCGAAACAATCCGTTTTGGGCGTGCCAGCACACGTAATTATCAGGTAAGACAAGATGAATTTTTCAATATCAATTTAGCGGTTGTGCTTTTAGTTGGAGTTTGATTTTGAAGAAAAAATCGGGTCGAGATGGGAAATATTGAAATTCTTCGTCATAGTAGCGCTTCGTGGAATGAAACGAAAAACGTGACGAAATCGACACATTCACTATTCGTTCAGTGGTCCAATCGACGACGACGGGCCGATTCGCGGCGTGCTCCGCAACACAACTTCTTCGTCGCAGAGAGCTGCTGCTGCTGGCTGGCTGCTGCCTCTCTCGCCGGTAAAACCTGAATTTTAACTTTTACGGCAGAACTTAGAGAGTCGAAGAATTCGTGTAAATTCGCAGTAAGGACGTGAATCACTCAATGAAATCTTATATTCCTTGAATGGTTGTTTATATCGTGTACAACTTAAAAACTCAGATAAACCCATACTAGCAGATGGTGATCATAACCGGAAAAGCAAAAAATAAAAAAATAATAAAACGGCGATGACCGCGAGTTAAAAATTCGCCGGCCGAGAACAATTAGTAAATTCATCAAATCTGTACAATTAGCAAACAACAGTCCGCGGTGTTATTTGTGCAAACATCGCATAAAAACAGGTTTTTTTTCGAGCCTGCAAACGTCGTCCTTGATTCGAAAATTAAATACTAAAATTAACAACATCGCATAAAATAACAACACGACGAAACATCACATCACGTCATGTTTTGTCCGAAACTCTCATAAATTATAAACATTTTATTTACGACGCGCGGCCGGTAGGAGGAATTTGTCCAAACACGAAGCCATCCATCGCACAATGTAAAAGGAAGAAAAAAAAAAACGAGAATCGAAAACTAAATCGTCTGCCCACCTAACAGCATAATATTCCCATAAACATAATTAACCCCTTTGCTCAATCAACTCTACGGCGAACTGCGCAGGAATCAAGTTTTTATAATTTATAATCATCCGCGCAGAGCGTTCGAGACCGTAAATTTCCCTTATTCCCTACTAATGTCTCGAAAACGAGCGGATGACGACATGCCTGTCTTCGCTTCATATTGTCGGTGGACATATAAATTATCACAAATTAGTCATGTCTAGTACGCTTTTATACTTGAAATATCCCGAATATAATTGCGTCGGATGTCTGCGACAACAAAAAAAAAACATTAATCGTGTGTCTGGACCTCAAAATTCAATCTCGAAAATTTCGGGGATTCTCGGAACGAATGCGGCGTTTAGGTTTAATCCTCAATCCTTATTGGGTAACGAAATGTCACGGCAATCAAAGCGAAATGATGAAAAATATTTTTGGGGTGGCGTGGTCATCGAGAGGGAAATGCCGCAGTAATTTCGCCGAAGAGGCGCACCGGTGTTACTAATGCGCGCATTCCGAAGGTGGTTAAATCTATGATTAAGTAATTACGCGGTGCATGGACACTTAAAACGCGGAAATTTCAGCCGCGGCGGCGTCCGCCGACCTGCGCGCCGGTGCGCCGCGCTTCGTTAGCGCTCCGCACATATTTCATTCGGCGCGAATCGTTAAAGTCACCTTTCACGCGGGCACATCGTCGACGCGGTCGACACTTGCGACTCGCGAAAAATCCGCGAGCGCGCCGGGCATGCATGCATGTTCGTGCGGATGGCGTGCTTAAATACGCGTTAAAAGTGGCGATTGCCAATTTCGCATCGCGCGGCGCGTGAGACGAACGAAGGCAGCGGGAATACTGTTAGGTGCACCGTGCACCGTCTATTAATAAGACGATTGTTACAATGTAATCGCCGCGCGGCGCGAACCGGAGCGTTATCATTCGCCGGGCCGGACGCAGGTAAAGCACCGAGAGATGCCCCACGGCGAAGATGGCGAATTTCCTATTAATCATTTCGCGTATCCGCGAGCATATGGTATGCCGCAGCGCATTTGGAGCTGCGGAAAGCGCACGGCGAACACGAGTCGCGAACATAATATGATGATGTTGATTTTATAGGTATCGCATAGTTGTGTGCGCCGCGGAGAGAAGCCCACCGCGCGCTGGCTGAACGTGCAGCGTTACATACGAATGGGTTACATAATCACGCCGAGTGCCGGAATAATATAATGTGTGTAAAAGTGCAGAAAATACAGCTACACCTGCTCGGCGAACAGGAAGCGAGCGCGAGTCGCGCACAATAAAACGCGGCGAAAAATGATTTTGAGCGGAAAAACGCGCGGAACGTAATAATGACGTTAAGAGAACGCTAAGAATCGCTTATTGCAGGAAATGCCAGCGAATAATAACAACATCATGGATCGTTTGCATTGCTCGGATTAGTTATAACTTGTATAATTACCAATTATGCGCGTTTCCCTCTCGCTGAATGCAAATTTACCGCGCGAATTAAAAATCATCGGACGAATGGCACACAAACGCACAATGAGCGTGTGTACGCCCGTGAGCACCATGGCACTGTGAATAAGTGAATTGAATAGAAGTGATGAGCAATTATACGGAGAAGCGATCAATCGGCTTACGTTACAGTCGGGGGGCATAAAAGAAAATATATAGAGAACGAGAACGCGAGCGCGCGGCTTGGTGAAAAATCGATGAATCGCAGTGAATAGGATCACTCCACTCGGGGCCGAACGGAATCAAATCAAATGCGCGCTGATGCCACACACCGCACCGCCGGCGGAGAGATGCGTTCGTACAAATTGACCTAAAGACCTAAAGAGTCGTCGAGCGGGCTCGCAGCGCGACGACCGCCGGCGAGAAAACTAAATGTTACTAAATGTTGGCTTTAGCTTTAGCTAGACTTTTGCATTGCGCTGCCTGAAATGAATTGCACGACTCTAGAGTGGATTTCTGCTGATGTAACACAGCCATCAGCACTCGTGAAGAAGACCTACATCTTCGATTTGTTATTTAATTTTTTTTCGTGGCTTTTAAGTAATAGCTAGAGACGCGTAATTACCGCCTGAGAAGTGGGAAACGTTTTGGCGTCGTTCGCGCCTTGTGCATTCTTAAACAACACGCATTGTTTGCCGGCATTGTTGTCTAACTTGATTTTTATTCTCTTAAACGTCCCATTGTTGATGTAACGCGCGCGTCGATTTAAATTCGTGTTACGAAATTCCCAAAATGTATAATTCAATTTGTTTTTGTATCTAAAAATATCGCCTTGAGATCATCTATCTTGATGCTGTAATCCACAGCGGTTGAAACTAACTGTCTGGTAAAGTGAGTGCGATCGCGCCAGCGATAAAATAAACGAAATTAAAGTAAAAAAGCAATTGGCATGGGAGTGCAATGTGGTAGCTGATTAATTCGACGCTAATTTAATCTGTTTAACAAGTAGTTTTCCGTCTGGAAAGAGGCTTTCCGGCGGTTCCCATGCGCGATTATAATTACAGTTTGAAATGAGCGCACTATAAGGTCATCAAAAGAGAAATAAAAGCGCCAAACATACGGGAAGAGGCGGTTTTCGATGGTTGAGATGGAATCATAGCGATACATCGCAGAGCTAACTGTCAACAGTTCGTTAAGTTTAACTGCCCCATATCTATATCAACGACGATTTATGCCCGCATTGCCAAATTTGCGCGAGTCGTTGCGCCTGAAAAGGCGACCGCGCGCGCGCTGGAGACGAAAACGGGAAAAACTCTTATTCTTTTATGCGTTTTCCGACTTCGCGTTTACGACTTCCCATTCCCAGCGCAAGAGCAAACCTAGTTTACTCTTTTTCTCTCCTCGCGAGCGAGCGCACAGATAAAACTATAAAGTGTTATTGTCATTTTATTGTGGCAGTAGATTACGAGATTAGCACTACGTATTTGTACCGCATGGCGAGTCGGGGAAGCGATACTTCAAGAGCGCCTTATTCGGCGAATTCAACTCGGCGCTGCTTAATCCAATTCCGCGGAATAGACGCCGTGTGATTATTTAATTGTGACCGGGTGTACCACTCACTAAATCTACGACATTTCTATCGAATCACACATAACTACATACAATCTGCCACCAGCTGGTAACCGCAGAAATGAATGCCGATAATATTAAACAAGACAACAAACAACAAAACACATTCAATTTACTTACCTCGGTTAGTCATTTAGTCATTTCGGCGAGCTGCGGTTTGCGAATTGCTCGAGTGACATGCAAATTCCATTCTGTTTACATCGTTCGCATGAAATGACATCGAATTAAACAACAACATGCATGACTTTAATGACTATTCGATTCAATCGTGCGTGCACTAGTTTTCAGCCATATTTGAGCAGATAATACATTTCACTGGTGGTTTTCCTTCCTGACGCGTCACCATACGCCTTCACTGCACGATCTGTTGAACTGAATAAACACTCTCAACAACACAACACAACACATACACAACATGAGAAGACAATCACAATTAAAATCAAACTTGATCGAATGTGGTGTGGTAAGAAAACCGATTGGAAGATGCGTTTCTACTAAATTTTTTTTATTTGAAAAATTGATGAGTTGTTCCACACGAATGATTAATTCGATTATAATTATGAGTAGTAGACATAGATTCGTCTAAAATATACCATGTGGTTAAGCATTTATCTAGTTCTAGCGTAATCCAGTTTCCGACGAAATAGAAAGCAATGAAAATCAAATCTGAGTCGAAACCGCAATTGTTAATGATTACTTATTATCCCCGTTGATTTGACTTATCTCAAACGTCCGGATCATTCGAAACACATTCCGAGCACTGCACTGCGAGGCAAATAGGTCGCGGTATAATGCTCACGTAACAATTTCCTGAAGAAATTTGCGATGCCAAGAAGAAGACGCACTCAAAAACGCGTTTCGACGAATCTTTCGTTCGCAGAGCGACTGTAATGAAGTGGCTCGCGCAATTCAGCGCTAGTTAAGTGAGCGCACTAACGGTTGACATCAAAAATGTGAACAACGCGTTATCGTCATGTGCAATTAACTCATCAAAATGAATTTTGAGCAAAAAAATTACAAAACTTGTGCGACTTGTGCCTGCGCATCAAACCATTAATTAGTGAGCAATAAAAACAATTGCAGGAATATATAGCACGTGAAGCGAGTGCGGACGTGCAAAATGTCCGTAGACGTAAACGTAGAACTTGAACTTCATCGCGGGCGAGCACGATGTAATATTTATAAGTATTACAATATTATTAATTAATTGCAAGAAATTCTAACGGCGCACGCCGGCGTGCAATGCGATTATGCGTAGTATGGCGCATGAAACGCTTATAAGGACATTTAATTTTCACGGCAAACGCTTATGAATATCGTATTCCTCTTCGGGATTCAATAACGCGGGCTTTTTACAACCGGCGCGCGAATTGATGAAAGAAAGAGGAAAAGCAATGTGAGCGTCGAATTTAATTTCGTGCGCTTCCCGGTAATCGTAAACCGAATTCCGAAAATCCACCGGTACTTTATTGATACGCTTTAAAGTCGAAAATTGCTTTTGTTCTTACTTATTACTTAACTTATTGCGAGTGCGCCGCGCTCGCCGTCGTCTCTCTGTACGGTTCTTTTCTTCTGGTCAATCATCGCTCGCATCTTGATATCGCCGGCCGCGCGCGCGGTCTTTACGGTGGTAATTTTACGGACAAACAAGCGACCTCTTGTCTTAACTCCGAGGCGAGGCGCTTCGTTATGGGCTAGATGTGGAAAAATTCGGAGAAAACCAAGATCGCCTGCCCTGCCACAGCCGCACGCAGCTAATTAAAACCGAACAGATTCCGGTTTACGCTCACAATTACAGAATGTGCGTGTAATGCGATATTTTCAGCGTGCGGGGTGAGTGAAATCCGAAAAAGAAATTATGGCTAGACCCATAGAGAAAAAATAAACTCGAAGCCGAGGGCGGTCGCACCGAAATCTGTCATTCAGGTTAAAACAGTGAGGGGATCAAATGGCGCGCACCCCGGGCGAGTCTAATGATTTCTGTCGTTTTCGGAATGTTGGTGAACCCAAAAATCTGATACTTCTGCTTGTTTATTTACGTGTTTTTCATTGTACATGTGTCCGTTTTTATGCCTGCCGTTTTCCAGAAATTTATCGCTTTCCAACAGCATTTATATCCGTGTGTTTATTTAGCATTTTTTTTATATTTATGTTCATTTTATGCGCACCTCTCTTGGTTTTCCTCCGGGCTGCGCCTGCCTGGCGAAACGCTGCATTTGCGTGCCATTAGTTAAAGTGTCCCGGCAATCTTATAACGAGCGCAAATGAATATAAATGAACGTTAAATTAAAAATATAAGCGTGTGGTGCGCGCCGCGCGACTTCTTCGCATGAATAGCGAAGGCGAGTGCGGCCGCGCGGCGCGCCGATGAAAAATATGTGTAATATGTGTGATAAAAAATGGGATCAACCGTTAAACCCAGTGGGTTTGACCCGAAAAAGAAACGTCGCCGTATTCATAATACGCCGGACCGGACCGCGGAGGGAACCACAGCATCTCTTCAGCTCGCGCGCAAGCATAGAAGAACCAAGAACGACCGACGACGTTCTTCATTCGTCATTCGGAGACTCGAAAACTATTCACGGAATTGGCGCGCTCATAACAGGTTGCTCTTCGCGCCTAATTTATTTCGTCGTGCAGTACCGTCCGGCCGACGTGCTTATCTCTTATCCAGCGCGCGCGAACACGGTAAAAACGCGCGCGCCGGACGCAATTGAATTGAAAAAGAAGAAGAAGAAAAAAACGGACGACGAACCACAGCGCCCGTGGAATTAACGATGACACCGGCCCGCGCGTCGAGGCGCGCCGGCAAACCGGCCCAAACTAATAATAATAAACGACGATAATTTGTATCCGATAATGCTGCAGTGGGACCGCATTTATAATTATTATACGATGACGATATATCAAGCGCGCGCCCGTTTTACATATGACCTTGTCTCCTCCATCGCCTCGCGCACGAAGCGATCCACAAACGACGCGCGCTCCCAGCGAGACCCGACCGTCTTAAAAATGTCTTCGCCTATCACCAATCGTTACGTTAACGTTAACTTTTTGTCTGGCCTCGGCTTTGTTGTACAATGTTGTTGTTTTATGCGACGCGGCGCGAGTGAGTGTTATGGCAATTCCTGTTTCCAGCCGGCTTGCGCGGCAGCCGTGAGCGCTGCGCGCCCGCAAAGAGGACAAAACGAATTTAATTTAGGCCGTCGCGCGCGTCTTCGCTCCGTCTTCGCTAATTATTCGACATTTAAATTTTTCCGACCGCCGAGGGAAAAAATGTGCATTAAGTAATGCGAAGATTTATAGACGATATAAAACACGAGCGAACAGGACATGACCACATGAATAAAATACAACGAAAAAAAAAAAAACAAGCAACAGACCCTAAGAAATAAAATTTAAAAAGAAAACCACGCGCAGCCAAGAAAGAAGGAATAAATAACGAGCTTTTAATGCTAGGTTTTCGGCGTGTGTATACGTATTAAGTAAGCAGTGCATTCTGTAAGCGCGTTTTCATTCTTCAATTCTTCCGTTTCTTCGGTAAATTTGATTCTTAGCGCTGCCCGAGGTGCGCGCACAGGTCTCAACCTCTCAACTTGTAATTTAAAGAGCCACCAGCAACGGCTAGACCTAACTATTTCACGTATAACGCAGGTTAGAAGTGGACTAAAAACACGCTGATACTAAAGGTTATAATTTAGGGTCTCTAGGGCAGATGCCGGCCGACATGCCAGCGATGACCACGGGCGCAGCAGCGACTGGGCACTCTCTCGCGCGAGCTGAGGTTTTCACGCGGAGTGACTTACGATCGCAGGGCGGCGATTAAAAAAGAGTCGTGCACGTGCGAATGCGTGTGCGAACAGAGCGAAGTTTAAGTACGCAATACCCATAGCTTCGGGCGCTTGCGCTTTGCGTTTACGCGAAGCGCATTAGAATTGTGCGCAGGAAAACCCGCGTAGCAGCGCAGCGGCCGCGCGCGCAATGCATGTGATCCAACAAGAAGCGACCACAATCAGTAAAGTTAAAGAACTGTACGGGCACACCGAGTCAGCGCTGAAGAAGTCCCAGGTCTCCCAGGCCGAGAGACGCAGCCGGCTCGCGTCTTATAAAGTCCGAGCCAAAGAAGCAGTCGCAGAGTGCTGCACCTGCTTCTTTTGCTTCTTTTTCGTTCCGTTTTATTCGTGTGCGTGGTTTTTTTTTGATCTGCCCGGCCGCGCGCACATATATCTTTCCCTTAATTTCATTTCCATTTTATAAATTTCGCCAGCCTACTCGTTTTTACTTTTCGCACGGCGCGCATTTAAATTCGTTCTTGGCGGCTGGCAGCGAGTTCAAGTTCGAATTTCGCCGCGTTCGCAATGTGCGCGCACAGCCCCGACATAAAAAGAAGTTTAACCTTTCCACCAAAACTCACTTATGTCACTAACGAGCGCGCAGAAGCAGGTTGCTTAAGTCGTGCGTCACGCTTACGTTATTGATATTCAAATTCGATGCGCTGAACTGACTTACCACTGTCGCAAAGTGTGCTTAAAGATAATCCACAATTGACGCAATTTTTCGCTTGTAACACTGCACTAGTACGAGAGTCGAGTTCACTGTTGTGCGATGCGTTATCATTTGCCCCACATGCGGAAATCGTCCCAAAACAAAACGTGTTGTAATATAATAGTCTTCTTCGAATCGTTGTGTGAAGTTAAAGAAAATGTCGCGATTGGAAATGCGGTTGTGTTTCCAATTGGAGTCCGGTGTGTGTGCGCTGCGTTCTATCACGATTTCTGGATAATTGAACGGAGCGTTACGCGGACATGGTCTACCCGAACATGCGTTTCGCGCACAACTGACTCCGGCGCACGTTCGACTTAAGCGACTTGGTGTTTCGCTGTCGCTCCGCGAGTGCGCTGGTTCGGCGCGCTGGGAATGGTGCGCGCGTCGTTTTCGTTCTTCTGTTTCGCTCGCCTTTACTACACTACTACCTCTCCACGACGCACGCTCGCAGCGCACGGGGAGAATATTTCTCTCGTCCGCGGGCGACCATCACATCACATCGGGGGTATGTCTTTCGCGCATCGCGCAGAAGTGACTTATCCTGCACCTGCGTCGCTCGCAACAGTTTTGCGCCGCTGTGTATTTACTGCCATGACCGGCAACCGTCCACCTCATACGGCAGGTATACAGAATGCCATTCTTCATCTTCCTCTCAACGCGCGTCCTTCTCCTCTGTATATACACACACGTAACGCATAGACAACGTAAGGTGCGTGCGTCGAACCGAATAGACTTAAGTTACTTGCGCATCCGTCTTCGCTCTCGGCCGCCCATCGCACAGGCGCGTCGTTGAAGTTGCCTAGAAGACCTCTTCGGGGCAAACGCCAGTACGCAAGCCAAATAAAGAAGAAAAGGCTGCCGGGCAGCGCCGCGAGATGAGACGCGCGCGCGCGCGAAGAAGGTGATGTTGAATAATAAGAAGATGAGTTGTTGTTACGTTTGAATTTGTGGTTGTTATGGGTAGTAAATCTTAATGTCGTACGCGTCTTCGACCGTCTTCGCCCTCTCCCATCTCGTGCGCATATAATAGTTCGATGTTTTAATGAATTTCTGATGAGGCTTAATTAGAGATGCACGACGGTGCCATCACGATGATGAAGATGAAGATGATGTTCACTGCATGTTATTGAAATACATACAAACACACACACATACGCACGCACTCGCTGCGTCCGTGCATGTGAAATAAAAATCGATTTCGAATAAGACAAAAAAAAAAATCACAGGCGAAGGGATTCGAGCAGTAGGGTTGAGTGATGATCCACACTTTAAAAACGAGCCAGCACGCATCAATTGGACACAAGTGATACAAAGTTTTAGAAGCGATTCATTCATTTCATTCGATTCGCATATCTGGATTTCTCGACGTCATTTCTCACCTTCTATGCCCTCAATTTTCATGTGGACTAGTTTCCCGCCGCATCTGAAAAATGCATTTTTATCAGCGCACTTATCAATCAACATTGTTTGGCATGTGCGTACACACTTACCGAGACTGATGGTGTTATGCGCTAAGTATTAATGAGCGATAACTCGAATGGGTCAACAAAATATGTGATACGGCGCGATGAACAATAAACCGACAGATAGAAACAATTAGAACACACACAAGAGAGTGTGGATAACTGAAATAAGCGAATGCCGCTCGTGCCAGCAACAAGAGTAATTCATTTATTATATTATCGCTTGCCATGTTTGTACATTATTATAAAACTTTATCGCAGCGGCGGCGTGGCGGGCCGTTCCGTGTTCAACATTGTTGAACATTGTCGTTAAGATATTGAACCGGAGTGAACAAACTGCTTGACCAAACAATGAAAAAACAAATGATAGAAATCAACGCAAGAAAGCATGACATGTTGGAAAATTTTGTTACTTATATGATAGCAGCGCAATAAAACTAATTGTGCCTAGGTGTGTGAGGAAAAACAATAGAAAGTTCGACAGAATTGCGACATCGCGCGCCGAGAGAAAAAATCAACACAAAGTGGCACTTGTTTTTCATTGTTCGTAATTAGAAAACAATTGGGACGTTGTTACGTAACGCGCACGATTTTTAATTGAAAAGATGTTTTTTCAGCTTTATATAATTTTATTTTAAGTGGTGCTTATCGAAAATCACAACCAAAAACGACTTCCAGCTGAACTAATATGCGGCAAGCTGATAAAACGAGTGTGGTGTGGTGTGAAGGAAATATGGACGCGAGAATTCAACTCGACGCGGACTCCCTGAAAACACCCGCACATAAATAACGCATTCTGGAGCGGCGCGCAGCGTAACAACGTATTTATATAAAAATATGCGTCGAACGCTCGTTACTTACATCGTTTTGATTGTGCTCTAAGTGGCATAAGTTCCAATAAGGCTCTCGAGCGCTGCCCGCACGCTCGTTATTAGTCGGTTTAAGTTTCTGTCAGTGATGTAAGTAGTCGCAGGAATGGGAATAAGTTGCTGCGGCTCGCTGCGCTCCTCCGCGGGAGACGGCGTTTCGGTTTTCTACCGGGCTAACATTCGGTTTTCAATTAGAATTTCTACCAGCTAGAGCCGCATGTGCTTCGATGAAAAAGTTTCGGCCCGAAACTCGTGTGCGCGTATGCAAACGAACGTAAACGGTGACTATCCAAGCGAAACATGAGCATAAACACGCGGTTATTATGGAGATACAAATGAGGAACGAAAGATACAAAAACGAGCTGAGCGTCTCATCGCATTGTAGCGTTTCTAATGACGTTGACGTTAATTTCGAACACGTACGCGATATGTAGAAAATTTAAACATTGAAAAGTCATTCGTTTCGAAGATAAATATTGTAAATATTTATACGCAAAAGTTTTGCGTGCCGAAAACAGTGATTACTAACAATAGGTGCGATCGGAAAGTTATGCAGTGCGAAAATGGCAACAAATCACCATTTCAGCAACGGAGATGCAAACATACGCATTACTAATCGTTGTTATAACTTCAAAAACTTCAAAAATGTACATTAATAACTATCAATTGTTGATATTTCAGAGGAACACAATGCTGGATAAATTAATTGCAAAAATTACGCATCAAGTTGTGACAAAAGTACTTTAGTCACGGCCATTGTCGTCTGTGTTTAAAGTACCACTTTTAGTATCTCAAAACCGTGTAAAAGCGAGCGATTTAAAGGTGGAAGTAGAAAATAGTATATTAAATAACAAGTGACTAAGCGGGAGTTTGAGTCGCGAGATTGATTAAGAGCGAGTGTTTAATCAATCGAGTGTTTAACAGCGTTTAGCCACGTGATGCTTACGGTATTTTTTAACTTCCACTCTATTTCCACGATGAGGGTTTTGTATTTGAACTTTTGTAGTTCCACCCCGTGACTAAAGTTCGGGACTAAAGTTCTTTAGTCACAGCTTTGTCTATCCGTGTTCAAACTACCACTTTTTGTGTCTCAATACGGTGAAAAAACTGGCGATTTAAAGATGCAAGTAGAAAAACATATTTTTAGAATTTCAATAAACAAAATGAAAAAGAAATTTGATGGACACCTGTCAAATACAAGAGTACTTTGATTAAAATTATGTTATGTTATGAATTCATTCGTACGAAGTCCAAAGTTCGACGGGATATCCAGCACTCAAACTCAACATTCGCATTGTATACGAAAGTGCACTTGACCATAATGTACATTTCAAACGGATAAATATTTACACTAATTAGCACTTGATGTTGATATGCAATAGTGTTCTTGTTTGGCTTGCTCCATGTTTCTAACAGTTAATCTGTATAAGAAATTCTCGCACTTTATTTATAATTACAGTCCATTGGTATTCCAATATGCAATTTGTTAAATTTCCGCCTGGATTTAAAGTGGAAGTTTGGAATGCTGTTTCTGCGGCAAAGTTTACACAAACAATAGGTGCTTGCAATAAACTAAACATTCCGTTCAATCTGCACGATGCTGGAATTTACTCGCACTCAAATACAACATATTTATAATTAATGTTTGCCGTACACACCTCTCACAGGTATATTATACAAGTAGAAAGGGTGCCAAAATGTATAAATAACTTTCAATCATTAACTATGTCAACCCATGGCATTGCGCGCTCGTTTTCACCTTGTTTTCATTCTACGTGAGTGATTTTCACAACGCGCTGATCTCGTTTGGCATTTGTTCGTGTTCCATGCCGATGACACCAAAAGTTTGTTAGCGTTTAGCAAACATGCGCCCAACTTTTGGAAGTTTGGCTCGTTCACACCGGCGAAACCGGAATATTCATGCATCCGCGCGTTTTGCATGCAGCCGAGGCACTTATGCGAACAAATGACGACCAGTCGTGCAAGGTAAGTACACGCCAAAAACAATTAAACAGCGTTTACTTGTGATATTGAATCAGCGCACTTGTTCGCGCAAATCGTCGACTTTTCAATCTCGGTCGGACGCATCGACATCGCCAATTGCACACCACAAGTGTCTCCACATGCTGTCTCTTCACTTCACATGCGTTATTGTCCAACTTTTTATTTGTTGCTTACTTTTGTTTGTACTACTTACAACGTACTTACTTGCTTACATACTGTGAGTGTGTTTCATTTGCGGACCGTGTCATATCTACTTATTTCTGTTGATGTTTGCTTTTCAATTATTTTAAATTACAAAAGTTTTATATTCACGTGAAATACTCAATAATTTTTTTTTGAAAAAAAAAATCTGTTGAATGTAGCCGTTTCCAGTAATAATATAAATCAATTAAAGCAAACTTTTCTTTCACCAGATGGTCCCACAGACTCCCGACGTGCAATTTCTAGGATTACCTTATCTATCAGTCTCGCACGCCGACCCGAAGGAAAGTAAACACCAAAAACGAATATGAAGGAGTTTGAAAGCAAATCAAAATCGCCATAAACCGCCAATCGATTAATTGGCATCGATTATGTTGGGAAAATTTTCTCCGAAGGCAAGCGCGCTTCGCTAATGAACGTTTCGTTTCATATTAAAGCGACGACCCAAGCCCCAGCGAAAAAAAAAAACCACGACGCACCAATAACAACGTATCCGAGATACCTACGTACGAGACCTAAACGTGCGCGATGCTGAATACGAAACGCAGAAATCAGAAATTGCGTTTCGTTTCGTTTGAAAACGCTTCAAAACACACGTACGGCACAAGTGCTGCTACAACATCGAAAAACGTGCATGCCCGTATGGTAGTATGGTAGTCGCGAGTGAAATCGCGTGGCGCACCTTTGTGTTGTTGCCGTTTGATGTTGATGTTTCACCTGACACCAGGCTTCGCCTGCACGGCGAAATGCCGACCAAACTTCATCTTCGAGAGTTGAAAATTTCGCTTTCCAAACCTCCGACGGCGCTGATACGACAAGCCGACAACTTCGTCATGCTCGACATACGAGTGTGTTCGCGCTACCATTTCGCTTGTGGTGAAAAATTTCGCGTTATTTACATAATTTCATCCGCGGCCAGCCGGCGACTTCCGTCAGAGTGACATTGCGACATTATCTAACCCTCGGAAGCATACACTTAGCATACATCTGCATAAATTTACAAATATTTATCCAGTGAACTTTTAACGCGTTAAAATGTTAGTTTCACCATAGCGCTATGCACCTAGTTTTCGAAGCTGTGCGCAGATCGTTCGAGAATTTCACTTTTCTACGAATATAGACAAATAGCTCGAAGACAAGTCGATTATTTAGGCGCGCTTTAGTTTTGAATACTGCAAAAGCCTCCGGCTACACGACTAGCCAAAGTTAAAGCTAAAAGCAGTGACGCATACATTACTAAAACAAAGATTTCAAATTTAAACGAAATTGAAAGTTCCGCCGTTATTAATTAAATAATAAATAATAAATCTCCGAGTACAGCGCAGCGGATGTAAAATGTCAATAGATTGTTTCGAAAAAAACATCATTTAGCTATGTATAAATCCAATTATTGTTAATAATATGACGAAACCGCGTCACGAACCTTCCCGCCGGTGTCACGAAGATTTCGTTTTCAATTGCGCACCAAACCCATCTATTAAACATTTGTTTAATGAGTGCCGCAAAAAAAAAAACGCAACCATAAATTGATTATTGCCTGCTGAATGTAGGTATCAAACACAATTAGAAATATTGATATACTCGCACAAGCGCACGTAGAACGTTAATTGAGCGAATGAGTAAATTTACGCGGCCATGAGCTGTCGGTGTAAACGGAATCAACTGAATCATCCGCGAAACGTTCTTTCGCGCGTTTCTGCTCACGTTTTTTCTCCTAGCGCTGTGCTGCGCAGTCAAAGCGAATGTCTATCGCCTAACATCAACAACAACCAACATCAAACGTTAGATGTGCGTTTTTTTTTTTGTTTCACGTGATTGAAGAAAAAAAATGTGCATACAAATCGTGAATCGACGTTAACACGGTGCGAAACTGAAACTGAGCTAATGCGTTTATTGTGTGCGCAACGGATAGTCAATATCCTGTTTAATTATGACGTTGTTTAAGTGATATTTACACAAATTGCATTAAATGTACAATTCTTGATGTTTTTCTTTAAATTTAAACGATTTTAGCAATTTTTAAAACATAATACTTTGTTTTAATTGCAGTTGGGAATAAAATATCTTATTCCGCAATAAGTAATTCGTAATTACTTCATTCACACCTTAAAATAATTTCGCTTATCGCGTGAAACGCGAGCGGCGAACAAGACGAAAGCGGCAAGGCCACCAGCCAGCGATTGAAGCGATATATCCATGGCGGATCTGATAGCGTCGCGTAAACGATCAATAAAAGTAAAAAGTTCGCGATCGCTCGAAGGAGCGTCAATGGACGCAAAAAATATTAATGTATAACACGGCGGCGTGAGTCCAAAAAGCGCACAGGTGACGTCTTTCCGGCCGCCGAAAGAAAGCTAAGGAGAGTTTCGTGTATGTGTAGATTCGTGTGATGTGCATGTTCGGCCGCCGAAAGATCCGAAACACGTCTGCTCGTAAACAGGTAAAACACGCGATGAAGATGAAGCACTTATGCTCATGTTGCTCCGAGTGATTTCGATTTCGATTCGAAAGTGATTTTTGATTTTGATTTATTAGACGGATTCTTTTTATGATTTCTATATTTCATGCGCGGTGTTTTACGATCGCCATCTACGCAATCTAAGCTCGTCTTAAACTCTTCCTAAACGCGCGGAATGGTGGTTTTAATTTCGTCAATGTGTTCGTTTAATGTCCAATTTTTATGTGCGTGGTGCGTTTTTCGATTCGGATTGCATCAATTTCGTTCGGTTTCATTTCACTTCATCATTTCTTCAATTTGTCTTTTATTAATATTATTACGAGGCGGCTAAGAAGGTCATTTCTCGCCTGCGCGTTCATCAAAATTTCTCACTCAAAGTGCCGAACGCGCGTTTCGATTTCGTCGGACTTACAACTTTTTTTTATACTTCGATTCGATTTTTATGGAGCTTCTTGCCTTTGCCTTTAATGCGAGATTTACTTTCGTCTGCCGGTTTATCTCGGCGTGTTTGACACGCTTTATAACAGACAGAAGGCTAGCCTCTGCTCAATATCGCTTAAATTCATTACCAGCGCCATTACTGACACCTCGCAGTCAGTAAAAGTAATTTCTAATTTGATTGCATTATTTATTTAACAAGTAAGTACCTGCCGTACCTGCGCGACTACGACGGCGAGAAGATTCAAAAGTAAAAGTTGGCTGTAACCACGAGCGAATGTCGTGCGCACATAAAACTGCGTCGTAACATCGTACGTCGCTTAATTGGTGTCATCTTCATTTTAATTTCTTCTTTGCCGGAGTCGGCGACGCATCGAAAACAGGGTCATACACATATTACTTCGATAAATACAGGACTAAAGTGCGCACAATAATAAAAGTAGGCATCTCGCAATTTTCTGCGCTAGAAAATAAAGCCAGCAGTTTTCGTGCGAATTCCTGCGATCATATGCACGTGCATTGATCATGCCGCCACGCGTTTGCGCGTTTTTCTTCAATCCGCGCACTAGTTTCATTGTCTCGGCAGTATATTCACAAATTCCGCGCTGCTGGCGCACTAGTTAGGAAAATCGTTGAAATAGTTAAAACGCCTAAAATACTCAAATGCGTTTTGCTTCATTTTCGCGCCGAGATGCATGAATCCGCGCCTCGCCTTCGCTTGTGCACCGCACACAACACCGGCGAGAAGACCTTGGCGGTGGATTTTTTCGCGCGGCGCTTTTTCCGCGCCCGCAGCGCTGCGCAGCTACTAGAGACGTCGTCGTATCATGCATGCAAAGTGCAAACTTATAGCTCACACCGAGTTCTAAATAGTTGAAGTTCACATGTCGAAGACTAAGAAGGTTAAATTACAAGATTCTCGCCTGCGCGCTACACGCGCATCGATTTTATAGATTAATTCAGCATTCAGGTGTGTGTAACAACGCCGCACAGCAGCCGTTTAACATTCTGATTTAGCAACGAGTAACAAATAAACTGGCGAACAACAAACAAACGCACCGCGTCGAACAGGTGTTTGTTCGTTTAATATGTACAGGTATTAGCTAACAGCCGCTGGAATTTATTTCGACGACATCGGTTTGAAAGCGCAGAACTAATACCACACACACGCATTTGTTTGACACTCGGGATGCTGACAGTACGCGCAACGCCCTGTAGCAGCACCTGCGCAGCATTTGTTCATCGCGTAAATGAGAGAATTTAAACAAATGTGTCGCGGTTGATTTTGAAATCGAAATTCTTTTTTCGTTCTCGTTTCATGCGGCGCGCGCACATTTTACTACATCGACACCTATGGCAATAAAACCAAGGACATTAAACGTCTTATTATGTTTCTTGTTTTTTTCTTTTATTTATTTCGAGTTAATCAAGTTATTTATCGATGTTATTAGGTTTCGAGAATGTGTAATTGTGAAATATGAAATTATTGTTGAAAAAGTTTAGTTTGGAGTCGTTGCTTGAGGTGTGGAGCGTGTTGCGTCAGAGTCGTAATAATCTTATGCCGATTCGAAAAACTTCTTCAGTTTTTTAGCTGTTTCAGCCACGCGAATCTCTTGACGTATTCTAGCTAAGTCCATATCGTTCAAATCAATTATTTCAATCGGTTGATCTTCTGTTTCTAGGATTTGTAGGGTTAGATGATAATATGCTGATTATATTCTACGCACGTACCTTTTGGTAGTGGTTCTGGTGGTGGTGGTGTCCGTCGATAGGCTTTACGCGCCAATCGCTCCTCTTCGCGTATTTTTTGTACTTGCCTATCGATCAAGTCCGAAATGCGCTGTGCGCTCCTCGATGAAAATAGGAAGCCTCACCACTTTTCGGCAGTCTAAACCGTTTTATCTTCGAAATTTTCGGCGAAGGCGCAGGTTCCGACCAGCGTTTCAAACATGCAATACACGTGGTTTGTTTCACATTATAAGAACCATATGTGGGTCTGTCAGTGTCCTCGGTCACACATTCTTTCGATTGGCTCGAATCCGGCAGGAGATTCTCCATCAAGTTTTGTAAATCCATGGACGCTTCCTCTCGCACCTTTTGACTAAACATTAAAAAACATGTAGATTTTGTTAGGCGACGTGCGGATAATGCCCGGATGAAAGTCCAAGTATGCGCTGCGGTAAATAAGGTGTCGATCCGCGCGCTGACATGCTATAAAATAACATGTAAAACAACGCGCAGGAAAAAGAATCAAATAAAGCCCCGACGCATATTACCAACAATGAGCATGCGTTACACCGACGTCGGGGAGAGGAAAAAGAAAATTATGAATTACGCATGCAACGCACATGTTCGGAATGCTTGACGTCGTCGCGGCCGATCGGGCCCCGTGCAGAGAGAGAGAGCACACCGTGATTTTACATACGAAAACATTGTGGAAACATTGTTTTACGAAGCGTGATTTTACTACTAACAATTACGCCGACCGACGACCGCGCGTACGTGTTCGGCGTGCGTCATTCCGCCTTATTCGTTATTTTTATAATGTATGTATTATTTCCACGCTGTGGATTGCCTTCGATTGTTTCGCTTCGGCGTGTTTCTAATGACATGTGTCTGACCGTTCATGGAGGCACTGACTTTTCGACAGTTTCCCTCTGTTTACTTACTCGAGGAGTATTGCTAACTCTTCCAGTGGTAGATCCTCATCAAAAGTTGTCCGGTGGTCATCTTCGTTGATCTGCATGTTGGAAAATCCCAGCTGGAGATTTTTCATGATTTTCGGCTGGAGTGTGATCATCGTTTCGCGTTGGACGACGTCTTCGTCACTGCACTGATCAATGTTCAAAAAGAATTCTGGGTCGTGTTTGCTCAAGTTGCACACCACCGATGATGGATTCTCGATGGGGGCGATATCCTTCATGGTGTCTAATGTTGTTGTAGCAAAACTACTTTTTTCAGTTGGTTCCAAAATGGTGGACAGATGCTCGGCGGAGTTGGAAGGACCAGCGCTTGAAACGTCTCTGCTATACTTGCAATCGCATTTTGGGCATGGGGGAGGTGTTGGAATTGGAGCGGGAGCTGGAGCTGGGGCTGGAACTGGAGCTACTAAGGCGGGTGTTGCTCGCCATGTACGGGCGCTAGGAACCAGCAGTACGTTACTACGCACCAGACGAATTAATTCCTCCAAGGGTTCCACATCAACGCGAAACGATATCGAACCCTTTTTGGGAATTGTTTCTAATTCAAAGGATTCGCAACAGGAGATGATGTTTTGACCATGTAGGGATCTATAGAAGGCTTCCATCTTGGGCTGCATCATCGCGTTCTCAATGCGAGTCCTGTCATGTGCCAGATACATGAATTTCCGTATCATTTCCGGATTGCTCACTTCCAGCGCGATTTTAACTGAGTTGATGATACGCATGATTTTGGTATTGACAATCACCTTGTCTTCTAGGCGTGGGTCCCGTTTAGGTTCAGGTTTATTAGGCATGGCCGGGAGCTCTGGGAACGAAAAATGGAATGTCTGGGTATGGAGCGGATTGTAGACATACCTAAGAGGAAGAGTGGTAGGTTTTTAAAGACTTTTTGGCGGACACAGCTCCTTCGTTTGGCGCGTCCGATCAATCTCTCCAACGGTGACAGCTGGCGGGCCTTGAAACTCTGCCGTGGCGTTTTCGGCGGCATGCCCAGCGTCTCCGTCTTGTGAGCAGTCAGCAGATATAAGCAAAGGACTTTGTCAATGTCGAGCTCCCCGTCCGTGAAGAGTAAAATGTGCAGGTCCTTGAAAACAAAAAGATGTGAGGATGATAGTGGATTAGCATATTTTCGGCCGGGCAGCTAAAATAAATAATACGCGCGATGGCCATCATGGAACGACACCAACTTGCATGTTGACCGACGAGCTCTTTATGTAAGACGACTTCAGCTGACATTCCCCGTTACGGTGGCGGCAAATTTCGGGACGGTGCTGCGCCAACGACGACGGCTGGAAAGTCGAAAGCAAATATTAATTAAAATCACGAGCGGAGCAAAGAGAGAAACAAATGAAATGAGATTTTCAGTCCGTCAGCCGAAAGACTGATATGCCCCGTGCAGAATGTGGACCGCTACAGCATCTACACTCCGAGGTTCCAGGTTTCCAACCGCTGATGACGCCAGATAACGAACGAGTTGTCTTTAAAAATATAAATAAATACATCTTGAATAACGCGCCGTCCGAAAATTAATTTAGATAAACATCTCGTAGAGAGTCGCGAATGCAAAATGCAAAATACAAACACAAAACGTGTTGGTTAGGGTCTCGCCCTCTCTGCGAGAGACGCTGTGACGTTTTCAGCTTTCTTCATTTAAATTTTAAATGGTAATTGCACATTCCAACGCCACGAATGATAATAAAATGATAATAACATTCAAGCACAATGTTTCAAAAATTATGCAAAGTGTCGTGATGCGTTATGCGTACCCCGGCGCTTCTCTCCCCCCGTTGGGGATATATAATGTTGTATCTTTGGTAGGTATTATTACGTATTCGCATTTCGATGGTTTTTTCGAGATATGAACGCTCCACACTAGAGCGGTAGGAAGCATCGACGTGATCATTCTTTTTCGGGATGGCTGAATGGTCGGCACCGCTCACAGTCGGAGTTCTCTTATCTAATACCATGGTTGGAATAAATTGTAATAAATCGAAATAGAGAGGAATTGTAAACGGTGCAGTTTGACTGATAATGTATTGCAAAAAATTTCCGAAATGTGCCAAATTCAAGCTGATATGATTTGACACTAATCAATTTGTTTTTTGTTTTTATTTATTAAAAGTTTAAGCATTCTTGATTTAGTTGCTGGTTGGTTATGGGTATTTTCTCATGGTAGACACATGTGAAATGCTTGCAACACGACGAAAACGAACGTGAACAGGTGGATAAATTGGTATTATTTATAATTATGGGCCGACCGAGAAAAATGCATATTTACAATTATCTCGTTTAAAAATGAACTATTAATTTATGACACTCCATGCCTCTCGCGGGCTGCGAGTGGTACCCGTTTCTTGTAGCCATCGTCGGAACATTGTCTCTTCCTTCGATTGCTTTTGCTCTGCCTTTACCTACATACGAACATATTCACTTACAGGCATAGAGCGCGTCGTGCGTACAAATATTAGAGATCGGGGCGAGGTACAACACAACAACAACAAAAAAATTCCAACGAAGGTAAAAACAAAACGAGGCCGTGCCCTGCGTACCTTTGAGACATCGCGTCTGCTCCGTGGCTGAATTACGTCCAACGACGACTACTACCAACCGTCCGCGGCGTAATGGAATTTATCATTTAGTTTTTAATTTTAATCATACGCATAACCGGCCCACGAAGAAGCTAGGCGAAGCGAGGAGGCACGGAGACTTGTACTTTTAATCATTTACATGAATTTAATCATGATGTCCGTACGCGGACGCAGCCGCGTTGGCTAGGGACGCACATCGGCGAGTAAAACTAAATTAACTAATTTATAAGCTGCGGCTGGAAGTGACTTAAATAACCTAACTTAAGTTATTTCGACTTGCCCGCCGCTACGCGCGATTTTCGAACGCTGCGTGAATTCGTCCTTGGTCAATCTCATTCCTATTCACATTCTCATTTTCATTTGCAATCGACGACGCACACACGCACGCGCGCAACTTTTCGCCTGCGCAATTGAAATTAGGGCGGTTGGTATTTTCGAGCGTTTGAAAGATGCGAAGAAAATCGCTGAAACAAGTTCTCGGCACCTTCTTCGCGTATGCATATTCTGCACATTTCATAAATACGTTTCGCACGTTCGCGGCGCGCCGGCCGCGGTGAACACACACCTAGAATAAAAAAAACAACACATGCACGCGCGCACGCTCGCGCGTTGCGAATAAAAGCGCGCCGAAGAAAGAAGTCAATACACGCAGGAAAGAATGAAACTCATTATTATAACTACTTGTTACCGACTTATAAACTGATTAAATGTTGCCGAGTGTGAGTGTGGAGACGGTGCGTGCGTGCGCGCGCGCGCAGTGCAAGGGGGAATGCCCACCGATGCGAGCTGCAATTGCTATGAAGTTGTTAATTATCCCATTGTTCGCAAGGTATCCTACGGGGTGTTTGAACGTCGACACATATCGGCACCTATTCGCGCATTAACCGCCTCCCGCAAACAGTGCTTAATTTCACGCGCAGCGTAAATCTATATTCAAAATTTCAGCCGGAGTCGCACGAATGCAACGTGGAAATTTTGTTTGTGGTTGCGCATGCGTTGCAGTGATACCTTGTATACGAAGACATCAATAAATAACTTTTGACCAGCATATCTACCTACCATACAGGTTACAAGTAGGTATCTCTCTACACATGATACAGATGGGCGAACTATAAATCAGTATTGCAATTAATAAATGTTGCGATGGTACTTTTGCACACTGTTATTCATGTTGCGCTGTTTTCTGAGCGTGTTGCAATTTTGTCGGTAACAATGAGGCTAAATAATGTTGTCCTTTGGTGTTCGCCCTTTCAACCTATCGCATTTTAAAATATATTTTCTTTGAGTGGGGATGTAGATACCAGTTTGAAAATAATCAACGGATTGCGATGATGCAATTTACATATACGTGGAATATGCAGCCTGATACAGAACTTTTTAGCGAAACGAAGCACTGGTATTCGAATTATTTATTCATATAAATGCGCCTGACATCATACCAGTATTTACGTTTGGAATTTCTATATATTTCGTACTTGCTGATGCTTGTGTGGATAATATATCGCGAATCAATGCGGAAAATTTTGTTTGGCGGCTGGAATTGATCATTTATCAATTGGAAACACATAATTAGATGATTCGAGTTACAATTTATATAGTAGAATGTTAAATCTACAAACATTTTTGCTGAATTTCCTGCAGAAATTAATAAACAATTAAGAATTAATGAAATATAAACAAATAATTATCAATTATTTTCTATGTGTAACATAGGCAACCATGAATACATCAAATTTGAAAACGCGGGAATTTTACGTAAAGGTTAAAGACTGATCAACAATTTTCTCAGATAAATTCTCCGCTGTATTACAGAACAAAGGCTTTAAAATATGTTACCCTTATATAAAAGTAAAAATTAAAGACTTACGACTACAACTGACGATCCTGCTTTAAATATTCAACTCCGTAGTCTGTTCTGGGTACACAGGACACAAGCAGCTGTTATTTTTTAGATCACCAGCACTATCTCCACGTTGTCCTCCACAAAATGATTACTACCACTTCTGTTCTTGTAAATAAATAATATTCTCTTGATTCTAGCACTGATTAACAAGTTACATTTCACAATGTCAAAAATTCTGTCACTTGTTCAAGTGCTCAAACGGATCAAACTAACATATTACTTGCATTATTTGTTACCTATCCTGCCATCTACCGAGATGCGAGGACACTATCCCGACATAACCAAAACCCCTTGGCAATCCAAATAAATTCGTTTACGTGTTATGCTCATTTTGGAAAATCAAATTCTACTGTAATTTATCAGAATGGACCTCAAAAAAGACTTGGACGAGTATCTCCTACTTCAAAGTGACCAAAAGAAGTCTTTCAAACTCACAATACCCAACATACAGAAGCCTCAGTGGTTCAATCGAGCTCCACATCAGGAAGAAGATGAGACTTGGTTCCAGCAGACAAAGAAAGGCTGTTGTGAAGGATGCTGTCCAACACTGGTAATATACTATCAATCAGCATATATAAAATTATACATTTTATTTGTATCTTGCAGAGTCGGATGCAGAAAATTGTTGGATTTGGTTTCTGCCTTTGCATGGGAATTTTATGTTTTTCACTCTCACTGATGTATATACCAGTATTATTATTCAAAGCTAGGAAATTTTCGTTGTTATTCACACTTGGAAGCTTCTTTGTGATCTTGAGGTAAGTATCAATCAACTACGAGAAATAACTGGCCTAATATTCAAATTTTAATTATTCTATGTCATATTTCACAGTTTATCATTTCTCTGGGGTCCAGTGGCATATCTAAAGTACATGTTTTCACGCGAACGCGTCTTCCTGTCCATCGCCTACGGCAGTACCCTGTTTGCAACCCTCTACTGTGCAATGCACCTGCAGAGCACACCGCTGACAGTGCTTTTTGCTGTCGGTCAAGTGATTTCACTGCTGTGGACCGTCATAGCAAACATTCCCGGCGGCACAACTGGCCTGTCGTTCTTCGGCAAGCTGTTTAGTCGGTCGGTTAGTCAAACTCTGCCTATTTAATATACAAATTACGTACTTTTGTACAGATTTGACGATCGTAACTTTTAAATTATTGTATGTATACATACCTGTACATTATATACAACATTCTATATCGTTTTAATATATAACCGCATTATCGCATTATCAAAATCATGCATGTATACATCAGATTAAGTTTAATTTATATGTGATATTGATAATTGTAAGGCTCATTTTACCAAACTTTAAGGAAACGACTGTTAAAAATCAGTTTTACTTCAGTTTATGCATAAAAACATTATATTTGTGTGTTGTACGTGTGTGAGACCATAAGATTTTTGATATGCTGGTACTCATTTATTAAATTTTGTAACAGTACGTCGTAAAACAAACTATGACTAAGTCTTTTGACTAATTTTATCTCTTAAATTTAAAATCGACGTGTCTCACATTTGTTTCGAAAGTATTCTCCAACTTATATCCATATTAAAATACATATTTATACACTTATCACAATATATCTGTGTGTAACGTTGAATTTCTGTCACAGGCGCACAGCGTATGTTCACTAAACGCTTATCAAATACATATTATTATACTAAACGTGGCAGAAGAATATTCCAAGTCATTTAAAATCGAGTAAAAGTAAAAGCGCGTTTTTTTCAGACGCTTTGATAAACATTGAATAAAATTAACTTTACAAAATACAACTCTACAATTCGTCCCTAGCTTTAATATAAGAGCATGTTATTATCATCAAACACTAACCGTAATAATTGCGCGCGCTTCAATTGCTTAATTTCTAATGGTTACGAAAATAGGTATCATTCAAGCATGGATATGTCGACAATTTAATACTCGGTGTAAGTCCATTTGTTCATGAATTGCTCTTGAAAGTCAAAGACGTATTTCGATGGACTAGTGGGTTCAGGCACGGCGGCCAATTGTGCTTATTGAAAGATGCGCGACTTCGCGAGGAACTGCTGTCGTCGGATTGCCTTCTCTTCTTCCATGCGCTTGCGCTCTTCCTGTTCTTCGCGAATTTCGCTCTCAAATTTGCTTCGTTTAGAGAGTTCGTTTATCTGAAAGAAGATGGCGTTAGTGTTAATTGAAAATTTATTTAAAAAAATTAAGGAAAAAATTGCGAATTCACTCAAAACTTATCATTTTATCAATCTTACTAGAATTAAATTATTGCGTATCAAAATGTCATGGCTGCTTACTTTGGCTTCGAAAAATTCTTTGGCGCCGACCACGCCAACCTTGTCCACATCCACCTCAGTCAATTTGGCCAACTGTCCAAGCCCCGAGTCGGCGTCCAATTCACCAGCGCGTGCTTTGCGATAAACTAGCAGGAACTCTCTGAAGGATAGCCGACCATCGCCGTCCTCATCCACTTCGGCGATCATGCCCTTCAAGCCAAGGTGAGTTTGTGGCGCCCCCAACACTTCCATCATGCGCTTCAACTCATCTAAACTCAAGTAGCTATCTTTGTTTGTGTTGAACCTGCAACAAAAATTATCATATCTCAATATTTGTTTATTTATACGTGCTTGGCAAGGCACAATAGAATAGAAAACAATTAAAAACAATAATGATCGTATTACATTGCACGCTGTTGGTTTACCATTAAAGAGTCGCGACGATAACAGCGCTAATAAAAAAACGATAACGGCGGCATTCATTGCGCGGTACAACATTGCAATACATACCACAATATGCGAGGCAAACAAATACAGCGATATTGTGTATTGTCACATGTTCAAGACACGATTTTAATTTTAATATTCACCACGACGACGAGCGAGTTGAAACAGTGGCATGACGCACACGAGCAATTTCGGTCGTTTTAATAATGGGGTTTATTGTCTTGTTCGGTCAGGGAGTCAGCGGATTGTAATGTGATGCTGAAATTTAATTCAAAGACAAACAGTCCTTGAACCGAACGCAATTAACGCCTATCAATTCACTAGAAACACACTGTTTTGAATGAGTTAGCATATTTGAAAATTGAAAGCTAATTTACAGATTGAAACTAAAATCACAGGGAATTAGAACGAGCGCGTGCGCATCGCAGATGTTGTTTACGAAATTGCCTACCACTCCCAAAAGAAGATAAATTTGAAGAAACAACCGAAACTCCAACGGAATCACGTTGCGTAGAACTAATCACAAGTTGTTTGCGGTAATTATGATTGATGTTAGTGTAATCAATACACGTGCTACTTTAAGATTAACGCATGGCACGAAGAAAACAACTAAACACTTTTTATCACCCAACAGGTGAGAAACCATGGAATTACTTCTTATTAACTCACAGAATTACAAATATTTGACGTGAAACATTTACTGCGACTGCGCAGAATGATAAAAGTGTCAATTGGTTTGAAAATCACGCAGATTTGTTTACGCACGCGGCCAATTCAAGGCAACCAGGCAATCGCGTCGAATATTTGGAACGGAAGCATTTATCCCTCATGACGAATGAGTTGTGCGTTTTTTGCGTGCGTATCAAACGAATCATCTTTCGCGTTGCACCAGGTCAGGGCCCACTTTATCACGCGCATATTAATATCATTGTAAACATCCGATCGAAAAAAACACGCGCGCTGTCATTGACATGACAAAAACGCGCATGCTCAGCACGCGGAATGCGAAAGAAATCAACGACGACTCCACAAACTAACAAACACTGCACTAAGTCATCCGTAATTATATTAATTTATGCAAATGTGCGATTGCGTGGTCGTGTGCGTTTTCTATTTTCATACGCGTCGCGCATACGCTCATTCATTTCTTTGACATTGTTTATCTACAATTAAATCGATTTCCACTCGTGTGTGTTTTTTCTTCTCTTTTCGTCGAGCGCGCAAACGCAACAGAAAAGATAGTCCACGCAGCGTGATTATTTTATGGTAATTTTTGTATAATTATAATACGCCCAAATGAGTTTCCCCATACGCACACTCGCTTTCATTCACAATAAAATGATAATGAATAAAATCGATTTCCATTCGGAGCATCTGCATAATCCGATTGCGTTGTTTCAATGCAGTTTTTTGGTCGATATTTTTTATTTATATTCAACCAAGCTGAGTAAATATTTACAATTCAAATGGTTCATGCGTGTAAATCTAAACGCCTGCCACCCATTCATATGAATTCCACGACGAATGTCGAATCAAACAGAAATTGAAATTCAAATTTGATTTCAATGCGCACGCGCGCCGCCGCGAAAAACAATGCCAGCGAAAGTCGACTTTTACACCGGTTCTTCAGCGACGTTTAACTTTTCCTTCTTCTCGAGACATCGGTCGGCGGAATGCCAAGCGCGTGTAATCGATCAATAGACAATCATCGAGCAAATTGGTCAAAGCAACGTCCAAACAAACCATTCATGTTGTGAAGTGCACTTGAGATCAGCAAACGTGTTTGCACTGCGCATGTACACAACTGTCAATTACTGAAATTCGCCAGTTTCACTGCGCTATTATCGCAGTTTCTCAAGCAATGAAAGTCCCAATCGCAATTCGCATTGATTCACGACGGCGACGAGTAAGGAAAGTCAATATTTTCCGAGCGCTAATTTCACTTCGAATTCGACGATCAAATTCATCCGGCTGTTTGTTCATCGTGAGTCACATGCGGTAATATTTGCGCTCGGCGGAAAGGGGTTCGTCCTTGCATGATTAAAAAAACGGAAGTGCGTAAAAACCGCAGGGAACGCACAATTTCACATGCGTTGTGTTCGCATTCGCATCGGATGCTTTACGTATCGTAAACTGGATTTAATGAACTTGCGTTACGTTTGTTTATCCTGCGTCCGACTTGTGAGTCACTCGCGTTGACGAAAGCAAAAGCAGCAAATCAATGCGCTAGTTAAATGCCTTTAATATGTGACTAATTTAAATATCCGCATGTCATTGAATAACAAGCCGTAATAAGCCAGCAATCAGGCAATGTGGTAACACACGAGCAGGTTGACGGCTCCGAAAGAAAACCCAGCCGAAATTAGTCCTGCTATTGCAAGATAATCAACCTTGATTACACAAATCACAACAATGCGCGCACGCAATTGTTAACCGAATTCAAGAGTTCGAAAACCCATTTGTGCGGTTGCGAACACACAACAACAAAAAAAAAACAGTGAATTTTTTTCGTTATTCAGACCAACAGGAAGCCGTTATTTAACAGGTCACTGCTAAACATTGTGCAAATTTATTTAACAACTAATTTCAGGCATCATAGGAGCAACAAACCACAAAATGAAAGTCAGAATTAAAAAAAATTGCGATTTGTGATTACGATAAATATTAAAACAACAATATGACGTCAATCATTATTCACAAATGTGTAAATTCGTACAATGCATAGTCAACAACTGCATTTTATCACTTTTCGGAACCTTATAAGACACAGAAAAGTCGTAATCGTCATGAATCACATTCGATTCCCACTAGAAATGTGAATCAACTCGAATATAATGATTAACAAATAAAAATCTCCGCATTAATTAATCCATTACGTTACATTTAAGATGTTAAACCGACAATGGCGAATTAGTAAGCGTAGGTGACGACGCTGCAGGTGAATAAAAGCGAGAAGCCAAGGATTAATTATATCGATGCAAGGTGTGATGTGAATTCGCGCTGATGTGAGTGGAACTACCGCGTTTATCTCTCGGCAGAACTTTCATTTCTCGCCGGAGTCACTTTTTGCCAACGACTGCGAACTTAATTAACTGTGCACATAAAAATACATATCGAAAATGCGCAAAAACACGCCGGCGATACCCGTATCAAGGCATGGTATTCACTTTCAGTCCTTTTTTAAAGCGTTGTCTTGTCATTTTCGGAGTTGAATTACACACGAATGTCGTAAGTCGTAATGCAATCCATGAATTCTATCGTAAACAAACAATGGAATGACAACCACATAGCTGGGTATTTTGTTATGCGCGTATTTATTGCATTCGCCTCCTTTTCACACTGTTTTGTGTTGTGTTTGAGCGCTGATTTTCGATCTCGTTCCCAAACATTTCTTCTTTCGTTTCTATTGTTGCTTGGGGCTTGATAATTAAAAATCACGCATTTCTATGATTACATAAAGTGCCAAAACAATTCCTCGGCGGTTCTTAATTAACCGGTCGGATTAAATAATAATAACGATGAAATGAATGAATGAATGAATCAAGTTTCTTTTCTTTCTTCTCCGAGGTTGAGAATTAATTAAAATGCATTGTGGTGGTTTTTCGGCGCGGCTCTCCCGCAATGTGGAACTATTGTTGCTCACGGGGCACTCGCAACTCGCTTCAAGAAGATCAATAACACTAAATGCGTTGGGTTTTATTTATAAATGCGGAGCGTCAGTGATTCCTCCGCGTTTGTATGGTTACGCTCCGTGAGGTCGACGAAACGCACACACACACACCGAGAAATTAGCCACGATTTTCTTTCACTCGTAAAATACTCAATTACACTACACGGCATTGTATTTAAAGTGTTTGTATTTGGGTGCGTATGGCACGTCAACAAATTCACGACTGTAATCGATAATTGCGGATATTTTGTGGTTGCTGGTTGGAATTACGTGAAATCGGACACATTTGACGGTGCAACGGTAATGCGCGGTTGCACGTACCTACCAACACTTGAACATTATTCTGATCAGCGTGTAACGAATCGGTAATTGAAAAATAACACGCATCATAACCGGCGCAGATCGCATAAATAAACAATCGCCGACGCCCCAAAAATAGGCCCCAATAACTTGCAGTTCATTACGTTTCGGGCTTTTTGTGTATACAAGCGCGCATATGAAGTAGAACATTCGAAACATACTCGATGCACATGTGCATGACTATATTTATAAACGAAGAAATTGACCAAAAAATAATCCAGTTGGAGAATACATCTCGAGATGTATTGATCGCAAGGAGGATCCATGCTGCCAAGGACAGTATGCGAATGCGAGAACAATCGACTCCCGAGGGTTCAAAAATGTCTCACACTGAAAGTGACAGTGTGGGCGAGGTGACCCAAATAAAGCCGGCACTAAAAACTGCATCAAGAGTGGCCGGTAATTTGCTATCGAAGAAAGGTTGAGTCGCGAGGACGTAAAAGGACAAGAAGGACGTAAACAAGCGAATAGCCTATTTTTACAGTGGAGGTGCGTTTATTTTACGCTGGACGGACGAAGGCAAGCGGCAATAACACCGTGGGCATGCATGAGCGCGACCGCGACCTTTTACAACATTTATTCGATGCTCCATATTCAGTTTTATATCCAACATACAGGATGTTCACATAAAACTCCATAATATTGCGACATGCACTACGTTTTTAATTGAAAGTGGAAGTCATGCATGATCTACGGGTTTATTTAATTAAAAGATCAGTTTTGTACCCTAGGAAATTTATGTAAACAACGCATAGTATGTTTGTATCATTGGTGCGTTTGTGAGAATACCATTCTGGTATTGATTTGTTTGGCCGCGCTGACCTTGGAGGTTGTACGAGCTGTTTTGCGACTTCTTTGCAACATTATCACCAAATATGTCGACGGGGCCATGGCATTCCAATGCAAAGTATATTTTTACTTCATCTTAATTTCAATCACCTAAAAGGTAATGGTGCAACCTGTGATAAGCGCGTTTGACCGAAGTCGAAGTCGACCCTTAGCGAAACAGGTAAAATCCAAAGTGCCACCGAAACGATAAAAATAGAATGCGTTCGAGTTGGTAAAATACGTTAAACATTCCGAGATATCCTTCTGCTAGTCTATAGGGCACTGGGTGAACCAGAATAGGTGCGCGAGTTTCAAAGTCAAGAGACAAATCGATATTTGGTGTTCAAAGGGCACACGCACAGCAAACACAAGTAAGCGCGCAGCGGGAGCCGAGAAAAAGGGTTTCGTCTGTCTTGAAGGTCATGAAATGCTTTTTCGTTGGTTGTGAGTTGATGTGAACGCGTCTTCTCTTCGCATCTTCCCGACGTGCGTGCGTCACGACGACGCATAAAAAATCTACCACGTGGAGTTTATACTACTCGCATACACCACACCAACAAGGGATGATAAAAAACAAACAATTAAATTTCAAATGAAACAATGAATGAAGAATGTTGCGAAGCGACAAAGATAAATCTGTCTATCTTGTACAAACGTCGGTTTCCGTTGTTTTACAAAATTGTAAATTTCAAGTCACTGAAAACGTGTTGGTAACTTCCTCTCTAAGTGCATTACTATTTGTGTATATTGTTATCTTGGACAAATATTCTTATCGCTGATGTTAATTTTAAATTAATTTTCAACGTACAAATTATTCAAAACTCGTGATAATGAATTCTATACTCACTTTTTGAAGGTGCTCTCATACTGCTTGATTTCCTTGCGTGTGAACTCGCAGAATTCGGTGTAGACGTTGACGATGCGATATTTGACGGTGACTTCTTCGCCGTTGTCCAGCGCGTCGTTGATCTCCTGCCGACGCATCAACACGGACGTCAACTCCGAGCTTCCAGACATGTTATTACGAAGAACGAAGATGGGGGCGAGATGTATGCGTGTGTGGATGGTATGAGCTCCACACGAGAGAAACAAGTTCGGGCGCAAGATGCGGGCGGGCACGTGTTCGCTGTTCGACTGTAAACAAGCTGACGAGACTCTTCGTGAGCAGCGAACCACCGCTGAGAACGACTTCGTGCGGTTGCGTTGCCGTTTGGCGCGCGACTGGCTCGGGAGCGCGGTTTTAAACACCGTGAACGCCGACTTATCGGTTGGCGCAGCCCGCCTTCACCGCCGTGACGAATGCGCATGGAACAGAAGGCATAAACATACACGATGGATGTGTTCACGAAAATTTTGAGGCGAAAATGCACTGCACGTTCAATTTTGACGGTGTCACATGTGAGTAATTAATGTATACACTTTATAAACAATCAAAAAATTGATTTCCCTGGCGTTCAACATCATCAAGATCATTTCCTAGAGAGAAATATTAATTTGACACGCTTATATCATTATTACGACGTGTAGTACTCGTGTTTCTTATCATAATTCATGTTTGTTTGTCGCATGATTAATTCTTTGCGGTATCTTGTTGATTAACAATTATCACCAGACAGCTCATTGCCTTAATGACAGTGACATTAGAAGTCACCAAAGTTTTGATCGAATTCATATTCTAAATATACTATCGGTTATTATCATGCAGATGATAGTAATCATGAATCTGATGAGTTTTGGTGGTGAGCAAGGAGTACCAGGAGACACACAACTTGGAAATTTTGATCCATTATGAATCATTCTGATGATAGGTTATTGGTTTGTAGGTTTAGCAGGAGCTCTCGTTTGTTTATCGTTGGATAAAGTTTAATGCTTTCCAAAAAGTATGTTATATAAACAGTGTGCTTGTTCACATATAAATTACAAAAAACGCTGCTGCGTATTACGCGTAAACATCAATATTTGCGTGTGCCGAATGCAAATTCAATTCGTATCAGTCACAAAATTAAAGGGAAAGCGCAATACTATGACTGGTAGGTGAAGGTGACACTTGATGATTGTTTAGGTATTACCATCAATCATATCACTAAATTGAATGAGGAATTTCATTATTTGCCAAATAACATTCACGTGCATGAAATAGTATTTGATACTTTAAAGTTTGATCAAACGATTGTTGATATAATATGTTGATATACCATGAAGTATGGCTCTATATAAATAAGGGAGTTATTTGTTATAATCGTACTTGTCACTGGTGATAAGATTCGGAGAACCACTCCAGTAGTGCCTACCATGCCGACGCATATTGCACCAGAGGCGGAACGTCAGGAAATACAGAGTTTCCACTGCGGAAAGAAATGAGAACCCGATGAAGAGTCCAAGCAATCCTCCACAGTTGGCGAGAAAATCTGTCAAACCGTAGAGTTCGTTGCGTGTGGAGGTGATAAACTGCATTTCTTTAAAGAAGATGGTAAGGCGTGTTATTTGTACTCTAGAAATTAAAAAAAAAAAAGATAAAAATTAGAAAATTGATGGTGAGATACTAGGTAAACATATAGGTACCCGGGAAATTCTGACACGTTCGATCTGAAGGCCTGGAAAACTGCGGGCCAGTTAAAATCGGCTTGCGACATTTCCGCGTTGTATGTGAGAGAGGTGCAAGCTGGTAGGCAATCGCATTCTATATTCGCCTGTGGAGTTGCAGAGTCGCCAGCGTTCTGTTTCTCTAAACCTGTGGTTACCTGCTTGGCGAGTAATTCACCTAGAATTATTTCAATTAATTAATTTTAACTAATCTTTTTATCTTTGGAGTAATACTTGCTTCTTGCTTCATGCATGCAAAATTGCTTCCCGCTTGCACAAATTGGTGTAGATTCGTCATCTGGGAAACAAAAAAAAATGCAAAAAAACACGCGTTGTTTATATGATTGCATACAAACGTACGTGGCATGTGATAAGCAACGCATCCACAATAATTGTATGTGAAATTTGTGAGGCACTCCACTTCACAGTTCTGTTGAGTGTAGTTCTGGTAGAATCTCAGTTCACGTTCAGTGGAAAAGTAGCACTTTCGTCTGTGCGGATCGTAATCCCGAAGACTGTCCGACGTGGTCATCATATCCGGTTTGACATTAACGATAACTTCTTGATTCAACGGCGCACGGAAATACTGCGTTGATACTCTGGGTACTTCACCAGGATGATGAAGTAGAATCTACAACAGCCTCTCAGATGATACTAGTCTAACTGTAGTTTGATTCTCAGCTTACCTTGAAACCCTGCACGGGGCCCTTACAGATATAATCCAGATCATAATCGAAGGCTCGTAGTAACATGGACATACCAGCACTCTGTCCCGAGGACATTGCGCGATTTGGGAATGTATCTTTACCTGCGTCCTTTGCATATCCATCTTCCAGAGTCCACCCGTGCCGATCAAAGTTGTGATGCAGAAATTCTTTGTTATGGTACACCTCATTGGTGAATATATCATCGCGATCCAACATGTTGAAGGTATAGCACACACCTTCTTCGGTCAGTACCGGTGTGAATAGCGTATCGCAGGTGTGATTATGATTAGTCCACATACAAGTCCAGAAAACCTGCGAAAACGGTGGGGCTATTTCGGCGAGAAAGTCAATGGTGCTGTAATCCGTGGTCTCATTGCCTTCTGTGTATAGGTGATTGTCGCAGACCAGGGATACCTTCTGGTATTGCTTCAATCTGAATAATATTGAGGAATATAATAAACAGTTGAATAATTTTCTTTTTAATTTACTCGTCCATGGTCAGGTTGAGGTCCAGTTGTCTGTTGTAACAATCTGTGAAATTGAATACAGATTGACGCGCTTTTGTCTCTGGGCAAATGGTCACTGCAGGAAACGGTATCTGCCATACTGGAGTTGGACTCTGCGCAAAACTCACAATGACTGGGCTACTGTCCCATTTGTGGTATGTTTTCAAAATCAAATCCACACAGACATATAAAGAGACGACAAAGACGATGAGCCACCATAATCTGCAAATATTAAAAGTTTATAAAAAAATATTTTAAAAACAATTTAGGTACCTACCGCTCAAAAATATTCCTCTTCGTTTCACCCAGGTATCTCACTCCATGCAAACTAGAATTTTCGGTGTATTCCGTAATATAGTTGCCTAAGTTCCTCACAAATCCCGGATATTTCTTGGTTGATTTCTTCTTTCGCTGTACTGGAAACGTGGTACCCTCCTCCATGTCTTTACAGTCTGTTTTATCACCGACATCCATCGTGATGTGTGCTTCCCGCCCTCTGAGTACGCAGAGTCTGACATTGGAACTCCATTATCCTGTTTCTTTTATAGTGTTGTTTCAACGTGTCCGCGACGACACACAAAGGGTTGGGTTTTAATTCCCAGAATGGTTTTTTAATAAATAACTGCGCGGTACAAACGGCAAGCCTTTTTGTTTTGATCAAACAGCAACAGAAATAAAACTAAACCCTGTGTGGTCGGCCCACCCGAGTTTACAAAATCCCGAAGGCATTCCACAACATATCATTACTATGTGAAGTAGATTATTTCTTCTATGCGATAGGCAAGTTTTTAATTAGAAGTTGATGAAAATTAATCCTGGGAATTATTAAAATGCTAATTTTACCATTAACGCGTTTTGCGCAACAATAAACATCATTTTTCTGTGTAAACAATATTTAACATTATTTGTTTATTAATTATTATCGCAAAAATTAATAACGGATTTAATTCTGTTGCTGACGAAAATATTGTTTATTATATCATACTATAGGCAACCCAACATGCTCAGTAGAAAGTTTATTCAAAGTTTCCAAAAATCAATTCAGATTTCGGAATCTAAGACGCCTGTACCGAAACAAAGATTTCAGTATCTATTGACTTTTTTTCATTATACAGTTTAACGCTGATCACATCGCACTCCACTCAATCGTACCTCCCGAATTCCGTGTATTTATTCCCTTATAAAACGCACCACACAAATCCGATCAATGAAAATTCAGACCTACCTTCATGTAAATCTATTTTTTTCAAAATTCCACAAAAAGATGGCTTACCCGATCATGTCTCGGGGCTTCGCCGATCAGTCCTCCGTTTTGGGTTACATGGTACGCTATGAGAATAAATTCTGGGGACAATCGTCGATACCAATATCTCCTGGTATGACGATTCAAACAAACACCGCAGTGTGGTACCGCTGTCGCGTAAGGCCACCGAGTGTCTCCGAGCACTGTTCTTCGTGCTCAAGTGGACCTTCCATCTTGGATTTGTCCCCTTCGTCATCTATTTGGGATGGACCAAGGGCCCTGATGAGGGAAGCCCACCTTTTAGTTTTACCAACTTTCTACTGTTCTATTAATCTACATAAAATTGAAGAGAAGCACTGCATGCAAATTATGCTAATAATTCCTGTCTGAGAAACGTCAAAATTGATGGTAAGTCTAATCGGAGAGGTATTTGATGTTTTTAATTATGGGAATCTTACTGTCTGATATCTGGATTAAATTAGATGTTATCAGTTATGATTTATTAGAATCAATTCATTTCAAAGGCTTAAAAAAATATGTTAAACTAAAAATACTCAAAACACTCATTCGATAATAACAAAAAATTATTGATAAACACTACCTACTTGATTTACCTAGGTGCTACTCGCCGAGCAACTCTTGAATTTCAATTAGACTCTTGCCCTTTGTTTCAGGTAGTACTACAATTAGAAACAGTACAGTCAGCGCACACAAGCCACTGAAAATCCAATATGTCGGCGCCGAACCGATGCCATCCTCCAGTAACGGAAACACGAATAAAATAACAAACGCCACAATGTTGTTGATCAGAATCGAAATGGTCGACATGACGTTCTTTGCGTTGTCAGGCAAGATCTCGCCGATAACCACATAGGTGACGGATCCCACACCAACGGCGAACGCCACAATGAATACCAAGATGGACGCCAATGGTAACCAAGCTAATGCACTCACATCATAGTCGTTACCCTTTAGGAAAAAGTAGGCACCCAATGCTGTGATACTGACAGTGACGAAGATCTGGCCAATTGTCAACAGAATCTTCCGGCCGAACAGATCGACAATATGTGGTATGACCAACATGACGACCAGTTGTAACAATGCCACGTACACTGAAGACATCTGTGGTGAGATTCCGGTGTCACTTTCGGTGAAGATGGTTTCCATGTAGGAGACGACCGGGTTGATAATCGACACTTGGATGGATACCATCAATGCAATGGCGATTATTAACGCCTTTCGGAGCGCACCCTGAGCAAACAGTTGCTTGTAATCCAATTGTTCTTGCTTCACTGCAATGCACTGCGAGATTTCCTGGAGCTCGTCTTTTAGTTGTTTATCGTCAGCGCCGGGTCGTAATCGAGCCAGTACAGCTTGCGCCCTTTCCATGTTACCTTTGTCTACGAAATGGAACGGACTCTCATCGACAAACAGACCGATGAGGATGAAGGCACTGCAGGGGAATACCAAGTTGATGTACTGGAAGTTCTCGAAGGATACACTAGGTCCCACTGCGTAGACATACACCTGTCCAGTAGCCAGGAAGATGGCGAAGAAACATCCGAGCGCACCACGTCGTTCCTTGCTGGCGATTTCCGCGACGTACACGGGTACCACCTGCATAATCGCACCCAGCGTAAGACCGTTGAATATACGCGCGAAGTAAAACGCAATCAGGTCTCCGGCAAGTGCAAACATCAAATAACCCAACATCGTTGGCACTAACATGATCATCAGCGAGATCTTTCGTCCCAGTTTTTTCACTATGACCATCGTAATTAAATTCCCAATCATGGCTCCGATGAAGATGAATGCTGTCAGCCATGATGATTCCGCCAGTGTGATTTTCTCAGGCAGTGGATTCACGTGTGGGTCCTTCGAGCCGTTTAGGTATGGAATTGATGGTGAGGCCCAGGAGAAGGTGAGCCCGGCAATGAAGGACATCAAGTTCACTAAAATTAAAAGCAAATCGTAAGCATTTTGGGTTTAACGGCGAATTTTATGGAGTCTCACATAAACAACATGTTATAGTAGCGGCGTTAGGCAACAATCGGCTAATACACGTTGTTTTATACATTGTGACATGCATGTGCGACTGACAAACTGGCCCATTTATACGACAACCAAATCGCAATTAGTGATTATTATCAATTTATCGCGGAATTTCATGTAACGCACGTTTTGCCGTAGAAGTGGCATTGTATTTGTTACGTATGTAAAAAAATTTTGGAAAAAAAAATGTGAAGCTTGTTAAAATTTGTGCTTGTTCTTATCAGTGCTTCTAAATATCACTTTCCACAGTTTCAAATACTGTACAATCTATAATAAAAAGATTTTTCACAGCTATATAATTATTTAACATATGTTATCATTTTAAATATTTTCGAAAAATAATTGACATAATTTAAAACTTTTTAATATTTTTCTTTCTACTTCCGCTTTTACTACGGTACTTTAAACACGGACGACCCAGACAATGTCTAAAGTACTTTATTCACGGGCTTTAGTCACGGGGTGGAGCTTGCGCCTGCGCATTTGTCTATGGTGCAGCACAAGAAGATTTGCGAAGATTTAAAATACAAAAGATCAAATAAAAAAAACCCCAAAGTGAAAATAGAAAAATAGAGTAAACATCACGTAGCTAAACGTTGTTAAACACTAGATTGACTAAACAGTTTCTTCGGTCACTCTTAATCAATCAAGTGACTAAAATTCCCGTTTAGCCCACTAGATACTTAATATACTAATACATGTTTTGGTTATGTACATAATCAAATATACGATTTACACGTGTTATAAAATTCAGTGTCAAAAACAAGCTGTCTAACGATGATATCAGAAATATCTCTTCTGGTATGCGCTCGCAAACAAATTATAAACAGATTATGAGATTTTGCGCACGCGGATTACCTCATACGACTCAAATTCATTATCAGCGCCGTAACATACGATCAATGACAATTGTTTAATGAGATTTACGCAAATCAAACAATGATAACATCGGAATACTATAGAGATAGTTTTGTTGATGCACATGGTAACTGATATCAAAGTTCAAGAACAATGCGAAGGATTAGGTGAGATTTCGGCCAAACTATGCGTTATCTAAACTATCCGGTAATCCATCTATAATTTTATCGGTCATACGTAATAACAATTTATCTAAAGTGCACTCCACATTTCAGTAAAAAATAGTCTGTTATTAATTGTTTACAAAAAAAAGCGGATTTCTACTTACAGGAAAACGCAGTGAAATAAATGTTGAAGAGTTTGATCCAATCCTCCAGCCTTGAGCTGTGCGCAATTGGAATTTTGATTGTCATTTTCAACTTGTTGATGAATCCAGTCACAGCATACGAATGTGTTAATGAGTGGTGAAAATTGAACGCATTACTCAGGTTCACATGCACACTGAAAATCCGAGATAACAGCAGACCTTTTATAAAATTTTCGGGGACATCCGTCAAGCGGCGGCGCTTGAGTTATACAAATACGGTAATCTTGCCTTCACCTCACACTAGACACTCATCTCCCACTATATGGAAATGTTGAAAAGTTTCAACAATTCGCAAACGAAATTAACACGATTAATTAAACATTTCTTGACGCGGATTGAAAATAAAGTTTCGTCTGGATCGGTAATCAATCACGCGGCCGGTACAAGTCGATTGGATGCTGGTAATATTGTTACTATTGCGTTCAACAATTTAATAAATATCTGTGACGTTTAATAATTGCTCCGGCACCAACATTTTTGCGTGTTTGAGTGGTTTTTTTTCTGTTTGCTTTGTGCCGGCGAACTGCTAAACACGAACTGAAAACCGCCGAAGGCCAAAAACCAACAAGGCAACAAGCTCATACACACTGCTTTCAAAACAGCCAATCGGCTTAAACCTAATTTATCATTTTTGCAGAACCGCTATTAATAATTATGCGTATTGAAATGATTGATTGAAATAGACACGGGGAGTTTATTGACTTCATATCACAAACTTTACATTTGCAAAAATATTTCGTAGATATTGCGTTTAAAATTTGCGTTTTCATACACTTTTGCAATTACATAACAAATCATAACAAATATGAAACAACCGTACAACTGCGAAGCAATTACAGTTAATATATTTTTAAGTGGATAGCAATTGTCGAACAAAATTGATACTTATTTCAAAGCGATTTAAAGCGCAACATGTGTATCAGGAAGAATTTTTGGTACGTTCGTTGTTAGTCACCATGTACGAGTAATTAAATAGGCATTACACACGTATGTATGTTATCTTTTTATTATTTGTAGGAATTTTGTGTTTAATTTTGAACAATGTAATAATCGTATTTGTTTCGCAAATATGTAACTCAGTGAAATGGAACTTTTGTCAACATCAATTTAAATCAGGATATGTTCCTCCTTGATGGTTTTAGAGCTGGAAGATGATGAATTTGAAGAAGTTGAAGAACTTGAAGAAGAAGTAGACGTGTGTTGGGCGTGAGCAGTTTCAACATTCCCGTCACCTAAATGTTTTGCGAATGATGTCTTGCTGGATTGACTAGTTTCATTCGTATGGCTAGATTTACTTGAAGATGATTCCACATGTTCAGTTTTAGTATGAAGCAGCTTGGTATTAACCAATGGTACTGCTGCTTCTTTGTCAAAATTTAAATTTTCAAACTTCACACTTTGAATTTCGTGCTTATTTCCATCTGTTATCAAAAATTTCTTCAAAACCGACTCAGAATTATCAGCTGTATTTTCAGAAATTTCAATTGAAGCGCTATTTTCTTCAATATTACTCCGACGTGGTCCAAAATCATCATACGCAATACCATATGTTGAAGAAGACAACCCGTCTTCATGTTCTTCGGAATCGCTGATTTCGTGTTCGTGAGTTGCAACAATTTCATCATCATCATCACTCCGGAACAAATGACCCGACTGTAGCACGTGATAAAGATTACCGCCAACCTGATGTGAATGATGTGAATCAGCGGTGTCAAAATAAGCTTGAGTTTGGCTTGGTTGTAGCGATGTGAATCCGTGTTCATGGTCTCCATAAACATATTCAGTTTCGTACGGATTCAAATGATCATTGTAGTGTGAGTCTCCTCTATCTAAAATAATGACGTGGTGGCGGTTGCGTTCAAGATCGTGCGCATGGGTTTGATCGTAATTATGAGAGAATGACGACGCTGAACTTGAACTTGAGGTTGTTTTTGAAGCAGAAGTAGATGTACCTGATGTTGATGATGAAGATGCTACAGCAGAGCCTGATCCTGTAAGACCATCGTATCCACTAGCTGCTTGTACCTGCGCACCTTCTCCTACTGCTATGGCACCTGCGTAACCATGTCCATAAGTTGGTCCTTGTACAACTTTAGAAAATGATAGTCCTGAACCATCTAAGTTGGAGTAGGTAGTTTCACTGGTTTCAGTATTGTGTAGGGGTTGTACTTCAGTAAAACTATGAGCAGATCCATCAAAGGCTGTTGATGTTGCAGTTGCCAAATTACCTCCGAAACCATGTCCATGGGTTTCTTCTTGTGCAACTTTAGAAAAAGTCACTCCTGATCCATCTAAGTTGGAATAAATAGTTTCACTGGTTCCAGTATTGTGAAGAGGTTGTACTTCAACAAAACTATGAGCAGATCCATCAGAAGCAGTTGATGTTGCAGTTGCAGTTGCAAAATTACCACCGTTTACTACATGCACCTGAGATATTTCTGCATCATTGTCCTTATTATTAAAAGAAGCAGTTTTTGTTAAGTCCATTTCGGGGCCATAAAGAAATGGATTGGCGGGGTTTAAATGAATTTTTGTTGGTATAGTGTTACCCATCGTTGAAGATACAGCAGAAGCAGCAGTAGATGTTCCCGAAATCGATGTTGCAGTTGATGCTTGTAGATGTGTGTTATCTCCATGCTGCATATTTGATTCCAAGATTGTCATTTCCTTCATACTCACAGAAGGTTGTTTCAATTCCATTGCAGGACCAAACAAAAAAACATTTGAAGGATTCAATGTAATTTTAACGGGTTTAGGTGTTGGTGATGTGGTCATCGATACGTGTGATGTTGAATGACTACCCGCGTTTGATGAACTTGCTGAACTAACGGCTGACATGTTTTCAGATGACGTGGAGTCTAAATTCAATGTTGAAGTTGTTTCGGAATCTTTATGATGCATACTTGCTTTCTTCAAGTCTACTTCTGGACTGTACAGAAACACATTCGACGGGTTTAAATTGACTTTGACTGGTGGTACTGGTATATTAACTGATGATGTTGAAGTACTTCCAAAAGATCCAACTGATGAAGATGCAGAAGATGTTGAAGTTGATGTTGAAGCAGATGAAGATGCTGATGTTCCCACATTATCCAAGTCCATGGCGGATCCATATAAGAAGACATTCGACGGATTCAAACTGATTTTTGTTGTTTTTAACGCGGTGTTACCTTTATGGGCATTGCCCACATGTTGAGGCAACAAAGACGTATCCGGGAATACATTTAATGGATGCAAACTAATTTTAACCGGGAGTACATTAGATCCTGCTTCAGAAGAATGCACATTTACTGTAGATGCAGAAGAAGTGGATGCTGATGATGCAGATGCAGACGCAGATGCTGAAGAAGTAAACCCTTCAGAGTTTTCAATATTTGACACAGAATCTGTTAATTTTTGAAGATGCAGCGTAGGACGCCAAACAAATGAAGTTGGATGAAGTATAATCTTCTCTAAAACTTCATGTGGTTCAAACAAAGTTGATGCAGACGAGGACGCTGCAGCTGAGTGCGCCGAAGCAGATGAAGACGAAGCGGATGCAGATGCAGTTGACGAAGTTGCAAAAGATGACGAAGCTACGTTTTTATGAAACGCAGGGACAGGAATACTGTCAAAGATGCTCACATGTTGTATTTCTAAAAATAAAAACATAATAACGTTGATAGTTATATTGAATTTCGCAAACAAACAAATTAAGCAAACAAACTTTCAAATATTTGACTTATACTTTCATGCATTAACAATTTGACGGTAGAAACATGCATTACATCTATTTAAATATTTTTTTAAAATAATATTTATTGACTTTTTTCATTGTCAACACAATATGAGACTTACTTTTGTGAGGAAACGCATTTGAAAAAGTGCTCGTGACAAGGACGATCGCAATGCCAACAAAATACCACATTTTGAAAACACTTTAGTACTTCACTTGTTCTTTGTTGAGTTACAAGAAAATAATGAATTTGAAGGAGAAAAACCTACGTTTATATATACGTTTCATCCCCTCAAAAGTTTGCGCATTTCGTTTTGTTATCAGACGTCAACGCATTATGGTTGCATTCCAAGAAATCACTAAATGACTAATCCTCTGAGGGTTTCTTGTGACTGACGGTCACCTAATGAGATTGCTACCTGGTAAAAGTCACGTTAGATAAGCAAAAAAAAAAACGATTAAGTACTAAACTGTCTTTGGCGAATGATTGACGTGGTTGGAAATTTGGGCATTTACGATAACAGGTAGTAATAGGTAACTACCTGAGCATTTTTATTTTAAAATAAAATCAAGTTTATATTGTGATTCATTGCAAATTTCCATGTTTGAGTAATTACGATTGCTTACACCTAAAAAATCATTAAATGTGATTAATTTCGAGTTGAAAGTTTGGGCGGAAGCATTAAATTAAATAATTCCTCAGCTAAATTGTAAAATATTATTTACTAGTATTAACGGATTAAAAAACAAAGCAAAAACATAAAATATAAATATATGATAGTGTATTAAATATCAAGTGGTTCATCGAGTGTGTTTAATAACGTTTAGCCACGAATTCATATGTATAATTTGTTGCATAATTCTTGTTGTGTCTGCATACGTTTTTAAACAAAAGGAATCAATAATGTGTGTATTAAATAAAAATTAATAGAAAATTAAGTAATCGGCACTTATCATCAAGACAATAACAATGAGCATTTTATGGTGTTTATTATTTTACAAAACAACCTGATCAGATAATATTAATTGTGAATGTTATCATTTTATCTAAGTAATTACTACATTTTAAATTGATTATACTATTTGAAAACAACACTTGCATAAACTGCAAATTGCTGATATAACAATATTAGATAATACACGCAGACCTATTTAAATTGCAGAATATACAACACATACAATAAATAATTGCATATCATGCTGCAACAAATGCATTGCTTGCGATTTTCGGCGCCATGTGTCTTCAGCAACACGCAGTATATTGTTTACGTTGTGTCCACACATCGGACTTGTAAATAAACACGTTCGACTTTCTTCTGCTATTACTTTCTCCCGGTATGTCGATCGGGCTGCGTATTTTGGCCCACAGACGAATTTAATTGTCGAGAAAGCGAGGCTTATGCCGGCAGCAGTATAAAACACAAGTGTGCAAGTCGATGGTATGTTATCGAACACAAGCGGCGAGACGATCTAGTGTGCGCCTGGCGACAGAGAAGTGATAATCGCGGGATTCAAAGATCGACTCATCAAAATACATCGATAATGCCGCCGTCTGAACGCGTTCAGGGCCAGAATACCAAAGTGAAGTTTCCGTATGATATCAATTTGGTTGATAAAGAGACCACGGATAAGTTATTGCAGGACTTTACAGGTATTTTTGTTTTTTGTGTTTTTTTACCATCAAACCAGTTTGGTTTTAAAAGCGAATAACTATGATTTAACAGTAGTTAAAGAAACAACGAGTTATTAATAGTGAACAATGATTATAAAATCATAGTAACTCGATTTTTTATTGCCAATAACAATCAAGTTGGTAATAAAAAGTTCAATATTTATTAATAGAACATGTATCTTTAGGAGAACGCACGGGATTCGTGCAAGTGGGCCCTAAAAAATATTTCTTTCCTTATAAATATTTACACGACGCCGAAAGTATCTACAACTTTCCGGTGCGCCAAGACGACGTGTTCATTGTGACATTTCCGCGCTCAGGTAAAACTTGACCCGCGCACGAAACAAACCGTTTAACGCTTGAATCATGATTTTTCAGGTACGACATGGACGCAGGAAATGGTCTGGCTGCTCTGCAATCAGCTCGATTTTGAGGGAGCCGCCCGCGTTCCACTTTTACAGCGCGTGCCATTTTTCGAGTACAGCCTATTCGTGCACAAGAACATCAAAGCCGAGCTGCTGGAACGCAACGCGGGCGACGATGGCAAGCTACGTGTGGTGCAGGACATGGATTTGCCAATGTGGGACGAGCTGCAGAAGGTTAAAGGTCGCCGGTATATCAAGACCCACATGCCGTTCAGTTTGCTGCCGCCGAATTTATTAACTTCCGGTTGCAAGGTAATATAAACACGAACGCTGTTCGCACACGAAATTGGCCACGCGCACGACATTTATTTAAAATTGTGCCGGGCGGGGCCAAAAATGCTTCAACTTTGATTCAAACTGCAGATTATTTACGTCGCACGCAATCCGAAAGACGTGTCCGTTTCATTCTACCACCTCAATCGCTTGATGCTGACCCAAGGGTACAACAAAGACTGGCGTACATATTGGGAATATTTCTCGAAAAATTTACGTATGTTAAATACTAGAAACTGTAAAAAAATATCATTTAAGCAAGTATTTTACTCCTAACAGAACCATGGACGCCATATTGGGAACACATCAAGGAAGGGTACGAACAACGTAATAATCCTAATGTTATGTTCATGTTCTACGAGGAAATGACGAAAAATGTACCGGCGGTGTTAAACAAACTCTCATCGTTTCTGGACGTTCAGGTTGACCCTGATCAAATGGAAAAACTTGTCGATCACTTAAGTATTAAAAACTTTCGCAATAACAAGTCGGTTAACTTTGATTTGCTGGGTCAAGTAGGAGTTTGCATCAATGGCGAGGAAGGTTTTATCAGAAAAGGCAAAGTTGGAAACTCTAGCGATTTCGATGAGGAATTGAGCAAAAAGTACGAAGAATGGTTGGAATACAATCGGAAAAATGTTATCGATCTTACTTTTCCCTTGTAGTCAAAGTGCAAGTTATTTATTTATAGGTTAATCATTAAATCATGCAGTGTAAGTTAGTTCTAAGTTTCTGCTCGATATCTTTTGAATTTTAATCAATAATATTTATTAATTATGCACTTTTGATAAGTTTCCTTTATAAACTTTGCCGAAATTCCTTTCTTTAACGTTTTAACAATCAATTCAACCGCAAAACTTTGCAGTTTTGCTTCTAAATCGTAGTTTTGTGTAAAACAAAAGAATGGAATGAGAACTACGGTAGGAATAAAGTGAAATGTGATCGTATTCTTTATAGTTTTAATGGAATCGTATTGTACTCTTTGCACTTACATAAGACACTTTATAGAACTTGATTTTTAAAATCTCTGCATTGATTTGTTTAGAATTTGATGCTTTATCTACACACTTAACTTAATATAATTGCATATTCGTGTCACTTTTATATAAAAATATAAATTTCTTTAAAATTTTCAAATACAATCTGATTTCTCCTTCGCCAACTTTTTTCTATAATTATAAATATAAAGCACTTCCGTATTGCTCCACGCCATTATTCATATAAAGCTCTCAGCTGCTCAGTATTTTTCTTTTTCTAAATCTAAATTCTTAATCTGCGATAAACATTCAGAAACGTTCACTCGTTGCATAAATACTGTATGTATAATCCACGCGTTCCCAGGCTAATACTATGCGTTTGCACTACGTTCTACATTTTCTCGGTGATCTTGAACATTTGCCACCAACAGTAAAATGATTCTGGTAACAATGTCAATAAAATTTCAAAGTTGCGTGCCGCCACGTACACCTCGGAAGACGCTAGAGTAGAAACTATTGCAACATTTTTTATTATTCGTGGCAAAAACATGGCAAGAACATTTTTATTCATTCCGGTGAATTTCATCTAGACTTGTGCGCGATCATCTACTGATCATAATGCGCTCGTACTCCTCGTCGTCGTCGATGATACCGAGCGCTTCCAGCTCACGGAAACACGTCGGGATGTAGTTGGGATCCGGATATCCGGCATCGTTCGTTGTTGGTCCGAATTCGGTTTTGTGCGGCACGTTCCATGCGACGACGTCCTCACAACCGGTTGTATGTGACCGCGAGACGGTGAAAATCAGCCGACGATGCCAGGCGATCTGCAGGAGTTTGAGCAACTTGCGCCCATGCGGCGAATCCGGGATATATGCAGTGCGAGGAAAACCCACAGCGTAATATTCTCGACCGGGATTTGGATGCTCATCACCCTGGATTCCACTTTGAATACTATTAAACAAACAAAAATTTCAAAAATCAAAAACAGCAGTTAATATAAAACTAGTTTACATACTTGTAACGAATCTGTATAGTCCGAAAATTTTGATAACCGGGCAGGCTACGATCCTGTATGCACCAATCCATCGACCCCGCCGGTTGATTACCATGCTTCTCCCCAAACACACAACCACACACATTACACTGAATGTGCATATGCGATCCCAGCTGCTGTTGTTCAGTGAGCGAATAGTTCAGGCAATCCAAGTGCAAGACATGATTGCATGGCAGCGCCACCACAATCGTCGAAGCTTTCAACGGCAGGCGGCATGATGGACACGGCTGGCGAGGCGCCCACTCTGACGAGTTCGAAACGCGCACATATTTCGAAATAATCGAACTGGCATCATCAATTCCTGCGCAAATTGAATTATACAAATGTTACAACTGTGATTTGTATTTATGAGGGTGCTGATTCACTTACCGACGATATCGGAGCAGTGCCGATCCTCGCTCGTGCCATTATCCGGCACGCAGGTAAGCAAATCTGCAGTGGAGACAGTCGCTTGGCTTTCACGACTCTCCTGGCTTAAATACGTCGAGACTGTGTCCAGGGAAGGACGTCGCCCTGACTTGATACTAGAACTATCGACGTCCAACACGTATGCACCTGCATCTTTACGCTTCGTGTTTTGATTCTGCAGCTGCGTTGGATTATTATTACTGTTGCTGCTTGATTTGTGACCTACGCACGGATTAAATAATTCATTGAACATCGATATTGATCGACAGGTATAAAGCGCGTTGAAAGTTGTTTTACTCACCAAAAATATTCAAGTTGTGTAGAATGGCTTTCGCTAAATTGATGCTATCGTTGTTCTTCCCTTTGGATCCCGACTTTTTCTTGTTTGGAGCAGCAGCGCCATTCGTCGCGGCGTTCTTTTTCTCCGATGTGTTCGTTGGCGCCACATTATTATTGTTATTATGCTGATTCTTGCCACCGGAAGGATTGCCACCACAATTCGAGAGATTCCTCGTCGACTTCCTCACCTCGGCGGTGCGACGGCCTAATTGGCGCAATTTGCGAAATTTAAACAGATCCATTAGACACACACGGAAAGCGAATGCTGCGCGCAACAAGCTATGTACAATGATGCAAATGATGCAACGCCGGCGCGGATCACAGTCCGCAGCTGGTTTTACACATCAAAGTGCATTTTCAAGAGGCAAACAACAAGATGCGAGCCGCTCGTAAAATGTAAACCGCTCCACGACACGTCCGCGTCGTGTTTGCGTTTGGCCCGCGCTTCAGTGGTGCTTTGCGCGTCTTGGCAACGCGCCAGCGAGCGCGATTTCGATACAAACACGATACGGTCGAAGGCGAGACCACGGAGCGACCGAAGGATTTGATTTATGAAATGAATTGGTGCGCCGCGCGTTCCGCCGACATTAGCATTACTACTCCGCGCCCGCAAAAAATCAATAATCAACGATTATTTTCTTACCGCAGCCAGGAGGAGACGAGGCACGTCTCCCCTATATTAATAAATTACATTGCCGGCGTAAGCGAAGGCCCTATTAGCATAAGTAATCGAGCTAATTAATTGGCCTGGCGATAAGTTGATTGCAATGAAAACAAAAGCGGAAAATTAAATTGAAACAAAACATCCATAATGTTTGACATGCAATGGAAATAATTACGATTTGCATCATGCATTAGTTTAAATAAACAAAAATAAAGTTTTACCAATAACTGTAGACATTTCCTCCAGTCTGACTTTAATCAAAGGATATGGAGCCTGTTTAATTCTTCTCACATTCCTTACATAGCCATTTGTTAGCCACTTTTGTGTCAGATTACTAAAGTTGATGATGTAGGGAAATCCAAGGTGTGTTTTACTCATATCAATAGTTAAATCTCCCTGAAATTAAATTTACAGTAAACAAAGATGATTATTAACAATGATAAACTTACTCTAGCCCAAGCTTCTTCAATCAAGCACTGAATATCCATATCAAATGCATGCCATTCATTGCTGCAGTCTGTACTGGCCACTTCCCACTTAGCACCCTTACCAGCAGGAGATGTTTGGGGGTAGCATCTTCTCCTGACCTTCACTACAATATCTAATAAGAAAAACATTTTTATTAGATGTTTATTTGAAAAAAAGTAAAAAAAATTACCGGAGTCTTCCAGCTCCTGCATAAGCGTACGCAAGTTAACATAGTAGTTGAGTAGCTGGGGGTCGGCGTCAGAGAGCAGCACCCTGGTGAGCTGTTTAACATTCGCACGTTCCAGATGCTGTGTGACCGCCGGACTGTACGGCTTCCAGTAGTTGGCGCGATGCTCGTACTCCCACACGACGACCGCATGCCCGGACATCCTGGTGCGGCTAGATATCGCTCGCACTTTTACCAGACACCAGCAACGGCCGTCCGTGCCTAACCCATCGTCGGCGGCGGTGGCACTCGGCGAATGCTGCGCGCGATGAGGATCACGCCGAGATTGGACGCGCGCACGCCCCCGCAACGCGCGAAAACCACACGATCGCTGCCCGCCGCACACTTAATTGGCATTTGTTGATTGTTTTCCCACGCTGGGTCAGCACGGATTGATGCGTTTGTTGCTTCTTGTTGATTGTTGACGTTTGACACACATCGAACACGGTGTTTTGGAAATCAAACCGTACACGCAGCGACATCTAGCGCCCCTTTAGCGAACTAAAAATATAAGAATTTAAACTGAATTGATATAAAATCGTCCAATTGGACTATGACTAGTCAGTCGTGAAACAAATTCTAAATAAGAAATTGGTTGCTATGAAAACATTCTATATATTCTTGTGAAGGTCTGAAAATAGCTTCCACCAATCAGAACTACTTGAACCTGCGTTCTACGCTTAATAAGTTTCAGAGTGCGCACTTCATCGAAATGAAATAGATACAACTCTTGTAAGTGCAATACGCGTTGGGTTAGCGGAATAGTGCGTGTGCAATTTGATAATCTGCGGACGCTAAAAAAAACCCACGCACTAGCAATAAATACCCGGCACGAGCAATGTGTCCACGAAGGTAACCGACGTCCCGATTTATAAACGCGCGACCGTTTCGCGCACGTTTGTTTCAGAGTTTGGCCAGCGACAGCGAGCGCGCAACTATTGATTAGAAACGCACCAGAGTCGCCGCGCAACACAACTTTTCCCAGAGAGCGGTGCAAACAGGTGATCCTCCCAGCCACAGAACAGACACGCATACAGTCGGTTAGAAACTATCCTCTCAACTGAAAACAATGGCACTAAATGGCACATCACACCCGCTGAAAGCAGCCGAAACGGTCAAGTTTGACGATTTGGGTAAGAATTTCTTCATTTCTACGAAATAATATTCTAAGTTCTTGAGACATATGGAGTTTGGCTGAGTAAAGTTTGCAATATCGACGTGTATATTTCTTTCGCGTTGATGATTCCCCCCCTTTAATTCAAATTATTCAAATGTTCGCGATTTGTATGGAAAAAAAGTAGATAAAAGTAATAATTAGAACTGCATCGTTATCTAAATTGGTGCAATAAACGATTCACGCGAAACCGGCGATAAATACTTTAAATTTAGAACGTTTTAAAGTTTTACAAGCTAGCGTAAACACCGTACGTACGTGTCATAAATGCTAGAGTGATTTATTGCCCCCGAATGATGATTTTTACAACGTTTAGTAATTCAACAGTAAACATGTACATTTTGTTTGATTTCAGACGTTATCGTGCAAACATTGCTGCGCAAAGCGACAGATGCGCGTGAATTAGCGTATGCGCCGTACAGTAACTTCAAAGTGGGCGCTGCCGTGGAGCTGGAGGACGGCAGCACGGTAACAGGCTGCAATATTGAAAATGCATCCTTCACCGTGGGCACTTGCGCCGAACGCTGCGCGCTTTTCAAAGCAATCAGCGAGGGCAAGAAACGATACCGGCGCATCGCAGTCGTGGCGTATCAAGAGCGGGGAATCACATCGCCGTGCGGCGCCTGCAGGCAGTTAATGAACGAATTCGGTGATTTCGAAGTATATCTAAGCAAGCCGGATTTACGTGAGGTGGTGCGCACCTCAGTGCACGGTTTGTTGCCGCTCGGCTTCCATGTTAACGCCGACTACACCTTCTAGCGCGCATTTAGCGCATTCACACTTTTACAGATGTATTTAAGCATGAAATAAACGTCATTCAGTGAGCCGATAACCGTCTATGAGCCGCCATGTTAACTCCAGCTGTAATAACACTTGTACATTATTTTTATTGAACGTGTAACGCAACATAACAATGAATATACTCGCATCGACGCTCGGTGCATCGACGCTAGCTATCTACATGTAATAATCGTATCTATCTTCATAGCACACTAACACGAAATACTTATTTTGCATGCTCCACGCCATCACCATCTGTTGAATATCGTCGTACATCGAATTCGTCATACATACCCAACCTTGTGATCATATTGTTTACGGTGTATTGAATATTGTGTATGTACATGGAGACGAAATAATGCGTGCGCGTCGCGCACCTACCTTCGGAATGTTCTTATATGTACATTAAATTTAGATTAAGACGAATTAAAAGTGCGGTGAATATTGATTAAAACCGATAGCGAGTAGTTTAGGCGCGGCCCGAAATCACCGCGCTGCCGGGCTTTGCATCGCCCTGCTCTTTTTCCAACTGACGGCCGAGGTACTCCCAGTTGTGAACCATCAACTTCTGCACAGCGAGGAGAGCTTCGTAGCGTACGTTAGGGTCATCGTGGGCCAACAACTGCATTACCAACTGCTTACCGCCGAGCTGCTCGATTACACTAGAAAGTAATAAAATTAATCCACCATTTTTAGTTTTAAAAAGTAATTAATATAGTTACTGTTTGCCACGCGGATAATGACGAACGTATTCGCCGATATCGAAGCTAGCGACGCTGAGCACAAGCGGATCTTGGCTGGTCTCCAAGTAACGAATAAGGATGCGCAGAAGTTCGTAGTTCTTCTCATTCAGACGCTGCGCATTCTCGCGCCAGAACTTGCTCTTGTGCACTGGCGACCACTCCAGTCGACCAGACTTCACTTCAGTGGCATACTCATCGAACGAGCTGAGATCTTGCACGGACGACTGCAGTTTCTCAGTGAGGAATTGCACATCGGCGGAGATATCCTCGTCATCGTACTTGCGCTGCTCGAAAATCGCCAGCTGCTTCAACACCTTGCATTGCACCATGGCAATGCAGTGCTCCTTGGCCACCTGCGCGTCCTCCGGCTTCTCGATGAGGTTGCGGTACACGGCGAGAATAATACGCGTAACCTTCTCCTTGACAGAATCGCTGAGGATATCAGCGAGGATAATAATCACATTGAATTTGTTCATCTTCTCGGCGAGCAGCGGGTTGAAGGTGAGCACCCAGATGCAGAAGATGAGTTGGTATTGCACCTGGAAGTTGACGCGTCCAGTGAGCACCGAGAGCAACGTCGAGATGCCATCAACGGAGACGAACGCGAAGCGGTACTCGTCAATGCGCAGCATCATCTGAAGACAACGCGCCACCGACTGGATGTGCTCATTGTTCTAAAACACACAATTACAGATTAATTTCGATGGCTCAGCGGGCAATGGGAGCGAATGAGATGTCGAAGGTAACCAGATAACAACGTGCGGTTAATACAAATGAGTGTGAGTGAAGGTACTCCCTGTGAGAGACCGACCGATAACTCGCTGCCACGCTGCTCGTCGATGCTGAACGACACCTCCATGTAAGTCTCGGTGGGCTCGCCCTTGCTGGGATCGCGAAGGCGCGCGTTCGACATGAGCGCATCGTACTAGATATTAAATAGGAGCAGGCGAGGGAATACGGGAGGTGTAAATGAGAAAAGAAAAACAACACCGGCCAATTAATAAACTGCATGCAAACTCAATAATACGTCCTAGCCACAACCTAAAAGGCAAGGTGTTAATCTCTTGTTAATTCCTTGCGATAGTCCATGGGATGGATACCCGGTTAGTTACACGATTCGTTCGTTAAAAGTCCCTTTGCACTAAACACCGCTAGATTTTGCAGTGATCGATTCGTAAACTGTCTAATAATTAATTTCAACATGCATGAAATCTTAAAATTGTAGAATTGATGAATTAATAACTTGACATGCATTAATTTGTCTACAAATCTCACACTGCAGACACAAATATTGAATGATAAATGAAATGAAGAAAAAAGCAACGAACACAAACAAATGCAAAACCCATTGCAGCTCCACGCCAGTTAGCTACCTGCACTTTGAGCTGGTCCTTCAACCAGGTGAGGTAGAAGTGTAGATCGCTGCGCTCCATCTGATTCTGCGCCCAACACGCGATCTTCGCGATAATACGCGAGGTCATGTTGGTAATGAACTCGTCGGGGCGGTTCAGCAAGTTGAGGAATGGTCCCCAGACGCTCTCCTTTGTCTTCGCGGCGTATTCATGGAAAATCTCCACGCGTGTCCTATCCTCCTGGATCATATCATCCACCAGCACAAGAATATATTGCAGAGTCTGATCCTTGCTGATATGACCAAGCAGATTCAGGAAAGTTTTCGCGCATTGCAGTCGGTTGGCTTTCAACAATTCCTCGCGCTTCTGACTGTCGGTCGTGTCAAAATTGCAGATAAAGTTGTAATCCTCCTGGGAGATCATCTGCGATCTAAAAAACGAGCGTGATTGTTAAATTTGACGCTGTAATCAACATTCAGCAATGATTTCTGTGACATACTGCATGTAGGATTGCCAGTTGACAGTCTGTGCGCGAACGTCGGTGGCTTTCTGTTGGAGCACGCTGGTGGCGGCCAACATATCTGCAAGCAATCACAATATTTAAATAAATATCATTAATTTTACTGGGAATGCAAAGACATATTTATTTTCAAACGTCACGTGATTGACGCGCCCGTTTTGGATTACAAGCGCGTTTGTTTATTGTACCATCATCCAATATTTTAAATTAGTTTTCTAGTGTGCAAATAATCTGAGGGAGCTTCACAGTGAACAAAGTAAGTCACCCTCAGAGCCCTGGAGTTAAGTTATGTGCGATTTTGGAAATGTGTTGAGCGTAAAACGTACCGATTTTATCATCGTCCAAGGAGGTCATCATCTCCTTGAGTTTCGGATCCGTCGGTAGATTGCTCATCTTGGCGTCGGTTTATTGCACTTTCACAGAGGTAGATTGAACGTCGATGCGCACCCGAATTATTGCACGATTTCAGCAGCTGCGGAAAAGACGAGAAGGCGATCGAGTATGCGGCCCCAGTCAGTGTGATCAGCTGACACACAGGTCTTGTGATTTCGGAGGCGTACAAATGAAACAAACCACAATCGAACGCTGCAGAGAGGGGATTGACATTTGCTAGAAAACGTTCATGCGCTGCATCGTCAAACAAAACATACTTATTTAAAACTGGATAAAAAAGAACTATGAATTAGTGTATCTATGATAAAATAATAACATTTAATAGAAATATAAAATAAGAGTGATAAACAAAGGCATAACACGTAAGTTACCCATGAATGTTTTATTAATAACTCATAAGAGGGCGCCACTAACAGCCTGAACGAAACTCGCTCGACAATTTACCAAAAAAATATAAATAAAATATCTCACAAATTGATTTATTTTATTAAACATAACATAGTTAACAACAAACATAAATCCTGAGTTTAATGTACTAACTCAAATAACTTAATGGGCATTTCATCTAAGTACACTTAATGGGCATTAATGCGGAAATCTAAACCTTGTATATTGCCTATGAGCAGACTTTTCCAGCTTATTACAGCATACGTTCATCACAATAACGCGATTTTCTTCCAAACTCAAGTCATAATGTTCCTCAGAGATCCCAGGTTGTTCATCCAATAAATCTAGTAGATCTTGTGATGTTTCTGGTGTACAACCATCCTGATACTGCTGGTGTAAACTATGTACTGCCTCCCAGATATTCAAAGGCCTAAGATCATGGCGCCGCCTCTCCTCCAGAAAAGTCCTGAAGGTTTTTCTTTCATCCTCATTAGAAAGAATGTCTGCCATGCGAGACATAAATCTACTCTCACTGGTGAACATCTTGTAACTTTGGTATTTGCTGATTTGGTGATGTACTTAAAATACAGACAACTGGAACAGGTTGTTGCATTGTTTATATAATAATATGTGCAATAATAAATTACTCAATGGCTATCAAGAGGTATTTACCAGGTCTGAATGCATAAGAATTGGTGAATCACATTGAAGATAGGCACACTGTGTCTACAATTTGATGTTCTTCCAGGTACTGAGAACATATTAGGATATTTTCGTGGCTGCGCATCGCTACGCAATTTATATTAGCATCTTCGTGTATGAACCAACGATGATTTATGCACAATATTTTTCATTGTTTATCCTCAGGTGAAGGTGAAGATAACCAGACACCGGAATTGTTTGGTTAGGCAACTTCATAAACACGAATTCTCCTTTCACCCAACTCTATGTACCTATGTAGTTGGTTGTTTAGTTCACGCGCTTTTGTTGTGTGTTGGCTCGAATCTGAGGTTTACGTCGGTAAATCACGCTAAATTTAGATTTAAACTCGTTGGTATTTAGTAGTAATATAAATGCTTGGTATTTTGATATTGATTTGTCGCCGGTGGAAGCTTCGCAATGATGAATTCACGAAGTATAGATAAGTATAGTATCTTATCTACTCGTATACTTCGTGGATGAATTAGTGCATTTTTACCCGTGCGTTTGTGATTGAATTGCTTATGAGATATGTTTCTGGTGCGGTTTTGAACTTAACCTGCAGGATAACTACACTTGTTAAACTGTAAGTATTGAAATTCTTTTTGTTTTCATGTGTAACTTTTGTGATTAACACAGGCATTAAAATGACATTTTTGTGTTTTGAAGGACTAATTTTTGCTTGTTTAGTGGTTTTGCACCGGGACCCGACATCGTAGGAGAACCAGTCTGGCTTCACATTGTAAGTTTTGAATTTCTTTATCATTTTCATACATAACTTTTGTTATTAACTCATGAAACAACGACAAAAATTGCATTTTTGTGTTTCGAATGACTAATTTTTGCTTGTTTTAGTGATTTTGCACCTGAACCCGACATCGCAGGAGTACCATTCTTACATCTGATTGTAAATATTGAATTTATTTATCCTTTTCATAAATAACATTTAGTGGTTACTTAATTAATTAGTAACAAAAATGTAATTTTTGTATTTCGATTGACAAATTTCCCCCTCGTATAACAATTTGAATATATTGAATTGTTGCGGCACTTACATGATGAAACTTCATTATAATTTAGTTTTTTTTAAGTTTTAGTGAAACCCTTAAGGTTTATCCTTTCTATCAACAATTTTAATATAGTTTAAAAATATTTATTTATTAAAGTTCTACGTGATTTTTACTGGATTTACATTTTATATAATGAGTTTGACATGTTTCGCCCTGAGGGCATCTTCATAAACTTTAGTTTATGTTTAGAAGTATATTCCAATCTTCCGTAATCAATAATTTTCTGGTTGCTATCTCTTTTAGTTTAGAAGATATTCGTTGTCGAAAATCGTCGATAAAATCTATCAATTAATAATATAATAATAATTATAATCATATTATAGTTAGATTTATTCATTTTAAATAAGTATATCTTATTGACTTCTATATTTGAAGTTTTGAGTTATGTATAACCATTGCTATTTGCACGTGTGATACACGGCCACGGCCACTCACTTTGTATTTTCTGGAGGTACAGTAAAGTATTCTCAGGTGGCGCAACGATGCATGTTTTAACTAAAAATATTCCTGCGAGTGGAAGTCGACGTGCACAGTTTTGATGCCGGCACGCAGCTCTTACTTCGTGCGGCAGATAAGAATACTCCGTCGAGTATTCGTGTTTTTCATTGTAAATTCGGTATATCGCGTTATATTTTATTAAATTTTGTGTTAATTGCCGTGTTTGGTCGTTCGGTAAATATTTATCGCGTATGTAGTCTTCGGAATTCAATATTTTGTGTGTTTATTACATTTTCGCGTGGATTTCTGATCGGTTGTCGTCGGACGCCGGCCGGCAGTGATTATAAATAATATTAAGGACTTGTGAGAACCATTTTTGACTTCTGCACAACTCGTTGGCTCAATGTGTTACCTGGTACGAATACTATTTTAAATAATTATGGGGAACAAGACGAGATGTATGATAAACTTTGGGTCCTGCCGGAACTCATTCTTCGAAATTGTGTAACTAATGTTTTGTTTCTTAAGTATTTACTCACATATGATTTGCGGTGTTCGATACACTGGTAAATAAAAGTTTTCATCGTTCATAGTATCTGTTTTCCTGATTTCCTGCAATTAGGAAACTGATATCTTTTGCGGAAATCTTTGCTTCAATAAAACTCAAATCATAAATCATAATTTCATGATTTAAATTTTAGTTCACTAGTATGAACTAAAAATCGTAAAATAGAATTGTATTTCTTTTGAATCATATCAGCCTTTGTGTATAAACAACTTTCTTATCGCATTCACCGTGCTACGCGTTAGATTCTCGTCGCGCTGTCGAATGCAGCACATTTTAGTTTAGTTCTTATCACAGGCCATCGACGCGCCGCCGACATTGCGCATCTATTGCAATTCGTGCACAAGGACGCGTGGCATCGACGCGCTGGCTTTGCGCATCTATTGCTTGTACCTGCCGGGTTTATGCAGCAGGCACAGGGTCCTATTGTGAACTGCCGCATCTTTGCGTGCGCAGTTTCGGCATGCTCTATGCATGGATTGCAGCTAGTTTCGTGCCGGTCTCTGTCATGTCCAGACGTATATCGCGCAACGCGTTTCGTTTTCTCTGACTTCTATTTCCAAAGTTTTCATTATATCCGGTCATCAATCGAGAATATGCATCTGCAGTGTTTTCCTAATAAGTAATTGTGCGTTTAATGTACCTAAGTTTCTTGCATTATTTTCATTTGCGCCTTTTTATTAAATCTGCATTGATTTATGCGGCGTTAGACGCGTTTTTGCAATATGGCCGCAATTCAAACGTCGTTTTCACGTTCGCAACCACCAAGTTGCATCATCCCATAAAACACATAATGTCTACAATGTATCTATTCCAATTAGAATGTAGTTTAATAGTGCAGTCGAAAGGCCTTATCAGTTGTTTGTCTGCTTTTCACATGTTTCAAACGTTCACTTTGCGGCAGTAGAGTGCCAATTTTACAGCACTGCTAACACAAAGAGAGGCCATGTTGTTGTTTTGATTTTAACATTCCAACACAATTCGGCACTGCTGATAACGCACTCTTATTTTTATTTTCAAGCGTTGCATTTATCATTTAGTTATTCTTTAGTACTTGTTACATTTTAATTCTGTTTTATTTTCTGTTTCTTGTGTGCGATGTTGTTGATGCTGCATTCCGATCGGATTATCAACCGACTTCTTGAAACCGTTCCTGTTTCCCATCGCAGGCATGTATATTAAAAAAATAACTGTTCTATTATTTCTCCTTGTGCTTAAAATTTCCTGCTGTTTCTAGATGACATTCCCCGGTCCGCCACAAGATGTCCAGGAGTAGTCATGCTTTCCCAGGAATGGGAACAGGTTTGAACATTGCTACAAAGTTTTTACATTGTCTCTAATAATTTTGAATTTTTCTGTTACTAACTACTTTCTGCTTGTCTTTCAGGTACATATTTGATTTATTTGGGCATTTTTGTAATTCGGGCGCGTTCGTTATAGGTTTATGTACTTTGTGTGTTTACTAATATTCCACTCCTTCATGTTTAAACAAACTTCCTCTTAATATCATTATTATTTTATTATTTTTTAATTATTTTTTTATTCTTTTAATATTCTTTCATAATTTAAAAAAATCCTTGCCAATTTAGATTAATTTATTATTTATTTATTATTTTATTCTTAAAAAAAATTAGTTCCGAATATCTACTAAATCATCCTTACCCAGTATTTTTAATCTTCGTTTGATTCACAGGTATAAGTGATAAACGTTATTCGCGAGGGACCTGGAGAGGTGTAACGAAATACTTATCGAGTGCGGGTTGCGACGCGTTTTAATTTAACAATTTTATTGAATCGCGATCAATTAGCTACCGAAGGAGGGTCGTGCCTTGTCCCCTTTCACCTGTTAGGGAAAGTACGCGGTGTTTATAAATATTTATCCAAATATGCGACAAATCGAGTGCGGGACGCGATTAAAAATCGGAAAGTATTGCGTAATCCGTATTGTTCTATTATAATGCGCGATAAAAACAATTCCAATTCCATGAAGGTTTGTACGGGACCTCAACGGACTTCAAGCATCCTACCAGCGGTTTGGACTCAAGATTGTATTAAAATATCAACGCCTTAAGTAGTGAGTACACCTGACACCAAACTGGCTGTCTCGCATCTTTATGTGCCATAAATGCACGTGCATACTATCGTCGGTATAGCTTCGTCTGTTACCCCAATAAATTATATTATGTTAATTATCTATCTATCTAACAGAGAATTTTCCAATCTTTCATAATCAGCCGTTCGTTGGTCGCTTCCTCTTTTCCTTCAGAAGACATTCACTATTGACTATAGTCGAAAAAAAGTATCAAGCACCCCCCATGGCAATTTTTTCTTAAGAATTAAAATTTCATCTCTCACATTTCTGTTTTAACTATCTGATTGAGAATAGTCCGTAGATTAAGACGCTGCGATCAGATCTCAATTATCTCTTTTAGTTTACGAGATATTCGCGATTGAATAAAATGGGCAAAAATTGATAAATGTCACTTTTAGCACATTTAGTCGCGTTTCTTTATCTTTCACTATTGGAAATATAATTATTTTATATTTTTATCTAAAGGAGAATTTTTCATTCTTTCATAATCAGCAATTTGTTGGTTGCTATCGCTTTTAGTTTTAGAGATATTAATTATTAAAAATCCTCGAAAAAAAGTATCAAGCACCCCCCCTTGGCAATTTTTTCTTAAGACTTAAAATTTCATCTCTCAGATTTCCGTTTTAACAGTCCTATCTGATAGAGAATAGCCCGTAGATTAAGACGCTGCGATCAGATCTTAAATATCTCTTTTAGTTTACGAGATATTCGCATTTGAATAAAATGGGCAAAAATTGCAAAATGTCACTTTTTAGCACTTTTAGTCGCGTTTTTTGACCTTTTCCTGTAGGAAATCTAATCATTTTAAATTTTTATCTGATAGAGAATTTTCCAATCTTTCATAATCAGCGATTCGTTGGCTGCTATCGCTTTTAGTTTTAGAGATATTTATTATCAAAAATCGTCGAAAAAAAGTATCAAGCACCCCCCCCTTGGCAATTTTTTCTTAAGAATTAAAATTTCATCTCTCAGATTTCCGTTTTAACTATCCTATCTTATAGAGTTTAGTCCGTAGATTAAGACGCTGCGATCAGATCTTAAATATCTCTTTTAGTTTACGAGATATTCGCGATTGAATAAAATGGGCAAAAATTGAAAAATGTCACTTTTTAGCACTTTTAGTCGCGTTTTTTGACCTTTTCCTGTAGGAAATATAATTATTTTATATTTTTATCTGATAGAGAATTTTCCAATCTTTCTTAATCAGCAATTCGTTGGTAGCTATCGCTTTTAGTTTAAGAGATATTAATTATCAAAAATCGTCGAAAAAAAGTATCAAGCACCCCCCCTTGGCAATTTTTTCTTAAGAATCAAAATTTCATCTCTCAGATTTCCGTTTTAACTATCCTATCTGATAGAGTTTAGTCCGTAGATTAAGACGCTGCGATCAGATCTTAATTATCTCTTTTAGTTTAGGAGATATTCGCGATTGAATTAAATGTGCAAAAATTGATAAATGTCACTTTTTAGCACTTTTAGTCGCGTTTTTCGACCTTTTCCTGTAGGAAATATAATTATTTTATATTTTTATCTGATAGAGAATTTTTCAGTCTTTCTTAATCAGCAATTCGTTGGCTGCTATCTCTTTTAGTTTTAGAGATATTTATTATCAAAAATCGTCGAAAAAAAGTATCAAGCACCCCCCCTTGGCAATTTTTTCTTAAGAATTAAAATTTCATCTCTCAGATTTCCGTTTTAACTATCCTATCTGATAGAGTTTAGTCCGTAGATTAAGACGCTGCGATCAGATCTTAATTATCTCTTTTAGTTTACGAGATATTCGCGATTGAATAAAATGGGCAAAAATTGAAAAATGTCACTTTTTAGCACTTTTAGTCGCGTTTTTCGACCTTTTACTGTAGGAAATATAATTATTTTATATTTTTATCTGATAGAGAATTTTCCAATCTTTCATAATCAACAATTCGTTGGTAGCTATCGCTTTTAGTTTAAGAGATATTAATTATCAAAAATCGTCGAAAAAAAGTATCAAGCACCCCCCCTTGGCAATTTTTTCTTAAGAATTAAAATTTCATCTCTCAGATTTCCGTTTTAACTATCCTATCTGATAGAGTTTAGTCCGTAGATTAAGACGCTGCGATCAGATCTTAATTATCTCTTTTAGTTTACGAGATATTCGCGATTGAATAAAATGGGCAAAAATTGAAAAATGTCACTTTTTAGCACTTTTAGTCGCGTTTTTCGACCTTTTACTGTAGGAAATATAATTATTTTATATTTTTATCTGATAGAGAATTTTCCAATCTTTCATAATCAACAATTCGTTGGTAGCTATCGCTTTTAGTTTAAGAGATATTAATTATCAAAATCGTCGAAAAAAAGTATCAAGCACCCCCCCTTGGCAATTTTTCTTAAGAATTAAAATTTCATCTCTCAGATTTCCGTTTTAACTATCCTATCTGATAGAGAATAGTCCGTAGATTAAGACGCTGCGATCAGATCTTAATTATCTCTTTTAGTTTACGAGATATTCGCGATTGAATAAAATGGGCAAAAATTGATAAATGTCACTTTTTAGCACTTTTAGTCGCGTTTTTCGACCTTTTACTGTAGGAAATATAATTATTTTATATTTTTATCTGATAGAGAATTTTCCAATCTTTCATAATCAACAATTCGTTGGTAGCTATCTCTTTTAGTTTAAGAGATATGAATTTTCAAAAATCGTCGAAAAAAAGTATCAAGCACCCCCCCTTGGCAATTTTTTCTTAAGAATTAAAATTTCATCTCTCAGATTTCCGTTTTAACTATCCTATCTGATAGAGATTGGTCCGTAGATTAAGACGCTGCGATCAGATCTTAATTATCTCTTTTAGTTTACGAGATATTCGCGATTGAATAAAATGGGCAAAAATTGATAAATGTCACTTTTTAGCACTTTTAGTCGCGTTTTTCGACCTTTTACTGTAGGAAATATAATTATTTTATATTTTTATCTGATAGAGAATTTTCCAATCTTTCATAATCAACAATTCGTTGGTAGCTATCTCTTTTAGTTTAAGAGATATGAATTTTTGAAAATCGTCGAAAAAAAGTATCAAGCACCCCCCCTTGGCAATTTTTTCTTAAGAATCAAAATTTCATCTCTCAGATTTCCGTTTTAACTATCTTATCTGATAGAGTTTAGTTTAGGAGGTATTCGCGATTGAATGAAATGGGCAAAAATTGATAAATGTCACTTTTTAGCACTTTTAGTCGCGTTTTTCGACCTTTTACTGTAAGAAATATAATTATTTTATATCTTTATCTGATAGAGAATTTTCCAATCTTTCATAATCAACAATTTGTTGGTAGCTAGCGCTTTTAGTTTAAGAGATATTAATTATCAAATATCGTCGAAAAAAAGTATCAAGCATTGGCAATTTTTTCTTAAGAATCAAAATTACATCTCTCAGATTTCCGTTTTAACTATCCTATCTGATAGAGTTTAGTCCGTAGATTAAGACGCTGCGATCAGATCTTAATTATCTCTTTTAGTTTAGGAGATATTCGCGATTGAATGAAATGGGCAAAAATTGATAAATGTCACTTTTTAGCACTTTTAGTCGCGTTTTTCGACCTTTTACTCGCGTTTTTCGACCTTTTGCTCTAGGAAATATAATTATTTTATATTTTTATCTGATCTGTTTACGCAGTTTCGGCATGCACTATCGGTGGATTGCAGCCAGTTTCGTGCCGGTCGCTGGTTAATACAGTCGTGTTTTGAGAGACTTATATCGTTTATTCGGACTTTAATATTCAAAATTTGTGTTATACTGGAAGATCAATCGACTATTTATTTGTACTTTGCGACTATAGTAATTTGTTTAAGTTAGGAAATGCCGGTTTTTGATCGCGTTTGTTATGTATATTACAAGTCACGTGATAGTGGATTTGAAAACATTCTTCACTCGGCATTGTGTTTGGTGTCGGTTGCTAAATTAATCGCATATATATCTATCGCCCCCATTCAGAAAGATCCATGAGGCTCGTGTAAGTAATGTTTTAACAGCACAGATTGTTTATTTTGTGTTGCTTGTTAATTACATAATTCAAATATATGAAATATATTTGTTTTAATTAATGTTTTCGTTTAGTTACAGCATTCGTTGTGCCCGGCAGTCCGATAAGCTGTACACTGGTAAGTTTACGAGTTAACGTATTATTCAATTATATTTTTCTCCCTGTATTGAAATTGTAGTTTTTTTAGTATAACATGCGAACGCGATGCTAGAATAAGTTTGGAATAATTTTCCCAGATGCGGAATTTAATTCTGTATCTTCCTGTGTTGAAATTTATTGCGTGAAAATTCCGTAACCCGAGTTATATTGAAAGTTGTGTGTCTCCCACCCCTTGCCCATTTTTTCTTATGAATTAAAATTTTATCTCTTAAATTTTCAATTTAATTATCTTATTTTTAGAAAATTTTCCCTAATTTAAGAATTTTTAATCTGTTTTTTTCTATCGCGTTTAATTTTTGAACAAATTGAGAAAAATTAGAAGATTTTCCTTGTTGCTGTTATTTACTATTGCCGCGTTTAATGTACATTATTGATCAAAAGTGGTGATACTTTTCGTGTTTTGTATGCATACTTATGCAAGTTGTTTTAACTTATGTTTTTTACAGTATTCGCTGTACCATGGAGTCTGATGAGTTCTTAATTAACGTAAACGTTAACGCTACCCATCTACGGTGCCCTAAATGGGTGTAACTTCTACCGCTACCTTCGTACGGTGCCTTGAATGGGAGTCACTTCTACCGCTATCTTCGTACTTTGCCTTAAATGGGAGTCTTTATGGATCCTGTAAGAATAATTAATTTAATTTATGTATATGTATATTTCATTTACATAAACATTTTCCAGTTGTTGAATGAAGCATTAGCTAATCCTGAGATGGACAACTTTATCAATAAGGACCAACTGGAGAGGTTCCGTGGTACTGGTGGAGTGCGTATTGAGGATTATGTTTTGTTTACTGAAGATGGATGTGTCAACTGGACTAAAATACCCAGAACGTATGTTATATTTTGGCAATTTATAATATTTTATATTTTACTATTCTGTTATTCATTCTGATTTATAGTGTCCAAGAAATTGAAGATTGGATTGCCGGTGTTGATGATGATTCCAAATACGATTGAATGAATTTACAACATTTTGAAGCTGATATTGATATCATTTTTATGTATTTTGTTAAAAGATATAAAGCATTATATAATTGCATATTATTATCCTGTTTTCATGCATGTTTTGTTAAAAATGGTGTATATATTGAGAAATTGTGTTTGTGAATCAACATGTTTCAATAAAATTGTTGTTTTATATTTTTAACTATAAATTTTTATTGTTTTATTTGTTCCAAACGGGGAACATAGCTCGCAACATCGTTACTCCTTTAATTAATTCATAAATCCCTTAAACTTTAATGGAAATGTCACTGCTAGATATGGAAAATAGTTCAAAATCAATTTTATTTTGTATCAATATTAATTTAAAAACGGTATCACTAGTGTCATCTATCCACGAGTAACTAAACTACGCCGCTATTCAAGATTGCTGGAGATTCAGCCTACTGCACTTTCTGCGATCCTAATATTCAAAAGATTTTTGTTACCAATTTCAATGGATTTCTCGACAAAATTTGTCGAGAAATTTGCTGAAATGTTGCTGCTCATCAGTCTGTAGTATTAGGAACGCAGAAAGTGGACATAGACAGTTCCCGCCAAATTATTATATATATTATTTCAGTTTGTGTCGGTACATATTCAATTTTTTCTATAAAATTGCAAATAGGGCCTAAGCAGTTAATGCTAGCAAAAAAATACCAAAATAATTGATGTAGAATTAAATTGTCTATCAGAATTCGAAAACAGAATTCAAAAATTCCAACTTTTAATTTTCATCATAAAAAAGAGAAATCTTTTGCCTTTTTTATAACAAAATCTTTTCTTTAAAATTTTTTTGTGCCATTTTGATGATTTTTCAATAATGATGCCACCTTGTAGAGAATTTTTCAAGGATCAAGATTATGTAGTTCTTAATTTTCTAGCCCTCTTAGTTGTCGAGATCCTTCAGAATTCGAAAACCGAATTTGCTGAATAAAGATTTTTAAACATTCATTTTACCCGCCATTACTAGTTACCGCCTCTTTTATTTACATACCTCCTCACCCTTTCTGCGATCCGAATACCAAAACCTGAGTTTCGACTGTTTCGAGTCCAAATTTTGTGTCATTTTGCCTCTCAGAGTCGACAAAATAAAGATTGAATATTAGGATCGCAGAAAGTTGAGGAGGCTGATAAAGTTTTCGCGGTAACTAGTAATGTGCTGCCTCTGGTGGCGACGGACCGAAGCTCAAAACTTTCGGTTGTTGTAGTTTCTAATTGATAGATGGCACTAGCATGCACTTTTCAAAATAAATGGTTTAAGGGATCGTTAAATACGTGATCAGGTAGAAATAAGAGAAATAATTATAATTAGAAAAACTTTAAAATATTCTTTATTAAAGAAAACACACAAGCATACATTTTGGGAGTCAATTTGTGTAATAATCACAAAAGTTATTTAAGATAATGAAATTTATTACTAACAATCTGATGCAAGAATGGTCCTTTTACGATGTTAGAGTCAGGTGCAAAATCCCTAAAACAAGCAAAAATTAGTCCTTCGAACATAAAAATGCAATTTTGGGGGTCAATTTGTGAGATAATCACAAAAGTTATTTAGGAAAATGATAAAGAAATTAAATACTTACAATCTGATGCAAGAATGGTTCTTCTACGATGTCAGACTCAGGTGCAAAACCCTAAAACAAGCAAAAATTAGTCCTTCGAACATAAAAATGCAATTTTGGGGTCAATTTGTGAGATAATCACAAAAGTTATTTAGGAAAATGATAAAGAAATTTAATACTTACAATCTGATGCAAGAATGGTCCTTCTACGATGTCAGACTCAGGTGCAAAATCCCTAAAACCATCAAAAATTAGTCCTTCGAACATAAAAATGCAATTTTGGGGGTCAATTTGTGAGATAATCACAAAAGTTATTTAGGAAAATGATAAAGAAATTTAATACTTACAATCTGATGCAAAAATGGTCCTTCTACGATGTCAGACTCAGGTGCAAAATCCCTAAAACCATCAAAAATCAGTCCTTCGAACATAAAAATGCAATTTTGGGGGTCAATTTGTGAGATAATCACAAAAGTTAATTAGGAAAATGATAAAGAAATTAAATACTTACAAACTGATGCAAGAATGGTCCTTCTACGATGTCAGACTCAGGTGCAAAATCCCTAAAACAAGCAAAAATTAGTCCTTCGAACATAAAAATGCAATTTTGGGGGTCAATTTGTGAGATAATCACAAAAGTTATTTAGGAAAATGATAAAGAAATTAAATACTTACAATCTGATGCAAGAATGGTCCTTCTACGATGTCAGACTCAGGTGCAAAATCCCTAAAACAAGCAAAAATTAGTCCTTCGAACATAAAAATGCAATTTTGGGGTCAATTTGTGAGATAATCACAAAAGTTATTTAGGAAAATGATAAAGAAATTAAATACTTACAATCTGATGCAAGAATGGTCCTTCTACGATGTCAGACTCAGGTGCAAAATCCCTAAAACAAGCAAAAATTAGTCCTTCGAACATAAAAATGCAATTTTGGGGGTCAATTTGTGAGATAATCACAAAAGTTATTTAGGAAAATGATAAAGAAATTTAATACTTACAATCTGATGCAAAAATGGTCCTTCTACGATGTCAGACTCAGGTGCAAAATCCCTAAAACAAGCAAAAATTAGTCCTTCGAACATAAAAATGCAATTTTGGGGTCTATTTGTGAAATAATCACAAAAGTTATTTAGGAAAATGATAAAGAAATTTAATACTTACAATCTGATGCAAGAATGGTCCTTCTACGATGTCAGACTCAGGTGCAAAATCCCTAAAACCATCAAAAATTAGTCCTTCGAACATAAAAATGCAATTTTGGGGGTCAATTTGTGAAATAATCACAAAAGTTATTTAGGAAAATGATAAAGAAATTTAATACTTACAATCTGATGCAAGAATGGTCCTTCTACGATGTCAGACTCAGGTGCAAAATCCCTAAAACAATCAAAAATTAGTCCTTCGAACATAAAAATGCAATTTTGGGGTCTATTTGTGAAATAATCACAAAAGTTATTTAGGAAAATGATAAAGAAATTTAATACTTACAATCTGATGCAAGAATGGTCCTTCTACGATGTCAGACTCAGGTGCAAAATCCTAAAACCATCAAAAATTAGTCCTTCGAACATAAAAATGCAATTTTGGGGGTCAATTTGTGAGATAATCACAAAAGTTATTTAGGAAAATGATAAAGAAATTTAATACTTACAATCTGATGCAAGAATGGTCCTTCTACGATGTCAGACTCAGGTGCAAAATCCTAAAACCATCAAAAATTAGTCCTTCGAACATAAAAATGCAATTTTGGGGTCTATTTGTGAAATAATCACAAAAGTTATTAAGGAAAATGATAAAGAAATTTAATACTTACAATCTGATGCAAAATGGTCCTTCTACGATGTCAGACTCAGGTGCAAAATCCTAAAACCATCAAAAATTAGTCCTTCGAACATAAAAATGCAATTTTGGGGTCTATTTGTGAAATAATCACAAAAGTTATTAAGGAAAATGATAAAGAAATTTAATACTTACAATCTGATGCAAAAATGGTCCTTCTACGATGTCAGACTCAGGTGCAAAATCCCTAAAACCATCAAAAATTAGTCCTTCGAACATAAAAATGCAATTTTGGGGGTCTATTTGTGAAATAATCACAAAAGTTATTAAGGAAAATGATAAAGAAATTTAATACTTACAATCTGATGCAAAAATGGTCCTTCTACGATGTCAGACTCAGGTGCAAAATCCCTAAAACCATCAAAAATTAGTCCTTCGAACATAAAAATGCAATTTTGGGGGTCTATTTGTGAAATAATCACAAAAGTTATTAAGGAAAATGATAAAGAAATTTAATACTTACAATCTGATGCAAAAATGGTCCTTCTACGATGTCAGACTCAGGTGCAAAATCCCTAAAACCATCAAAAATTAGTCCTTCGAACATAAAAATGCAATTTTGGGGTCTATTTGTGAAATAATCACAAAAGTTATTAAGGAAAATGATAAAGAAATTTAATACTTACAATCTGATGCAAAATGGTCCTTCTACGATGTCAGACTCAGGTGCAAAATCCCTAAAACCATCAAAAATTAGTCCTTCGAACATAAAAATGCAATTTTGGGGTCTATTTGTGAAATAATCACAAAAGTTATTTAGGAAAATGATAAAGAAATTTAATACTTACAATCTGATGCAAGAATGGTCCTTCTACGATGTCAGACTCAGGTGCAAAATCCCTAAAACCATCAAAAATTAGTCCTTCGAACATAAAAATGCAATTTTGGGGTCTAATTTGTGAAATAATCACAAAAGTTATTAAGGAAAATGATAAAGAAATTTAATACTTACAATCTGATGCAAAAATGGTCCTTCTAGGATGGCAGACTCAGGTGCAAATTCCCTAAAACCATCAAAAATTAGTCCTTCGAACATAAAAATGCAATTTTGGGGTCTATTTGTGAAATAATCACAAAAGTTATTAAGGAAAATGATAAAGAAATTTAATACTTACAATCTGATGCAAAAATGGTCCTTCTACGATGTCAGACTCAGGTGCAAATTCCTAAAACCATCAAAAATTAGTCCTTCGAACATAAAAATGCAATTTTGGGGGTCTATTTGTGAAATAATCACAAAAGTTATTAAGGAAAATGATAAAGAAATTTAATACTTACAATCTGATGCAAAAATGGTCCTTCTACGATGTCAGACTCAGGTGCAAAATCCCTAAAACCATCAAAAATTAGTCCTTCGAACATAAAAATGCAATTTTGGGGGTCAATTTGTGAGGTAATCACAAAAATTATTTAGGAAAATGATAAAGGAATTTAATACTTACAATCTGATGCATAAATGGTCCTTCTACGATGTCAGACTCAGGTGCAAAATCCCTAAAACAAGCAAAAATTAGTCCTTCGAACATAAAAATGCAATTTTGGGGGTCAATTTGTAAGATAATCACAAAAGCTGTTCAGGAAAATGATAATGAAATTTAATAATTATAATCTGATGCAAGAATGGCCCTTCTACGATGTTTGGCTCAGACGCAAAATCCCTAAAACAAAAAAAAATTAGTCCTTCGAACAGAAAAATGCAATTTTGGGGGTCAATTTGTGAGATAATCACAAAAGTTATTTAGGAAAATGATAAAGAAATTAATTACTTATAATCTGATGCAAGAATTGTCCTTCTACGAGGTCAGACTTAGGTTGAAAATCTTTAAAACCAGCCAAAATTAGCCCTTCGAACCGAAAATGCAATTTTGGGGTCAATTTGTAGGATAATCATAAAAGTTATTTAGGAAAATGATAAAGAAATTAATTACTTACAATCTGATGCAAAAATGGTCTTTCTACGATGTCCGACTCTCTAAAAGAAGCAAAAATTAGTAGCGGTAGAACTGACTGCCATTCAGGGCACCGTACGAGGGTAGCGGTAGAAGTGACTCCTATTCAGAGCACCGTACGAGAGTAGCGGTAGAAGTGATTCCCATTCGGGGCACCGTATGAGGATAGTGGTAGTAGTGACTCCCATTCAGGGCACCGTACGAGGGTAGCGGAATAAGTGACTCCCATTCAGGGCACCGCAGGAGGGTAGCGTTATCGTTTATGTTAATGTTACTGCAGAACTCATCGGACTCCAAGGTACCGCGTATACCGTAAAAAAATCACAACTTATTTTTCAATTCGTTTCGGTGCAAATTCATTTTTTTTAGTAAAATTGCCAATAGGGCTTAAATCCTTAATGATAGCAATTTAAAGAAAAAATTGGTTTTTTAAGCGTGGTCGACCACATGAATATTATCATTTTAATAATCCTCAGATAAATATTGAATTGTTGCGGCACTTACATAATGAAACTCCATTATAATCGTTGATAGAAAGGATAAACCTTAAGGGTTTCACTAAAACTTTTACCACTCTGCGACATGTTTCGCCACACTGTGGCATCATTAGGCAGATGAATATCTATTAAGATTAAGATTAAGGTTTATCCTTTCTATCAACAATCCTCAGATAATTTTAAAAACCGTGCTTGTAATAAATAAATAAAGCAAGTTATTGAATAATCAATTTAAGTTAAACCGCCTTAACTTTCTGCGAAAAATTTTAATTATCCACCCACCTGTACATTGATGAGAAAATCTCCTGTGAAATGCTGTAATACATTCTATCAACTGAAAACTCGCGCAGGGATTAACGGACACTTATTTCTCACTTAAGAAGACTCTAACCGACATAAATCATTAAACAAAACAGGCACACATGTCTATTGCGAACATTTTGTCGATGGTCGAAAGAATACATGACGATTAATCCAATTAAAACCTCAAAACGCGTGGCGATTAGAGAGAGGCACGCTCGCGGACCACGCGGTGAAACAACTGCCGTGTGCGCTGCGCGTAGCCGGGTACAAGGCAGGTATGCAGCGATATCACGCGTCAGTCGAACAAAAAAAGTTGTATATACCCAAACGTACTGATAAACACGTAGTTGAGAAGGCGAAACTAAAAATTCACAATGTTGAAATACATATATACGAAATTTACTTTTACTTTTAATATTTCTCGGCATACGAAAAGAATAAGTTAGCTCAATGGGAAATTTAAGAGATGAAATTATAATTTATAAGAAAATATCAAGATAGGCAAAGTGCCGTCCGACGGCATCGCACAGGCATGGGCGAAGGACATTGAAATTTCGTTTTACAAACAGTTTATGAGCATTATTGAATTGTCAATGCGATTTCAGAATTAAAAATACAAAAGAATAATACCAGACTTTTTGTAGAGAGACTGAAAACGCATCCGAGGGCATGCGACAATTTTGAGTTATTACGGTACTCTCGTTATATACAATTAAAGATAGAAAAAATGTTTTGAAATATTTACAAACTTACCAATGTTGCAGGTAATCAAAGGAAGTACTGAAACAAAAGAACACGTATATAAGATCTCGCACTATGCTTCACACTTGTCAGTTCCGTCAGATAATGGTCTTGCATTGCAAGTGGCATTTTGACCCACATGATCCGATCGTTGCGAGCAAGTCAACGTTCTTAAGCACCCGTGAAATCCTGCCCAGGACAGACGCTATAAGTACTTGAAATTAACAACCCTTGTACGGTGTCCTGAATACGAGTCACTTCGACCGCTGCCCTCCCTTTTTAAACTAAAATCTCAAGCGACCAACGGATCAAAGAATATGAATGATTGGAGAATTCTCTAAAGGTAAAACAAACAAATACCACCCGATAGAGAATTTTATTCCGCATCTCTAAACACCGCGCTAAAATTAGTGAGCCGCCTATATCGCGCGCAAATCCGAAAAAATACAAACATTTCTCGAGAAAAGGTGACAAAAATCACCTTTTATGCGAATTTTCGCGGGTTGCAGACCGAATTCTTGCAAAACAAATATAACCCAATGGAGAATTTAATTCCGCATCTGCAGACGCCACGCTGAAGTTAGTGAGCCACCTAGATCGCGCGCAAACCCGAAAAAATAAAAACATTTCACGACATCGAGGTGAAAAATTCACCCATTTATACGAATTTTCGCGGGTTGCAAGTCGAATTCCTGCAACACACAAATAGCACCCGACGGAGAATTTAATTTCGCATCTCTAAACACCGCGCTGAAGTTAGTGCGCAGTCTAGATCGCGCGTAAATCCGAAAAATACAAACATTTCACGAGAAAGGGTGACAAAAGTCACCCTTTTATGCGATTTTTAGCGGGTTGCAGACCGAATTTCTGCAACAAACAAATACAACCCAATGAAGAATTTAATTCCGCATCTTTAAACACCACGCTGACGTTAGTGAGCCGCCTAGATCGTGCGCAAACCCGAAAAAATACAAACATTTCACGCGAACGGGTGAAAAAATCACCTTTTCGCGGATTCCTACGGTGCCCTGAACACGAGTCATTTTACCGCTAGCCTCGTATGGTGCCCTGAATCGAGTCACTTCTACTGCTCACAAATACCACCCGACGGATAATTTAATTTCTAGACGAGGCAGTTTGTGCGTGAATTGCATTTGGCAGTTTACCTGGGATTAAAACTAAACTAAGATGCAGCAACATGCGGTGTGAGGTGCTGGCAAACAAACACAATTCTTTGTATCGAAGGTTCACGCTAGCTGATAAATATAGAAATAAACAATACAAGTTTATTTTACAATGTTTAGTGCATGCTATTGCCATCTATAAATGATGTATTAGTTTCGATTAGTAAAGGTAATAAAAATTAAAATTCGATTTGCGCAATTCTGATTTCTTATGCTATCAGATTGCCAGATTTTAAATCAAATATTTAAATGATATTTATTTTGAACATGCATCGTTTCTCATTTACCAGGTAACACATTAGTCCGTAATCATCTGCTGATAATAAAATGTATTAGAAATATTATAAAATTGTTTGTTATATTCATGAAAGAATTGAAGAATATTTAAATTTACGATGCTAATATAATAAACAACAACGGTGTGTTTTGATTCCACGAAATAAAGATTCAATACCTGCAGGTAAACAAGCTTATCTTTTGTGCGAAATCGCGTGATCCACACGGACACGCTGTGCACTCACTACCACCAACAAGCAATATTTAATGCAAAACCGTACATCGTTGCGCCATCTAACCTTTGAAAATATTTATGAACTTAAAAATATTCAAAACACATTTATCAAATATGCAACAAGGTTGATATTGCAATGAAATAGAGAACAACGAAAGTCGTACCTGAAACAAACCAGTAAGTAAGTAACTCGTAAGTAAAGTACTGAAACAGAATAACGACGCTTGTTATAATTCGCAATATGCTGCGCACTTGCTAAGTCGAAATTGTTCCGATCATAGCGAAAATATACACTTCTACCGAAAGCAAACGTGGATCACACATATTCGAATTTGCCAGTTGTATACATATATCTAACTCCAATGCTGATTATCAAAATAATTGGCCGACGGAGCACTTACACACAAATACACGACTTTTATAATCGCTTCACGCACAAATTATCGTTAATTTAAACACGTCTCTTGTCATTAAACGCCGATGTTTATACCGATATTTATACCAGATTATAAAATGTAACACAATTCTTTGAACTGAAATGTCGGAAAGAATGGTGGCGAGCCGCGTGCAGGTAACAACAGACTGAAACGTTCGAACATTTGTAGCGCTAGCGCAGCAGCATGTAGCTGGTTTAACGCGATAACAGAAGGCGTTTACACACAAAAAACACCAATATTAATTAAATGGCATCGATATCTTAATCGAAAACAACGCGATTTACCGAATTAACACTTCGTCATTGCGACTCGTGAGAAGCACCACACGCGCACGCGGACTGGAGCCGATTGTGTTCCCGCAAAGTCGAATGTTAAGGCGCGACTGGCCGAATCGTTGCGCGTGTGTTCACACGGCAAAGGGATTGGCGGATGTAAACAAACAAACTGATAAAAAACACAATATGGCATACAAAATCGCGTGATCTCACTGGACCCGCAACTCGCCAGTTAGGCGATGTGCACTCACTACTACCAACAAACCGGTTGCAATCAACGAATTCAGAATTTCAATATAAGTTTGCTTATTTAAGCGACATCTTATTTAAAGTTAAAAAATTATACTTAAGTAAACATGACACATTGATTTCAGACGGATTCAGTCTCCTCCATTTACTGAAATTCTTCACGGCCTTGGCCGTTCGTGATTAAAGGGCCACTTTTCGTGAATCGAAACCGTAAAAAAATGCTTTGAAAGTGCATAGTAAAAGCTTTTATTTATTAATTAATTTTCGTTTTGTGTTAATACATTAATAGATAAATATATTTGTTTTTATAAATGTATATATGTGTATATATGAATAGAAAACTAAGGCGATTAAAGAAACAGGTCTAGCGCCAGGCTTCGATCTTGTAACTCACGTTCATAATATCAAGAAGCATCATTTTTTTGTATTTTTTTTAAATATAAGTGAAAGCAAGGTATAAAGCTGCCTAAGCGGCGTAGCAGCGAGCGTTATCAAAGTTCGTTACTCCAAATATTCGCAAACAGTTGCCTTCAGTTGCGCATATCCTGGAGAAATAAACTAAAGCCCTGCGACGCAAATGCACCATGCGCGCATTGTATAAATTGCGTAAATAACAATGAATATAAAAAGAAAACAGCAACATTAAACATAGATAGAAGTACAAGTGGAGTACGAAAAAAGTGAGACAACTGCACGACACAACTGACTGACGGTGCACACATATGTTCAACACATCACAGCAACTTATGAGAGACAGATGATAAATCGACGCAATGCCGAACAAAATAAATTTAGTCCAGATCCTTGAAGCGTCTGTAGATCGACTGCACATAGGTGAAGACGCACTTCCAATCAGGACGACGCGTCTCTACCATATCGTCGACGTCGAGGAGCGGCGCTATGTCGGCTTTGTCCCTAAATAAAAATAATTAAAACCAAAACTGTTCATGCTAAGTTCAGTATAGACTTACTCGGCGACTTTGAAAGCCAGCGTAAAGTTGTAACGTCTGTTGTTCGGCGTCAGCTTGGTGTAGTCAAAAGCGTCCGGTAAGAAATGATGCACGAGTGCACAAAATGCCAGCCCATCAGCCCAGCATGTCGAGAAGTTGTCCAATTTTATGTTCTAGAAAAACAGATGAATCAATTTTTTGCACCGCATAGTAATGCAAAACTACAACTACACAAAAAAAGCAAACTATTTGTGATAGCCACTCGGCACCCAACACGTTAATACGACACTAGAAGGCACAACGAGCACTCACATCGTATTCCCTCGTTTTCATTTGACACCAATGGAGCAATCTCTCTTTGATAGTACTAGCGCTTTGACTCAAATTCGGGTCGGTAAATTTAAACATCGGACCGCCGCTTGTCGGCGTCTTTGGGGTGCTAGGGGTGGGCACGCGAAAATCGAAGTATTAGTAATGATACGAACCAACTTTCATTGAATCACCTTCACCGTATTAATAATAAAACCGAATGGATGAACATATTTACCTGGGTGGTGTGTTCAAGCTGTTTTGTCTATCCATTTGACGGAATTTTGCAAATGGTGACATTGGCTTCTTGACGGTCTGTTGCTGAGTTACTCGCGTTGTCACTGTGACATATAAGGAATGTGTTACGAATATGTTACGTTGTGAATTGAATAAATAAATACCTTGAGTTCTCGTCATGGGACCCTCGTTAAACGACCTCGTTGTTACGATTTTCTCTGAAATTACAGCAGAGTTTAATCACGCAGTCTCGCAAACCACATACAAGTAAACACAATGTTAACATGCTCTCGCTGGCTAAACTAATGAAGCGAAACAAATGTTTATACTCATTTTAATTACAAGACAAAACTAAAACGGACAAATGCTTAGTTTAAGTCTGTGTTCAGAAATCAAAAAAGGGTGGCTGGCCCATGGGCGCAAGCGTATTAGTTCAAATATAGGAGTGCGCACACCAAAAATGATAGAAATTACGCAATTACATATTAAAGTAAAATTGTAATAGTAACACCAAAGCACACGTCAAGATATGTCTCTCACCATTAGCCGACGTCCGACGACGTTCGCATTGATTAAAAGTTATATGATACCGCGCTTTAATAATTTCAAAAAAGATTCTTTTCATTGATTAGTTTTCATTGTTGGTGTGCGCACCGCACCACCAATACACTGTGCTGTTCATAATTTCTCATAAATCAGTGTGATTTCTATCCATTCTATTGCTGCTTGCGTCTTTCAATTCAATTTATCTGTTCGACTTGTATTCCGTGCAATCTATGATCGAATGAATGCATTTCGAAGACAACACGATAAACTACGTATTCAAATCAATAAGAACAATGCGAACACAAAGAAAATAAAAGACGTACACATTCATATGCGTTATTCATCTCATCGTCACTCATCGAGCAAACGAATTACTACAAACGGACGTTCAGTTATCAAAAAAGTCATTTTCAATTATCTCAATGAATCAAATCGATGCAAAACACGACACTTGTTTAAAAAAAATGGAATGATGGTTTATTGTTTTAATGCTTCGATGCGGTCGATCCTTCCATGCGATGGTGATACGTGTTATTAGCTAGTCGACTGAAACAGATCCTCGAACGCCTCGTCGACGTTCGTCTCGTCTAACAGATCGGGACAGACAATGTCAGGCAACGTGCGTGATCTACACAGACCTGTCGTCGACGTGGAAATCTTTTGCGTTGTCTTCGTGCGATTGACCGCACGGTGTTTGTAAGAGAAGTTATTTGTGGTCCTCGTCGACGGCGCGGGTTGGGGCTGTGGTAGCCCACTTTGCCCGAAATACGCTTCCATAGTGCGTTTCTTTGTAAGCATTTCGTCTTTGCTCATGCCGGCCTCAAACTGTTTGGGCAATGCAAGAGCATGCGTTGATTTAGATTTCATCACAGTGCGAGCGTTTGGCGAAGCGCGAGGAGAAGGTTTCCTAGCAACTTGCTCCTTCTGCACGACCTGATACCACGAGTCAGATTTACTCAACTGTGGTGAAACACGTTGTTGAGGAATCGATGGTTTCAATTGAGAAGGTGGTGGATGTTGCGCAGGAATTTGAAACTTGCCTGTAACGATACTCTCTCCTTGCGAGGTTACTTCTAAAGTATCAAGACTGAGAGGTTCATCATTAACGCAGAATTTCGGTTTGTAGGATGAGGACGCAGCGCTGGTATTCGCCGAAACCGGTGACTTTGCTTTAATCTCACTTTTGATCTGCAGGGTGTTTCTCAGGTTAAACGCGGCATCCATTTCGTGCTCATCGCGACTTTTGGGTTTGTTGGTCACGGTAACGGCTTGTTGGCCCACTGGTCCTGACATGACTTTACTGCTCACAGCTAGGTACTCGTGCACGCTATCTGTAGAGGTTTGACTGTCGTATTGCGGGCGTTGTGGTTGCTTTTGTACCGGTTGATAAGATACATTATTATAGAAAACATGCGGCTCATGTTCGCGATGTTCATGCGATGGTGGAATAAAATCGTGTTGATGTTCGGCTTCTGGTAACGCATGATTAGCCTGCTCCGATTTCGGCGATGAATAAGTGGCATGGTTCTGTCCTTCGGAAGCGTGCCCGTGACGCATTTGTATGCTTTGTACAGTGGGACTAGTGGTATGGAAGCTTGCAGGTATATTATCAACTTGTATATGGTGTTTGTTAGTATGATTATGATGATGTTGATGATGATGCTGAGCATGGTGGTGGTGATGATGAGGATGATGTTGTTGATTTGAATGCTGATGATTAAAATCGTTATTAATTGTTGGAGAATTCCTGGCGTTTTGATGATCAGCATATTTTTCATACGTAACAGGAGACTGTACATAATTACGGACAAAAGGATCGTGTTTCTGAATCGGAGTATTATTGAATTTCTGAGCAGGCATTGGTTGATGTGTTTGATGATTCTGTTCCTGATGTTGATTACGTGATTGAGGTACGGGAGCAAAGGCACTCTTATATTTAACATTCGATTGTGCAACGTATTCCGGACGCGTTTCTGATTGAATATTATTGTACTGTCCGCTCAGCTTTCTCACTCCTCCAGCATTGGTCACAGGAGGTACATACGTAACAGTCTTCTCTTGTTTGTTACTCTGTAATAAAGCAGCTGGTGTTGTAATCTTCTCTTTGCTTAATCGCCGTGGAGTAATTTTAGGTTCTTCCGGGGCATGGTTTGCAACTTCAAATTTGCTCGCAGCCAAACTGAGCACACGTCTTTCCCCAGTACCATTGTAATGGTGGGGCACAACATTTACAGTTTTATTACTCCAAGGTGCCGAATTGAGCACTGGTGATTGCACTTCTGATGATTTTGGACTATACAAATAAAATGGGGTCTCTGGGGTGTTAGATTCAGGTGTGCTACCGTTTGTTTTAATATTTGCAATCACATCCGGCTTAGGAGTTTTATGAATTGGTTTAAAAGCGGATTCATGAGGATTGTGCGTGAATTTGTTGACCGCGAGTGGTTGAGGTTTGTGATTTTTATGCGGCGGTTCAACTTTCAGATTTCCAGTGACAATATGTTTGTTCATAGGTGGGTCAGCACCAAAACGTGGTCGTCCATTTCCACTATGATTCGAAACAACTTGATTTTCGGTACTTTTCCAAAAGTTCCTCGCTGAACTCTTCGGCTGAGCAGGAACTACATTGGGCTGTTTGTTATCTACTGCCACACGTTCAAAGTTAGTCTTAATGTTTCCAAACTTCCTGGTCCAGTTAGTACCTGTCGGCGATTCCGTTGTCTGCGTTTGTCCTGCTTTATCCCAGAGAGAAATCTTATTATTAACAGCGGAGTTAGAATTTTGACGATTAATAAACGCAAGGAATTTTTTATCAGACTCCGTTTTTGGTTCAAACGATGGTACTTTTGTCTGCACTGGTTTTCCACCCTTGCCTCCTACCCTGATAGGTCCTCTAAGTGCAAGGTAGTTACTTCTCCGCGTTGATTCTGGTTCGGTGAGATCACCATCACTATCGGCATCTTCGTAGTAATAACTGGATGGTTTAGGTATATCAATAGTGTTAGCACGTTTCATACGAGACTTCTTCGCGTTGAATCGATTCGACTTTTCGACGTCTTGCGCATATATTGGGTTTGTCTGTAGAATCACAGGCTCCTCGAATGTGGGATTAAGAATACTCGGAGTTGGTGGTTCTATTTGCTGTAATTGGGTTTGTGGAGGAGGATAAAGACCTTGGTCATAGAGAATAACTGTATCCCCGTCTTTCAGCTCGTTGGGTTGTCGGTAGGGACTAACTGAAGGTTTCAATGTATCGTCATCGGTTTCGCTTTCGTGCACGTATGAATCTGGTTGTGATTTGATCACTGCTGCTAGTTGCACCGCATTTATAAGTTCAATGTTCTGATCATCCAATGAATGAGTCTGATGTAATTTGGGCTTGGGATCTGCGGGCATTTGATCAAAGGACATTGACTGCTTGTAGCAGTATCTGTCACTTTCCGGTACCGTACATATTTCATCGTCGTGTAAGGGAGGTGGCAATTCTGGTAACCGTTCCATTTCTACGCTCTCGTTACTAGGTGTCTGCACTGAGGAAGAGGTACCCGAGGTGTTTGCGCTGTTTGTGAATGGTTTTGGCATCGCATTTTAACGACTCCTTGGTTGACCTTGATGGGTCCGAATGCGGGCTTATCATCTAATTTATCCTGTAGTGCAGGCACGTTATCCTGACTGCTGCTTAAAACAAACTCTTCCATAAGTCGGCGTGCATCTTCTAACTCTTCACTGGTCACACCTACTGTGTGACGACCGTGTCGTTGCCGTTGTTGCCTACGGGCAAACCGTCCACCACTCAACCGCCGCTCTTGACTAAAGCCGGCTCTATCAGAATCGCTGCTTTGCGCCTGTGGGGCGACTACTAGGTTTGTTTGTAACTTAGAAACAAGTTGGAGTAGCGAGTTGCGCCTCTCCAGACTAATATCGGACGATTCGCTACATAAGCACGCCGAGAGCTTCTCCAATGCGTTCTGCACTTCGAGTATCAACCCGGAGCGCAAGTCTTCGCCGGACTCGGTACCCGAGTCCGCGGTTTGCTCAAATTCGGGCGCCTCGAGCGCACTTTGAAGTAGAGGTAACAGTAAAGACTCACCGTGTACGTTTCCGCCGGGGGATTGCGATTCCTCGAGTGTCTTTTCCATGAACTCAGAGCATGCTGGAACATAGAGATATATTTTGTGAACAAATCGTCAGCAAGGTGATCGAGCGTATGCGCTGATTGACATACCTTCTTTTTCGGCCATAACTTGTTTTAATCTGAGTCTGATAATGCGGCGTTCTTCGTACTCGGTGCTTTGCTCCAGCTGAAAGCAGTTTTAGTGACAGTAGAGTAAGAATAACACATTGAACATTCATACCAAAAGACGCAACGTCTGCTCGTTCCAAATGGTGTTCAACACCTCTTGCGTAATTGGATGCGTGAACGTTCTGGTGTTTGTTTTAGGTACACCGTTTTCCTGCAAAATCGAAAAGAAAACATGTTGAATTAAAAAAAGCCGCGCAATTAATTATCGCACCATTGACCTGTACGGAATCGTGGTAACGTCAGCGCCGTGCTGGCTGCAAACGCGAATTTCCTCATGATCGAAGAAAAAGCGGTGGAAAAAAGATATATTTTCAACACACATATGCTTATTCCCCGCCGTTGTGTATACGAAATTTTTACGTGGCAATCGACCAAGTCAAGTGCTACCAAAATAGGCGACTCGTAAGCGGCGTACACCGGTCGACGTCGCGACGCCACCGTGCCACCATGTGTGTGCGTATGCTGTGCGCTCGCGCAGCATGCACAACTCATTTATTTATATTTTCCGCGCGATGATTTAACGATAACGGAGCGCCGCAGGTATGCAAGAACAATTCGCATCGCGTACAACTCGGGTCGTTGCAAAACCGCATCCGCATTACGTTGTGCGAGACGGTCGTGTCGGCGACCACCGATCCGCCATTATATAATTAACAATATTTCAGGCGTCGCAGATTTGCGAATGGCTAAAAATGGCGATATTATCGAACGCGCGTTGACATTGAGGATGAAAATAGCCAGCGCGCCCAAACTCCGTTTATGTCTGTCGCAAACCACGCACGAGTGTAGGACCAAATTACCAAATTGTTGAAATAATACGGGATATTAATTCCAGCCGATTGCATATGTATTTAAGTGTGCGTTGCATGAGTTTTATTGCAGGTGTCAAGAATGCGAACGCAATTGCGTTTTCTGCTACTTAGTATTAGCATTGTTTGGCCTATTTATAATTTTTGTTTGTTTTTCCAAAAGCGAATTCTATTTGCGTAGCAAACGTTTCCGACTGTGCCACGTTTACTCGACGCACTGCGTCGCGGAAATATGGAGCAAACTCCAGAAAGGATCAAGTCGAGGAAACTTATTATTCGCATCACGTTCCAACTTACGTATCAGTGACTAGTTGATAGCATGCATGACTTTTTTTCACTCATCTAATCACAATGTTAATTCATCTGTGTTAATGATGCAAATTTAGCTGATAGAAATTTGTAATGAGTCTTAAGTTTCGACGCGTGCGTGCTGAAATATTTCCACATATTCTAAGCTCTGATGCGTAGTTTACGTGCCAAACGCCTTATTTGGAAACGAAGTCGAACGAAGAACGCGCACTCGCACCGCACGCGCGCATCTCGTTCATCACCTTATTCGCCACAACTCGTCACGAACTGATTGCAAACTTAAATAAAATTGAACGGTCATCGAGCGCATTTTATGTAAGCGCACAACTAATTAATCACGGCGCGCACGGTGAGCGAACAACTCGGTAAGTCGGCTGCGATTCGAAAATTATGGCTAACAAAGCGCATAATCCGCACTTGTGCTCACGGATTTCTACGCGAGACATATTTTCTTTTCTTTTACATCGCTTTCCCGAGCTGGAAGCAACCACTGTATGCGCTGGAGCGTCAAGGGCTTAGTAGTGACTTGCAAAGCAATAAATTACCTTCGGATACGGCGGGCTCCTGGTAAATCCAAACAGGGTGCGAACACTTAACGTGACGGTGTGCACTCGACTCGTTGCCCAGAATTCGTGTAAACTAGTAAACGGTGCTTACATACGGTGTTAGCGGTGCACAGTGCACTGTCGCGGCGGGCGCGATGGGTTCGATGGGGCGCGGAACGTCCGCGGCTGACGTCAGCGGCGTCGACAAATTTAGATACCGTAGAAAACGGCCGGCACCGCCGCGAGTATAGAAACGCGGGGCCGTGATGCTGGCTGTGGCTCGAGCCGACGCGCACGGAATTCGGTAAAAAATAAAAAGCGCGGCGAGCATATTCGCCGCGCGTACTTGCCGTTACGGTCGTGGTCACCTTCGTCGTGCGCTTGTTCCCCGTCGTGGTGGACGAGGCGGAAGTGGAGGTGGTGCTCTTCATCACGTTGCGGGTAGAACTACCTCCCTCCATGCCTGCGAGAATTACCTGGGAACCAAGAAATTTGTTCAACATTTGACGCGCCTCTGCGTCTTCACTGGTATCGCCTTCCACGCGCTCCTCTGTTTTCATTCGGGTGATAACATCTTGAATACCAGTCACTTTACTGGTGTTCGTGAGAAAGCTTCCGGTTGTTTGTTTGCGGCTGGTCTCGGGTGTACTTTCCCGGCTGCTGGATTTCCTCTCTTTGAAACTAGAGGTCCGCAGAATCAAACCTGCTTTGTATGAGTTTTTCCGTTCGGAGGTATTAGATTCAACTGTAGAAAAGGGAATTAGAATAAACAAAACTATAAAATTACCTGAACGAAAAACTTACTGTTATTATCGATGAATTTTTGCGTGATCTCCTTTACAGAGTTTCTTCGAGTTACTTTCGTTCGTTCGTCTACTTTTTTATCGACGCTCCTACCAATGCTGGAAACAGCTTTTTTCGTACCAATCTTTTGAGTGGTGGTCTTAGATTGAATTCCATGCGTTGGATCACCAGAATATTTGGTCACCGTGATCTCTCCTACTGGTTCCTTTCCATTTTCAGAATAGAATGAACTTTTAGTCACCTGCCCCTGCACCTTTGTTTTATTATGAGCCCTTAAAGCCTTTAGGCCAAACAAGGGCATTCCGTTCTCATCAGTAGGACCAATACCATAACAAGATGTGATAGCGTCAGTGGCATCCTTACTGGGACTACGCTCTTTCTTCACTTCCTTGCGTACGGTTGTAGTAGATATAAATCTTTTTGTTGTTGGCACAACCCTCTCGCTAGCTTTACGCAACGGACGCTCCTTAGCCCAGTCAGGGCGATCGTCTTTCTTGGTCTGCCTTTCAGGACTACGTCTGAATGGTTTGAATCCCATTTTCTCAGGGGACTTGTCTTTACGTATAACACTCGGGCGCTTCAATATGTTTTCATCAACTTTATCTCCATCTCTAGTAGTGGTTATTTTCTTGGTGACTTTATAGTTTTCCGTCACTGAGACGTTTTTCTCCGCAGAACTACGCCGCCTCGGCATGGATGTCGTAATTTTTTCTTCACTAATCATTTTCTTCACAATGCGTATTTGTCCACGGATTCTACGTCTTAATTCGTAGTTGGTAACAGTTTCTAACATGGTTTCCAAAATTGTCAAGTCATAGACATCTTCAATTTCTTTTTTAGCACCGTTGACCTCGATAGTTGTAGATTCTTTACGCTCAACAACGTTTTTCTTCTCAGAATCGGTTCTCCTCAGGGTCACACCAAACTTTGTTTTATGTTCCTGATCTGTCAAATGAATATCCTCATGGAGTTGCGTAGTTACATGACCTTTAGATATTTCTTCCAACTCCAGAACAGATTCTCGATGAGGACTGGTAATCCGTAAGGATCTATCAAGTTGTTTCATGTATCCAGGCACATTTTCATCTTCATAAGTAATAGTTCTGCGAACATCATCCAAATGTGATTTGTCTTGTTGGATTTCCTTTGTAGATCTTAATTTTGAAATAGATGAGGTATTTTTTGTAGATTCCGCTGCTGTTTCAAAAAGAACCTTTGCTTTCTTGATGCTTTCAGAACTTCTTAGTTTACCAACAGAACTTAAGTAAACTTTCTTACTTGATTTTGGAGTATCATCCAAAATCGGAGCAGTCACAGGTTTCTTCTTGGGCTTGGGGCTCAGATCACTCAAAGCAACTTCTGGTTTTTTCTTTAATGTCTCCGCAGTATCCACAAATTTAATCACCTTTTCGGATACACTCAACAAACATTCATCGTCTTTCAATACCTCACTCGACTGACGCCGTTCCTGACGAACATCTTCACTTGTTGTTGTTTTACTAGTGGTTGTAAATTGACATCTTGGAGACTTGGGACGCTCCGGAATTGAATCTGCTTTCAATTGATCCGCTGTAGTTTTAAATTTATGGACTTTGTCCGATACACTCAAAAGACAATCATCACTACGTAATGTCTCATCAACATTGAATTCCGGGCGAGAGACTTTTGGCGCTGGGCCCTTCGATTTCTTCGAAGTATTTTTAGTATGCTGGAATTTGTTGACTTTTTCATTCACAGTCAATAGACATTCATCTGTTTCAGCCACTCTATCTACATCCGTGATTTCCGTATCCACTAATTCAGTGATTCGGTTAAATTCTTCAATGCGTTCATCTTCATCAATTATAATGTCATTTACCTTGGTCTTCCTTGAAGCATTGCGGCGACTGTCTTCTGGTTCTTGAATTTGATCTGGATAACGTGGAATACCAGAATCTTCTTCGGTTTGCACAGGCCAGACCTTTTCAGGGGAATCTTCACGGGATGACTTGGAGCGCTTGAGGTCAACGATAATTTCACGTTGTTCGGCTACAGCCTCATTGATGATTATACTCTTAGTAGAAATGCATTTGGGTGTTTCCTCTGGACGCGACTTGGGTTTGCTTGTTTTGTTACCTGTAGTTTTTGGTGATGTTTCCAAATTGATAGTTTGTGTAACCAGATTTGTTGCACTATTCTTTTAGTTGGTGTTTTCTTCCCGGTGGTAACTGTAGCAGTAGTTGTTGTTGTATCGGTTGTCTTTTGCTTCCTTTTCTTCTCCTTCTGTTCGTCGAATGACAAATCTTTCTTAACGGTCTTATGTTTGATGGTTTCGATTTCCTCAGTGATAATGTCTTCTTCCACCAAACGCCTGGGTGATTGCGACTTGCTGCGTCTATCTACGGCGGGTTCCTCTTCATCTTTGCCTAATTTATACATAAATTTCTTAGTAAAAAGCGGTTCATCTACTTCGTCAATCTGCTTACCCTTCAAGTGCTTAACATTTGATTTCATTAACTCATCCTCCGTTGTCTGGACTGTTTTGTACGTCTCTGAACTCTGCTTTTGCTTAGTTTCTTCTTTCAACAGACTGTCAGTAGTTTTCTTCGGAGACGTTTCCCTCTGGGGACTCGCACGAGGTGTTGTGCGAGAAGGGCTTGATCGCTCCGGGCTAGCGCGTTGCTGCACAGAGATCTCCTTTTCAACGTTAATAAAATCAACAGTATACGTCTGACCATTCTTTGCAGTTGTAAAAGCTCGTGGAATCATATCATCTCTGCAAGGCGACATGGATTTCTTCTTAGCATCAATTCGATCGGTAACAATTTCTAAATCAATCGCAGGTGAACATGTTCTTTTACCACCATGATATTTACGAATCTCTTTCGCGGTTGCTGTGCCTTTATCGGGAGAAAAGGTAACCCTATCAGGTGTCTTCCGTTCTGGTGTTTGACGCGGTGCTGATGGTAGCCAATTTGTCTGTGGAGCGATATCTTTCTCTGGACTTTTTAAAGAAGGTTTCCTTTCTGGATAAGAAACACTTGTCCGCTTTTGGGCCGGATATTCCAGGACCTTCTTTTCGGGACTTTTGCTTGGCCTACGAACAACATCGGGCCAAGATGGCTTGCGATTGGCATGACGATCATTTGCAATAATATCACTGACATCTTTATCCGGCTTTGGTTTCTTTTTCTCCGTAATTCCAAGTATCTGACGCACACGCTCTTCATAAGTATCAGTGCGGCGAAGGACCTTATCAGTTGGCTTTTCTGTGATTGGCTTTTCCCTCGGGGACGAACTGCGTCGATCATACTCCGTATGAACAGACTTGGTAATAGTTTCATTGCTGCCATACTGTTGGGAGCCCTTTTCTCTGATGTGATTCTAGTCTTCTTATCAAGACTTGGATGGCGGAAGGATTGAGTCCTGCGGTCACGATCTGGGGTGACGCTACGTAGGCTGCGAGCAAACGCATCGTGAGTTGGACTAATATCGACGCTGACGCGTTGTTTATCCTGCGTGAAGCTGGTAGAATGAATGGCGGTGTTCGTGCTTTGTTTTTCAGTGTGAACTTTCTCGGTTTTATTTGTATTAATAACGTTCACTGATGAATCACGCTCAACGACCGTTTGCGACGAACGACGCGAATCTATTATTTGCTCAGTGGGTTTACCGACGTTTTTGTTGGTGGTGGTAGTGGTTGTAGTTGTAATGGTTTGGACGTTTTCCATTTTGGGAATGGATGTGTCCTTGACAGATTTATCTTCAATTGTACGTATTTTGTCGTGACGATCATGTTGTTCACGGCTGCATTTTTCAGATTCCTGAACACGTCGTTCTTCGCGCTGTTCTCTATGAACATTCACACTGCTCCTCTGGACATTTTCGATATTTTCATGGTGTTCCCTGTGTTCTTTGTGAACATTTTGCACATTCTGCACATGTTGCACGTTTTGAACATTTTGTATGTTTTGATTAGTTTCCTGGAGTTGTTGACGTGTCTCCTCCCTAACATTATGCGCACTTTGCTGCAGTTGTTTTGTATCCTGAGTAATCTCACGTTGTTGAATCTCACGTTGTTTGCTCTCGCGTTGTTGACTCTCACGACGTTGACTTGACGTTGAAGAACTTTTAACAACAGTGTTGCTACTATTTTGCGTACCCGAAGTCTTGGTGCAGGCACCAGTGGTCTCATATCGTGTCTTTGTAACTCTTGTACCATCAGGAAGAATCTTGGTCTCGGTAAACACCTTAGTGTTGGGGTCTTTAAGCACAGCGTCTGGAACGTATCCTTGGGTGGACGAAGATTTTTGCTCACTCACATAACGCGATGATGTAGAACTAGAAGTGCTAGTAGATTTAAAACTGGTATCTCCATCCACACCATGTGCCTCCTGCTTAAGTACACTAGAATTTGAAGTGCCAACCGCTTTCTTAAAGTTCTTATCATCGCCATCCTGATAAACCGTTGCCTTTGCTTCATTCTTAGCGGCATAGTGAGAAACCCCACCCTGAATCTCCTTGGAACCCGATGTGGTAGCCAACTTGCTAACGCTCTGAGTCTTACCGTCACGACTAGACTCCTGTGTCTCTTGCACGTTCCATCCACGATCCGAATGAACGGCAGAGCGAGAAAAAGCCAAATCCTTCGTGGGACTTTCAGAATCGCGAATCTCTTTCGATTTTAAAGATTGGAAGCTGTGATCCAACAATGAATCTGCATGATGCGTATTTTCCGCGTGTTTACTGCTACTGGTTTTCGTTGTTATGTTGGAAGTGGTTTGAATATCGCGCGCCACTTCACCGCTAGTATAAAACTCTTTCAATCGTTGTTCGCGCACTTTGTACATATGCGCGCGTATTTGTTTCTTTTGGCTGAAGTCGTCTGTTTCCTGCCACTATAAAATCAGACAACTTGAATTAGTGGCAATTAAGAAGTAACTGAGAACTCATTCAATACGCAAAAAAGGCAACTAGGAAACTGTCAATAGATGTTAGATAATTATAAATTCACATACCATGCGCCTAAGGACATCTTCGTCCTGTATCTTAGTGACGTCGCACGTCTGGGACGCCATCGTTGACCTCCTTTCTCTGAAACAAAAAGCACACGTTTAGTGTCAATTCATCAAAATTGTACGCGCGCAAATCTCGTATAGACGCGACGCGACAAACAAGTATAAAAAGTGAAAATACTTTTACGTAATAATCCGCAAAAAGGTCTCGCATTAAACGTGTAAGGACCATGAATATTGCGTGGCGTCGTGCGAACGCACAAATAACGACCATAAATGGCAGTTTGCGACCAAATATGGTTATCTAGGGTAATATGAGTCTTACGAACAAGACGTCCTCCGACCGTCCATACACTGCGCGACCGGCGTACTCGCACCAGACGCCAGCCTCAATCCGAATGACTCCTCGCGATTATTTATATGATTACGAAAAAAAAATCAAACAAACAATATATAGGTATGATTAAGCAGACGCGCACCTATATAAGCAGCGACCATATGGTCCATCATTAACACATTCGCACGTAATGAATTCGTTGAAAATTTGAGCATCCATAAACCAAAAGACAATAAAACCCAAAAAATCCAACGCGATAATTCGCGAATCGACGAGGATGGGATTCGAACCCACGCGGGCAGAGCCCATTGGATTAGCAGTCCAACGCCTTAACCACTCGGCCACCTCGTCCTGTTCCTTATGGCGAAACACGCGAATGAAAAAGGCCACGGAATCATTCATAACTTTTAAATCCAACAATACATGCATGACGATTATAACTTCAAACAAGCAATAAGCAATGAGCATGGCATCATTTCATTAGCATCGAAAATCAAATTAATCCTCAACAATTATAACATGCAGCAGCCGAATGAAATGAGCAAATTCGTGGGTGGTTTTAAAAATAAGCGACATTGAAAATGGAATGATCGAAACGCCTGACTAACAAACGACACGTGTTTCTTTTCCAACGCGTTACTCAAAGGTGTTTTAATTGTCCGGCCACGTTTGCGGACGTTCGTAAGCAGCCGGTGGAAGAAGACGTGGGTGCATTGACAAAATCGGCAACATGAATGATTCTCATACGCGCTAATAAGTTCAATGTGATTGAGGCCGGCCCAGAGCGACGCAGAAATTCGCCTTACTTGTGCTTCGTTTTCTGCTCGCTTGTTTAGCGCTACGTAGTTATTGCATAATGATGACAATAATGACAATGTTGAGCGGATAATAACAGGTGTAGGCGTTGTTTTGATTTTGCGCTGCGTTCTAATAACAGCGGATTGTTTGGTACTAAGTGAGCTATAAAATTCGTATAAATCACGTACTAATATGGTTATTTATTAATCAACGTGCCGTGCACAATTCAACGCGCGGTACACATTGCGCGTGATGTCATCTATTTATTTTGAATAATGCACTGCAATCGTGTCAACGAATGCACATTGATCATTGTTAAATTTCCACGCAAATGTTATGCATCATACTTGATATTTGAAATTAACACAAATAATATTGCAAAATCGTGGGAAAAACATAAATTATTTAGTGTTAAACGATCATGTGAACATATAACAACTTTATAAACTAAATTTTTTTACTAAATTTCGTTTAAATTGAAAAAAAAATTAATTTTTAGAAAAATGTTTTAGGTACTCACCGAAATTTCGTGTCGTTCGATGTGTTCGGAACAATCGCAAATCTAACTTCCAAACCGCTGATGGTAATCAAAGTACTTAATCAAATCACACTTGTGGTAGCAAATCAGATCCCGGTGTCGGACTCGTCGATATCGAAAAGCGGCCGTTCGCCGACTGAATGAATCCGAGCGTGTACGTGCTAAAAACACGCGTGGGGCTGCAGTGCCCCCGCAGATTGCGGTGACGTCAGCCGCAACGGTCATCCATGTCCGAGGCAACCTGTTCGAAAAAGAGCGCAGCATCCAACGCGCGCCAACAGGCGGGTGGTAATCGCGCTTCCTTTCGATTTCCCAGACCCCAGCAAGCCGCCGTCGCGCACCTTCCAGGCGGCTTCGAGAAAAAGGAACATTCGTGTCTTCGCTCGCGCGCCGCTGCCCAAAGATGGACGGCTCGGAGACACCAGGTGGGCGTTTGATGACGTCATCGAACGATATTGTTCTAATTCGTTCGATTTCATTAACAACGCGCGAAAACAGTTGCGCATTGCACGCATGATTTCTTTTCGCAATAATAATAAGTTATTGCGCGCGTTGGCATCCTGTTTGATTTTTTTGTGGGCCATGGACGGCCTCTTCCATCTTGGGCATGATCTCTTCGCGCGAGATTAAAGTTTGACCAAGTAAGGCAACGCGGATCGGATTTCGAGCCATACGCTCAGTTTGTTCCAAATATTAATATTATCGGATTGCCAAATTGCGAAGGTTTACTTTTATTATTTAGTGGTGAGAGAAAAGTGTCATAAGGAAACCAGTGGAGACATTGGAGACAGAGACAACTGAATATTTAAGCAGGATAACGGTCAAAATTTAAATATTGAAGGAAATATTGAAAAGATCGTCGTTGCTATACACATACAATCGCACAGCACTTGAAGCGCAACATGTTTATGAAATAAATAAACAAAGCGGGGACAGTCAAAGTAGACATGACGGGGCCAATCGCCCAAAAGAAAAACAATATGTATGTCCAATATAGCAACTATACCTAGAATAAGTGTGATGTAAATATTTTGAATCTAATTAATAAATTAATTAATGTATCTTTAACATCTTAAACTGAAATTCATAATCATATGTTCATTGATTTGAAATTTTGGTTTCTTTCTTTTAATATTATTAAATTAAATTATTCTTATTTTGGTTTCGTTCTTCTAATATTAATAAATTAAATTGTTGAATTATTCTACGATGAAAATAAATATTATTAAAATAAGAACGCGGTCCTACACAGAAACAGCACAGCAAACATCCAATTCACACAAGTATACTCTGATAACGGCGACTTTTTGTTGTTTGTTTGTGTTTGATGCAACACAAAAAATGCAACTCGAATAAATAAAGTCAAGTAAATAAATATATTGCACTTAACAGAACTGTAGTTGCCATCTTTTATCACAAATGTAAGTTAAGCTAATACATTCCGACGGAGACTTGAAATTAACACGCATTTAATGCAATTCTTCCATTTTGCTCCAACATTAGTAGCATCATAAAACTTAATTACCCTCAATCGCCCATAAATATCCCATCAAATACTAAATATACCTATTAATAGTTTTAAATAATTATATTGGAGGTGAAAACAACTACAACTGAACATAAGATGCATACTGAAATTTTTAATCATTTTTCATTATTATGAGAGTAAAACGAGTAATAAATGATATAATAATATTCAACTCATCTGTTTAACGACAACCCAGCGTGCTGTTTTGAATTTGTAACACTTAAAAACGCCTGTTTCTTGCTTGTAATATTATTAACACGAGAAGACACAACTTAAGAAACAAATGCACATAACTAAACGTTGATAACAGCAATAAATAAATATATTGGAGATAAAATCAACTACATCTGAGCATAAGATGCATATCAAACTGAAATTCTTAATCATTCTTCATTATTATAAAAGTAAAACGAATAAATAACTAAATAACATTCAACTCATCTGTTCAACGATGACCCAACGTGCTGTTTAATGAGTTTGCTACACTTATCAACTCCTATTTCTTTCTTATAATATTATTAACACGAGAAGACACAACTCAAGAATCAAATGCACATGACTAAACTTTGATAACAGCAACTAGTTTGTGTTTAGGACGAATCAAAACAAAACAAAAAACAAGGCAACCCGGAATCAGGTAAATGTAATTTTGCGCTGTGCAGTACTGCTGTTGGCATCTAGGGTCACAGAATTGCACTAAACTAATGCATTCCGACGAACACGAAACCAACACGCATTCAATTCTGCTATGATTTACTCAAAAGAGTTAATTTCACTCAACACGCATAAATTTTCCATCAAATACAAAATATACCTATCAATAGTTTTAAATAACTATATTAGAAGTGAAATCAACTACATCTGAACATAAGATGCATATCAAACTGAAATTCTTAAGCATTTTTATAAGAGTAAAACGAATAAAAAATGATAAAATAATATTCAACTCATCTGTTCAACGATTACCAAACCAGCTGCTTAATGAATTTGTGACACTTAAAACTCCTGCTTCTTTCTTGTAACATTATTAACACAAGAAGCCCCAACTCAAGAATCGAATGCACACAACTAAACATTGATAACGGCAACTAGTTTGTGTTTTCGCGACACATCAAAACAAAACAAAAGCAAGGCAACCCGGTGTCAGGTAAATGTAATTTTGCGCTGTGCAGGACTGCTGTTGGCATCTAGAGTCACAAAATTGCACTAAACTAATGCATTCCGACGGACACGACACCATCACGCATTCAATTCAGCTATGATTTACTCGAAAAGAGTTGATTTCACTCACCACGCATAAATTTTCCATCAAATACTGAATATACCTATCAATAGTTATAAATAAGTATATTGGAGGTAGAATCAACTACATCTGAGCATAAGATGCATATCAAACTGAAATTCTTAATCATTCTTCATTATTATAAAAGTAAAACAAATAAATAACAAAATAACATTCAACACATCTGTTCAACGATGACCCAACGTGCTGTTTAATGAGTTTGCTACACTTAAAAACTCCTGCTTCTTGCTTGTAATATTATTAACACGAGAAGACACAACACAAGAATCAAATGCACTCAACTAAACTTTGATAACGGCAACTAGTTTGTGTTTTTGCGACACATCAAAACAAAACAAAAACAAGGCAAGTTAGAGTCTGGTAAATGTAATTTTGCGCTGTGCATAACTGCTGTTGGCATCTAGGGTCACAAAATTGCACTTAACTAATGCATTCCGACGGACACGAAACCAACACGCATAAATTTCCCAACAAATGCAAAATATACCTATTAATAGTTGTAAATAACTATGTTGGAAGTGAAATTAACTACATCTGAACATAAGTTGCATATCAAACTGAAATTCTAAACCATTTTTCATTATTGTAAAAGTAAAACGAATAATAAATAATAAATGTTCAACTCATCTGTTCAACGATGACTAAGCGTGCTCTTTTCTTACAATATTATTAACACGAGAAGACACAACACAAGAACCCAATGCACACAACTAAACTTTGATAACGGCAACTAGTTTGTATTTGCGACAAATCAAACCAAAACAAAAAACAAGCCAACCCGGAGTCAGGTAAATGTAATTTTGCGCCGTACAGTACTGCTGTAGACATCTAGGGTCACAAAATTGCACTAAACTAATGCATTCCGACGGACACAACACCAACACGCATTCAATTCAGCTATGATTTACTCAAAAAACGTTAATTTCACTCATTCACGCATAAATTTCCCATCAAATGCAATTAAAAACTTGAAAATAATTATGCTATAAATTAAATAAATTGCATGTATGTTAATAAAAGTCGTCTCTATTATAAAATTTGAACTTGTACAAAAAAGTCTAAAACTCTGCGAAGTTAGATTCACAAATGGACGGATTTGTTACGCATCTGCACTTAAGCTTAAACATATAACTAACAAAATCACATTGCTATATAAACAACAAGTCCAAGAAGCAAACTGGTCATAGAAACCGTTGTCATGTGCCCATTATTACACTCATCTTCAGAGCAGTAACACTCCTCCCAGTAATCTCCATTGATGTATACACCCCAGTTGCAAACTCCAGTCACACCAGTCTCAGCAACTGATGCACATCTCCTGATAACTTGCCTCCAACGCCCATCCCCTATTATTTATTAATAAATGAATATTTAACTGTATAAAATTGTGATTGTTTGACTTACAAATGAATCCCCTGGGGCCCTGTTGAGTGACTTTCATGCAGAAAGAGCCAGGCATGTGGCTCTCATCAGTGTTGCACTCAATTGCGATGTTACGTTCTTTGTCGAAGCGTTTGTACGCCCCGCAATTGTCCTCTCCCTTGGCGTCCTCGCTGGAAGCGCATTGATAGCACCGCACTGCCAAACCTGCAATTGTTTTGATAAGATAACAGACGTGGTCGCCATGGGAACTTGTTGTTGATGCTCACCTGCGCCCGCCAACAATGTGATGAAAAACGAAGTAAGTACAAGTTTCGTGAGGCACTTCATCTTGCTGAATAACTGTGTGGTACTACGTACGATTGCCTCAATTGGGCGCTGCGATGATGTTTAATTGCGGTTAATTATTAAAACGACTAAACGCGACACTGGAAAAGTGGGTGTGCGCCGCATGAGTCAAAAACTCACGATGCAAACGATGCAAACAAAACAGCGCACACGCAACACGCGCACACCTTATCCTTGTAACTGACGCAAGCGAACTAAGCGTAAAACGTGTTTGTGGCGACAGTACAAAAGTACTGCGTTGATGAGTTCAACCTGTTGCGCATGCGCCGAACGCACACGGCTAGTACCATCGTCGGACGTTTCCTCGTTGAGTGTTGAGTCTTTGGTCTTTCTGTTTACATGTCGTTTCAAAGCACTTGTTGCCGAGGTGTTTCCCCAAAATTAATGCGGTCGCATTGCAGTACTACCACCTGTGTTCAATAATAACGTCAGCAAATCTAATGGAGCTGAACATTAAGTGCATCTTACTGGCGAGCATCGTCCTCTTCGTGCTCATTCGGCAAGGTAAGAGGCGTTTAATCACCAAGTTGTCTAAGAACCTCACCCTTTTTTCTCAACATGCATAAATCACACAGGTCTCGCTATCAAATGTTGGGACTGCCGGTCCGACTTCGATCCGAAATGCTCCGACCCTTTCGATAACAGCACATTCTACATGACGGACTGCGCCCAGCAGAAGTTGGAGTTTCTACCTGGCGCCAGGTCGACAATGTGTCGCAAAATCCGGCAAAAAAGTAAAATTTCAATTATACACCCTCTAGAGAATCAAATTGATTTTCATTCTTTTATTTCATATTAGTCCACGGCACTTGGCGATACATGCGCAGTTGTGCATACCTGGGCGAGCCGGGAATTCAAGGCGATGAGCGTTTCTGTTTGATGCGCACAGGAACCTACAACATCTTCATGGAGTACTGCACCTGCAACAGCAAAGATGGCTGCAACACCAGCAGTCACCTACAGTCAGCGCACGCCGTATCGCTAGTGGCTATTATTTTAAGTGTGTGCATGTATTTGAGAAGAGTATAGAGATCTGATGTGCCTTCCAGAACGCAAACGAGACGCGTTCTCCACGATGATCAAAACAAATCCGTCCAGCAAAGCGATTATTAACTGTATTTTTTTATATGTGTAACTTTAATATATAAAAAACACATTTTTTAGTACAAAATAATATTTGATACACAAGAGAATACGCGTAGAAAATGTTTAAATATTGGTAACCATCCTAAACAAGAACTAAAGCTAACATTTTAGACTTACCTATTATTACACTGCAACAAAAAAAATGCCTCATGCATGTTTCACGCATAATTTAGCTGATTGTTAAATTAAACAGTCTTCTGTTTCTATATAAAAAAAAATAACAAACGGATTTTATTCCGTGCCGAACTCATTGCGTATCCATGGATATTTCGGCGGACATTCCATGCATGTATGAAAATAGCGCTCCTGCTGGAATACTCTACTATATAGTTTGCAAACATTTGGAGCATCGCATGCAACTTCGCTTTTTGCAAAACGACTCCTCTCACATCCCCAAATATCTTGTTCTTTTGACATCACACGCGGGTTTCTCATCCATTTGATTGCCTGCGAATTTGTTACGAACCAAACATCGGGTTGCCGGAGTAAATCATCTACGAACGTCTGAAATTAGAAAATTTATCCATTATTTTGCACATTTGCGCGGAAAAAGAACTTTTGCGAGTTAAACATCACAGGATGACGTCAGTGTAAGTATTTTGGGTCACTCAACCAATTCACGGACTTACGACGTGCCCAGAATGTCAATAACTTACGTAACTTAAAAAATGTTAATCTCGTTTGCATGCTGATACCTACTTTCCACTTTCTGTACACAATATCAGCGAAAAATTACGACTTCAAGCAACATACCGAAAATGCGCGTAGATATTCCGGCTTCTTGAACCACGCCGAATGCAGATGCAACCCAAATGGCGCCCGATTGCTCAAATAATGCCGCTTGAAGTTGTGATGCAGTAGTTTATAGACTTCATTACCAGACAAATCAGCCGGGCATGTGCCTAATTTAATACACATGAAATCATTTGCGATGAGCGGATTGAGTGGCAGTTCCCAAACACCAGGGTGCGCGCGTGTTGGACAATTCTGTGATTGCGCACATGCATGCGGCAAAGCGTGGTCTAAAGTATACGGCCAATATGGCGGATCGTGATGCGGAGCAATAATGGAACTATCATACAGGAAACCAAACTCTTTCGCCATTAAAAATTGTCGGTTCCAGCCGACTTTCAAGAACGGCGTGCGCATTCCCTTGATTTCAGGCAGGCGTACACCAGCAAAGCGATGTAAAATATTCGCCTGCCCCACCATTTCATCGAAGTAATCTTCAATTGTCGCATTATTGGCCCACCAATCTTCAGGACCACGATGACTGTACAAACAAAAATAAAATAAAACAACTGGTTTTTTGTCGTCATGAAAAGTATGACTTACGTGATTGAATGAACAGCGATTTCGTGTCCATCATTCCACAACTTCTGTGTTTGTTGATAATTGTTATACTGATGACTAACAAAAAAGGTAGCGACGATCGGACAACCATTCGGATTGGTGCGATTGGCGTTGAACAGGAAGTTGGAGTACAAGTCGAAGTTGTCAAAGTTGATGGCGTCGTCGAACGTCAGCAGCACCATTTGTGGCGTGTCTGCGGCTGGTAAACCACCAGGTATATTCGTACCATCAGGATCACACCAACAATCTGGCAGGACACAAATTGAGGGATCGCACTCTGGTGGTAAATTCTCATCATTAAAGTTTTGACAATGTCCCTCATCGCTGCCATCGGGGCAATCCGTGGACCCGTCGCAGAAATACTGCTCCGGCAAACAGGTACCATCACCACAACCTAGTTCAAACTCATTCGGACACTCCGCCGCGGTGAGCAGTGGTTTTGGCACGGTGGCCTCTAAGAAATCCAACGAAAACAATCCGTAAGTTGATGCAACTATGAAGATGTAAACGCAGATAATTACCGGCAGTGATGTCGCAATTCTCGACGTTCGCCTTGAAATCGCAGATCTGCCTGTTGACGTCGAACAATAGCCCGACAGAACAGCGAAACTCGAAGACCTCGCCTTCGAGGCACAAGAAGTACTTTGCGCACTCGTTGCTCGTCCATGTTTTGGCCTTTGCGCGCTCCGGGTCGCGATAGAATCGTCCGTTCTCAACGCATTTGATGCACCGGCCGAAGTCAACTGCAAAAAAAAAGCCTTAAAACGTTTGCCGATGAATGCACTCAAATGAGTGTTTAGTGGTGTGTTGAAACTTCTTAAGTGCATTCAGCTACCTTGGGAACTCGTGTTTTGCATTGCGAACAATTGTTCGCCGCGCGATTAACGAGCGAAATTTGCGCTGTTTAGCATGCTGATAGTTCACAGTTCGCATGCATTACGCGTGGTTCTACAAAAACATTTATTCGATGCAAAAAAGAGAAATTGACCGTAATTGTCGTTCCAGTTTGAATACCGCAGACGAATCGATTCGAGCACGCTCAACTAATCGAATGACAGAGTTAAGTAATGTGAATTTTTGGCGCGTGGGCTTACCGCAGAGTAAAACGATGCTGACTGCAAGTAAGAAACGATGCGCAATCTTCGACCGCATGTTGTCCAAGCGGATCGTTGCCCGATCGATGGATTAATCGGTGATTATTTACTTTCCACGCGAAGAGCGCAATGTGTGTGCGGTACGCACCGTGCACGTCTTTTCAACTGACTGCCGCTGCTGGTTGCGGCTGCGGCGAGTATAGTGCGTCGTGTCGCGCGTTGAGAACTTTGGAGAGTTCGTGAGATATTCATTCCGTGCGCCGACCACTTTCTCATCGTCGCCGCCGCAGAACACCGATGTAGCCTATGTACGAGATGCACATGTGGAAATCGACGCAGCGCGCGCGCGCTGTTCTATTCAACAATTAAGGCGTCAAGAGAAACCAGCGAGTTCTACTTAGCATACGCAATTATATTTAAATTCTCTTCATCGCGCATCTAATACACACATTTTCAGCATAATAACAAAATTAGTTACGGTCAAGGTGTAGAATAACAATAGCAATAATTGTTGATGTTGCTATAGGTATTTTTAAATTTTTTTTAAAAAGTTTTTTTAAATGTTTCATAACTTTGCACTCCTTTGCTATATGCAACCAATAGTACACAATTTTGACGCTTGCCAGAATGTAAACAAACATTCGAACCACCACCGTTAAACGTTTCGTAATGTTGCAACGGACATAATTTAAACGCGAGTGAAGCATTGATTATACACTAGAAATGCAGATATTTACCTGCATTGCCTCGTTTTTAGTGCTGCTTTTTTATGCACTGGCTTTCGACGAGCTGATATTTTTCGCCAATGCTGAGTTATCAGTGCAGGATATGCGAAAGGCGGGTCGCGAGCAGTATCAGGTAAAATCTCATTTCTCTACTGTATTTCCATAGATAACATGCGAATATTTATTTGCACATCTGTACAGATACTGCAAGAACGTGGGAAGCTGCCCAAATACGGCGAATGCTGGAAGGCGGCCTTGGAGCACGTCGAAGAAAGTTGCCGGCAGCTGACGGAGGAAACCCAAAGCGACGTCGCGCTGCACATCACCAACTGTTTCCTAGAGATGTCCGGCCATGATACCTACAGTTGCGGCACTGATAAGAAGCCAAATCTGCGCGCAATCTGTCTGCAGAGTATGACTGACCGGGCGTTTAACGTTTACACCGAATTTTTCACTCAGGCACAGAATATCTGCTGGTTTCTGAGGGGCACACTCTGGCAGGAAACCATTGAGGAAAACACGCGGAAAGTCGGCAAGCAGTTGGATAAATCCTCGAGGAATCAAGAGACTTTGCTGAAGAATCAACAGCATTCTCTGGAATTACAAGAGAAGATGTTGAAATACGGCGAGGAGATGGACGCAATAATGATGCGCTTCATGGCGACTACGAAACAACATCACGAACTGATTCAAGTGCTCAGCACGTCCGTGAGCAATCTGCAATCGTGGCTGATCGGCGAAGTTTCATGGCTGGACAGCGCAGTATTCTATCTAGTCGCTTCACTTGTCGTTATTTTTGTGACATCGTCACCTAGGGCAATGGCAGCGCGTCTACCGATGTTAATCCTATTGGGTTGTAACATTTTCTTCGAGCGAATTCTCTGCTATGGCATCAGCCATGGGAGTGTAATGAACGCTGAGCTGGTTCATGAAAATTACTACACTTATGTGTCTTACATGCGATATGCGTTTATTGCGTTCATGGGATTCACGCTGGGATTCCATGCGTTGATGTACAAAGACTACCTCATTGAGAACCACCTGATTCTGGAGACGATTCAGGAGGGCATACGTGATTTGCAACATTCCCTACAGCCGGTGGTGATGCACGCTGAAAGTCAGCAGCAGGATCGAGCTGTGGAGAGTATCGAGCGAGAATGCTTGGAGAATATTCCGCGCGCGCGACCGCGGAAGAACGGTACAAATGTCACACCTCGGCGTACATACTATTTGGACTTGTCCAGAGGGTCAACGGAATCGACGAGGAGCAACGGACGGTACAATTTGCGCGTTCGGCACGATACCGGCTTGATGTTGAATAGCTTTGAATAGTTTACAGCTTTCATTGCCAACTGCTGACTGAATATTATGACAAAGATATAGTTTACTTTTAATTTATTGAGCAAATGAATAAATATTACTGATTAGTTATTATGTTATTATATATTCGATAAAAATCCTGCATTAGCATGAAAATGTGTATAAAACCGCATAATTCCCATGGATATAATCTGTAAATTAGATTTTTCTTTATTCTTTTGCTTTAATTAAACAAATAAAAAACAAGACTGGATTTCGCGCATGTGTAGCATTATGTGTATATGAACGTCGGCTAACCTAAAAATTCTACGCAACGCACAAGCGTCGTTATTCATTTGTTTCGTTCGTTGAGTATCCTCACTATGGCTGCAGCAATGGATAAAAAGGTAACACAATTTCACTATACCAAAACTTTGTTAATTTAACATTTCCCAAGGCCCCAACTACAGGCGATGGCAAAGAAAAGAAACGTAAAGAGTCAATCTTGGATTTATCAAAGTACTTGGAGAAAACCATTCGAGTGAAGTTTGCGGGCGGGCGCGAAGCCGCTGGCATCCTCAAAGGTTACGATCCTTTGCTTAATCTGGTCCTGGACAACACCACAGAATATCTACGTGATCCCGATGATCCCTACAAACTGGTGGAAGATACAAGACCCCTTGGTTTGGTTGTCTGCAGAGGCACCAGTGTTATACTCATATGTCCCATGGAAGGCATGGAATCAATACCTAATCCATTTATACAGCAAGATTAGTTTACTTTAGGATAATGCTACTTTAATTTTTATGTCTTATATTGTATTTCTTTTGATTTATTTAATGCTGGCATTCTTCATAACAAATTTCACTTGACTGAGTAATGCTTGTTTTGATATAGGTATATATATTGGTTTTGGAAATTATTCCTTTGTTTTGATTTATGAACAATAAAAAACTTGTTTGTAGAAGTAAACAAATGATTAATAATTTAGTTATTGTTGTAGAATGGTGCAATAAATGTTTGTGTACTGTTGGAAAAAAATATGTATATTGGGTTGCCTATAGTACGACAGGAAGTCATTTCGATTTGAATAATTCGAAAGTTCCATGACGTAAACTTAAGCCGATAAGCATGCAAAATGGTACATTACGTAATACCACAAGGTGCACTCGGCGCGCTCGTTAACTCTGAGACATATCAACAAAAACATTGACTCATGCCGAGCGAATGAATGAACATGCAAGTCGCCCATGAACGCTATAAAAATAGCGTCGCGTTTCTTTGTCCGAATTGTACGGCATACTTTTGTTGCGCGTCGCGCCTACTCCACGCACGTACTTTGACCGAACGTACATTAAACGAACGTGTCCATTTAAATAAACAAACGTGTTTCAGTTACGCCAAGTTACAAGGACCAGACGGCGACTTACATCGGCTTCCGCTGCAAGCGCATGAAAGTGAAAATGCGTGCGCATTGTGCGTGCGGTCGGAAGCTGCGCATTGCGGGCGGGGGCGCCGAAAAGCGCGCCGACACACACGCTCGTCCCCCTTAGTACCCAGCCGCCAGCCCGCTAGCCCGCGCCCGCGCCTCCGCCTGCAACGATCGATTCCGGCGTTTGGTCTCCGCGTCGTCGTCCTGGTCGTCAACCGCCAACCGCCCGCCGCGGTCGCGCTCCTGTAAATAGCAATAATTCGCGTTCGTTTTCAAGGTCGGTAAGGCCAGGCGCGGACTCCCGGTGCAGCTACACGTAGTTCAGTGCATCATCCGCCGGCGATCGTCGCATCCCACCGTCTCCGAAAAAAAAAAAAAACGCCAAACGCGCTTGTTGTTAGTGCTGTGATCGCTATCGTCCTTCCGTCGTTCGTTCTTCTCTTCATCGTCCTCCTCCGCAATGGCAACGACCGTTTTTTAGCAGCGTTTACCCAGCCGCTCAGCTTATCGCACAGGTAATAAGCCATTTCGTAATTGGCGGTGATGCGGCGCATGTGATGCCGGTGGTAATAAAATTAGACGTTATTATCATGCGGCAGGCGCGGACGCTTTATTTACTCTTCACCTTGAATCATCGAGTCGTTAATCGTCTACCGTGCGTTGAGAAATGTCTTATCGACGCGATTCGAATTTCATGAAGGTGTAGATATTCATTACACGATTGTAAATCGCGCATTCTGAGCTTCAAACACGCAGCAGACAATCATTACCAGCGTATTATTTTCTATAACGACGAGGCGGATTGCTTGTTGCGCACGTTCAATATGCAAACTGTTATATTATTAAATAGATTACGATACAGTGGCATTCGGTTGTTTGTTTGTTTGAACAATAACGCGAACAATAATGTGACATTCGAGACAAATGGATTGCCATTCTTCATAATGATATATTGCATATGTGACCTTTGTCGGAGTTGCGACTGGGACTGTTGGGACTGGGCCACTAAGTAGAAGAAAACAAAAAGCACCCCTTGTAGAATGATGAGTGAATCATGCTCCCGCTCTCGTGCCGCCCTCACCGCCCCTACCATTTGCGCCACGAGCGCTTTTATGTAATAAGTTCAAAGCAGACGGCACACAAGTGCACGCGCGTCGCCTTGGGAGGTGCAAGGCGGCGCGCATTGCCCGAGTGCAAGGTTAAGGATGCACAAAGGAGCAGGAGACGCAGCGGCGGCGCACGATTCATTGATTGCAAACACACTCGCGCCGTGGTATTTCATTAGAGGGCTGGAGTGTGCACATAAGGGGTGCCCGCATCCTGCATGCCTGCATGCCTGCAGGATGTGTTATCGATTGTCGAGGCACCTCCGACGGGCTGGCGGCCGCCGCCACCGCGCCGCGATGGTGAACTTGTGGCTGCTCGTCAAGGCCGCGCCCGCCATCGATTTTTCACTCCGCAGCCACACAGTTACAATAACACTATCACATAATCAAAACCCAGCGGCAAACAAAATTCCGTTTTGTTTGTTTGTTTGTTTGTTTGCGCTGCGATAAATGTAATAATTGAATATTTACAATGTTTAGAGTTTACGAAGACGGAATCGCCGGCTCTGATATCAGTAACGAATGCGGATATTAAGTGCACACGGAGATAACGGCGCGCGTTGAGTCAGGATTCGGGTACCCCGGGGTTCCGTCCAACTGGAAATATCTCACGGCTCGAGAGCGCCGCGCGCACTCCTGACATAACAACGCATAGTAAACTTTGTAGTAGCGCGCGCGGCTGGTGATAAAGTCCGTTAGCCTTTTGTCTCGTTCGCGCCCGGTGGCGGTAGGAGCGGCGGGCGATGATGATAAGAGCGCGGCGGCACGGAAAGCGCGAGAAAGACGCGCGCGCGCGCTCGCTCGGCGTCGCGTTCGCGCCCGCTGCGGCTGCTCTCAGTGCGTAAAGACGGCGCGCGCCGGCAAGTTGAAAGTTTAAGTCAAGTCCGAGTGCGCTTTTCGTCGTGTGTGCGCGGCGACTCACTCACGCGCAGATAAAAACGAAAAACGCGCAAGTACTTCGTCAGTGCTGGCCCAGCTGATGGCACAAGCGGGTTGAAACAATGGACAGCAATCATTCTACTATCCAACGCCATTGATAACACATTAAATATTGTTTAAATATTCCATCAAAAACTGTTTTCATTTAGTTTTATTCAGTGCCAGTGTCGATTTTCCACAAAAAGAAAACTGCATCAGAATGCGTAAGTGTCGCTAAAACTTTGATACAATTTAACGCTGAGACAAGTTCAAATAAGTCGCCGTTATTTTTCGTCCGATTGAAGAAAATAAAAACATCGCCGAGACAAGTGTTAGTACTAGTCCTGCGTCCTGGGCGCGCTTTTCGTTGAATCGCAAGCCAAGACTATTGGCACCGGAGTGTTCGCGCGTGCGGACGCGCCGAGATCTATCTACGTGCGCGGTGTTTACATATCGACGAACTTAAAAATAACCAGCGCGTTGTATGCACACACACGTCCCTTTTGACGCGGGAAGCGCATTTTCGGCCGCACCTGCTAATGAATTCATTCGCTGTAAATGCGCGTGCAAAATTTCGGCACAACTACCGCACAAAAAAAAAACAACTACGTACATAGGTACTCAACGCGATTCGAGTTGATAATGGCCGCATTTTTCCAGGTGATTTTGATTGCCAATTGACATACTTTGTATTCATTTCCCTCGCGGGCGCTAATCACCGTGCGAGCGATTCAAGGCCCAATCTCACGCTATCAGCGCATTCATCGCTAAACAATCACGCCGCGCGAGTAATTACTCATCAATCCATTGCGCGCTCGCAACGACGTACACGCCGCGATTATCTTATCGCCAGCTGAAAGAGCTTCGAACTTTCATTCTCGATGACTTATCGGTGCAAAGAGAACAATCACTTTCGATGATACCACTTGTCATACGAAAACACACGCACTCAGAAACATGCTACTAATTAGAAAATAACTATTCGGGAATGCATGTTTATTCTTGAAGAGACAAAGGAATGAATCTTTTTTTTTGTGATTGAAATTACTGTCATGCATGCTTATTGTATTCGAATGTAGAACGAATCATTTTCCATTCGCATGAAATAAATATTTACATTCTTAAGTTGTTTATTGGACACCGCACGAATCATATTGCTTTTATGTTTATAAAACGCGTCATTTTACCTAGACTAGATGATCAGTTTCGAATTGTTTCACAAATAATCAAATGTTTAATCGGACGCTAATGACTTACCATGTACTGAGAAGGTATTTCGCGATTACATCGCCGGCACGACCATGAGGCGGATGATAAGAGGCTAATGATATTATGTACTTATTATTATTAAAAAAAATCGAAACCGAACAAGTATCGTGATTGAATGCCTCGATTAGCGTACAAGTTCGGACTCTTACAAGTGTTACAGCACTCACTTGTCGATAACGACGCTTATGAGATGCCGAAATGAGAGAAAAAAAAAAAACGCGACCTAAATCAAGCGTGCACACGCGCTCGCACTTGTATGCGACTGTTTGATTATTCGAGAAATGCGGAGATGAGAACACAACAATAGAACGCCATGGAAGTGGAAGTGACCGACAGCGAAAGGTTATCGGCGATTGCCCGATTGCGGTTGAATCTCGCCTGGTGGTGACCGCTAATTCTTGCGGGTCGAAAAATCGAAAAATCATCCAGCGCGGCCTGCATTCCAATCAAAACAAACGATATATGAATACAAGCGTCAACACATTCAACACGTCCAACACACAGCTGATGTACGTACTGTAAACACATAGGCTCGCTCGGAAAATATTGGGTAATATTTTCATCCGGTAGGGACAGGCGTGCCAAAGATGAATGAGATGGCTCATTGCCATAAGATGATCCGATTTCTGCGCGTCGCGGTTTTTTTTTTTTTTTTAATTAAGCAACTGCGCATAAAACTAGATACACAGTTATTGCACGACGACGACACACGCCGCGGTCGAAGAGAATTTTTACATTTGGGCAGATATTCAAGTTGGGAGTCTAAATTTATCCGCGTGTACCCGCGCGGCGCGCACTTGCAGTAGGATTTATTGCTAATAATAATAAGCGTCGACTTATTTTTAGTGTTGTCGCATAAATCCAGCATCGCACTATGCGGCGTTCACGCCTTCGTTTGCACGAAAAGTCGAATGATACGAGCATTATGAACAATAGCCATCGAGAGGAAACCGCGAACAATGTATGGAATACGCGTATGCGCTCGCTGGGAACGGGAATATTTCGACAACGCGCGCAGCGACTTTGTTTATTTACAACACGGACAAATTGCCGGCCTGGTTGCCGGTTGATAAAATTGATCCTTTTGTTAAGCAATTAGCACCGTATTCATGCGACATGTGGAAGCGCGCTAGTCCAACCGTTGGATGTCTACTCGTATGCCGCCATATCAGTCGGGCCCGATCGTACATTCCGATCTCACACCTTTGAAACAACAATACACACACTCATACTGATTGAAATCGAATTTATAGGCGGTTTCGGAAAATGTGCCTTTGTCTGTTCACTGTATTCCCAGTGAATGAGTAATGGAGGCGTAGAGAAATAGAAAAAAAAAAAAACACGCCGCCATAGTTAATGTTCTCTGTGTGCTCTGACCCCCCACCATTTTGGTTCTTATGTTGCAGATAAACGTATCGAAAGCCCATCGAACCAGTTTCGCACTACGTATGGCACGCAACTGTAGTTTACCAAACACCACCCGGCAGTACGGGCCGCAATTCAAGTCGCACCAACGACGCCGCATGAAAAACTTGGACCCGTCGACGACGAGGACGAGTCACGCAAACGCCGTAAATTCGCCAATTGCGTCACGCGGGCAGCACGGACGCGGATTACACGAGTGGTCAATGAACGGCCGCGAAGCCGCTATAGAAACTAATCCGAGCAAAGAGCGCGATCAATTCCCAGCATGGCCGACGCGCAGGGCGACGACGGCGGCAGAGATGTAAGCGAAGCCTCGGAACCATTAATGCCGGCTGCCGTGGAACACCAGCTCGAAGATGTGGTGCTCCCGGTGTTGGAGGGTGACCATGACTCGTCCTCGCAACACTTCTACGACTCGAACATCATCCACGGCAACAGTAATAACACAGCGGCGAATTCACCCAGCAGAACCATACCACTGCTATCTGCAGCGCTGGGTGGTGAAAAGTTCTGTGAGACAGACCTGCTGCTGAATGGCGTTGGCGTTGGTACCAACGGAGTGCTTCCGAAACCGGAATTGCATGTCCAGTTCAATCATAACAGCGGCGTCAACCTGATCGATGAAGAGAATGCGAAGATGGCCGATAGTCTTTCCAGCCGCGAGGAGGGCGGCAGTGAATCATCGAGCAGTTCCGAATCGAGTATCGAATTAGCTGAGAGTAGACCTCCGGATGGTGGCTGGGGCTGGGTGGTGGTGGTTGCTTCGTTTGTCGTGAACCTCATCGCCGACGGCGTCACACTGAGTTTTGGTGTCATTTTTGTTGAATTTAAAACGTACTTCGGAGAGAGTCTGGGCAAAACCGCCTGGATCGGCAGTGTCTTCATGGCGATGCCGTTGTTGAGCGGACCAATCGCGAGCTTCCTAACGGACCGCTACGGCTGTCGCCGGGTGACAATCATTGGTTCGATATTGGCTTCCACTGGATTCGTCATAAGTTCAATGGCGAACAGTATGGAGATTTTGTTCATAACATTCGGAGTCCTCGCAGGATTTGGACTGAGTTTGTGTTACGTGGCGTCGGTGGTGATCGTGGCGTATTACTTCGACAAGCGAAGGTCCTTCGCCACAGGTTTATCGGTGTGTGGCAGCGGTATTGGTACATTTATCTTCGCGCCGTTGACTCAGGCCCTAATCACAGAGTACGGCTGGCGTGGCACTACTTTAATCTTGGCCGGACTCTTTCTTAATTTAGCGGTGTGTGGCGCTTTGATGCGGGATTCGCCATGGACGCCTAGCCATAAGGCAAAGCGTCAGAGGAAACTTGATCGAGAGTTGAAGAAGAACAAGAAGAACGCCTCGGTGGAAACTTTCTCAGTGAGCAACAGCACGAACACGGCCAGTGTGCTCCAACCCATCCTAGAGGCCCACGAGCCCAGTGATCATGCCAAACCTGAAAACTTTGATATCAAACTTTCGTCGTCCCTTGTCAACCTTCCTACTTACGTGCGTAACGGTGAGAAAGTCCCCATCGAGGTGATTGAACTTCTGTCCACACACAAGAATGTCTATAACGTCCTAATGCAAAACTATCCTAGTTTACTCACACCTTCAAGAAGCTTCAGTGATTCCGGCAGGCTCAATGAGGCTATGCATCAGCACAACGTACGGTTTACACAACCGCAATCGCCGCTGTCGATAGAAAGTCCACGTGGCACTACCAGTCCACAGAGCCCACCACCAACAACAGAAACAAATCAACCGCGCTCTGCGGACGCAGCATACCTCTGGTGGCTGAAACGCAATCAAATCACACCGCCACGTATCAATCCGCAGAAGAAGGTCAATACCACCACAGCGTACTTGAAGGATCTACGGGTGCACCGTTTGTCCTTGACCTATCGCGGGGCGATGTTAAACATCAACCGGTACCGCCTGCGCGCGTCTAGTTGTCCGGACATCTACCGCAACTCCATGACAACCATTGCGAAGGAGAAGAATGAGTGGCAGGTGGCATTCAAAGAGTTCTGGGCGTTGATCGTCAACATGTTCGATTTCTCGCACTTTGCCGACATGAAGTTTCTGCTGTTTGCAATCTCCAACTTCCTGCTCTACACATGGTATGATGTGCCCTATGTGTACATCGCCGACTACGCGCAGAACATCGGTTTCAGTGAAGAGGATTCCTCCATGCTCATTGGGCTGATCGGCATCGTGAATACAGTGGGAGAGGTGAGCAAGGTCACACCACATGTGCATAATATGATATAATCTTTATCTTTTTAGGTCATCCTCGGATGGGCGGGTGACCGTCCTTGGATCAACGCCGGGCTGATCTATGCGGTATGCATGGCATTATGCGGGGCAGTCATCGCCTTGACTCCACTGTTCAAAACCTTCTGGGCCTTGGCGACCATCTCCGGCCTCTTCGGGTTGTTCATCGCGGCAAACTACTCGCTGACCTGTATTATTCTGGTCGAGCTGATCACTCTGGAGAAGTTCACCAATGCATACGGACTGTTGTTGCTTGTTCAAGGTGTTGCCAATTTGATAGGCCCACCTTTAGGAGGTAAACCATATTCAGCATAATAAAATAACTTCGAATGTATTAACACTCCTCTCATAGGTTGGCTGTGTGATGTGACGGGAACATACGACTTATCATTTTACCTGGCGGGCATCTTCATCGCAATCAGCGGCATGATGTTGGTGGTGCTGCCCACGGCGAACAGATATAAACGCTTCCAGACCATCCAGCGCAATGCGTCGCAGACATCCAGAGAACCACGCTTCTATCAGGTGCTCGCGTCTTGCCTCACCGGACGCGTGGATGTCAAGACCCCACTGGAGAACCACGTCTAGGCGCCACTCACACACCAGTCACACACATGACACACAAAAAATATTTCACAAAGTGAACTTATTTGCGGCGCGCCCGAGTAGGTGATGTTCCGTCAATTCAATTCATAGGCATGTAAGTGTAAACATTGATTAAGGAAAGGGAAGAGACTCTCTTATTCAATGGTGTAAGAGTAATCACACCGCTAGAAAACCAAAAATGTTGCAGTGGCTCGTGTTGCCATTTTGGAGGGTGCAGCACCCTCCGTGTTGACTAGACTAGATTTGGAGATATAGGGTGATTCCATCGTATGGCTGTTGCAAACCTTTTTAAACTATGATAGTAGATAGACTTACGATATCTAGCTGATAATATTAATTATTATATAATATGAATTCTTGTTACGGCGTTTCCAATAACAAATAGTATTTTATTGCGAGGTGATTCGTCATCGACGATATGCAATAAGTATTTTCGAATTTAACTCTTATCTTAACGCGACGAGCAAGACGCCAGGTGAAGCCGAGCTATTACCACGCAATCGGATAACGAAACTAAGCAAATAATATACCAATACACTCACGAGATTACAATTTACCTATAGTGCGCACACGGGACATTGTAATGCCCTCCGAATTCCAGTAATATAGTAGATACTGTGCAAGTAACTGCGAAGAACGTACCTTTTTCCAATCAGCGTGTTGATTATTGTGTAAAATTGATAAGAAATTAGCGTGATAGGCGTGAATTTCAAGTGCTAGTTTTGTACACGTGAGCGAGAGTGTAACGGAAACTTAAAAATATTCTAATGAACTAAAAATTGAAAAGACTAAAGACTATTCTATGTAAACGGAATACTAATTAATACGAAAACGAGTTGCAGAGACGCAGAGAACAAATGTGTACATAGATAAATGAAAGAAAGATTATTTTTTGCCTTGTCGACTAATCGCATCAGATAGTATTCTATATTTTTCAAAACAAATAACCAAAACCAAAGGCAATGTGAAGAATGTCTAAACGGAGCGCAGCGCTCCCTTTCTAAACACAATTAGTTCATAACTAATTCCAATTGTAAGTAAACAAAATCTCAGGTTTTATGTAATACGAGAAGATGCGACGATGAATCAGCTCAAAACCCGTTTGGTTCCACGACGACGACGACGACGACGACGTGTATTACTTGCGACGATTTAGGATTTCGTTGTTTTTCGATGTACCATTACGATAATCATGAAAATTGCGGCTAAAATCGACTAAAATTAAATTAAACGATGGACGGCGACGTTCGATAAAACAAAGTGAATATTAATTAATTAACTAAAATGGCGGACGCGGACGACCATAAAAACAAAACAGGTTGACGACACAAATGTAGACTGTTATTTTCGTAAAGCATTAGAATGTACCAAAAAAAAAAGAAGAAGATACTATTGTTAATGGGCATAATTGATACGATAGCTTATTAGTGAATAAGATGGAGGCATGCGAGCAATTACGATGCGCGGAGAGCAGATACACATAACTATACTCAGATTAATTTTGTAGACAAGGCTGTGTTGAATACGATTAGTAGTAATATATAAATATACATTTATAGGTAGCATCCACGACGAATAAATTATTATCACGTATGAAGTTTCGATTTTTCACGATTAATAAAAACTAATCGCACGCCACGAGACGCCTAAGCGTGTCTCTCGCACGAGCGCTTGTTCAGGGCACGTGCGACGCCAGCTTCCGAGGGCTTCTCAGGACATATCCCCGGCGAGAACACCAAAGAGCCTCGCTTTGCGACCTCCCAATGTGAAGTCGGTCATCGCACGCCCACAACTCGTACATTTTGGTATTTAACATGTATGTAGGATTATTATTAGTGAGGAAGCCAAACTTTTCCAAGTTTCCACACGCCACGCTAGCACGTGGCGTGTTAGTTCTCTTCAATACCCTAATTGAAAACGATTTGACGAAATGGATTTGTAAAGCATATCTGTGATTATTCCTTGTGAACAACAAAATAATGAATTTAAAACACAAAAACTCTACGTTATTGTAAAATGATAATTATGTAATTGTAAACGATGTGTTTGTTATTAGAACTGTTTGAGAAATTAAGCGGCCGCACCGCTCGGCCCCCGTATTACTACCAATATTATTGAACATTCTACTCCGATATAAGTACATAACTAATTACATACCTACATAATGCGTATAATTGTTCACAAACCTCTTTTACCTCTCTCTCTCTCTCTCTCTCTGTCTCTATCTGCCAATTTTGAAACGAAATCACACGAGGAGTTTGTGATGAAAACAAAGGTTTCGAAATAGCAACACAACAAAATGTAACATCAATAAACATCAATATAATAAATAACTCTACCATAAATAGAAACAAGTATTATAAACCAATTGAAAAAGCCGAATAAATAGACACTATGATTCGACTGTAAAATTGCTGAATTTATTTATTTCCATTTCTTTCGAGCCAAGGATGATGATCATGATTCATCCACCATTGTTATTGTTGTTTAATCGCACATGGTAATGTAAGTACAAACAAAGGCGTCTGACGTTAATTAATTTTGTTTTTTTACAATTGCAGTGGATATGAGGGACTCCTCGAGACGTCCGGTACGGGACTTGGCGATTGGCGCGTCAACAATTTTTCCTGTGATGCTTTCGGTAGTTGATTATTCGTTTATTCTAGGCGTTTTCGTATCATCGTGGCACACATTTGACTATAGCGCGTGTACACACGCCATCAATCATTAATTTGTCGTTGTTTCTATTAGTCTGAGAAATGAATTGCTTGCATGCATGACAATCGTGCTTTGTTGACGCACGCTGGGAAATTAACATGGTGAAAGGGCCATTACGATTTGTATTTGCTTGACGATAAAAATGGTAATCCCGCATCAGGGTTTTGTTTGCTCCGACTGTTGTGTATCACAATACTGTTTCACGTTTATGTAATTGCATCATCACACGTTCACAAAGATAAATTACGATGTACCTATTAAGATTAGATTAATCACGCAAAAATACTGAAGTTTCGTAAATTAAAGTAGTGTTGATTACTGAAATACTATCGATGTAGAAGATCAGTTTATGCTGAACCCCGGACTGTGGGCTGGTGTTGCTGAACGAGTATTTGTGCTGGGATTTAACTAGCTAATAGCCGTAAATGGCTAGAGAACGATCGAAATACGTTCGTAATTAAAACTAATCGAAAAACCGTCCTAGGCCAGACTCACGCGCTCGCTCGCCATTAGCTCCTTCTCTACCGGGCCGGTGCCGATAATTTTTCGGTTCTTCGTGAACGGAATAATGGCAATTAGCACCCCGGCGACAATGATCCACAAGCCGGCCTGGTAGAAGGACAGCGCCCAGGATTGGGTCACATCGAAAAGCAGGCCACCAATAGGCGGGCCGAGCAGGTTACCGATGCCTTGACACAGCAGCGTGAGGCCGTACGCGGTTGTAAACCGCTCCAATGGTATCAGCTCCACCAAGATCACCGGAGTGAAGGAGAAGCTGCTCGCGAAAAACAGGCCGAAGAGAGCGCTGGTGACCAGCAGGAGAATGTAATTTCCGGCAAAGATGTACATCCCGATGCACGATAAACCGCAGAGCACTAAACACACGGCATAGGTCTTCTTGATGTTCATCCATGGCTGATCGCCGGCCCATCCAAGCGCCACCATTGAAATGGTGTTTGTGATGCCAATCACTGAGATAACATGCGACGCCTCCGACTGGGTGTAGTTCAGCGTACTGGTGAGATGCTCGGCCAGGTAGAAGTAAGGCACTATGAACCAGATGAAGAGAAGGATCGTCGAAAGGGACATCAGCAGAAAATGCAGCTCCAGGAAGAGACTGAAGTCCACGATGCCTTTCAGCAACTCTACGAACTCCGTGTACCATTTCTGTAATTGATATCGTTGGATATCAATATACAAACTAAGTGACATTCTGTGCGGGTACATACCTCTGAACTCTCCTTTGCCAGAGTAGTCATGGAGTTCTTGTAGATGTTGGGACAGCTGGAAGCCCGAATGCGATATTTACGAATGTTTAACATGGCACCCCGGTACATAATGGAGTTGCGATGCAGACGAATGTTCTTATAATAGTGGTTGGATGTGAATTGCTTCTTGATCCACGGCACGTGCATGGAATTGACGTTGGGGTCCATGAATTTCTCCTCCATTGACGTCTTGCGCATTAACAGCGGTTCGTGCAATGGTTCCATCGGCAATGATTGCTGTAAAAATAGGCCATGCATAACATTGACCTAATTTGATAATAAATGCGCATGAAATACCTGGTGGACCAATAATTTGCTGGTAGGTTCCTCGGAAGCCTTCTTCAGCTTCATTGAGAAGGTAACTGGCACGCGCGTGACGATCTGATGCAGATTCACCGTATCCAACGCTTTGTCCGACGTACTGCGCGACATTAAAAGGCTCGGATAATTCTCCAAAATCACACGGTAAAGTTTCTTATTGGCTTTTAATTTCTCCAATACTTCAATAGGCACCTGTGAATAAAATAATTCAGAAACCACTCCTAGGAAATGTAGGAAGTAGGAAAACCTACTTTTTCGTTTTGTTTAACAAACGTTGGCAAGTTAAAATCAGATCTATGATGATCCGATTTGCCGCCGCCATTTTGGTTACGGGGCGACTCCATTGATGTAACCAAATTCTGTAAAAGATATTCGTCGTTCTTGGACTGCTTCAGCAGGTTACGTATTTCTTCCAAGTCGGGAAAGTCCTCCGGCATGCTTCGCTCCGACAGCGATGCGCAGCTCGATGTTTTCTTGCTGGTGTTTCTATAAACAATGAACAATCAACCATACGTTCGCCGTACCCTTTGCGGTACGCGAGCCATACTTGCTCTGCTCCTCAATCCACCACTGCGGATCCCTCATCAGGCAGCCGCACACACAGAAATTCAAAAATGTGCCCGCCAGTAAGAGGACAGTGCCGCGCCAGCCGTAGTAATCGATAAAGAACTGCGTCATCGGGGCGTAGATAAACGTGCCCATCCCGGTGCCGCTTGCGCCCAAACCCGTCGCCAGTGTGCGCTTCTTGTCAAACCAATAAGCAATGCTCACCACCGCGGTCACGTAACACAGCCCCAAACCGAGCCCAGCAATCACGCCAAAAGTCACCAGCATCCACCCGATCGAATCAATGAACGCGCTTATCACGAACCCGGTAGCCGATATCAGCCCGCCAGCGATGGTCATCTTCCTGCAGCCGTACTTGTCCACCAATGCGCTCATGATCGGGCCGGTAATCAATGGCACCGCCATGAACAGACTGCCAATCCAGGAAGTGGTCGACTTGGACGCACCAAACTCCTTCAGGAACTCAATGTACAGCAGGCCGAATGAAAATGACACACCATCCGCGATCATCGAGATGATGAGCGACGAGAACACGACAACCCACCCCCAGCCCCCATCCGGGATCTTCGGCTTGTCCGCCGCGAGGTCGGTCTCGTCGTGATCGCACAGGTCGCTCATCGATGAACGCGAGCTGGCCGAAGACATGATCGATACGCGCCGCGAGGTCGTATCCTGCGAGAGCAACTTCCCGCACTGTCCTCGCACCGCGTCTATCTCCTCGATGGGGATAGTCGCGGAGGAGTTGTTGCGATTGTAATCGGCGCTGTTGGACGACTCCGTCACGTCGGGCGTCGTCTCCATTGTGCTCAGAATCGACGCTGTCGTTTGTGTTCTAGAGCAAAGAAACGGTCGTTGAGATTCTTAATCGGGGATCTTTACTGGGCGCAGTGCCTTTTGACAGAGGAAGCGTCCTTCGGAGGAGCGGCGAGTACGTAAACGGTGGCGGCAATTGTAATTCCCGCGGATCGGTCATCAATGACCGGCCTTTGTTGGGCAGCGGCGGTTAATCAGAAATCAATCTTCTGCCTCGGGCGTGAAGAGCGGTGGGGCATCCACCAGGAGGAGTGCTGCGGGACCAGGACCAGCTGACTGCCGGAAGATCGTCGTCTCCTGTAAACAACGCGCGCGCTTCGATTAGAAACGGCGCTCCAAGGTTGGCACGCCATTGCTCGCGCGGCGTGTGCGCGCATAAGCGAAACTTTTTTGGCACTCAGGCAGGCAAATATAAATAAACAGAATATATACCAAATGGGATCTATTTATACGAGCAAATGTTGCGACGAAAAGCAAGTGCGCCATAAAAATAAGGCCAGCGCGAAGCAAAAAAAGCCTTCGATTAATTACGCGGATGAAACCGCTTTGAGCTGGTTTTTATAAAAAAGCCTAGCGCGGTGCCGCGCATTGCATCCGTAGCGAAACCACACGACCGCGTCCACGGACGGCAAAAGTCGAAGACAAAAATCGTGCGACTCACAGCGTCACACACGGCTCTCAGTGCGGCCGATTTGCGCGGCATGCACATAGACTCGTCGGCATGGGATGATCGCAAGCGAGTAGCGGCTACAGTTAGCCACAGTTAGCTACAGTAGCTAGTATTAGCAAATGCGAGTAATTATCGAATGGAAATTTCCACTCACCATCAGCGGCTGGTTAATTCAGCGTCGAAATCGAAAGCGCACGCTCGCACATGCCATGCGGTTGTGTTGATTGTTTTGTTTAGAAAATGGTACTTGGTCGAGTCAGCAGCGAACGCCAACGGTTTCACACGCACACTGTCGCGGCCTGTTAATGAACGTCCGATGTAAATAACAATGCGCAACGCGCGCCAAAAGTTCAATTGTCGGGAAATTGTGCGTGCATGCGAATGGCGCATATCGCACGACCTGTACTTGCACTGGGCACACGGCGACCGGGTTGCGACACGTCCGACGACGGTGTACATTCAGCAGGTGTAGCAATTATCGGCGCGTCCGGATCGTCATTGTCAACAAATCAACGCAAACTTGAACGACAGCACGCCGCGCGGCAATTATAGGCGCTGCACGTATCGCGCATTATCACTGCCGGCGACAGGCATTATCAGAATCGCCAAAGTGGTCGCGAAAATAGACGTTACGCTATTACGTGCGGTGAGGCTGGTGTCGTAACACGGGCGATACGCAAACGAATGTTTGTATTCGACGTTTATTTGCGTGTTTGTCGAAGGTTTTGAATTCCGCGTATTACCGTGGACGCGCGCGACTGCGACTGCGAATTCGCTCGCACCGTCCGACCCAGCTACTAGCACACTTTTTCAGAGATAACACTGGATAACACACTTCTCACACAGGCCACATGCGCGCCGAGGCATTGATCGTCATTTCTACAGCGAACAGTGTACATTGTACGCTCTCCGCAGATAGTGCCAAACAAAAGGCAAGAAGAAAGTCGCGAACGGCGCTAACGGCGCTGATTTATGCGCGCCGTCGCAGTTCAATGCCCAATTGATTAGATAACCATCGACGCGCCGATCCATTCTTCGATCGTGTGCGCCGCGGCGGCCAAGGAAGCGCTTTCGTTGCGCGAAAAGGGTCAAGGCACACGCGGCGCGCCGCGCGTCATATTATTGGAAATGCAAATGGCATGGAAGCGGAATGTGTGCGTATGCGTGTGTGTGTGTGTGTCTGTGAGTATAAGCTCGTTAAAAAGTCATGAAAGTTCGAAGAAGCGAAGCCCAGCGCCGTGCGCACGTCGCGGTTCACGTGGCGGCCAATACCAGATCGAGGCGGTTCTGCAAACGGCGTGTGCTAGTTTTTCCCGAAAGTTTGGACGCAACTTTTGGACAAGTCGCCTGGCATACCCGCGCGCTTGGGATAGGTCATTATACGCTGGGTGTATGTGTGCGCATTACAAGGCCTACGCGTGTCGAGTGTCGCGTTGCAGATTGCGCACGCGGCACGCTCGCCTTTAATACGCGAAAAATTCGCCAATGTAAACAAACAAGCCATTTGCTAATCGGAAGAGCAAGCACGCGTACACACGCCGCACCTGGCGGCGCGGCATCGATCTCCGAATGGATTGTTTTCCGCTCCGCGGAAGGTCGCGCCGGCTTTTTTCGACTTTCCGGTGGCCTTCAACCTTTATTTTCGATCGCGGCCCGCGGCCTGCATTCGGCACGAGCGTGTGATCTTTACCGCACGCGATGGGCAACTTGCCAGCGGCCTCGATGTGCGCTGCATCCGCGCTCCCGAAGGAAGAAGAGGACGCGTGCAGGACGCGCGCGCGAGATGCGTCAGCGTTCGCCGCGTTCAGCTGGTGGTCGTGGTCGGGCGACACTTGTCACTTGCGTTTTCGTTCAACTGTTTGCTATTTTTATCGCCGCTGCGGCGCGGCTGGACCTAGAACTTGCATATTTGCAAGCGCGTCGCGACGCGGCGGGCGCGAGGCGGCGGCGGCGGCGAGGCCGACACACGCACTCGCGCCGCGTTGAAAGCAAAACGCTGATCGATATGTATGTCTGAGCCGTTGCGTCGCGTAGACGGCGCTTATCGGCGGAAACAAGAAAAAATAAAGCGTTGTAACAAATGTGTGCGTACGTACCGTTCACGTGCGTGTGAGCGAGTGTGCGTACGATTTAACTGTCGCGCTTTTTTCAGAGGAAAGGATGGCCAGCGATGAGTTTATTTTTTATTTGCGCCAGCGCACACCGCTTTTATCTAGTGTACATATTATGTATGCGATGGTATGCATGACACACAAGCAGCAGTGATAAGAAACACTCACCTGGTGCACTTGAAATGATTTTGATCGATTTGCGAGGTATTATGTATAATAATAATAATTTAGTTTATTTCGTGACAGGTGCGTAATCGAGATACAGCTGAGGCGGCGATTTGAATGTTATTTGGTCATTGACGAAGAGAGAATGCGTGCGGCGCCGAAACTCCGTACGGGCGGCCGGCGGCGGCGAAGGTTCCGCTCGCAGTGTTGAGGCAGGAGGGCGACGTATGTGTTTGTGCTTGGCTTGGCTATCGATCGCCGGCGCGACTTGGCGACGGCGGAAGGCGAAGTGTCTGGTCGGTGCGACTATTGCGGCACGTTGCAGCGTTCGACGCCGAATGATGACTGAGCCTGAGCGAGTGCCGCTCGACGGCGCCGCGACAGGCCGTGGGGGGTGCCGCTGCCGGCGTCGGCGTGGTGGGCGGGCAGCGCGCGTCAGCCGTCTCCTGCTAGGACGACGAAGGCGCAGCCAGCGCCGACTGTTCGACGCCGGCGACGCGCGCGATTTCCTCCATGTCCTCCTTGAAGCGTTTCACGAGCGCGCGGTGATGGGGCGCGAGCTGGGCGTCGGACATTACAGCCAGGCGCATTTCGTCCCCGTACTGGTTCAGGCACAAGGATATACCTACAAACAAACAAACTCAGAACAATCCCTCCAAACACCAATACTCTCATCAACAACTTACTAATATTGGCCTGGGGTGGTCTCCAGTAGATGACTGAGGTCACCTCTTTACCCCACGTGGTCTTCTGTTTGATATTCACGTGCCGATTCGCCACCTCCGTATAACACACCGAATATTTCAGGGTGAGACATCGAAGGAAGATCCCAATGAGAGTCGCGGGCAGAAGTTTCGAAATAACACCGTACTTACTCTGCATGATGCTGAGCAAATAGGTCACCTGCTGTTTCGAAAGGGCTTCACCCATATTCTTCTTGATCACCCGAAGATTATCCAAAAGTGAATCCTGTTTCGAATCCAGAATCGGTAGGTTTATACAAAGCATTCCCCCGAAAGCATCCACCGCATTAAACCCGCGTTGGAAAAGGTATTCCGATCCGATGCTTCTCGCAGTGATAGAAATCTCCTTTGGTTGCACATCTTCAACTTCCTCGAAGTACCTCTCAATACCAGCACTGCATGTGGCGAGAACTACTTCAGTTTCACTCACATTCGTACTCTGTGCTAAACGGGTCACCAGGTCAGTTTTGATCGGCTCTGACCAAGCTACCACTTTGCGTCCACAAAGTGTGACGGTTTGAATAATCTCCTGACTTGCAAAAACTTCCTCCAGGACATTCTTCGGAGTGTGGAAGATTACCTTAGCACAGTATAGCAGATCCTTGATTGCGCGGTACCCTAAAGGTACGTAGTTGTAAATTAAACCCACCGTATTTCTGTAATCGCAATATTGCAACACTAGACACGTGTACAACGCGACCATTTCGTAGTACAACTTAACGGGCAGGCGAAAAATAAAGAACACGAACGGTTTGTAGGTACACAGAATACAACTACGAACCAATCTCAGTGGTGATAGACTGGTGCGAAGTGCGTCGTAAAATGTGACATTTCGTTTACGACTCTCCCGTGTGATTGTACTCAGGAGGAAACTTATACGTGAGGACAGGTCCCGATTGACACCTTTCAAACCCTTGGTGTATTCCTTGTACGTGCTGACTACATTGATCAACGCAATCGCCGCGTATTGCAACACGCCGGGTGGGCTTTTCAATACCTCGGGATTTTCTAACGGATCATGCGTTGCAATGAATTCGTTCCAGTAATTGGTGAGGTCTTGCTGGAGGCGATCGCGCAACTCGTATAGACCATTCGGTTCTTTGAAAACATTGCGCAATGGCGTCGTAGAAGGTTTGTTCCTACTTTTGAAATTGGGACATCGGGTGTGAAACAACGAGCGTGAATTCGAAGAGGAAATTACTCACCATATGGGATACGAGACTGTGGGCTGAAGGGGGAGCAGGTCAGCAATGTTGAGTCCTTCGGAGATGAGGACGTGGTGTACCCGGACGAGGATGTAGTGTTGGTTCTCAGTGCTCGGGATGATTACCATCTGCCAGGGAGACATACCAACTGGGAGATACTTGGATGCAATGTCGCTGACGCAATCCTATGATATAAGTTGCAGTAATGGTCATTAATCAAGGCCCCTTGATTACTCTTAACAAACCTGGACGTTTAGGTCGGAAATAGCGCGCCCGCGAAACGTGCGATTGGCAATGATAAGATTCTGATCGAGCTGGAACTTGTCTTCGATGTGCCAAGCGTACACCCCATAACGGGTAACCAGGGACTGCTTGAGTCGTGGGAAACTCGCATTTCCGCTTTTGTCCACCCGATTAACCACCTCCTCGAGGTGCCTTTGTACAGCTTCTGGATTAGCTGGTCCGCCGACTGTGAGCAGAACAGCAATGATGCCTTTGTTGCGGTGGGTATCCGATAGGATGCGAAATGTGGTATCCCTGATAAATTGCAGATCAGGGTGCATGAACGATATACACCAGTACCACACACGGTGGACGAGCCGGACACCTGCGAAGAGAAACGATTATTACGTTGGGTGTGCTCTAGCACCGGAGGCACGTACCAATGTAGCTGAAGACCAGCGTAGGGGCAAGGAATAGAGCCGCCGCGAACGCGTTCCCGGCAAACAGAAAATCGATCAGACTCATATCCGCGTCGTGCGAAAACTTTGCGAGCGCTGCGCGATGCTCCGAGCGTTTGAGCGTTTCAAGTATCGAGCGCGACTTGATCCGTCTCGGCCGACCGATACAAAAACAACTTTGACCCCTGGGATTACACATTGCCGCATCGCGCCGTGCACTTCATCGATTATCGTCATTATCAATGGGAACGCATCGCGCACCGAGTTCATAATAATACACGCTGACTGATGACATTTCCAATTTGTGCCCACAAATAAAGCTAATTGTTGATTTCTGTCAACTTATCAAATCGCAAACAACAAACGTTGACATAATAGTTCTGTGAAAGAGAAATACGTCTGGGACTGTTTGCTGACACATCAATTTTGTTGCGTGTAGATTTGAAAAACGACGGCGCGTCCTATTTAACATATATTGAAACCGTGAAACTTAAAGATCAAAGTTCCTTTTATAAACATCCTTGAAGGTCGTGGACTGGTGGAAGGAGAAAAGGATAAAAAATAGTCTGGCATCGATTCATATTTTGCTAAAATTTGGAGCAATCCAAACTGCGTACTTACGTACCCAACATTGGAATTCGTAAATTCCTTACCGTTATGTATTTCATTCTGGTTTCGGACATGCAGGGACATCTTGTATCCGCACTTGGAACTAATCTGTATACTAAGTATAGCACGCACCCACTCAATATTTTTTTCGATAAAAAAAAAACCGATGTAAACACGCGATGCCGTAAGCAAAAGTAGGTGAAATGCGGTAAGAGGATTACAGAATTAGGCCAGAATGAAAGACACGGGGCTTCATAATTTCAGTTTTTACATATCGGATAGAAATATAAATAAATTAATTTACGCCTGCCTAATATGATAACAAATCATCGATATGGAACAGAAATTTTGACCGTAGACGAAACAATTCGCGCCGTCCCGTACATACAGCGACGCAATACGTATTTGAGATTTCGTCGGCTTGCATTTTAGAATCATTTGTCATCACAATTGCATCTTCGACGCGCGGGTACAAAATCATCATCATCATCATACCATTCATTAATAACACCTAACAGATTACAAAGACACTGAATTGAGACTTCAGTCTAGCGAAGTCTGCGTTTTCGTTGGAGACATTTGTCGTCAATTGTCGCATAGCTTCGGCAACCAATCGTAATTTTAACTAGCATTACAATAATAATAGAATTTCTTATTAAACATTATAAATATATAATATATGTATAGTATATACAACCTTACGCCCGGATTTAGAAACTCTCAGTCATTCACACAGGGTGAGCTCGTTCTCGAAATAATAGAATTGCAATCAGAATAAATATACAGAATTGTACGTTTCGAGCCACGAGCAGCTACATACGTTCATGATATACAAACACGCACCGACAAGAATTACTTACACGTGAGCATGTGTCGTGTGTCTATGATACACTACCAACGAATACTTTTTCTCCTTCTTCATCATATTTTACAAATATACTAGGACCAATCGGCGAGAAGCGCGCGCGCCTCCGAATAATGGGACTAGTGACTTCACGCGACGCATTCGTACCAAAAGAGACGATAGAAAAGTACAAGCACTACGTAACAAAACAAACAAAAAAATTAAACTTTAAATGTGATGATCACAGTTGAATTCACGGCGCATCTGGCCGCCTAGTTCTTGGCGTGATTGTACTGCGCCTTTCGCTTGCGATTGGCGAGCATGTCATAAAAGGGATTGTGGCTGATGCTCTGCAACAGCCGCTGCATCCAATCGTTCTTTTCGTCATCGTTGCTGGCGCTCATGCGATACACCTGATGCTTGCCTTCCACCACCTTGCCCTCGGAGTCCGTCTTGCACGCTTTGATAAACTCAGCTCCGCCGCTCGCGTACAACTCAAAGCAGTGCTGTTTTTGGCGGTCGGTGCAGTCGCGTACAGAGATATTTTCCAGCGGAATAATACCCCGCGGCTCTTTATCGGTGGTGTACTCAAAGTAATACAGGCAGTTGTCATTGAGGATGAACCAGCGCCGCTTCCAGCTCTTGTAACGTCCGCCTTGTTTCCACAGCCAGCCTTCCTTGTCCGGGTTGAAGAAAGTATGCATCAGGTCGTTACCATCGTCCTCGGGGATCTTAAACGGCTCCGCCTTGATGCTCTCATACAATCCCTGGAAAACGCGCGCGCAATTAGTAATGAAAAACGAGCGCTCATAAATTCGCTCGCCTTCCGGAGAAGAAGGAGCAGCGAGTGTACTCACCACGAGGAGCTCGCGCGGCAGGTCCTGGCCCATGTTGATGCCGCGGTTCATGCTTATGAATTGCTCCGTAGACGGCTTGTCCTTTACGCTCGGATTGTGCAGCGACGTGTTGAGCATAATGATGGCGAACGACAGCACGTAGCACGTGTCGGAATTCTCGAAGATATTATTGTCGCCCTGGCATTCGCAGTACCGCTTCGCGAAGCACTCCATCATGCGGTCTATCTTCTGCGCCTCGCCAGGCAGTCGAAAACTCCAGAGGAATTGCCTACAAATAACCGCAATCAGCCATCGCATAATTCACATACATACATTCACACGAACCCACTCATTCTTTTTTAGCATGCATTACATTTTACATTTTCACGTGCATTAATCATCAATCAAGGATAGTATATTACACATCATGCATTATTACCTTTTTATCTTCACTGATCGATTCATGCAATTAGAATTTGACACGATAAACGCGCAAAATCAAGATAAAAGCAATTCAACCACCAGAAACAAATTATTTTGTTTTTTATGTAAATATATATACCTTAAGGCTTGAACGAGGATTAAATCGGCAAAGTCATGCAGCGCCACAAAGGCCTGCAGGACCTTCTCGTTGAAATCATTCTTCTCGCCGAGGTAGTCCCCGATGGCGGTCTTGTTTAAGCCCTCGCCTTTGTACAGAAACTGCGCGACGCTCTCAGCCGTCTGCTGGAGCAGTCCGTTTTCGATCAGGTACTCGATGCCCTTCTTCGGGTCCATGTTAAACTTCTTCCGGCCGATCGACATCATCTTGGTCTTGTTCCCTTTCTTTCCGTCCTCGCCGCAGTCGAGGCCCTCCATCTCGTTGACCACCTCGCATAATTCATCTTTGAGTTGCTGCAAAACGAAACGGAACACACGTTTAGTCAAATTTGCACGCATGCCAGCACCAATGGTCGTGCTAACGTCGGATGCAGACGATTCATCGTTGTGTTTGCGATTTGATGAATGGCGTAGAATGAAGCGAGAGAGGTAATTGAACGTTTTTTGCTTTACCGGATATCGCCAATGGTTTGTGCAATACAGTGACTCGCACATTGTTCTCAGACAAGTCCACATTCTGAGAATTTTCTCTACCAAACTAAACAATATTAATCGGCCGCATGTGGACGTATTGATGGAAGACAAGCGTCAATTGAATCGCGTGCGCGCGGCCGGACGATTGCATTGCGACTGATTCGAATTCGCACGCGCAACTAATATGAAACATGACCTCCGAATGTGCAATCACAATCGGTCAAAATTTAATATACGTCGACGCAGTGTCTCACATCCCTTCAAACAACTTCAAACAGGAGTTAAGTCCTAACAATCGATGAAGAAGCGCAAATTAAAATACGATTACCCAAGTGCGAGCAATATCCCAGTCGCTCTTGGACTGTCCGCCATGGTGCGGCGCCTGCAGCTTGCTCTTGTTTTTCGGCTGGCGGCGCAGCGAAGAGAACCAATTGGTGACATTGTTCGAGATCGAGCCCTTGCGGTCGCGCTCGCGTCCTACCGTACCGTACATCTGCATCACCTGCGATTCTGCATACGCGTCGCGAGCATACACACGCAACAACTGAACCAACTTCTACAACTTCTTTAAAAACGCGCACTCCGTGTGTCTTCTAATCGCCGCTAATTGCAAACGCATCAATGAATAATGCGTCGCAGTAAATTGGCGTTGATTATGCCCCGCACATTCCACGCGCGGTCGCTTGGCGTTCCTTTCAGGTGAACTCCTTCCATATCGGGCCCAATGCCATTGCAATCGCCGCTATCAACACACCTATAAGTCATAGCAAAAAAACAAAAAGAATACTCTATCGATCTATTTCTGGCGCATTGAAATTTGGCAAATTATCGATTGTGCGCCGCGCTTTGTGTGTTTGACGCCGTCGCCGTAATTAATTATCGTAGAACAATCGAACTGTTAATCGCTGCGATTCGATTTACCTGGACTGGCACAAACGCGCTCGCCGCCTAATTATTGCCTAAACAAACTCGCCGCTATTTATATCTCCATCACGGAGATCGGGCGGTGTGATGTTTCTCTCCTGCCTGTCCGCTAGAACTTGTCGCTAACGTTTTATGTACAATAATATAATATTACCGAAAAATGCGCAAGAATAAACATGCGAACTCAGGTGCGATGCGTCACGCGGTGAATTATTATCAGAATGTAAATTAAACGGGTGAGATAACGTATTTTTAGCGCGGAATGCGGCCAGGAGATGTGACAAGATGCGTGCCGTAGAAAACGCACCTTCGGCGCCTGGACGACATGTCGCGCACTATTAAAAGTGGCGAGCTCGTTAATATTAGATCATTGCGCTCTGTTAATTAAGTGCGAGCCTCGCGGCGTGCATAAATTATGAGGGGACTTTGCATTAGCGATAATGCGATACCTACGTATCGGTCGCCGTAATCCTCTCCGTATCCGTATCCTCTGAGACATTGAAGGACAAACTGAATAATTAAACACATAAATAACACGCGCGCTGCAAACTGGTCCGGAATTAGCAGGGCGATCGGTGCGATCGGCGCGGATCTTCGTCCATCCACGGATATGGGCACACGGACGGACGGGTCGCGGGTCTTGGACACACTTCTCTCACGGCGGAAGCATCGGACGGGAGTATCAGTCGCGACTAGGCGGCACTCGCGCACTCGACGGGCGCGCCGCCGTTCAAACACGACACACGCGTGTATTTTTAGCCGCCGCGATTCGGAATGCGTTTTTATTACGTTCGTAAGTCTGTCGGCGGGCGCGGCGACAAAGGAGGCGTTTGCGGCCACCGCTCGGAACGACGACAGCGGGTCGACTGAGCGAGATGTATTCCCGATTCCCAATAATACATCACCTTTTTGCCCACGGGTACCACAGCGCGATTATCTTTTAATGCGCGTGTATTATTATAGCCGGCGGTGGCTGTGTGTGCGTGTGCTCGGTCGGCAGATAATAATGGGCGCCCAGTTTGCAGCCGATCCGCTGGAAGAATGGCCACAGCGTAACGAGATGCCCGAAATGCCCGAAAGAGCCGAAAATGCGGGCACCGGTCGCACAGGCTGCCATTGTCCGCGTGCTATTGTTGGCATTATTATTATTTCAAGATTGGGGCATCGTGTGACAATGTGGTGACCGAACTGCTTGTTCGCAACACGGAAATCTGCGTGACGAACAGGGCTGGCAGGCAGACAAAAACGCGCGCAACCCAACGAGACAAATTGCAAGAAAAGGGACCGCAACTACGCTCACATTGTGCTAGGTCAGTTTTCGGCAAGGACAAGCAACAAAAAAACTTAAATCACTCTAGTTACCGACCTACGATCCACCCCTCAAACACTAAACTACTTCAAAACTCTACATCCTAAGCTGATATAATCCACATCCACAAAATTTGTACCAAAAACAGATTTTAAACTTTCTGCTTTGAGGAAAATAATTTTAAAAAATGCGAAAAATACGTAGCGTTTGCATTGTTTCGCGAATTTGGCACAGTTCCCGCCGTCTTATTACTGCGTCGCATTGTTTTGGTGATTTTTCTTAACGCCGACTTGTTTATGCGGCGCAGCGGATGATAAAGCTATTTCTTGTGTGGCCAATGCTGCACCCAAAAAGTCCACTTCTTAAACAACTTAATAGATGACGATCCTCGCCGTTAAGCGTCGCGACAAACACACGGCAGGCCCGGCTCGTGCAATTAGCCGAAACGTCGAGTCGAGTGAGGCGCGCTTTGTTCGCCGCGCAAATTACCCCGCTCGTTAATGCGATCCTGCGATCGTGAATGAAGTGAATCAGCGGATGACGACGACCTTGCTGGAATGTTGAACGGGCTTCCACGGCACCGTCTCGAACGACGACGTTGTGTTCGGTGTGTTCTTTTCCGGCTTTTGATTTTGATTTGTTATCTTGGAATTGTGTTTACAGCGTAAACACAGACATGAACGACTCGATACTTCTAGGCGCACAAATATGGCAGTGTTATTTTTTTTTATAAAAAATATATTTCCTTCCTAGAAGCGTTTCAAGTATATGTACTCATGTACAAACCTTGATATTTCGATTTTCGACAACGATTGACATAAAAATTAAAATGCGGACGACGATTAAATACTAAGTGGATTGTTGATTTCTATCGGCGAATTATCGATACCTCGAGTTTATCTGCGCGTATCGAATATTTATGGTGTTTCGAAGGGGAAGTCGAAGTAGTGTGCTACATGCTACATTGTTGGAAGCCCAGGTATGCCAGTTACGCATCGTGATTTACTAATGGAGAGAAGTTGTGCGTGCATTCTGGGAATCGAAAAGAGATTGAAGGAATTCCTGGTGCGCGAATGCGATTCAACGCGGATTTCGAATCGCTGCGAATTATAAATTTCAACGATTCGCGAATCGAATTAGGTATACATAATTCTTCCGATGAAAACAAGCTTCGCATTGAAATCGAAATTTCTCTTTCAATCGGTCGCAGCACCTTGAACGAATCCGGAATTGGCGAAATTCCAACTGGCGCCTTGTACATCCAACTTCCACGAAGAAAAAAGAATCTCTCTTTTTTATAGCGCACACTTAAAAGTATTACAATTGACGGCATATAATCATCATCGCTTTTTCCTTCGATTGATGTGTAATGTGAGACGCTGATGCGGGTCCAGCTGACGACCTTGTCTGGTCAGGTCTAACGCAACATTCGCACATCTGCGGCGAAATACTAACAAACAACTTATTTGCGCCGATGATGACGGCGATCGCCAGCGCCTCCGTGCATGCATTCATCATTTGATTGTCGCGCGAACGTCGAAAATCGAACATGGAAACGACAAACAGGTCGCGATTACCTAATCGTTGTTTTGTGCGCGCGCCCGTCGCATGCATTCACATTTTTTCGTCCATCGTCGATTATTTTTTTACCACACACGGCTGACGTCAGAGTCATGTATTTGCCGCTACGTTTTGTAAACAATTTCCCAGAAAACGTTGGAACAATCACACACACACGTATCGCGTTAATGGCAAATGCGACGTTCTAATAGACATTACTTATGCCATACACAGTGGAAAAGCAGTCGCAGTAATTAATTTAGTCAATGCAATAAACCAATGCGAATCAAATGAATCACGGCGGTTTACCGTGTGCGTATTAACTGGCATGGTTTGTCATCGCCTCGGCAAATAGAGAGCATAATCGAGCGGGAATGCAAGGAGATTATCGGTCACCAAGGCGATAGACTAAGAGCTGCGAAAACAAAGCTGCGCGCGGCAACAAGGATAATGCGCAAACAGCGCGGTCCGAGTGAACTTTGTAAACACTTTGTCTCGAATTAAATTGACTACACCGATTAACCAGCCAACACAATGTTGTTTTTTTTTTTTCGTACAAAAGTAATAAAAGCCTATTTTGCGGTGCCTAGTAGGCAAATAAAGTCTATGGGAATGGTTGTAAGTAAACCAAATTAACATACAACGATAACGCGCGGTCGCACACACATAACGATAGTATAATCTATGGCGACGACGACAAACACACACTGAATCAGAAATTCGGCGCAGCCTCGATATTCGCGCGCATGGTTAAAGTTGCGCAGCGTGATTATGATTACGCCTCGCAACGCAAAACACTTCGCAGTGCCATCAAAGTTGCGAAATGATAAATAAAAAAAAAAACAAGTGGCGAATCATGCGCACGCTAATCACAACGGAAGCACAATGATACCTGAATTAATTATTAAAAAAACACAAAGTTGTAATATCCAAAAATATCGATTGTGTCGCAGTCGGCGGAAGTAAAATATCCTTTATGAGTTTTCGAACTTTTCGAGCACAGAACGTTTCTTGTGGCAACTTAACGCAGTAGTCACTGATAACGCACGCGCGCGAGTTGAGTTGACTCGATGTGAGGGAGTCGGAGTCGGTCGCGTGACTGCACCGCTCGATTGCCGGTCGCTTACTGCGCCTCCGCGCGCCACTCCGCGTTTTCATTTTCCAGTGTAGTGGCGTGCGTTTCGCGTCGCGCTCGAATCGCGCCCGCTGCCACAGCTGCACGCAGCAGCGCGTCGCCACGCATTGAATCAGGCGAAGACATCGTCGCAAAAATGCAGAGCGGTGAACGCAGCACTTACACTTACTCCTAGATCGATTCAATTAACGACGGTGACTTCAGCCGCCTGGAATGATAAGCATTCGCCATCCCCGCATGAGGGACCAGCCAGCATGCAGCAGCCGCCGCAGACACACCTTTCTCTAGTTTCCGGAATCCGGATTCGAATCACCTGCGTTCCGCTCGTAAAAATTAAGTTGAAATATTTAAAAGCCGTAAATTACCGACTGTCACCTCAAAATACACTTATTTCGCTCTATTTCTTTTGTTTTTGCTATTTTTGTAAGTTTTTAAAACAATATCTGTACATTTTTCGATCATTCTTTATATTAAATAATATAAAGTGATTGTTTTCGGCGTGATACAGTTATTGTTTGCTTAATTGACTCCGTTTTGATTCGAAATCTCATCGCCGAACACGAATTCAGCAACGTTTTTGCCGTTCCAGATTATAGCATTAATGAAATGATTGTTTTCGGTTCACATGTGCCGGATTACGCGCGGTCTGAACGCCTTCGACGCGTTTCGGTTCATTCAGACGAGCACAGCTTGTAAATCAAGTGCGGCATACACAATGTGGGAGTATTTAGCCTTAGAAGATCAGCGGGTATAATATACTCTCGGTACGTATGAATGAATAAGCAGTGCGTGAAAAAAAAAAAGAACAAACGCTTGAACTTGAAGCCCGGGAAGCAGTTGAACCGTATGAGAATCCGATCCGTGCATTCTGACGCTGTGTGAGAAGCAGCAATGTGGCAGCTTCGAACGGAACAAGCGGACACTTTACTGCCGAACATCCTGTCGTCATGTTAAGTACAGTAAGGTTGGCCGCCCGCCTGCCGACCCGGTTGAATGGTCGCCGTCCTCTTCTGATAACACAATGCCAGCCAGCGCGCTCTAATCGCAATCGGTAGCCGTTGTCGCGCATTGAGTAAACAATTCCACAGAAAAACAGCATTCGGAAATTGAGAGGAGCGCGCGGCACGTTTAACAATGCGCGCGCGCGCCTTATCGCGCTGTGTGTCCGGATTGTGTGTGCGATTGCAACGCGTAAAACCATGCGTTCCTGTGTCTGTAAAAATACGCATGCATGACAATAACAAACATTACGTTCGACAGTCGATAAGAGACTGTCAGTGACATTTCAAAGTGACGTTTCCTTACATCCATCGCGCTCGTCGGCCGCCTTCTGTCGTCTGCAATGCAATTACATTAATGGCGATGGTGGATAGGATAAAACATTGCTGCTACTCATGCATAACTTATTTACGTTTACAGTATTCGGATATTTCGAAAATAGATGACATTTAGGTATATTATTCGTATATATGAATAGAATTTCATGCGGCTCCATCGATTAGGAATCATTTTTCGGGCGGCGGTTGCCACCAGCCAGGAAAAAATAACATAGCAGCAGATTAAAAATCGATCTATTACGAGAAACACAATAAGCCCCATTCAATTCGGGGTGGATATCCCCTCGGAGGGCGCATAATACAATAAAGCCGAATTGAACGACCGGGAGAATTCAAGTTACTGTGTACATTTACACATTATAAACCCAAATAATACCCTTGATGATCATAAACGCACTGAAGGGTTGTAGGCCCGCATAGAAGCAAAGGGAACCCCATTAAATATATAAGAAAATATTGATTGGAATTAAACGTTTACGCGCGCATTTTAAGCTGTATCCACGAAATGATTTCGGAGGCTTTTTTATTTTGTGTGCGATAACGCAGGAAACGTTTGGTTCATTGCCAACGCGCACAAAGCACAAGCCGGAAACATAGCGAACTTATTTCCTAATTGATTTGTATATTCGCATTATTTGTGAGCTTTGCGTGGGTGGCGATACAGGACGTTAGTCAGCGTACGATTTCCAGATTCTATCTGAATCTATTAATAGGGATAGCGATTGTGATGCCGGTTAACCGCACCCTCTTCGGGGTTATTCCACGAAATAAAAATCAACAATCAAAAACCGTCAAGAGCTTCAAAACATTTTTTTCTTTTAAAATTACTCATGTAGTAATGTAAATATTGCACTCATATTTTCGCATTCACCTTCTGTCGCTTTATCAAGACCAAAGCTAAAAAGAGAATGTTTAATATGAAGTTCATTAAACATAATATGCATTATGCCGCGGCAATCGGTAAAGTGAGCGAGCGGAACGCGCCCCGCCGCCAACCGTCGTCGCTAGGTGCGCCAACTCAACCGACTCAAAGCACAACAAGGGTGGATGGACTCGCGCCCCGCGTGATATGCATCTATATCGCCTAGGTTACGCGTGTGGCGGAGGCCCGCCAGGTGCGACCGACCGCCGGGCTCGCGCGCGACAAACACAATGTTATATATTTACATGAGCGCGCGCCCATTGTTTCGTTATTTTTTCCCGCTCGCCACTGTTGTGTCTACACCAAGTCCAACTGGTAGTGTGCGTACGTTGATTAATTAAAACTACAGCCAGCTTAAAGGGACGCACGTCAAACGCGCGTGTTATTACGCTAATTATTTGCGTATATTTCGCGACGTAACAAAAACACTGCAACAACTCACAAACTGTAATTTTATCCAGTGAGTGAAGCACATTTTAGCATGCGCCTGTGTGTGCAATATTAAATTATAGTGCACGCAGCATACAAAAAGTGCACGTGCGCGTAATCGCTGTAGTTTTGATTGCGACGAAATGAAATTTTCGTATTTCTGAACGTTTTAGTACCACTAGCGTCATCTAGTTGTGAATTTTATAACTATCCAAAGGGCACTACCACTTGTTGTGCCTTTACAGTACAAGATTGCGAACCAGCAATAATACTGATTGATAAAAACGACCTAGTAATTGCGGATGAATTACTGCATGACGCACGAGCGTACGCACATCGTAGACCACAATTACAACCTGAATTACTAATTTCGCACAATGAATCACGCACACACTGATGTGATGTTTATCAAAATGAGACATAGTTCATTCAGGGTGAGGCAAACATGAATTATGAACGACAGTTACCGAAATCACGTAAAAGACCCAGCAGACTTGCTCAAGATCTCTTTCAGCATGCTTTAACTTCTTAACTTCAGATGAGTGTTTAGATGAATAGAGAAAGCAAGCACTGCTTGCTTTACAAACACTACTTACTTGTATTTCCAGCAGGAGCTCCGTCTTCCGCCGTCGGATATCAATTAAAATCTTCTGCTGTTCGGGTGTTAGTTCTGCGAATGATGCGTACATGAGCCGCGTTCGATGGGTGAAGCAGAAAGACTTACCAGCAATGTTGAATGTGTCCATAACGTGACCCGACGTACCCATAACATCGAACGCTAGTTTCTCCTTTAACATAGTCGTGGGAATATCGCTCACAGCGTAGTCGGACGCGTTCGCAACGCTGTCCGGCACCTCCGTACCATTACACGCGGTTGGTAAGCGTCGCGGGAACACGTCGATGGTGACGCACGACGTCGAGATCTTCAGCAATCACGGAACGCGAAGAGTAAACAAACAGTAGATTGGGACGTCGCGGCCATTTTCAGCGAGGCGCCACAGCGCCACGAAGCGCGCGCAAGACCACCGGATCCCCACCAGGTGTATATTTGGTTGCCTATAATCAACTTCGAAAAGTTTTTGTTAAATATTATGAATGAAACGCACAAGGTCATAAATTTTTATGTTTTGTTTTATAATAAACCATACGGCAATAATTATACGAAAGTATAAGGTCAGTACAGTAAATTTTGGTATTTTTACGACTTGATATCGACTCTTGTCTGATTAATCACTTATCATTTATGCACGAGGCTCACTAATGTAACGACGCTCGTGTGGTCCACACGCGTGGTCAATAATCGATAAATAATAATCATCCCGTGCATGCACCATGCCGTCGGAACATAAAATACTACAAAGTTGGTAGAAAATCATCAAAACGTAATTTTCATGTTTGCTCGCCGCTCGATTTAAATGTACGCATGCGCAGCACGCACTTATCGAACCGGATGTAATGCGCTGTGAATAATTCATGCGTGAAATTAAATTACATTCGAATTGAGATACTTGCGATAAATGCACCTGTAGCATGTCGAATGGAACAATTACCGACGAATTATTGCGCAATTGTTGGCTAAATAAGGGTTTTACATGTCACGCATCGATTCGCGCCGATTACAATTGCTTTCCAAGGTTTCCAAGCGCAGTTTCCGCGCTGACTGGAAGATCCAGCGCGGAGAAGAAGTGCCAGAAGGAAGTTCAAGGCTGCGTACGGCAGCGCACATGCGGCATGAACGTTGCGTGCCGCCATAAATAGAAAAATTGGCCGGTAATAGTAAGAGTGAGTGCAACGCGTTCCAGAAAATCAATAAGCAGAACCAAACAAGTGACAAGCGGTTGGTAACCGAAGACAAACGACACGCCATGAAGAAATACGCGAGTAATTAGTGCAGGTTTTAGGCGAGCGAGCGCAATTGTCAAACAATGTCGATAATTATTTAGTTATATACGAAATAATGCAATACGTGTCAAACTGGTACAATTTCCACATACAAATATCAAGTAATATTAGAATTAGGAAAGTGTTAATCGACGCAGTGCGTGTGGCCTAGTGTTGTGTTACCCGGTGGCACAGTGCGCGCGCGCACCAAAGTAAAGAAAGCGGTCCGAGCGCAGCGGAAGACCAATCGGCCACTGGTAACACAAGAACAAGAACACAAGAGGCGCGTTGCGTCCGTTGTTGACTGCTGTTAATGATGAATGTCATTGAACCGGCCTCGCGTTCTAGAACGTGACACAGTTATTCAGATTCAGCGGGCGCGCGCGGCGCGCTTTGCAAGAGATAGAGAGGCGGAGATCGAAGGACTCTTCACGGTGTAGAAAAACGCAAAAAGTAAAAGTTAGCGCAGTGCGTGTGGGAAAGCGCAGCGGCCGGAAAACAATGCCAGAGCGTGCGGTGAAAAGTGCAGCGTAGGCATGCGCGCCTCGCACAAGATTTCACCGCGCCAAGAACTCCGCGAGTGGCAGCGCACGGTGGGCAGCGGTAGGCCGTCGCTGGCGGACGTCGCGGCTCCGCAGACCCGTTCCAGCCGCGCGCGATCGAATCCAACAACAACCAACAACAACAACTCGACGACGACGCGCGGAGTTCTTATCACTCACCTCGCGACTACCTCGCGCGCGGGACTCGTCGCACATTTCGGTGCCGCGCCGCGCCGCCAAATGCAAACAGATACATATTCATGCGCCCGACGCGAAGGCGACAGCGTCACCGAGATCCTCGCACGATAGCGCCTTCAAGTCGACTTTACCCGCGAGCGCGCGCGCCACCCAAGACGTCCAACCCGCACCTGTCGAACGCGCATTCATGTTGACACCGTCGTCGACATGCTGCTGACACACGAGCTCATCTTTTTCACGGTGCTATGCCTGATTGGCACCCATGGTAAACCATCGCTCTCCTTCAATCTGCATCCGTTCCAGGTGTTTAACGGTTTTGGTGCGATGCGCGAGGACCGCGACGCCGTCAAGAAGTACTCAGGGATACGCGTCTCCAATGATTCCCTGCGGCAGGTCTACTTCAATGAGCAAACCGTCGCCATCGTCGAACTCGCCGAGCATAAACGTCTTCTCAACTGTGAATTCATCGAAGTCTAGTAAGTCTCCCAAAGTCGGATTCGAATTCGAATTCAAATGTGTCAGTTGATTGCTGTCATTTGCAAGCGACGCACACGTGAGATAATTGTGATTTCTTGCTTGACTTAGTGACACACATTCGTGCGGCGCGCGAGCGAGTTGCGTGCGTTGACTTATTGGCATTTGAACGAATCCACAAATCGTAATAACGCGCAGCAAGAAGAAGACGCGTCATCGCCATCGACTCGCTTTCACATTGCATTAGCAACGTACAAATATTGAAAGAAGACCGGTCGCTGGTATTGAATAATCTCGTTCTAATCGTTTTATACGCCGCGCTTTTCATCAACTTTCGCTTATGGGCAATAATTACAATTAATTTAACCTGGATTCATGCATGCTAAAGTTATTGACATTGCAGCGTCCATAAACTTCTTTTAAGATACAATCAACTTTAAAAAAGTTGCAATTGACGCTTTATCAAACAAAAAAATGATGTAATCATGCAGAGATAATTATTGCAAGTGGTTAATTAATAAATTGGAGGCAAACATGAATAAAACGAGGCGCGCGTCGTTTTTCTAGCGTTTATCGAAATGGCGTGGTTTTTTTTTTATCGTCGCTTTTTGCTTCACCTTGCAAACAAACCAAAGCCGCGTGTATAAATGTGTGTTTGCGTTGAAAAACACACATTTGCGTACTCAAAATTCTATTATCTTGCATAGATAAAATATGTAGCTACTTCCGAATGTGCCAAAATGAAATAAATTAGTGTGTAAATAGCGCGCGCGCGCGCGCGCGCTGCGAAAACGCGATCGCCTGATGAATAGATTAACAAACATTATGTTATTGGAAAGATTAGACTGCGGGCACATACAACATACACCCGCAATTGACGAGTTGCTAATGATACAAACAAAAGTAATGATTTTCCGATACGACGCGCATCAGCCATGACTTGATCTGCACTTCTAGACTAGTAGAGCAATGCCGCTAATGACTTAGCCTCACCTGGATTAGTATTGTTTTAAGCTCCACGTGAAAATAAGATTTGCGTTATTAGATTATTATGTACGAGCCGGTAACTAGGTCAATTATTTAGTGAGTGGTGAGATATATGTTTGAGGTTTATGTTATTGCTCGTCGCGTTTGAATGTTTCTTCGGATTAAAAATAGCAGCAGCATGAATTCGTTTTCGGTGGTTTTGTGGTTCGGGCATGCACGCAAGCAAAAATCAATTAAAAGTGCGCACATACACCTGAATGGTGCTTAATCGCGTGCGACTCCAGTTTCGCGCGAAAATATTAATTATGCATCCGCGGCTCGTGTGTATGTGTGTGTAGGTGGAAATGTTAATTGCAGTTTACCTCAGCGCGAAAGTTGGCGCGCGCGTTGTCTGAACTATAAATATAAAATTGCGATGGAATTGTAGCGTTACCCTTGACTATCGATGGACGTTGGACACGAGCGCATTTTCTATGCGATGAGAACCGCACGACATTTAAGAGTTTACGGCGACAGGGAAAAATACCGAAAAATGGCTGAGAAAATCGATAGTTTCATAAATATTAATATACTTATGTTAATTCCGGATCGAAATTAAGCTGCAAATGTGCAATAATTCAATTTTTTCACCGTAAATAAATAATTATTACGTTTCACTGCCAAGGCAGTAAACTACTGCGTATAACGGTGGATTTTTGGCAGTCCTACCGCGCAAATATTATGTTTTTTTTTATCTTTGAATATAAAACAATTCAAGTAACTAGAACGCGTGAACAAACAAAACTTAACATGATAAAAGTGTTATTTTTATTTTTGTTAGCACGTTTTATATTTTGCAGCAATATTTTCTTGCGTAATAAATTATTTGTTTCAAAACATTGAAATACTTACGAAAATGTCAAACGTCTGCTTCCTGATTGCAGTAAAATGAAGACGCGGTGACACTGCTCTACGAGCTGCAGAAAATTGCGAAGCCCGTCCATATAGGATTCCCCGACATGGTCAAACTGATGTCGCAATGCACCGAGGTGGAGAACAACAACCGGAAGCCGGCGCGATCGCAAAGCGTGCGCAGTTCCGGATTAGGCAAAGGATTGTTCACGATCAATCCGCTGACCCTGCTCAGTGGCATCATTCCAGGTGATTTAAATATATCCTACTAGTATTATTGATCAAACGCGTGTATAAAATCTTTACATAGCCAAAAAAGATAGAATATAATAAATCAGGAAGAAGAGATTAGGAATTCACTGCTGTAGGAGCTGGACGAGCTTCTCGTAGACGGGCGCGAAGATATTGCTGTATGCGGAATCGGTGAGATGCAGGTAGTCATGCATAACGTGATGCGAGATGGTTTGGTCCCCACGAATGATATGTTCGTGGATTTTGATAACGTGGACGTTAGCGGTGTGTTCATCGGCGTTGGCGTTGTTCTCGAACTTGTCAAGTAGGAAGGTGTTGACATGCTCGTTGCGCTCGCGATAGGGATTAGGGTTTTGGCCACGCGGTAGAAGCGTTGGCAGGATGATATGCACGTTGGGGATTTTCGCCTTGATTGCTTTAACGATCTCTACGATGCCTTCGAAGACTTCGTGCGGTGTGCAGTCCGTGTTGTTCGTTCCTACGAGCAGCACCACCGCCTTGATCTTCGTGTTGAATGCGAACTCGCCGTTTAACACGCGCCAGAGCACGTTCTCGACTCTGGAAAAATGCGCGCCGTTAGACGAGTAGGTTATGTGAGATACCGCAGGACGCAGGAACGCGCCAACAACCTGTCGCCGCCAATACCGAAGTTGAGGCAATGCAGCGAATTGATGCGCTCGTTCCACAGCGTGGTAAACTGCAGCTGTTGGATGATGCTGTCGCCGACGAAGACCACCTCGGGCTCGGAGGTGCGCGCCTCGTTGACGTAGCGCTTATGCATGCTGTCCCATCGCTGATCGCCCACTTCATCTTCGGGGCGACGTGGGATCACGCACGGGTTATTCATTCTCGTCTCGCGGGTGAATCGGTGTGGCGCGGGCCGCAACTGCACGACGTTTGCTGATGCGTTTACTAAACAAAACGCGAAAAGCATGCACCAGCAAAGTAGTCGCGGCGCGCGCCCGCCTCGTTCGCACCAACGAGGCAGAAATAAATTGCAAGATAAATGCTTTTACATTGGGGACTTCCTTTGTTAAGCGCACTTATAATTTTAAGTGCGCATTTTTTCCGTCATTATATCGCTTTGTCGCTCTAATCTAATCGCCTTGGTTTTTCGGTGTTACAGGAACAAAATGGTGCGGAACTGGTGACATTGCCGACCATTACCATGATCTGGGCCAGGACGATGCAGATCGCTGCTGTCGCGCGCATGATTTATGCCCGGTGAAGGTCCGCGGCTATGCGAAGCGGTACAACATCACCAACATGTCCTACTACACTAAGAGCCACTGCCAATGCGATGAGCGTCTCTTCGAGTGCCTTAAGACCACCACCGGTCCCACCTCGCACATCCTCGGCAATGTTTACTTCAACCTGCTGCAGGTGCCGTGCGTCGAGGACCTGCCCGACGGTAGTAAGGAATTCCGCGATGCCAAAAACAATTTCTGAGATGGTTTCCGAAGCTCGCAACTCAAAATCTCCAGCCAAGCCGTAGATTATTAAATAAATAATATATATATATATATAGAAAAAAATGAATCGCCGAATCATGTGACGGCACAAAGTTTGTTGTTTGTTGTAAAATTGTTTATATTCGCATTACTTGCCGACGCAATGCGCAGTCAGTTTGTTAACGTTTGATATCTCACCCCAATGTAAGTTGTGTAAAACGATAAAAAATGGAAATGAACGAAACATTGAATTAGGTCGACCTGCGTTGATGTTCCTGTAAAATACATTCGGCAATAATCAACTTCTGTATGTCAGTGACGCCGCCGTAGATTTCGGTAACGCGCGCATCTCGGAAGTGACGCTCAACCGACATGTGCTTTACATAACCCATTCCGCCGAGGATCTGAAGAGCGCTGTGTGTAATGGCGGTGGCGCCTGTACTAGCGGCTGTTTTCGCCATGCTGCATTCTTTGGACGCTCGTCCCACCATATCGTAACGGGTGGCAGCACGATGAACCAACAGTCTAGCTGCTTCCAATTGCAGCGCCATATCAGCAATACGCAACTGGAATAACAAAATTATTACTCAATCATAGCTGTTTACAATGCAAGTACTTTGACTGCTTGAAATTCGTTCAGGTGTTGTTTAAATGCAACACGTTGGAAGGAATACTCAACAGCGGCGTTCAGCGCCGCCTGAGAGATGCCCAACGCTTGGGAAGCGATGCCAATACGCGCTAACTCTAGCTGAATCATTGCAATCTTGAAACCTTCACCAACCTCGCCTAAAATATTCTCTTTGGGGACGAGAACATTGTCTAGAGTAATATTGCAGGACGGCGCTGCGCGGATACCTAATTTATCATCAGCCTTGCCTCTTGTTACTCCTTCAGCAGTCAAAGGAACCAAAAATGCAGTGATTCCTTTAAAAACATCAGAATTTTAACATTTGCCTTTAAAAACATGAATTAATTGAGGTCACAAACCTTTATAATGTAATGACTTATCTATAGTTGCAAAAATCACAGCTATGTCCCCTACAGTTCCACTGGTCACCCAAGATTTAGTGCCATTTAACACATAACCATCTTGACACTCAGTTGCAGTTGTCTGTAGAGCTGCAACATCACTGCCTGCTTCAGGTTCACTCAAAGCAAAACAGCCTAGAACACCACTGGTTGTGTATGGATACAAAAACTTCTCCTTCTGAGTATTAGTTGCATATCTTGCAAGCAAATTTGTGTAGAGGCAATTATAAATAGAAACAATTGCTCCAGTGCTTGCACAGCCTGCTGACAATTCCTCCACAGCCACAGATAATGCTAGAGTATTCATTCCAGAGCCACCATCTTCCTTAGGAACAGTAATTGATAACAGGCCGAGTTTTGCAAGTTCTTCAATAGGTCCAGTAGGAAATTCTCCTTCGGCGTCAAGCCGCCCAGCAATTGGTTGTAACTTTTCCTGTGCAAAACGCCGACAAACTTCTTGAATCTGTTGGATTTCCGGCGGCGCATTGTGATAACATCTCTGCAGCACTTTGTGAACGCGACCGCATACTATAAACATTGGGAGTTAACCTAGACGATCTCACAGCACTCACCTGTTGCTGCTGGAGAAATGAATTCGTACCTGTTCGCCAGCTTCTGATTGCGCACGGGACTGTGTTCATGTTGCCTGGCTCGTTGTCGACGCATTACAGCGAAAACTCGCAGACGAGCAGAAAAATGCGACACCTATCGCGGTTGAATGCGTTGATTTGAGATTAATAAAGTTAAAATTTGATTGCCGCGAAGGTCACCGGCATGCGAGTGACGTCGCACGTTTTGTGCCTACTTACTTAAATATTTACATAAGAAATTTAAACGTTGTGTATAGAAACAAGTTCATTTGCACATAATAACGAGTAGGTATTGAGTATTTAGACGGAGTCGATAAATGAGTCGAAGTCTTCCGCTTCGTATCCCTGGTGTTCGATGGTGATCAAGTCTATGATTGCCCGCAACACGCAGATTTCTTCTTCATTATCCCAATCGACCGGCACTGGTTGGCAAGCTTTCCTTTCCAAAAACACATTTAATCTGCGGCGTAGTTCCTTGATGATAGCCAGAGTTGGCTCGTTGGTTTTGAACTTCAAGGAGTCGTTAATACTCATGTAGGGCACGTCATTCTCCCAAACAACTTTAAAGCGATCGCCGAAGAATATCAAAGGCAGAGTGTAAACGACGCTGGCGTCGTGAACAAAATCGCTCGTCGAGCGCATTTTTTTATAATAGACTAGAAACGGCGATTCGAAATGGTCATTGCGCATGATGACTGACTTCGGATGAATATCCACCAGTTTCTTGTCCAGGGTGTAGAATTTACAGTAGGTTGCACGTTTTGATATCCGACTGCTATTGTAGATAACATTTGGATACAAACTGGCACAGATAATCGCTTTAATTAGACTGATATTATCTGAATTGACGTTGGCTGCAGGAAGTTTTATGTTCGACGTGTTGAGGAAGTTCAATTCGTGCAAAGTTTCCGCGAATTGTCCTTCATCTTGACTAGTTGCGCCATTGTTTGATTGGAGAGGTAATACTCCCAGCAAAATGTGCTTTTATCGTAAACAGACTCGTATCTTGTCATGGTTTTATGAAAAAGAAGGTGATCGCTCATGCAGCCATCAGCCAGCTCCCTCTTACGTCGACGACAGTCTTCTTCTTTACCGAGAGGCATGATAAATGCGTCTTTAAAGTCTAGTGCAGATGCAATATTTACAATTGGATTGATACAACTGAAAAGCGTCCCAAGCAGCATCATTTTTGCCATCTGAGGCGCGACTGGTAACCGTGCTAAGTTGTATCCCAAAGGAGTTAACACTTCGTTTTCGTCAAGCGCATTAAGTCGTTTTAAAAAGTCCAAAGATATGCGGATATTTTCAGCTTCCGGCGGGTCCAAACAAGTGGCAAGAAACTCCTCGGCCGAGCCGAGTTGTAACAATTTTAAATTCAGAATTACGTCGTCTAGGCGCTTCCGGAGCAACTCCGGTTTTTGATCGGCTTCCAGGAGCATATTACGCGCTTGAGAGAAAAGGTGGTAACAAACGCCAGGGCGGACACGACCTGCACGCCCTCTACGTTGGTCAGCATTCGCTTTGGTCACCCACATGGCGCTTAGACTGTCTTCTTTGCTATCGGAGTTGAATGCAGTGACTTTGATCTTACCACAATCGATAACAAAGACAACATCGTCGATTGTAATACTTGTCTCGGCGATATTAGTTGAAAGAATAATTTTGCGCATGCCCGGAGGAGGAAGATTGAAGATAACCTTCTGTTGAGCGGTGGGCATTTGCGAGTGTAATCCTATAATAATGTACCTTGACTTGGGGAATGCGCCGGAATCCTCCATCATTTGATTCATTCTGGATATTTCGGCATATCCAGTGAGAAAGACTAAAATGGCACCCTTGTCCTTTTCCTGAAATTTAATTTCATAATAATTAATTAATTAATTAAACATACAAGTTAACAGAGAAAAACTTACATTAGCGCAAATATCTTTAACCAAAGCGACTGCCAATCCAATATTGTTATCTTCCGAAGCCTCCTTCAACAGCTCCCTGCACACTCTCTGTGGATACAACCTCATACTCTCCAGGCGCCGCACGTGTGGCAGAATAAAATCCACGAAATCATTACTCTTTTCAAATTTGCTATACCGTCTCGGCTGATTCACAGGGAATTCATACTTGGTCCTCACAAGCGCATCTTCTAGGTAATACTCCTTTACCTCATGCGTAAACCCGGGAATTTCAATGATGTTCGCCACTTGGAAGTAGTTGGCGAATTTTTGCGCATTGAGCGTCGCGCTCATCAAAATCACCTTCAAACTACTGCGCTTGTTCAAGATTTGCTTCAATAAAGCAATGATGAAATCACTGAGAACATCTCGTTCGTGAATTTCATCGAGGATAAGATGTGAGACGCCATCTAACCCAACGTTGCTCTCCATTTGTTTGAGTATAACACCCGTGGTGCAGAATAAGATACTGCCGCGACTACGCGGTAGAACATTCTCTAATCTAATTTGGTAACCAACGCTCTCTCCGAGAGGTTCGCCGCGTTCTTCAGCGATGCGCTCGGCGACTGCAATCGCTGAAATACGCCGCGGTTGAGAACACACGATTCTACAAACTGAGCCGCGCTCATTTATCAAATGGTCATCGAGAATATACTGTGGGATTTGTGTGGTTTTACCACAGCCTGTCTCTCCGCTTATAATGACTATTTGTTTCGAGTTTACGAAGTCAACTATCTTTGATTTGTACTTGTAAACAGGCAGACGCTCACGAATGCGCTGCATGGAGGTATATTTTGTAGAATTTTGCAGTGAATTAAAATTTGATTTTAACTCTTCGTCGAGGGATGGAACGCGCGGTGCTTCCTTAATATTCGCTAGTTTTTCTTTGATGTTTGTGTTGATAACATCAAGAAAATGGCGCTTGAATTCAGAGTTTGGGACATTATCATAGTTGCCTTTGAGGTTTAGACTTTCAAGCGGCTCTAATTGGCTAAGAAATTTAGTGATTTCTTTGGCTTTTGCGGATGGAATGATGACTGTGCCCATCTGTAAATGTTTTTATTTTTAATGTGTAAATGTGTAAAATACAAACTGTCGGTGAGAACTTACCGACTTAGCAGGACGATCAGAATCAGTGCGGTCCTTCCGTTCGCGTGATTTTTGCGCATACCACAGACCGATTTCTCGTCCACGGAGATGCCTCGGCGGGCGTTCACGTATCGGACTATCATCATCTTCATCATTCCCTATTGTGGTGATAATATCTCGCCTCGGTGCCGATCTATTAAAATTTGAAGTTGTGGCGTTCTTGCTTCCGCCACCACGTCTTCGTTGATTTCGTTGATGTTTCGGCATTTCAAACATTGGTCGAAACGCGTAATGCGCAAAACCACCGACAGGCGTCGCCCCAATCACGACCCCCCTTCTCGTGTGATTCGCCAAGATTACTCTGCAACCCATGCACACTTGATTCGATAAAATAAATAAAACGAATAAAACAAAACATAGTGCACAGCGTTTTGTTAAAGGTAAACCGCGAATGATGCAGTAGAATGAATAAGCCATGTTTACAAGAGTGGTGTCTTTGTTTAGATGTTAAGAAGGCCGCCAACCAGCATTGAATTGAAGCAGGCCGATGTCGCAGAATTTAATCAAATGCTCGAAAAGGCGAAAAAAGGACAAGCACAACAGGCCCGTCACACCGGCAGTGGGGCCCAAAAGCAAACAGGAGACTGATATGCGTGTAGGTTATATTAACATAAACAGACTAAATTATTAACAAATCATATGATCATAGCTATGTTTTTACAAATATATTAAAGTGAGAAATTCAATTGGTTTGCTTACCCTTCGTGGCTGATTTGGAACACTTTAAATTTGATCCCGATAACATTCAATTCTGTTGAATCAACACAACGATTTCATACTATTATTTTGACAGCTGTCAAATACAACATCTCATAATTTTAAACAAACAAGATATAAAATCGACTAGTATCTAGTGTGTTAATACGTCATTAAAACATCTTAGATGATTTAAACTTTTTAAAACTTTATTATTTGTTTTATAATAAGTTTTGTTTTTAAATTTAGTAACTTTCTGTCAAATTTGGTGAGAACGCAAGCGAGACGCAAGTGAGACACAGGTTGCGTCAACGGCGTCAACGTCATATGCGTTATACGGGAGCGAGGAGCACTAACACGGAGCACACAATAAAGTGGACGTTTGTGTTACATCGACGCCATTTTCTGCTCCCGCCATACGAATGCAGACCGAAATTCTTAGCCACAAATCGACATATACAACTCTCAAATAACACTTACACCGTGCTTCTTCTGCACCGCACCGCAAAGATGACCGCGCACGACCAAATGCGTGCAATGCTGGACCAGCTAATGGGTACTGGACGCAATGGTAGGAAAATCAACCCTTGATAACTTCTTTTGAATCACACACACCGGACACTTTTCCGCATAATGCAACCCGATTACATCCTGCCAATATTCATTTGTCAAGATTTTAATTCTACGTCACTGCCTGTTTCTGTAAGGAATGTTTGAAACTACTAACCTATCATATTTCGTCACTTGACACAATGGCCTAGCTGCTAGTGTCCAGTCAGAATTCAGTGCATGAGATTCGCGATTCAATGCATGCCGTGTGTGTAAAATCGATGATTTCGTGTGGTTTGTTTGTATGGTAATTCTATTCTCTTGTGTGTTCCAGGTGAGAACAATAAATTTCAGGTGAAATTTAACGATCCCAAAGTCTGCAAGTCGTTCCTCTTAGGTTGCTGTCCGCACGAAATACTCACATCTACGGTAAGTACCGCGAGTCCGGCGAGAGCGCATTATCTGTGACACAGTACTGATTTGTTTCTTTTGCATTTCATCGTTTTCATACTGCAATATTATAATTTTCTCTCAATTCGTTTTCTTCCCAGTCTAAAATCACACTCAGCCTCATCTACTTACTCACTACACTCATTTCTGTTTTACCTCACACTCACCTTTGTAACCCACTCTGAATCTGTACAATCAAGAAAACGAAAAAAAAAAAATTGGTCTAACTGGTCAAACTTGAGTCACAGAAAGCAGTGAGATTGCGACATTGCGCACCATTTTTGCTCAATCAATGCAAGAGGATGTGACAACTGCAACTAATGTACGCAATGTATTTTCAGAAACTGCAATTTACTTGCTATATGACTATAAGATGAGGAAAATAGGTGTTAGTTTGTTTATGTAAGTACTCGAGACGTACGTATGAACCAAAGAAATTTATTAGGTTTAAAACTTAATTATTCTGTATATATATGCATATACATATATATATATTCATATATAAATATTGTCGGTAGTTAATGATTGATAAACGCGGCTATTCTTTGTCTGTACTTATTATTTCCAAAGTGGCTACAACTTTCTTGACTTGTTATATTTTTGTTGTTTTCCGTATGCGAACAAAACTCGATTAAATGTGCGCCACGAATTCTTGAAGGTATGGTAAAACAAGCACTTAACGCCTCTCGATGTAGTATCAGACATTGTCGAACAATTGCGAGCGAAATGTACGTATCCCAAAGACATGTATGACTTGTAAGCGACCACACGAGTGCGTGCCGCGGTAAGTAGCCGGAGGGAGCCGCGCGTAAGAAATCGCCGAAACGTAAACGCGACCGGAGAGTAAGTTGTTTTCTATTTTACTTCAATGATGATTGGTGGCCGTTGCGCCAGGTTACATGAGTATTCAACTGAGCACACATTAGGCACAACGCGCAGAGCCATTAATGAACTGAACGTCGTGAACTCGCGGCAGCGTGTGCGTACACGATGATGCTAATACTTTCTGTTTGTGTGCAGCGCATGGACCTCGGGGAATGCCCGAAAATTCACGACTTGGCCCTGCGGGCTGACTACGAGAAAGCGCAAACGAATCGTGACTATTTCTACGACCTCGATGTAAGTATTTCCTGATATTCGCCAGGATAGAGTTTTATTTAATTGCATTTTCAGGCAATGGAACATCTTCAGGCATTTATCGGCGACTGCGATCGACGCACGGAGTCAGCTAAGCAGCGGTTAGCGGAAACGCAGGAGGAGCTCAGCGCTGAAGTGGCAGTGAAGGCAAACAGTGTCCACGAACTAGCTGAGCAAATAGGTCAGAAGCTCGCCAAGGCCGAGCAGCTCGGCGAAGAGGGCTTCGTCGACGAGAGCATGCGGCTCATGGAAGAGGTGGACGAGCTGCGCAAAAAGAAACTCGAAGCGGAGCAGGAGTATCGGAATTCGATGCCTGCGAGCAGCTATCAACAGCAGAAGTTGCGTGTCTGCGAGGTGTGCTCGGCGTACCTGGGCATCCACGACAACGACCGTCGGCTAGCGGATCACTTCGGCGGTAAACTGCATCTGGGTTTTATCAAGATTCGCGAGAAGTTGACCGAGTTAGAGAAAACGGCCGAGAAGCGCAAAGAGGAGAAACGGGTGAACACACGAGATCGAGGTATTGATCGCGAGAGGGACAGGGAGGATCGTTACAAGGAGCGCCACCGTGAGCAGTATGTGGGCGGGCGTGAGCTCGACCGCCGATCAAAACGGCATCGGAGTAAGTCGCGCGAGCGGCGGGAACGCGCTGGTGAGCGCGATCGGGACCGCGAGCGAAATGGGCGAGGCCGACGCGGACGATCACGGACACGCAGCCGAGAACGTCGGTCACATTCTAGGCACTCCGGCGGTAACGAGCGGCGGCGCGAGCGGGTATGAAGCAGCACGTGGAAAGTTCGAATTGAGTGACTGCGCATCGTTTTTAGAACTTAATTATTAATTATTCCTTTATTATATATATATGTATCCATTAAATTATGTATATGTATATATACACCCACACGATTGTACTACTTTATATTGTATACTTTTTTCTTTATAGTCTAGGGAATTTAGGACGGGATCGTGAACGCATGCATGCAAAATAATTGAAATGTACCTCCATATGTGAATAAATCAGTCATCTTACTAACTTAAGTTTATTTCCAGAGCGAATTGAACAACTCCTACCTTATAGTTCAACATTTGGACTTCTTCTATCTGATTTCAACTGTGATTTATGCCGCTTTTCCATCAGGCGTTCCCTGGCTGCGCGTTCGTGGCGTTTTCGAATTTTCTCCAGCGTCTCCTCGGATACGGGCGGTGCTTCATAGCTAGCCGCTAATATACATTCTCTTACTTTGTTTAAACAGTCTGCCAGGTTGAGTTGCTGTGATCTAGTTGAATCTGATTTGAATACCAGGAAACCATCCTTGGTTAAACGTGATTTATACTAAAAAAAACATGTGTAAACATGTAATTTACTGATTAAACCTTCACTACACTACACTACCTTCTCTAGTAATTTACTCTTAATGTCATCATGAATCCATGAAGCTGATTGTACATTAAAGCGAAGATCTACTTTGGTATTGACTTTATTAACATTTTGTCCCCCAGGACCGGCGCTCCTCGAGTATGTGACAGAGACCTGGTCCATTGGTATGTACCCCGAGAATTTATCAGATGCGGAGCGGTCAGGCTTCAAAATCTCAGTCATAAAATTGTTAAATAACATTGATGAGCTATACCTTAGTCTGTGTAGTTAACTTCAGCGAGCTTTGTGGATATAAATGGTCGAGTGATAAGGCGCTCTTGTATGTTAAGCTACGCTGTGGTAACCAGTGCAACAAGCGACACGCTTGTGTTGATGTTGTTTTGAAGACATTCATTTTATTTTGTAATATCTTTTGCCTTACGCTATATTCTTGCTGTACTGCCTGCTGCAGTAAATTGCAGGTTAACACAGTAACCTAGCACCGAAAAGGTATGAGACATTCGACATTGCGACTTCTGATTGGCTCAGTTTCAGTTTTATAATATCATAGAAATTTGAATTTGAATTGCGAGATGTTGATCATTATTTAATTTTAAACGCCACGCTAATTATATTTTTTCCGCGCTCCGAACAAGTACTTAAATTTGGCAATAAATTCAAATTCAAAAGGTAAATATTATTAGGTTAAGTGGTATGAATAGGCGCACTCAGGAGTCGGTATTCCTTTAATGAAAAGAAAAAATATAAACATTCAATACACATCACTAAATATGTACCTAAATGATCGAATTGTTTTAGTATCACTCAAGAGAAACGCCAACAGAACAAATGAAAGCTTGGAGTTTTATAAACAACTTCACCACATGGTACAAGATCTTCCAAAGAACAAAATGCTGATACTACTAGGTGACCTGAACATGTGGATAGGAAACAACATTGTAAGTGGAACTAAACAAAGATTTAACAAACAGTTAACACAAATGGAGAACTGTTAATTGACTCCTGTTTAGAAAATGAACTAAGAATCAATAACACTTTTTCCATTACAAAGACCAATAGCACATTTTTGTCAATACAAGAGGGATGAAATCAATGATTTATTTTATTATAACTAACTAGCGACCTGCCCCGGCTTCGCACGGAAGTAAAAAACCGCATCAAAATTCGTTGCGTAGTTTCAATGATTTAAGCATACAAAGAGACAGACAGAGAAAGCGACTTTCCTTCTCCAAACAAAAACATCAACCGGTCAACTTCAACCCACACGTACACACATACACACGTCTATGCTTGGAGGGGGAAGCTACGAAGCATCGCACAAAGAGCAGACGGGAATAATCGAAAACTTTGTATTTACGACATCACATTAGAAACCTCAAAAATAACAGTACTTCTCCACTATTTAATGGATGTTATTATACATACAAACCTTCCTCTTGAATCACTCTATCTATTAAAAAAAACGGCATCAAAATCCGTTGCGTAGTTTCAAATATTTAAGCGAACAAAGGGACCGGAAAAAAAAGCGACTTTACTTTATACTATGTAGTGATGGAGCAACTACAAGTGCATGATGTATGGATTTTAATCTTTGCAAATGCATGCAGTGAACACAAGCTAGTATCAAGCAAAATCAACATAGGCAAGCTAAACAAGGCAAGTAAAGCACCATCATATATGGAAAAACTCAACATCCTGTCTTATGATTATGAAAGCACAAGGAAATTCTATGCCAGTCGATATTAATTATTGAAAATCGTCGATAAAAATTATCAAGCACCCACCCTTGGCAATTTTTTTCTTAAGAATTAAAATTTCATCTCTCAGATTTCTGATATTCGCAATTGAAAAAAATGGGCAAAAATTGAAAAATGTCACTTTTCAGCACTTTTAGTCGCGTTTCTCGACCTTTTACTGTAGGAAATATAATTATGTTATATTTTTATCTGATAGACAATTTTCCAGTCTTTCATAATCAGCGATTTGTTGGTTGCAATCGCTTTTAGTTTAAGAGATATTAATTTTCGAAAATCGTCGATAAAAATTATGCTTGGCAATTTTTTCTTAAGAATTAAAATTGCATCTCTCAGATTTTCGCTTTAACTAGCCTGTCTTATAGAGAATAGTCCGTACAATAGGCTCTGCGATTTGTTCGTCTTTATCTCTTTTAGTTTACGAAATATTCGCGATTGAATAAAACGGACAAAAATTGAAAAATGTCCTTGTGTTATATTCTATTGTCGTATGGGATGCACATGTAGAACGTATAATTGTCAGAATTATTGTACGTTTGTAGTGTCGGTAACATGCAACTGTTTGTTTACATCCTGTCATTTCGAATAGTTTTTCCATTACATATAACATGAATATTTCTTTTCTTCCGCTCAAGAAACTAATATAGAAATCCAGAATGAGGTGCGCTAGAGCAAGGCTGGCCAATGGATTTTCCTGGAGGGCTAAATCTTTTAGATTGCGGCGGCACCGGGCCACATACTATGGCCATTCATACATAAAATATTATACACATACAAAAGTTCCAACTTTGGTTTTTGCGGCGGGCAAATTCAAATGTCCTGGCGGGCCACTTCGTGGCCCGCGGGCCTGGGATTGGCCGGCCATGCGCTAGAGCAAGAGAGAATTATGTTTTCGGTTCGGCCCGGGCTTGCGCAGCCATTTGAACAGTACCGTGCCGTGCCGGCTTAGTCAGTCGGTTGTGCGCCGTGCTGTGGGGTGCACGTGTTCTCTTTTTCCGTCAACCTTCACCGGGACTGTTAGCAATTCTGTTGTTTTAATACGCTGTAAACATTCGAATCGTTTGGTCATCGACTACTGACTAAATGATTTATCGCTAATTGACTGTTTCGAAGGACTAATTTTTGCTTGTTTTAGTGGTTTTGCATCTGAGCCCGACATTGTAGGAGAACCATTTTTGCATCAGACTGTAAGTATGGAATTTCTGTATCATTTTCATAACTAACTTTATTGATTAGCTCATAAATTAGCAACGAAAATTGCATTTTGTGTTTCGAAGGACTGATTTTTGCTTGTTTTACTTAATTTGCACCTGATGCCGACATCGTAGGAGAACCATTCTTGCATCAGATGGTAAGTATTAAAATTATTTATCATTTTCATAAATAACTTTAGTGAATATCTCATTAATTAGCAATGAAAATTGAATTTTTGTGTCTCGAAGGACTGATTTTTGCTTGTTTTAGGTGTTTTGCACCTGAGGCCGACATCGTAGGAGAACCATTTTTGCATCAGATTGTAAGTATTGAACTTATTTATCATTTTCATTAATAACTTTTGTGATTAGCGCATTAATTAGCAACAAAAATTGCATTTTTGTGTTTCGAAAGACTAATTGTTGCTTGTTTTAGGTGATTTGCACCTGACGCCGACATTGTGGGAGAACCATTCTTACATCAGATTGTAAGTATTGAATTTATTTATCATTTTCATAAATAACTTTAGTAAATATCTCATTAATTAGCAATGAAAATTGAATTTTTGTGTCTCGAAGGACTGATTTTTGCTTGTTTTAGGTGTTTTGCACCTGAGGCCGACATCGTAGGAGAACCATTTTTGCATTAGATTGTAAGTATTGAACTTATTTATCATTTTCATTAATAACTTTTGTGATTAGCGCATTAATTAGCAACAAAAATTGCATTTTTGTGTTTCTAAAGACTGATTTTTGCTTGTTTTAGGTGTTTTGCACCTGAGGTCGATATCGTAGGAGAACCAATCTTGCATCAGATTGTAAGTATTGAATTTATTTATCATTTTCATAAACAACTTTAGTGATTAGCTCATTAATTAGCCGTTGCTAAAATGGCATTTTTGTATTTCGATTGACAAATTTTCAATGTCACTCAAATAATATTACAGTTTCTGGCAATGTCGTTCTAGTTCCTGCTCGCGAAATTAGATGGCACTAGGAGTTGTTCATACAACTCTGTAAATTAGTCGAGGGTGCCGCTGCTAGATGGCGGTAGAGGTGTGTTACATTATCCTGTAAATTACTTTGGGTGGTCGATACTAGATGGCAGAAGTATCGGATTTTTCTGGATAGCAATCAAAATCAATATTTTCCACTTAGTCTGTCCTGCGCTGTTATGGGCGCTCGTGTGTTTTTGTCTTTACATTTGCTCTCGGCTGCAACTTGCATTTTGTCGGATTTTAAATTCCGCGTTATTTAGTTCTACTGTCGAAAAGCAAACGATTTAGTTAGTGGCTTTATCAAGTGCCCTCGTGTGTGCTGACGTTTGACGGTCGTCAGATCATTTTCTGTGGCTTCGATTTCTAGGAATTGGATTCATTAATCAAAATTGTTCAAGTATTAATTCGTGAAAATAAACCATTTGTGTTCCGCCTGTGGAAAAATTGTTAGTTCAAAAATATTAAAGTGAGTAATTTCTAACAATTTGCCGAAAGGTCTTTGTGCACTTTAGTACTTTATGGATGAATGAACAAAATAGTTGACTTAATTTTATGTATAAAGTAAATTTTATTTCTGTCTAACTTTTTAATTTTTGCAGTTGCAATTGCATTGCTATAATAATAAATGTATATGATTCCGCCAATAAAGGATAATTTTAAATTATATTCGCTGGTTCAGTTCGAGTTTTAGTTAATTTAGCGAATTAAAAATGAATTAAAGTCACGAATCACAGCGCATCTGATTTGTGTTTGTTTTTAGATGTCAAGGAGTTGAACGTGACCTCGGTGTACAATTGTGCGCGCATTCAATTGTGAGTATCGAAATTCTTATCATTTTCATATCTGCTTTGTTCACGTAGCCAGCTATATCTTTTCCTTGTTTAGTCGATCGTGCGATGTTGTTCGGTACTCACGTGTTTTGTTCACAAGTCGATCTTCGTAACTAGTTTGCGCGTTTCTTGTGATTTTAAGTCGGTAGTTGAATTAGAATCGATCAGCAAAGATAATATTTAGAATTAACGGACTAGTACGGCGTGCAGTTAATGAATTATCGCGCGTGGAAGTCAGAATTGTGAAGTTTTACAATGTGCGCACGTTTTTGCCGTCGGCCGTCGGATATCTTACGTCGGCTAAGAAGTCCGTCTCAGTAGTTTTATTTACGTAATGATATTAATTTTGTGAAACTAAATACTGTTTGTCCCCGCGTGGAACATTTTAATCGAGAAAGTGCACGTAGGTAACTGCAACATTAACATTCGACAAATGAATTAATTAGTGAAGGTGTCATGGACGAAATGAATTTATCAGACATTAAGGAAAAGCAAGGTAACCGTTGAATAAGTAAATACTCTGAAAATAATTCAATTTTAACAAATAATTTTAATATTCAACATGTACTCTATTGATTGTACGAGTTGCAATAAACAATTCTTTTAATATTACTTTTGCTAGTATATTTGTCTATGTTTCCTTTTTGTCGTTTTCAGAATTAGATTTAAAGACCACATTTGATAGTACGTGTTTGAAATGCGAATAACAGGTACATAAATGTTGTTTTTAAAAAAGTAACAAAAACAATAACATTTATACCTGAAACGAATACGATTTGATATGAGAGCTCGATGGCTCAGCTGGCATGTGCGTACGCTAGCATGCTAGAGATTCGTGGTTCATTGTTCGAATCTCAGTTGTAGAAAGCAGTTTTATTAAATAATAAGAAATTTAAGAAATGTGGGTTGCATACCACAAAAATATATAGATTCAAATGTTAGAAATAAGTTGAAGAGCAGAGTACGGAGCAACAATAGGAATAAGTAAGAAGATGGTGGAAGAGCAAGTAAGTAGAGAGAGCAGCAGGAGAGAATAGGAGAAGTAAGAAGAGAAGAGAGAAGAAGAGTACAGGAAGAAAAGAGAATAGGGGTGACGAAATTTTTAAATTTTTTGGCACGTGTCGTTATAAGACAGTCTACGGTCCACTGCTTCGATGCGTCCGTTGCTCCCGGCCCATCCTACAGCTACGATGTCTCTGCGCTTCATCCCCGAAGTTATCAGGCATATCAACAATTTTTATGGTGGGGGATCACCCCCAGAGAGAGGGAACTCCTTATAAGGACATCCTTTTAAGGACTTGTAAAAATATTTCTAATTTTTAAGTCGCCTCAAGAGAGGGGACACTTAAAAATATTCTTACAAGTTCTGACCTGCAGCTGAAATGAAAGATGGAGAACACAAATCATACAGGATACCTTAACAATTTTTATGGTGGGGGATCACCCCCAGAGAGAGGGAACTCCTTATAAGGACATCCTTTTAAGGACTTGTAAAAATATTTCTAATTTTTAAGTCGCCTCAAGAGAGGGGACACTTAATAATATTCTTACAAGTTCTGACCTATACCTGAAATGATAGAAGGGGTACACAAATCAAAGAAGTCAATAATCTTACTATTTATTTATTAACAATAGAATACAAGTTTATATTTTACAAGTCAACAGAATACATGTCGCCATATTGAAACAGGACTTACGACCTGCACAGCCGCGCATATGCCACCAAGTACTACTTCATAAAGTTATACCGGAATAATGAAATTAGTAAATAGCCAATTTTCTAGGTGATTGAAAAAGGAAACTAATATACAGGGTGTTCCAGAAAAAAAAATTCAAGGTGCAAACGGGGAAATACTAAAAACGACAGCTAAATCAAAATTTTCACGGACGCACAGGAAAATATATATACAGGGTGTCCTAGAAAGAAAATTGCATGTTCAAAACAGAGAACACTCAAAACTCACGACTAAAGGTGATTTTCTACGTGCTGTTAGGAAAACTAATATACAGGGTGTTACAAAAAGAAAATTTTAGAAACTACAAATGGAGTCAATATTCACAATATGAGGAGAGAAATTTACAAAATAACAACAATATTTTAATATAAAAACAGCGGAAAATTGAGCAAAAGGGTGCTACAAAAATTAAACACTTACATTTTAATATATTGTGAATATACCTATATTTATTAATTGATGGTAGCATATTAAGATATAGGTACTGAGACTGTGAAAACGAAAAACTATTCACCGTTCAAGAATTTATTTCAACAAGAATTTATTAATTTAATAATTAAAAATGTTTACGTGATCCTCGAAAACATGACCGAACCGACGACCGACGGCAAAGTAAGCGTAGTCGACCACATGCATATTATCATTTTAATAATGCACAGATAATTTTAAAAAGCGTGCTTGTAATAATTCAATGAAGCATGTTATTTTCGGAAACGCGACTAAACAGAATTCAGATAATAATACCACCACATGTTTGTAATCTACAAAATTAATATCCCTCAAATTGAATAATCAATTTAAGTTAAACCGCCTTAACTTTCCGCGAAAAATTTTAATTATCCACCCACCTGTGCATTTATGAGGAGATTTTCTATCCTATAATATCAACTGAAAACTCGCGCAGGGATTAACGGACACTTATTTCTCACTTAAGAAGACTCTAACCGCCATAAATCATATAACAAATCAGGCACACATGCCCATTGCGAACATTTTGCCGAGGGCCGAAAGAATATAAGACTATTAATCCAATTAAAACCTCGCGTGGCGATTAGAGAGACACGCTTGCGGACCACGCGGTGAAACAACTGCCGTGTGCGCTGCGCGTAGCCGGGTATGCAGCGATATCACGCGTCAGTCGGAAAAAAAAGTTGTTTATACCCAAACGAACTGATAAACATGTAGTTGAGAAGACGAAACTAAAAATTCACAATGTTGAAATACACAAACACGAAATTTACTTTTACTTTCAAAATTTCTCGGCATACGAAAAGAAATAAGTTATTTAAATTGAAAATTTAAGAAATGATATTTTAACTCATAAGAAAAAATAGGCAAGGGTGCTTGATAATTTATTTTCCCGATTTTCGATAGTGAATATCTTCTAAACTAAAAGAGATAGCAACTAGAAAATTGTAGATTATGGAAGATTGAAAAATTCTCAATCAAAAATTTTAATGCAAATTTTAGCGGGTTGCAGACCAAACTCCTGCAACAAACAAATACAACCCGATGGAGAATTTAATTCCGCATCTCTAAACACCGCGCTGAAGTTAGTGAGCCGCCTAGATCGCGCGTAAACCCGAAAAAATACAAACATTTCGCGAGAAAAATTCACCCTTTCATACGAATTTTCGCAGGTTCCTACGGTACCTTGAATACGAGTCACTTTTACCGCTAGCCTCGTAAGCTGCCCCGAATCGAGTCACTTCTACCGCTAACAAATACCACCCGATGGAGAATTTAATTCCGCATCACTAGACGAGGCAGTTAGTGCGCGAATCGCTATATTGTGTTCAAACAAACACAATTCTTGTGTCGAAGGTTCACGCTTGCTGATAAATATAGAAATAAACAATACAAGTTTATTTTACAATGTTTAGTCCATGCTATTGCCATCTATAAATGATACAGTAGTTTCGATCAGTAAAGGTAATAAAAAATTAAAATTCGATTTGCGTAATTCTGATTTCTCATGCTAATAGATTGCCAGATTTTAAATCAAATATTTAAGTGATATTTAATTTGAACATGCATCGTTTCTCGTTTACCAGGTAACACATTAGTCCGTAATCATCTGCTGATAATAAAAATGTATTAGAAATTGTTAAAATTGTTAGTTATATTCATGAAAGAATTGAAGAATATTTAAATTTACGATGCTAATATAATAAACAACAACGGTGTGTTTTGATTCCACGAAATAAAGATTCGATACCTGCAGGTAAACAAACTTATCTCTTGTGACCAACAAGCAATATTTAATGCAAAACCGTACATCGTTGCGCCATCTAACCTTTGAAAATATTTATCAACTTAAAAAATATATTCACTCACACATACCGAGAGAAATTAGATGAGTCGCGAGAATTCTGCGCGTATCAGCTGAAGATAAAAGATGTGAAGGAATACACCGGTTCGGTTGAAGCGACAACAAATGCCATGCAATTTAACGCACATGTTTTTAATAAATTTCAAATTCATTACCTATTACTAATTCGTAGTGCTCACCAGAAAAAAGAACACCATTGTGTTACACGTTAAACCATTGAGTTTATTTACTGAGTAGCAATAGCGTTGGAAAAAGTGTGAGACGAGTGAGACGGTGATCTATAGTAATCTCTGATCAACCTTCGACGGCACTTCCTTCACGAACAAATACACTATATTTGCGTTCCGCGAACATTTTATACACAACAAATCATTAGCGAAACGCAATAGACCACTACTATCACTATATACGCCGAATATAATGCGAATTACCGAATTAAACTCGAGGAAAGGAAAGAGTCGCGACAAACGCGTCCGAACCGTCCATCCGACACGGCGAAACTAGTTTTATTTCTGCAGCGTCAACAAACGGTACACGTATCGCCATCACGCGGTAACGTGTGTAATGCCAAACTATACACTACTATCGTACGTTTATCAACTGCCAATAAGAGATAAGAACCAATTGGTGGCATTCGAGTGCGCCCAAACAGTTTAAACAGTACAACAAACAAACATTGGACGCGAATTTAAACTACGGTAATAATGCAAATGACAATCGGTTTTGATATTTCTTAATTAACAAATTAAATAAAAGAATGTAAAATACATGCACAATTCAAATTGTGAAATCAACGAAAATTAATAAACAGGGTGAAACAAACGGAAAATTACAATATTTAAAAAGTTCAATAAAAACAATAAATTTAGTCCATTTATATTTGGACCAAGAAAAATAAATATACAGGGTGTTACAAAAAGAAAATATCAAAAAACCTCAGGAAGGACGTTCAACCCTGCTATTTGACCGAAAATAACTATAAATATGCTTTTTACACTGTTTCTTTAGCAGAAAATAAAATTTATGGCATTAAAACAATTATTTTTGATGGGCATTTTAGGGCACTTTCGGAAGGGTTAGAGGTTTGAAAAGGGGTGCATGGTGTAGATAAACTCTTGAACTCTAATATGACTATTAAAAACTTCAAAAAAGTCTATTAGTTCACGAGGTACAGGGTGTTTTCCACACCATGTTTTAAATTTTCATGAAAAACAGCTATTTTGGAAGGACATTTTAGGGCACTTCCAAAAGGGTTAGAGGGATGAAAGGGGATGCATCGTGTAAATAAACTCTCAAACCCTAACATGAATTTAAGAAATTTCAAAAGTCCATTAGTTCACGAGATACAGGGTGGTTTCTACACCATGTTTTTAAATTTTTTGAAAAACAGCTATTTTGAAGGACATGTTAGGGCGCGTAGAGAGACTCTCGAGCTCTAATATAACGGTGAGAAACTTCATAAAAATCAATTAGTTCACGAGATACAGAGTATTTTCCACACTATGTTGTCAATTTTTTTAATGCCATTTTTAAAGGGTATTTCAGGGCACTATCAAAAGGGCTAAAGAGTTGGAAGAAAAATAGGAAAGATCATACCCAATCATAGTAAATATACAAATAAAACAAATTATTGTAATTCTGAATCTAGAAATCTAGAAATCTAGAAATTACTACAATACCCAAGAAAACAACTAGTTTAAGAAAAAACATACTGGAAAACAACAAATCAGTTCAATTATTGATGGGAAATCAAGAAAGAGCAAATAAACAGGGTGTTATAAAAATAAAATTACTACATTTATAAAAACGCGACTGCAGAATTAAGAAATCAAAAGACGTGCGAAAAATACGTACAGTTAAACCTCCGATCGACATGGATTAACCCGCAATCTGCAGTGACACTGGAAACGCATGCGACGGCACGCATCAACTTTGAGTTACTACGGTACACCAGTTATAAGCGATTTGAGATAAAAATGAAATTGTAGTGTGAAAATGTTTACAAACTTACTAGTGCATTGGGTAATGACAGAAAGTACTGATGCAAAAAAAGCATGTGTTCTAAAACTTGCACTATGCTGCACTTACTTAGGTCCGTTCCGTCGGATAACGTACTTGAAAGACAAGTGCTATTTTAACCGACAGTATTCCCGTAAAATCCTGTCGAGGACAAACGTTAGTTATACTTACTCGGACTTATCAATAGGACACATATTTCCAATTCCAATCCTCAGCATCGAAAGAATCCATTAGCCGTCGAAACACTAATGCAGAGATAAACACGCGAGATTTATAATTAGTTCACGTGTAACTTATCTTCAGCAAAACACTGACACATCTATTGTCATTAGCTGCCGATATTAATTCTTAATATGTAATGCAATTACTTTAATCAAAATGAATTAAAGAAAGGTAGCGCGCCGCGTGCAGATAGGAGCAGACTGAAACGTTCGTAGGACGAGTGCAGCAGGAAGCTAGCAGGCTTGCGCCTGCGCATATGCCTACGGTACAGCAAAAGGCCAAATGAAATGCCATGCGCCGTCAGTCCAACCTCCCATTATACGCTGCTGCTGCTTGTGTCGGCGCGGCGCGACGTGACCCAGCGTGCAGCATGGCATTGATAACATTACCTTTTCCAATAGTGTGCAAACGAAGTTAGAAGTTCAAAAGTTCAACTACAAAAACATCAAGGTGAGAATAGAGTGGAAGTAGAAAAATAGCGTAAGCAACACGTCGCTAACGCTGTTAAACACTCGATTGATTAAACGCTTGCAGAATGGCAGAGCATCGTAAGATTTAGTTCAAAATGAATCGCGGGGACAGATCTTAAAAATAAAATTAAAGGAAGGTGTGCACAGAATATTACATTTAAGACAACCTTTATTACTGAATGCATACTGGTCAATTGGGTAACAAGTACAGAGCATACAACTTAATACAGTTGGTTTAAAAGCACATATTATTCTATTACTTATCAAATTAATGCTCTTGTGTCATCTTCAAACTCGCGAGGAAGCGAGCGGACGGCACGCGTACCGTGCACACGCCACCTCCTCCTCCTCCCTCAGCGCATTACAACTCATTACTTAATCATAACTGAAAAACAGCTTCTTTATATTATGATCCTTGTGTTTATCAAACAGCATCACCATTAATTTATGATTTTTTTCTTCATTTATTTTAAATTTCACACTTATATTTTCTTATTTCTATATTTTGTGGCGTAGAGCATGACGGCACCGTGACAATCCGCGTCCGTTTCAATCATTGCCGCGTCGCATTTTAATTACTACTAGATAGATAGTGGTAGACATGATTGGACTTTTGAGTTTGAACATCTTATGAACAAGATTAATAATTGTTATGTTTAGTACATGAATTGGTGCCGAACATTATTTGGCATCTCGCGTAAAATTTAGAATCTTCGAACGGTGCAGTCGAGCTCTCTGTATCTTTATTTATCTTTTAAAATTATTTCTTGTGTAATATTTCCCTCACAAATATATAGTCGTAATAATTAATTATATAAGTGTTGTGTTTGCAGTGTTCTTTTGTTTCATTCGTTTGTATTGTATAATTCCTACAACATACAATTATTTTGTTTTTTGAGTCCTTAAATTATTTATTTAAACCATTTTATTTATTTATTCTTTCATTAATTACTTATTGAAATGTATTTATTATAATATATTAAGTAGGTATATTTTATTTGTTTTCTTTTGTATTGTGTATGAATCGCGATTTTCACTTTATTAATATTTGATTCGTTTAATTAATAATTTTTGTGTTTTTTTGTTAAAGTAATTTCTCGTTTTTTTTTTGTCTAAATGTTTTTTGATATCACCGTGACATTTTGGCCTGGTCCCTGAGTATACCCCCCCCGTAAGGACATTGAATTATAGTCGTATTAACATAATTTCCTTCGTAAATTATTTGCTGTTCTCTTTACATTGTAGTTCTCTCGCGCGTCTACTTAGATTCGGGATTCAAGTCAAACAGTCCCAACGCTTTTCGCATTGTTCGCAAAGCAATCAGATCATGTTTAGCATTATCATTCACCTAGTTATTTTGTCAATGTTGTTACATATCACATTTGCATTTTGTATATCATCATCATCATCATCATCCCATTGCGGGCTGCGCAATCAACGACTTCGCAGTACAACAAAACGATTCTCAACATGGAATTACAAGAAAAAAAAACTTACATAAGGTGATCGGTCGCAAATAGGAATAATAGAAATACTAACGATAAAACAACGCTTCCGAAATGTATGATCAGTAATGGACTAGATTCATTAGGGAGGGAACTGTTTGCCGTCATTTTGTTTCTGCGTATAATTTTAGGCCATTGATTCTCAATTGAAGTCAGTGTCGCGCGACGCGATCGTCGCGATGAAATGAGGAAGGAAGCAATAGAAAAGAATTACGAGTAGAGACACCCTAATACGATACAGTCATATTTGGAAAATCGTGTGATGCTTAATTACGTTGTTCAATCCGCTTTTTCGAGCCGTCTAGCTGTTGCCTATGTTCTCGTGTTTGCACTGGTAACTAGATACAACTAATAAATTGCTTCGAACGTACGTTATTCCCTTCTGCAAACTCCTTTCTCTCACTCTCGCTCCCCCTCGTTTGTGTGAATCGATAACTAGAATATGTTCTTTTAGGACGCTTAAAGAAATAACTGAACACACTTATCGTAAAATAATAATGCTACCAATAAAATGAAACAATCGAACCGGATAATATTCTCCGCTTATGTTTATAATCAACCCATAACCTACTAAAACTAGATAAGATTTGTTTCGCACACGTCGCACGCATAATCGTGACAAATATATAGTTGGCTTGCTCTGCAGCGCGCTACGTCAATCAGCTTATATTTTATATTTCGATTGCGAGAGATTGATTTGCTTCTGTTATAGTCCTCATGTCGAACGCAATTAATTAATCCGTAAATATGTAACGCTTCTATATGTAATTTTTCTTTCATCATCATCATCATCATCTCAATTGCATTGATTTTGATATAGTAATAATAGATGTATTGCTCATTTAGTCACTATTATCGATTTGAAGTTTTCTTTGTCGTCGCATTATTTGTTGGTATCCGGGCGGCCGTCGCCCGAATGTTGCCGGCGTCGGGCCGCCTCGTTAAGTTTCAGGAATCTTGCTTATTATTATTCATTTTCATATTTTTTTCAACTTACAACTCTTAGCCTAGTCATATTTATAAATAATTTGGACTTATCTTATTAATTCGTCTAAGCGTAAAGACTTACATGCTACGGTTTATTTCACTAATTAAGTAATATGCAATTATATTAAATATATAGAATATCTTTTAGTTTAGACTGTACGATTTCTATAAACGATTTTGTCTTCATAGTTGTTAGTATTTCGTTTCTTACTTAATGCATGTACGTTATTTAAATATTGCATATTAGAAATAATTTCAAAAGTCATCACGATATTCATATCTCAAGTGTTGTTTCTTTTTGCATTTTCACCATTTTACAAATTTTAAGTAGTAACACTATTTAAATACACAGCAGTATAAGCGTAAACGCGATTTGTTACATTCTTTTGATGTTCGTAAATACACTAACGTCGATCTAACGAGAAAATCAAGTGCGCGACTGTGGAATTGGATCTAATCGTAGTGATTCAACGCAAAACAACGTCGACTCGAATTTGGCACATCGTCGGAAACTAAAACTAAACAGCGGTTGACTAAAATCTCGATCGCGTCCTGCCAGGAGCCGCGGTGCCGATCGCTCGCGAGCCTCGCCAAGTAAGTAACCGCGCATCCTTCTCGTCCTCCTCCTCCTCCTCCTCCTCCTCAGCCAACACATAATCCTAGCGAAACTAAAGCCTAATGTAAGTATGCTTAATAAAATATCTTCAATCGTCGGCACCTGGCGCGCATGGCACGGCGGTGCCGATCACCTGGTAGCCCTACAGTCTTTCTATGTGTGTGAGAAAACAAGCTCGCCTCGTCCTCAGACCGCGCAGAGTAAAGTGTAAGCCGTGCGGGTGCGCGGGTCGGGAATGTACAAGAAAAAACAATTCTAGAACAACGAAGAAAGAACGAACAACCGGAAAAAGGGTCGGATAAGAACGATAAGTCTATAGACAGAACACAAAGTCATCACATGTCGCGCGCGCCCTCATGCTCGAACCTAAACCCGGAAGAGGTGCTGCTGGTGCAAACGGGAGCACGTGCGCGCCGCGGCTAAGCACTCACTACTATTCGACAATCAATGAAACCTGAGTTCGAAAGGCCTAACCTAACTCGTCGGCTATTGCAGTCGCGGGGATGGGCGGGGAAAGCAAACGAATTGTCGCACGTGCGCGCGCGCGCGCGCGCCTCGAACGTCTACGTGTTGCGTTTTTTACCCTATGCTTACCCTACGCGCTATTCTTTGTACACATGTTGAATTTTCACTTCTTTAAACTCGAATATACTTAATAACACATTGTTTGCGCGCTGGCGCAAAACTCTTTATACAACAGGTTGGCAGTTCCATCAGCTGAATTATGACTCTCTCTTTTCCTTTCGTTTTGTCGTTTCTGATTTTATTAGTTTTATTTTGTTTAATTATTAGATTTTGGATTCGTCGGTGGTCGCGCATCGCGTCTCGCTTGATGGTGGGTGGTGGTTTTCGGTGGCGAGCAAAACTCCCAGAGAAGAGGCGTTCAAATACACAGTTTACATACGATACCTATTCATTAGTTACCTTACGATACGATATTAATTTTGTTACTCACTAGCGTAATTATGGTTACAATTTTGTTCCTACATCCGCGGTTTGTACAATCGATATCCGTGCGCGCGCTCGCCCCGGAAGGTGGGAAACCAACACAAGTGTATGTAATTTCTGGTGATTTACGCGTCTAAGTCGGGCCCGAGGTCGAAAAATTGCACATTGATAAATTCGAGGCACTTGATTCCTTAGGGTTATAAATTTTACAATCGTGTTAAAATCTACTATTCCTTCCAATGACCGGTCGTTTGCTTGCGCGCTGCTTGCTTGTGCGGCTGCAATCGCCCGCGCGGCCCAGAAAAGAGGAAAGCGCACTCCACCGCTCCTGCTGCTGCTTCTTTTCTCATCATCATCATCATCGTCTTTCTACCCTACATTCTATTCGCGGCTAATTACTTATGTCAGATCGTAACCTAATTCACTTAATGCTTAATCGTAATTATACATGTAATTAAAACAGGGCGTTTTATTATCACAACCACAAGTTGGAAGAATTTGGCGGACATGTTCTCGTTTCATTTCATTAAATTCATTTACTTAATTAACCGTACGAAAACGCAATCATAAACACGTAACTAAATTCATTTTATTACTCGTACATTATTAAAATTCTGGAATCGAATCGATAAAATATGACACATCTGTTCCATCTCGATAGTGTGCATCTTGTCTTCAACAATGTCTTTGGTATGGATGCTCGGGGATGGCAAGAATCAAGCGCTTCAGGTGAAGAGTTTGTCGATAGTTGGTCGCTGGCGTCATCGCGTGGGGACTAATTACTTAACACTAGGGGACACTAGTTGGAATAATACTTGTTCGGAAACGCGAGTCGAAGAACATATTGCACGGTAAGTTAGTTAGTTAGTTAGCTAGCTAGCGTAGACCCGACAGAACTTACGATTAGTGTCCTAAAGCTACGATTTTTTTTGCTTGAATACGACGCAAGCAAGATTCCCATAAACTTCTTCTCGTCATCAATTGTTACTGATTCGTGTGTATTCGATGTGTGATTGCTGTTCGGTTTCGACTGAGAGCAAACGTAAATTCGATGTTCCTTCGCTTCCGTCCAGGTTGGCTAAGACACAGACCGGACCGAGACCAAAATAGTTAAATCACGCGATGCGTAGTCATCATAATATTCATTAAAATGTAGAATAGGCACATTTCGTTCGCGCTTTGTCCTTTCCGCCCACTCAACCGCTCAACCACTACGCCGCTGCTCGTCTCCGTCGTGCGTGGTGCATTTCGTCGTCGTCGTCGTCGTCGTCGTCGTCGTCGTCGTCGATAATTAACGTTAAGTGTAATTCCTCGTCCACTACGCCTATGCATGCATACGCCTACGCGCCTCATCGATTTGTGTGTGTGTATAAATAAGTCATTATATCAATTAGTCATTATCATTACAATAGTATTACCACAAAAATAAACGGCTAAGTCGTAATAAGATTTCTAAAACTCTCGACTATTTGATTATTCTTCCATCGTGACCTCGTCCGCCCACGACGACCCATCTCCGCGCCAATGAATATAGCTTTCTTATCTCTAGCGTGTATCTTTATATAATATATGTATGTATCTTATGTCGTTAAAAGCTAAAGCTCATTACATCATGTAGTTCATTAATTTAATTGTAGGGTTTGTTTGTGTTTGGTGATTTGGTTTAACAACATTTATTATAATTTTCCGTATAATAAAATACAAATCTAATCGAAGAATCGATGGAGTCGTATTTGTTCGTATTTGGTGATATAGAATTTCGAATGTGGGCGGGGCGGCGCCCGCGTACGTCTCTGCGCGGCGAAATGAACGGAGCGCTGCTCTCGCGACGACAGGGTCGTAATTGTGCATTGCAAGTCTCGAACACTGGATCTTCGCATTGATATGGCTCGACATAAACTAAAGACGTACATAAATATTATCGATATTTAACAGTCTTGATGGACTTTGGCATTTATCCAACGAGTGTCGCCTCTCCGCTCCGCTCGCCTGCTTTGAACTTTGATTCTCTTTTGTGGTGCGGCCGCCGCGCCTCGCCGCGCTGGGTGAGAGATGCGCGAGGTGCGAAGCGCGATAGCGATTAATTATTATTGCGTCAATCAATCGGATCGTGATAGATTCCTCGATGATTTTGGTATTTTCCATATAAATTTGTCTAATAAGTAATTACGTTAAAGCTTGAATTGTCTTCATTTCTCCCCCTCCGCCACTGTTTGTTTCCGCCTTTGTTTGTTTCCACTCACACGAGAGTAATTTGAAATTTTCGCTAGACGATTTGTGTACAATCATTAGTTAGATATAAATTTGTCTACCAACAGATATATCATGTATGTATTGTATTGTATTGTATTATGTATGTATGTATGTATGTATAGGTTTGCTGCACACTTACAAATCTACCGAACAACGATTCTTTATATAAATTTAATATAATCTCATCTTCGTTATGTTATTAGTTTAGATTTAGACAGTTAAATTTAATTATGTTTGTATCATTTGTCACAATGCGTTTGTTAATAGCAGTTGCAATTGTCAATTGTTAACTTTGGTAAGGTTCCTTCCGCGGTTGTATAGTAAATATATAAGAGTTGTATTGTATAGAATGCGTCCAGATGTTGTGTGTTCGTTCCCTCCGCACGTTCGCAAATTCCTAAGGCGGATATGCCGTCGTAGTCGTAACGTTATTGTTATTTGTATTGTTATTAATTGTAATTGATCAACTTATGTACTTAGTGGCGGCGCGAGCGCCCGGCTCGGCCCGCGTGTATATCTGCATGCTACGCATAGTTATTAGTTGTTTAATTTATTGTTATTATTCGAAATTTACTTGAAACACAAGTGGCACTTGGATCACAAATACTGTATAGAAACCGAAACGGAGTCAGATTACGCGCGGCGCGTCGCGGTGGCGTCGGCGGCGGATTGTATCGCGCGCCCGCGTCCGCCTGCCCGCGCGTGGCCCATGTCGTCGTCGTCGTCGGAGTGCCGCGGGCGGCGGCTGGTCGTCACAAGTCGCGTTCATCAGTTTGGTTGCTGCTCGCTCGCTCGCTCGCATTCGTATTTTATACCCTTATACCAATATATGATTAAAATTACCATGGCGAGTGTATATTACTCGCGACAATAGATTCCTCTTCACGTTAAAAATAATACCTATCGACTAATACATTCAATAAAGTTACTGTCTAAATTGGCAAACATAGATTAGACAAGAAGATTGATTAGATATACAGATATAGTTTGTGTTGCTCGCCGTCGGTTTGTAAATAGGAATCGCGCGCGGCCGGCGCCTGCCGCCGCAGCGTGTGAGCGGGCCACTTACAAATAGTACACAACAGTACACACAGAGACTTAAGACTACCTTGCCGAATGGGGGTGTGGGTGGTTGGTTGGTTATGTTCAAGATATAATATATATTTATATATATATATATATAGATTTTAAATATTATCATCCTATCTTCTGTCCATTTGCGTTATTAGTATTTAATTATTGTTGCAATTACGATATGACTTAGTGATTATAGGTGACTATTTGGTTTCATTAGGCAAATATCATACGCCATGAAAGCTCCGCGAATGCCCACACGCTGGTCAGCACGCTCCGATCGACGGTCGCGTTTCTTTTTTTAGATGTGTATTAACTAGTACATACTTCGTTACGCTCCACCTCTGCTCGTCATAATTAATTACTCTTGTTATTCAATTTTTTTTTTATTTTTGTAATATTTTAAATTTATAAATTAAAAAGCCACTTAAGATTCACAGCACATAGTTGTGTACAATAAAATACTTCATGTTTGTTTGTTTTCATCTTATTTGTAATAATTCCTCTTATGTCTCGATCAGTTTGCATTCCCGTTTTTGTAACTCTATGTAACGCTAGAATGGTCTAAAAATGTTAGTGTCGCGACTGTGGTCGGCAAATTTGGAATTTGGTGATGAGTTGAGACGACAATCTCGGCGCTTCTTTCTCTCTCTTAAGTAGTAATTCAAGAAATCAAGTCGATAATTAAATCGCTACAGTCCTCAGTCTTTGTGCATTTCCTTTAAACATCGCGGCGCGAACGAACGCGGACCGCCCGTCGTCTTCCGTGTCGAGACTGTTTAAAGAAAACTGAATTCAGGTAACAAACAAACGTCGCGCCAGCATTGAAGTGTCCCCCCGAAATGCATTTTTGTCACTCTTTGAAGACTAGATAACCTTAATTTTAGTGTTTGCGTTAGCTTTACTTATAGTTTCTGTACCGAAAGAAATGCTCATTCGGTCGGTGTGAACGAGACACATGGTACGATGAATTGTTTAGTCCCTTGGTTGTGTGATCGCGCGGCGCGCCCGGCGCAGGGAAGATCATCCACCCACCGCAAATAAAAACCGTCTCTCCTACTGCCCCGCTCTTCTCCACTGCACTCCACTCCACTCCACGATTAATACATAATTGTTAATGTCTCACATTAAGCTTAGTAATACCTAATAATCAATTTTTGTCGGCTCGCCGCGCGAGCTTCTATTTCTGCGCGCTCGCCTTGCCCGTATCGACGCGTTCAGCATCATCTTTTTTTTTATATATCATTTCTTTCATTTGCTTCTGCCTACGTCCCCGGTTAATTTAAAGTTTAAATATGCAATGAACACCACGTTTATAACACATTGAAGTGTGTGATTGTACGAGTTCGATTTATTCCAGTGACGCTGCCTTCGGCTTTGCGCGTTTTCTTTGAGAGAGAAATCGTGCGAAAGTGACCGAAACGTCATTTCGAATCAAACGGAATCACAGCATTTGTATTTTTTTGCATTTTTCTCATTTTTCTTTCTTATTAAATAATATATTTTTACAATTACTTAATATGCAATAACTACGCCCGTAAGTCTAGATCCTTATTAGCTAATACACTCAGACTACGATTCCTCATCATATCATCTCCGCTTACTTACTTAGTACTTTACTTGTTATGCACATTTAAAAATCACTTAACGTTATTGTTTAATCTTAATATTCTTAATAATTCATCTTCCTTACTCCTTCATCGCCTTACTCAAATTATTTATTATATTCGTCAATATGCTTAAGGTTAGTTAAATATTAAATAGATTTTGTTTAAATAGATATTATGTCAACCCTAATGTTCCATTTATAGACCCAATTGTAATTATTTGTGTGTTTGACTCGAATGGCTAACGTCGCGTGTGTGTGGGTGGTGTGTGTGGTGGCGTGTGTTGCGTTGGTTGGTACACCGAATAAGAAGTACGGCGATGCGAGCCGCCCCCGAGCGCAGTCTGGTTGGGGAGGGGGCGCGCTCCGCTCCTCGCGCCTGCGTCCGCTTCTCAATTTGTCAATCAATAAATATTCATATTATTAAAGTTATATATACTTGCATCTCTTTATAATAATATATATAATATATATGTGTATATATAATATGCCATCAGTAATATTTTATTTTAATTAGAATTATTAATTAAACACTTATTTTACTAGGTTTTCAATTACTTTTAGTAGTTTACTCATCAAAGAATACTTCTCTTAGTAGCGTGCAGTCTAAATATTGATTGTGGTGTTAATTTCCATCCGCAATTAGTTTGTGTACTTCGTTCGCGTCTTACAGTTAGGTAATATATTCACAAATGTTCACAAATATAGGTATCTTAAGAGACTCTCCTCCAAGGCGTCCGCCACTTCGATACGGATCACATTCGCCTCGCCCACTCAGCCAGCATCCACGTCACGCCACGCCACGCCAAAATTTAATGCATAACGTTAGGAAAGGGAGATCACAGGTAAAAAGAGGGTACTTCCGTGCGTGTCGCTGCGAATCGCGGCGCGGCCCGCCGCCGACGGGGTCGTCCTCGCCCGTGTACAGGTGGAGGCGGCGCGCCGGGCGCATCACGGCACGAAACGTTGCGTTCTCTTATAGATTAAAATTTAATATTAATATAGAAATCTTAACGTTGCCTATTATAACTCACTTAACATAGAAACAGAATAATACACAAATTAATAGCGACAGACAATGAATTAGTTAGTTAATTAATAATAATAAAACAAATGGCGGAAGCACCACTTTGATTTCGATCTTGATTTGTGTTTCATTTTTGTATGTTTATTATTCATTTAGAGGGACTAGCGTCTCGTTTAATATTAAGCATTCGTTACCTCCATACGTTTCAACTATTATTATTAACACATGTTTGAGCATTGAAAGATGTGTCTGTCTTCTGCGTCGCAGTCGCCATCGCGCCCGCCAGCCGATGGACGCGCGCCAGCTTCTCTTTGTATTCGTTATCTTTATGGAAAATATGTGATATCGTAGATATGTCGATACGATACTATTTGGCGTATTGATAGTTAAGACATTGTGCATGCGCATGCCGTTGTTCGGTGTTGAACGCCACGTACGCTCCGATCTAACGTTAAGTCCTTACACAAATAGTAATGATAAAACTAACAAAATAAACTCTATAAAACTTTAATATCATACTAAAAGAGAAAAAAAAATCAATTCTTTCGTATCGTAACCGCTAACTCAATTATCGGTTAGTCTAAAATTATAGATAAGAAAAAAAAAAACAGTAAAAACTAAACGAATACTTTTTCACTTCTTGACTATGTATGAATTGTACCAATTTCGTTTTTAAGGGCGTTTTCAATTATTTAATCAATTAAAAATAATAACACATTTCCTTATTAAGCCTTCTCGTGAATAAAATTATCATTAAAGCGCAACGGTTAAAGTAATTAGTCGTGTTGTTCTCGAGTGGCGATGTGCGAGCGGCCACTAGGGCGGCGCGCCGAATTGTTCGAACGCGGGATTGGTTTAGATATGAACAGCGTACATGTGTGTGCTTAGATGGACTCACCGCCTAATAGATCACCGGGGAGGTACGACTGTAGATTCGACGGCGTGCCGCGTGACTGCTCGGCGGAATCGAGAGGCGTGGAGGGCCACAGGCTGCCCGACTGGGTGTTGGACCAGCCAGTGCCCCACATGTCCGTGTGGGATTGCTGCGGTGGCGGCTGCTGCTGTTGTTGTGACTGTGGCGGGGGTTGTTTGCCGGCGCCGCGCCATCCGCCGCCCGACCCGCCCTGGTTGCTGACGACTGGATGCAGCAACGAGGTGGCCTCCCAGTCCGTGGGGTTCTCGGCGACGATGGTCGTATTACCAAGAACGCAACTATTGAGGGCGGACTGAGCCTGCGATAGAAATAATCATCGTTAGTATATGCCTAAATTCGCATATGCCGCGATTTGCTTACCTTAGCGGCCTCCTCGTTGGTTTGGTACTTGGCCAGTGCGAAGCCCTGGTGCAGATGCAGCTGGAAGGTGCTTAGAGGACCATGTTGCATGCAGAGTGTCCTCAAAGTCGATCCGTCAATCTATAAAAGCACAAAAACGATACAAGTCAGAAATATGTTTGCACAATAACAAAAACCTAATTACCTGTGCAGTGAGATTACGTAGTAACAGCCATTCAGAGTTGCTCCAATTGGACGAGCGTGGCGACGGACCCCAGCTTGCACCGGAGGTGCCAATGTTGCTAGACCAACCGTTTACGGCCGGGTTACCGCCCTTGGTGGGCAAGCCTGGTGGCGGTGGAGGACCGGCCTTTGGAGCGCCCCACAGCCCGGTGTTGGCGGCAGTGGTAGGCGTCAAGTCGCTGAGGACGCCCTTCGTGGTGGGAACCTTGTTTTGTGGACTACTATGAACAAGAACGTATATAATCATTAAACTGCGTCAGTGTGACTTTGCGAACATACACTTACCTAGTGAACACGTTCGACAGAGAGGAAGAGTAGCTCCACGTTGACGAGCTAAGACTGAACGTCGACGGCTGGATTGCGTTATCGTCGGCCGGCGGGCTTTTGCTGGGTATGTTGAACGGTTCGTCCTTCAGGACGGGCAAGAGCGGTGAGCGCACCACAGAGCCGGGCGTAATACTTGGGTCGTCTTCGATCGATTTCTGGTTACCCTATAAACATTAAGAACGATTGTGATTAGCACGGTCTAGATGTGTGTTTGGGGGTGAATGTGCGTACCTTCCATGGTTTTCCGGGTTCGAATTCAGGTACTAAATCAGTTGGCCATTGAGCGTCCTTGAGGTCACTGTTTTCGCCCGGCGTGCTGTCGGGCCAGCCAGAATCGCCGCGACCGCGGCCGACGGTCGACCAGGGTCCATTGGCTTGCGACAATCCGAGTGGGTTGAGGTTGGGTGAGCTGTGCGACGGTACAAGTGGCTTTCTAGTCGAGCCAGGCGCGAGGCTGAAGTCGCTGCTTTCCTCCTTGTCAATATTTGGAAGCTTCCATTGCGTCAGACGCGATTGCTGCTGAGTCTGCTATAGAAATAAAATAATGCACATATAGAAGCAGTTAAGGAAGAAATATATAAATTAAACTTTGCGACTTTGCAAATCATTGACTTTTTTAAATCATTAACCAATTCATTAATTAGATCCATAATAATCATTTGTGAATGAATGTAATTGCAAGATTTTTCAGAAGATTGTTTCAAGACATACCTGAGTATCCTTGATGCTCAGATCGTTGAAGTTAGTTTGGAGTGTGATGGCGTCCGACAGAGGGTTGGACTTGAACATGTCGCTGTCGCCTCGCATCGGCTGCTGCTGCTGTTTCACATAGTTGGCCTGCTGAGATGCAATCTGGTTCTGCAGATTGGTGATCTGCTGCTTTGTCTTTGTAATGAACACCGCGAGGTTTTGCACCATGTTCGGCAACTTGCTGCTGCCAATGCATTGATTCTGAGCGAGGCTCTGCTGGTTGGAGAAATTCTGCAGCTGCTTGATTTGTTGCAGCAGCTGATTGAGCAGCACCAACGTCTGCGGTGCGAGCGGTTGGTTCAAAATCTGATGATTGAGATAGCCGGCCTGGACGGCCATTTGGATCTGCTGCACGAGCATGCGCAACTGCGCGGTAGATGGATTGGACGGCATGGGAACGGCGCTTCTGCCGCCGCTACCGGTGCTGCAAGCGCCAAAGCCTTGCGAGCCACCAGAGAGCATCTTCTGTACAACTGCAGGCGACATATTGTTGAATGGATTGTTCGTGCCCGACGAACCGCCCATATTGTTGATCAAGTTGGGCGTGCCGCTGCCAGGCGGGAAAATTCCCGAGGGGCCAGCCTGGAAACCGCCACGTCCAGCAAACTGCTGATGATCGTAGTGATCATCGTGACGGCGCGACCACTCCATGCGCGAGCTGTTCAGCATCTCAACCGCTTCCTCCATGCTCATATCGCGGGAACGCAGCGCGTTTTCAACCTCATCCTTCTTGAAGCCCAAATCAATCAACACGCGGAACTGTTTGGATGCCCAGATGGCTTCCTTGCTGATGTGCTGCTTGTTGCCCTGCTTCTGGCTCCAGTCCATATCGTTTTCCGCCCAGAGTGCACCGCCTCCGCCGCCCATTGCCTTTGGCTTAGACCAGGGACCACCTTCTTCCCAACCACCGGCAGGACCCTGCTCCTCGCCCCAAGATGTTCCATTGCGCCATACACTGCCGCCATCACCAGACATTGGTGGCTTCATGCCAGGCCTTGCGTTTGGAGCCATTCCCGGAGGACCGTTGACATTTACTGCCCCGCGCTGCATAGCACCTGCACCACCACCCCCTGTGGGCAGATCTTTCCAGTGAGAACCTACAGGGGCACGGGAAAGAACAAAATGCGAAAAGCAGGATTCAGTGTACTGTGTCTCAACGATTCTCGTGTGCCTATCACTAGTGTGATCGGTCGAAACATTTGAACTGAATGTTTGAATGTACGTGTCAAGAAGTGTTGTGTAAATAATCTAAACCTAACACGGCCGGCTTACATGTGGACAAAACGATACGCTGTAAAGTGCGTCTCGCACGAAAAGCGTCACCAAACTTGTTCGTCATCGCGCACTAAACGTCTTGATTCCACGGTGGCAAAAAACGAACTGAACGAGTAACGGTCAGCACGCTAAGCACACGTGTGCGCCTGTTCTCGGAATAGGATGATCGTTAAATCTACCCCTCTCTGTCTGACTTTAACCTGACAACACATCAATGGCGCGGCCAGTACCAACCAAACTCAGAAACGGAGAAAGAAGAAGTATGCTTGTGCATTTGTAGAAAGGAGCGCCGTCAATTTTGGCAAAACATTTCAAATCTCGCTCGTTCGTTCGCGTTCAGCGACAAACTAACATGAGGCAGGGAAACAGTTGATCAAGAACCGCCATACGTTAGCGGGTAGCAAGTGATAACGTAGTGCGTGAGAATCAGGAAACGTGATACGAGCAGGAACAGGCTGTCGACACTTACCTTGCTGAGGATTACCCCAGAGTGAGGTACCGTCATCGTAGTTTGGCATGTTGCGTCTCTGCGAAGGCGGCGAGGGTTCTTCCCAGCCGGCACCACCGTTGCCACCGGGTCCGACCGGCATCTTGCCCTGGTGATGCATGTGATGTGCGGGTGCCTGCGGGCCACCCTGCGGCCAGAATGTCTCAGCACCAGAGCCGTTGAGACGGCCGGTGATGCCACGCAGATCACCGCGCATATCGCCAACGGGCAATCGCAGTTGTGGGTCAACCAGACGCATCTGATCGTTGCTACCAGCGCGCATTTCGCGTGGATCTGGTCTTATATCGCGATGATCCATGGGAGGTGCACGTGGATCAGGCGCGCGTGGGTCACCCCAGCCGCCGGACCCACCGCTAGTTGGCGTGTTCCAATCGTTTTCCTTCTTGGCACCGCCCCAGAGATGCGGTGCACTGCTGCCGCTGGCGTTGTTTGCGCCTACATTTCCACCCCATTGTTGTGGTGGACCAGCGGGACCACCTACAGGCAGAGAGTGAGAAACGGAAACATTGAGTGGACGAATATTCTGCATGTACGAGATTGGTGCAAAATGATGACTAGTGCTGAAGTTAGTATTCACCATCCCGACAACAGGTTTAAAGGAATTCTCCGCTTTCCACGAAGCAGTATTCATAATCTTCGGCTGAGAGACACGCGGGATATAATACAGCGGCACTAATTCAGATGAGCGATCATGTTTCTCTACTACGGGACTACTAGCGCCAACGACGGTCTTCAAATTTTCAAAGTACGACTTTGTACTCGCCACCGGGATCTTCTTCATACGTGTGACACGCGGGAAGTAATAGAACGACGGTATCTCCGGTGCGTAGCAATCCGTTGCATCAAAATGAATTTCAGCGGTCTCGTCTTTGTTGTCTCTCGAAGTACTATTCGGCAACGCGTCTTCTTTCGAACGAGTCGTACACTCCGCCGGCTTTGTTTCTTCGGCTGCAGGACGCAATCCACAGCCGCTATCGACATCTTTGATTCCCGATAAATTACACGTTAACACGTCATCCTGAGCACGAACGGAACAGGACGTAGATGAATGCGGAGTAAATTTCCGCGCCGAAGGTCTGCTAACAACAAGGCACGATTCACAGCCAATTTGGACAGGAGCTGTGACACGTAAGGCGTCGTCCTCCTTTGCACGACTGTTTCGCGGTACATCAGCAATCGCGGTCTGAACATCTTCCGGTAACGGTGATTCGGCACCTTCGATCAACGCGTCTTGATTCACGACAGTACTCTTCGGTGCATTAGGAAGTTCCGCATCCTTCTGCACTTCAGATTCATCAGCTACGGGATGAGATTCCTCGACGGTCTTGCTACTCTTTGCTTTCGAGATGTTTTTCTCAAACCTCCTTACGCGAGGAGTATTTGAGACATTAGGAAGCGGTGGAAATTCTCGTTCGTAAGAATGAACAACTTCTACATGGAAGAAATGGTGGCAGAGGATTTCATTAGTAAGTGGATTCTACACAAGTAAATGAACCTGAGAGACGTGTGTGTCGCGTTGTTTAGCCGAATGCGTGCGAGACGCTATCCAGTGTTGAACGACGACAAGTTACTTTCCTTTCTATTACTATACGCGAAAGCTAGCACAGCGCTGACGCGAAATGGGTTAGAAAGGAGGCTAACGTGGGTGTATAATAAAACAAAAAAATATCGAACCTGTCCAAACGCTGCTGCTGTCAGAAACGTCATCATCCTCGCCCCAGGTACCGCCAATGTTCGTAGATGGCGTATGTCCCCATGGCGTCTTCTGTTGAGGCTGCGGTGGCGGCTGACCACCGTTGCGCAAGTTGGCTTCCCAAAGGTCAGTGCCGTTGTTCACCGGGGGCTTCCATGGTGGGCCGCTGCTGGCGGCGCCTCCGTCCAGCTTGATGGCAGGTTCAGGATAGTCCGGAATGTCCCAGTTTGTGTCCTGATTGACGTACTGCTGCAATGAAGGAGACATGTGAGACGCCGTTGGGGTACAAGTGGGGAATGTATCCTAGACTTACTCCACCCCAGCCGTCCTGACTGAAGATAGCCTCGCGCATATTTGACAGTTGTTCGAGTTGCTGTTTTGTCGAATTGCCAGACGTCTGGCCCTGAGTTGCGTTGCTCTGATTCGTAGTGTTGGCGTTCGATGTGGCTGGACTGTTGACGACGACGCCCACGACGCCGCCGCCTGCCTGACCCGCTTGCTGCGGTGGCGGCTGCTGCTGGGCTTTCGGGGTTGGACCCCAACCGCTCCCGCCTTGAGATCCGTTCGGCGGCTGGCCGTTCGTTGGTAAGTTGGAATTGGCCTTGTTCGCTGCAACAAAAATGCACACAGATGGCGATTAGAATGCATCCAATCTCAACGCTCTCAAAGTGTAAACAACTTGCAAGTGTACTCATGAACAAGTTTGAATCAAGTAACATTCATTAATTAGATCCGTATTTTTAATCATTGTGATGGCAAATGAAGAAGGAAAGGTTTAGATAAATAATTACCGTCTTGATTAGTATTGCCAGGGCCAGAGTTTGGGGGCCGATTGGAGTTATTGTTCCACTGCTGAGTGCCCGCGTTGTTTTGGTTGGCAGGATTGGCAGTGCCCCAGCCACTAGAGGTATTTGCTGCAATAACAAACGCAGGTGTGTTCGTTAGACGGCTGGACCGATTGCAATCATCATGCGCGCGCGCGTTGCATGCTTGCACTCACCATTATTGTTACTGGCCTGTTGCGAAGGCGGCGTGCCCCAGCCGGACGTGCCGGTGTTGATGGAGCTCTCGCCGCCGCCAAGCAGCCGCATGACGGGCAGAGGCACGGCGCTGCGCTCCAGCGACCGTGTCCACATGCTCAGCGCGACGAGGCGATCGTAGGAGTAGTAGCCGCCTCTCGGCGTGGTTGCCGTCGTGTCATCGTCGTGATCTAGGTACTGTGTAGTAGTCAGTCCGGGGAGTATTTTATCAGCCTTTTGGTTGCCGGGAATGTCTTGTCCGAGAAGGAGTAAAGCACCAGACTTACATGCTAACTTATCGCTATTATTGTGGGCTACGTTACGTTGTATTTTTGGTACGGTAACAGAGTTCAGAAGACAATTATCGGTCACAGATTGCATCCTGCAGGCGCAACAAAAAAAAAAGACGAGTGGCGGTTAGAGGGGCGGCGGAGGCGCCAGCGGCGTCGCACTTACCTAAGATTAGAGTTGCCGGCGGGGCAACTTGAGCCAGTTATCACAGATGGCACGTTCACGTCCGGAACGCGATGGGACACTTGAGGGGGTTCGGCTCCAACCGCCCTTGATGCCCGAGCGACTTGTACTGGGGGTGCGCTGCCCCTCATGGCTGACACTTGAGGCACTTGGTAGGTAGGAAATGTGTAGTTCGGCTCGGAGGGGACGGGGGCGCGCATCTTACTAGTGCTCCATGTCAGTCTAGCCAGCCAGAGATCTGCAAGCACACACGCACCGTGCAAACGGGCTTATTATTATTATTATGAATTATTATCGCGACGCAAATCAACAATATCAATCTACCATATATCGACTGGCCGCGCGCGACACGTCCGCGGAGCTATTTCGCGCGAAGGTGGAGGGGGCGGCAACGCCGCGCTCGCGCAGAGTCGACCGAGAGCAAACGTTGCGTCGCAAAAAGATTGCCCGGGGGAACGTGGATCGTGGATGTAGCGCATAATATTGCGCTCGCGCCGCGACCGTCCCACACGGCGCGCCGCGTACATAAATAGCCGGCCGTATGTGCATTCCCCGTCGGCGCAAAGAGCGCCATACCGTGCGCCATGCATGAATAGAAATTCGCAATCCAGCGGCGGAAACTCGAGCCGGACGCAAATTACTTACATATATAGTGAGGCGCAAAAGCCTCGCTCAATCGCTGCCCACTAGCGGCGACGGCAAACAGTAGGGGAAACACAAGTCGTCCACAGCCCGAAAAACACACAGGTCATAGCAGCGGAGCTCCGGGTTGGAACCGCGATGATTTTTGTTCGTCTCGCCGATCTGCGATTTAATCCACACGCGAGCACAATTCGAGATGGCTCGGCCAGCGACTGCGAGTAGGACCGCAGGGCTGCCGGTGGGTCGTCACTGCACACTGCACACACGGTCGGGCTCGTCGTCGAAGCACGCGACCGCCGCTCGCTCCCGTTTGATTACAAGTAGTTGTTGACGCAAATACTAAATATCACAATGAATTTTAATACCAAAAACAGTAGCGGCGGCGCTGATGGTTGTTATGTTGTTTTGCTATCGTTACGCGACCCGTACACGTTTGGCGTTTTTGAATTATTTAATTTTGTTCTAAGTACGACGGCGTCGAGTTGTAGAGAGTTCACTGCCGGATTTGTGTATTGATCCGTCTGTACGTGGCAGAGGCGGAAAGAGGCGAGAGAGGCAGAGCGGCAAGGCGAAAGGAAAGCTCGGACCGGACTGGTCCGCCGCGTTCGTGCGAGATCGGCGGCGTTCGCGGCGACAGGACGGTGAGGCGGAGAGGGAACGCGCGCGGCTTGCTTGTTATCTCGCTCGCCGTTTGCCGCGTCTCACGTTTCGAAAGCGTACCGAGGGAGCGCGCGGCGCCGGCCAGCGATTTTGATACGTACGCGCGCCCGTTATACCTGCACTTTATATTCCACCTAATAATGTGCGGCCATCTTTTAAACAATTCCGCGCGCCGATCGAGTTCAGGTATACGCGCGCGCGCGCTTTAGGAGAAATTCCTGTTCGCGCGCCGGGCGCTCTCCCGCATTCCGCACGTCTTACTAATTGCACTGCCCGTGGGCATCACATCACTTCGTCGTCGTCGTCGTGATCGCGCGTCGTAAACCACTGCGATTGCTTTGTGTGTCAAGTACACGCGGCCGAGCGCAGCGGCACGCAACAACAAAGACGACGACGTGCGGCTGCGGCGGCGGTGACGACCCATCCCTTACGAGCGAGCGTGCGTGCGTGCGCCCGACGGTTATGTTTTCGGGTCGTTGTGACCCAATTTCCCGGGTCTATCGGGACGCCGGTTAAGGTCAGGTCGGGCCGGAATTGGGGCGTCCCTAAGCAACAACACTCATCGCGCGCACGCACCCGCCCGCCCGAACAAAGAGCGATGCGCGCGGTTAATTGAAATTGCTGCTTACATAAGTCGGATGCGCGCAATCGAGCATTTCATTCACAGCTCGCGAGCGCCCGAAGAGGGGCACGGGCAAGAATGGCGTCGACGAGTTCGCGCTCCGTACGAGAACAACGCTTTATTACAAGTTTATTCACCTTTTTCCGCGCGCACGCAGCGACGCGAAAGCGAGCGAGCGAGCGACGGCCGCAGGCAGGTAGCAGCCGCGCGACAAACTTCTTCGCCGCAACCACCACACACACCAGTAGGTGTACACAACGGCAGCGAGCGACTAAGTATTGTCATCGGTTCGCCGCCGACCGCGATCTGATGCGCCCGCTGCCCGTAATTAGCGCATCCGTTAAACGTACGCGCTCGTGCACACGCTGCTGCCGCGCCGAAATTAGCGTGGGACGTAATGAGGATGCACGTCGACACTATGTACACTAGGAAGTCGCAATCAGATAGGAAATTCGCAGCCGGCCGGCCGGCGCAACAAAGCGGTATTCATTCATGTCGCGCAGGCGACGAGAACGAAGGTGCGATTGTTCGTGCAAGCTGCGCGTGTCGTGTTTCGCTGCTCGGCGCCGAAATTCAAGCCAAGCGCGCTTGTTTACTGTTTACCTACTGATAAGATATATTTATTGCGCTACCGAATCACTACTAATTTTGAAAAAACGATAAAGACTACTTGTTGAATAATGCGTTATTTTTAATGATTAATGCGATATTGTTTGGCGTTCGCGTGCCAATCGTGTGACGATCGATCGTAATTCGATCGGGCGTCGGTGGTCTTCGGCAAAACTTGTTGCCGGAGACGGCGGCATAGCCTGGCAACAGTGTCGGCGTGGCGGGCGGCGCGGCCATCAAGGTCAAATATTTGCGAAGTGCGCGGCCGGTAGCGCGATTGCCGCCGCCACCCATCATTATTCGCTCTTCCCCCAGCCGGCGAGCGACTTATCGAAGCTGGGCGATCCGGCGCAACGCCGCAATTAACCCACTTCGCGAGCACGCCACGCAACATGCCGGTCATGCGTATGTAGGAAGCGAGTGTGTGTGCAGCATGCATGATATATACCGTAGTCAAATTACGCCTTGATTAGTAGCAAACTTAAGCATAGCAAAGATCAAAGAAAATGCTCATCAACGGTTATACTGCTGTTTTTGAGGCATGCATGAAACAAAATGAAGGAATAACAAAAATGGCGACATTTCCAACGGCGCTGCGCTCGCTCGGACGCTCCGACCCAAAAACGAATCGCGACTAAAAATAACCACGGCTCCGCACAATTACGAACCCAAGAGTCATATATGCGTGGCGAAAGGGGCGAATCGAGACGATGCATCGATTAGTCGGAGCTCGCGAACGCGGGGCCCCCGGCGCTACACACCCACGCACGCACGATCAACACACACGCAAGCATACCCACATCCATGCATGATTAGGAAAGGCACAAATATTTACGTTTGCTTGCCGAATCGATCGGCAGCGCTGGACGCAACGAGATTTTGCTGGATATTGAATGGTTTTACCTTGATTCGCGGGTGCAGACTTGCTCTGGTGAATACGACGCACAACGAAATCAACCGGCAGCAGCAAAGACGCCATCTTAACACTATTACACAATATTGGGTTCTGACTGGCTGCGACGCACGGCACGGATTTTTCTCGCCGGTAGCCGTCCGCCGCTCACCGGTCGTGCCCGCTCGACGCAATTTGAACTCACCTATTTTTCGTAAAGTCTTTTAAATAAAATTCGCACAAATATCACTCAAAATCACACGATAATTTCAGCAGCTTCGCGTCAAATATCTAAAACGACGAGCTCCGCCATTTTGAGATTTTTGATGAAGTGAGATTGTGTACGAGTTGCCGTCGCGACGAAGCGTCGCTTCCGGCGTTCGGTTACCTTCGCCGCAACCCGACACCACTCGAACACATGCCACTCCATTGCAGCATTCGTATTGTCGCGCACACACTCGGAATCAAATTCGCAACACGATTTTACTGCGCGTTTATCTGCACACACGCGGTGATAAAAGCATGATGATTATGGTAATACGAACAATCAATATACAAACAATAGAAACGTAAATCACACGCTGATTTGAATTTATTCAATCAACTATCGAGAATATCGAAATAGTCATTTAGAAAATTAGAAAAATGAGTCCATCATAACTGGAAAATGATGTCTACTACGAGTCCAATCACGTCGATATCACGTCGGCGAGCGTCGTAGTACTACGTCCTATCCGCATGAGTTTTCAATGAGTCGAATAATTTCGTCGAATAAGGCGCAGTTCTCGAAAGAAATACATAATTTGAAGGGAGCGGTCGTGGGCCTCTAGCTGGCGGGCACCACCTCCTTGGTGTTGACGGCGGCGTCGGCCATCTGCGTGGTGCTGTCGACGCACTTCCATAGGCCATAGGTCTTGCCAATTGTGGTCTGCCACAGGCGCAACGTGCCATCCTCAGATCCAGACGCGTACAATTCGCCATCGGGCGAAAACCGCAAGCAGTGCACTGGGCCAAAATGACCCTTGAACGATTCTATCTCGGCGCCGGTGGTGTAGTCATATTTATACACCTTGAGGTCATCACCACCAGCCACGAAGATGCTCTTATCCGGATGCAGCGACGCCGAGTTGATATTCGACGGCACCGAGTATTCGCGGATCGCTTTCAGGCTGTCGGCCGCCAGGAATGTGACGGTCTTGTGATGCGAAACGGTGATCACGGAGCCATCGCGCGATACTTCAATACTCGACGGATTGGAAGCGAATTCGATCTTTTGGATCTCCGTGCCGCTGGAGCGGTCCCAGACCCGCACGGTTTTATCGTCGGCGCACGACAGCAGGCACTTGTCGTCCCGGAAGAACACCACATGTTTTATTCCAGCGGTGTGTCCGGAAAATCTATCAGCATCTGAATAAAATGCGTATAAGTTTTGATGTTTCAACAACAGGTGGTTGAATAAATGTGTTACCTGCATCAGGTTGTTGGAGATCAAAAATCCGAATCAGCTTCTCGTTGCTGCCGGTGACGAGCAGGCCGCTGTCCTGCGAGAAGTCGACGGATTTGACGATGTGATTATGCTGGAATGAGTGCAGCTGTTCGCCGCTGACTGCATCCCAGACCTTGCCGCTGAAGTCAGCTGCGCCGCTCGCAGCGCGCGTCGCGGTGTTATTCAGCGCGACACCCCAAACGGCCCCCTTGTGCCCTTCGAACGTGCCGATCCAGTCGCCGGTGTCGCCTTGGCGCAGCATCGGTTTGCCATCTGTAAGCAAGCACACAGCGCACACACACGAGGTGAGATTAGTAACGGAGTCGGCCTTGCGCCGTATATGGGCCAAGGTTCGCGGCTCACCTTTGCATGCCGAGATCAAGAAGTAGCCGCTGTCGGTCACGCCGCTGAAGTCCAGATGTACGACGGGGCGCGTGTGCCCACTGCAGGTCAGCGGTGTCTGGCGTAGGCTGGTCATGCTGGCCATTGTGCTTGGCTGCAAGCCAGCGAGGAAGGGTGCGTAAATAGCCGTCTTGAACGATTTATTTTGGATAAGTGTTTCGAAATTGTACCAGCGCGTTCACGCGGCTAGCATGGCACGGTCTGTTCTTCGGACAAATACTGAATACTACAAGAGACAATCGCACACGACTCGTGCCACTTGCACGATTTGGACAGTCACTATTTTGACAGGCAGGGGACGACGGCTCGCAGGTAGCGCTAAGGTAGCGCGATCCGCGAGTACCGGATTAGCGGATTGAAGGTTAGCGCCTCACCACCACACCGCCATAGCACACCGCGATTTGGGAGCGCTGCAAGAGACGGAGCACGCTGTGACCGTCTTCGTCGCGCTCGCGCATATCAGATTCTACGAACGCGCACGCAGCTAGTTGCGCTGTGTTTGAATCGTCGCCGCAATCTGCGATTAATAAACTTAAAAAACAAGCTTCAATTGCATTCCGTTGCACTGGTTTAATCAACAAACAGACGATAATTTATCTATTGAGTACAATACGTAAATATTTTCATTCTACGCTGGGTTTTGCGACGGCTTTTTTCGAATTTGGCGCGGCGCGCATTCACAAATAGACGTGCGGTAGAAAGTCGTGTAAGTATGCTGCGGCCCCGCGCACCCCGCGAGGAGCGCTCCGCCATTTGTAATACACACGTTCCCTCGTCGACTGCGATCTGCACGGCTGGTCGTGAGCGCGCCACCGCGCTGCAATTGCATGTGAACAGAATGCCTGTGAGGGTGGATATCACGCCGCCACCGCCCGCCAACTCCAAGCAGCCGGGCATCACCAAATCGTTGCTCTACAACGGCTCCAAGTTTCAAGGATCGCAGAAGTCCAAGGGGAACTCCTACGACGTCGAAGTTGTGCTGCAGGTGAGAATTCTAGAATATTTTAAGCATATAAAACGCCTCCATGCACTCGGAATGAATCTAGTCATGTGCCTCGACATAATAACTTGTTGCCGCCCGGTTAAATCTTGCGCATCGAAAGAAAATACAAAGAAATGAGCCATTTATATTCAAAGGACTGTTGCAATTTACAAGCTGGTCGAACGCCAGCATCCTTGTTCGAGCAGTACATTTAAGTGCATGACGTTTTTGGCAAAATTTTCCATATGTCACAAGGCGATGTCAGTCTACGCCACGCCCCCCCATCGTGATTGCAACTTTCCAAGTTTGAAAATGCAGCCACTTTCACATTCAATTCGGTTTTGCAGCATGTCGATGAGGAGAATTCGTACCTTTGCGGGTATCTACAGATCAATGGACTGACGGATGAGTTTCCCACACTGACTACGTTCTTCGATGGAGAGATCATCAGCCAAAAGTACCCGTTTCTTACGCGCAAGTGGGACGCCGACGAGGACGTCGACAAAAAACACTGGGTATGTTTCTTGTCGACCATTTTTTTTTTGTTTTTTATTAATTTTAGTGTTTATTATTTGCAGAGTAAGTTTGATTCGTTTTGCCAATACTCGAAGACGTTCAATTCGGACACGTTTGACTACAAGGCGCTCGCAAACACCGACTACGTATTTATGCGGTGGAAGGAGCACTTCCTGGTGCCGGACCACACCATCAAAGACATCAGCGGGGCGTCGTTCGCTGGATTTTATTACATTTGCTTCCAAAAATCAGAAGCGAACATTGAAGGATACTACTATCATCGGAGTTCCGAATGGTAAGAACCACAAAATTGGCTAGCGTTGATTAAAAAAAAACTAATTGGAATATTGTTTAGGTACCAATCCTTGAACCTGACACATGTACCTGAGCACAGCATACAAATCTACGAGTTCAGGTGAATCGCCAAAGCAGACGTCGAAAACACACATCACCTCCGCAACAAAACAGAAGCACACCAAGCAACTACGACTACCTGTTAACTACTCAACCACTGGACGCGCGACGCACGCTCGGCCAGTTCGGTCAGTTCGCAATCTAATCTTAGGCTCTTGATTTTCGCGACTTACATGGGGAACAAATTGTGCGTTATCGCTGGGAGCAGGCGGGCGCGCTCTTTTCTATATTTAAACATAAATGTGCTAGTCATACGTTTGAGATTGAACAGTTTTGATTCGGCGCGATTCGGCGCCGCATCAGCAGCAGCAGCAGGTCGGGAACACTTCCTCTCTTTCTATATTTCCATGCGTAGCGAAATGCAACCGGGGCAGAGACAGAGGGCAAACGCGCACACACTGGACGACGACTGGGAGGGCGTGAGAGGGATATTTTTACCATGACGAACTTTTTAACGCGGCAATTTGAAGAATGATTTTGATAACTTACATGGCGGGGGGGCGGATGATAATAATATAATAACGATACAAAAAAGAAGAAGCGTGGCGATTAGCGGCGCATTTCAGTAATTTAGTGTCAAGCATCAATGTTACAAAACAAAACAAAAAAACCTAACTAAACTAAAGATAACAAAATGGAAAAAATACTCTAGCGATTTAATGACACACCAATACACAACCGAGCAGCATTGTTACGTTATCAAGTGTATCGAAACGATTTTGTTTTACAGGCCTTACTTACTTTGTCGATTAGAAAATCAATAATTAATTAATTGTTATGTTCGCGGATCTATTTTGAACAATCTCTGTGTTAACTTCGGATTAAATATATTTTTGAACTGTTCTTATAACTCGTCTTTTTTTCACAGGGGAGATACAAGAAGGTAAGGGAAACACTCCTGGTTTTTGTCTCTCGTTAACTAAAAGAAATTTGTAATCCTGGTATAGATAATAATACAGCGCATTTTCCCCACCTCGCAATCTCGCACGCACACCATTCGCACTCGTCTATAAATTACAACAATATATAAACATAAATAATTTCGAGTAAATAATCACTAATTAACAAATAAAATCGAAAAAATTTGTAAATTAAGATGCCGCGGTTGTCTCGTCTGCCGCCTCCCGGCTGTGCGTGGGAGGCGTGTTGTTGTGCTGTCGCCACTCGAAAACATACTATACACACATTCGACGCACTACAATATACTTTTTTTCATCGTAATAGCTAATTGATTCTTCGCGTCTGCCTCCTCCTCGCTTCATTACGTTACAATTACAATATTAAAATAATCAATTAACATAACATAGTTGTCGTTGATTCTTCTTCTGTTTCATATAAAAATATCATCATTAATCACTGAGATTGCTTATTCATTCTTTTAAGTTCCATTTGTTTGTTGGTTTCTCGTTCTGCGTTTGTCTCTGAACTGCAATAATTCATCTGTGGCGGCTGTGGGCTGTGTAACGCGCGTGCGTGTTGAATGTGTTCGTGTGCAATGTACAAATGCCGGATGAGAAGTCTCGAAATACTGGAACGGACGGTTCGAACTGCCAGATATGCTCGTTTGCCTTACGTCTCCATGCTTGCATACGTAATCGTGTGAGGTACTTGAGAGTGTCGTCTCGCTGCTGCTGCTGCTGCCGCTGTCGCTGCCGCTGTCACAGCCACCAGCATCGTGCGTATCATGTGACGGAGCAGCTGTTGCGCGGCACGCAGCTGCGCGTGTCGGCCGGCGACGTCGGCGTGCTGGTCAGCTTGTTCTTCTTGTTGTGCGCCTTGCGCTGGCTGTGCGTGTATCGCAGGCGCGTGCACGTCGGCGTCAGCGCGTACGACTTTAGATGTGATTTTACTGATGTCGGCAGCGGCAGTTGCTCGATACTGTAGACTGTCGTGCGGGCCACAATCGCCCGGCAGCATAATTCATGCAGCGGCAATACTGAAACACAAATCATCATCAAAATATTAAATTTATCGCGGCGTTGTGTTATGTTATGATTTCAAGTTATTTATCGCATGACGCTAATGTTATTACAAACAATCTTGTGATAGTTACATGCAAGACGATAAAAAAGGTGTCAAATGAACTTAAACAAACACAACATGCAATGGAAATCCTCAAACTTCTGACTGTAACATCTACCTAAAGTGTTTTATGATTAAAAATCTCAAATAACCTTTATTAGAACGCCATAGTCGTTCCATTCCGTTGCGCTGCAACGCCATCCTGGATAGTTCGCAAAAACTCTCCATAATATTATAATTACAAAGCGGAGAGACTTCGAAGAAAGCCATGCTGTGCTTTTCCGCGTACGTCTGCGCGTCGCGTTCGCCAACTTTACGATTGAACGCCAAATGCAGCCGATTACCGACGAGGACCTTCGGTACGCCGGGCGCGTGCTCGTCCACCTCCTTCAACCACCTGTCCAGACCGTCAAAGGACCACTGATTCGTTATGTCATACACCAGCAGTACACCTTGCGCCCCACGCGAGTAGGACCTTATGATTGTGCAGAAGCGACCTTGGCCGGAGGTGTCCCACAGCTGCAGTTTGACCCGCTTACCATCCAGCAGAATTGTGGTGGTTTTATAAGCTATTTTAAAACATATACACAAATTATTCATGTTTTTTTTTAAACTTTGAAATTTGTTTTTCTTACATTTTCCGCTGCCGCTGCAAAATGGGGACTCGGCGGCGCCATCCTCCAGGTTGGAGATGATCTCCTGCTTGCCCACATCACTATCACCAACCAAGAGGAACTTCAGCAGGTAGTCGTAGGACTTCTGTGGTGGCCGACCGCTATCCTCAGCCATAATAATGGAATGGTGTCGAGTGTAACCATAATTCGGGCGTAAGCATCAATTTGTCCGTGTGGCTGCCGAGTGTCTGGTGTCTGGTGAGTGTCTTCAGCGCATTCTGTGTGATCCACGGTGTTTACCTGCCGTCCACCATGCAGGGCGCGCGCGCGATGTGGTGCACGTTCCGAGTATGATTGCTGGGCAGTGACTGATTCGCGCTGATTGTACGTACGTCGTGTTGTCAGGTGTTCGTTTATTGTTTGCAATAACAAACAAGATGGATGATGATTCGCTTCGACGACGAGGAATTTGTCAAAGTTGTCACGGTTGTCACTGAACTGCGCTCAGCCAACCGTTGCAGGTCTGCAACTTTGCGCAACCAGACACTCGCAACCAAATGTAACTAGATCCGGCGAGAGGTGAAATGTTACCAGACGGGCGTGTGCATAACTTTGGTATTGTCACTTTGAAATTTTAGACCTGGAATCGAGATTCAAGGCAGAATACTTTGAATTCAAGTAATTTATATCTTACCCAATCGTTTTAAACTACAAAACTACTGATATTCGTGAAGTTTTTCCGCTAAAATTTCACTGTAACTCGATTTGCACACAAAAATCAATGCGTAGTAAGTTTAGGAGGATATTAATTTGATTTTCTGGATGTAAATTCAATGAAGCTGTTAAAAATCGTGTAATAACAGACTATTCATCCAAATTACACCCATATTTTGTATGCTACAGACTCGAGATTGAACTGTTGCATAAATCAGCTTAATATTCTCCTTAATTTAGTTATTGCCGCCTCAGTTTTCAACAAACTTGAAATTTTCTTCATTGCCGTGTATTTACGAATAAAAAATGTCTGTATAAATACAGTGCAGGTAGTAAGGACGGTTTTTCCATATATTCCACGAACCAAATTTCACGTTATTTCAGAAAAGTTCCAACAAATAGTTTGCGCGCGCGCGCACACGCGGAAGAATCATTCCTATGCCCATCACACGCCACTTGAAATCGCTTCCATTACCGGATCTGTAATATATACGCGAGTCAGGTAGAAGAAAAGAAACAACTGTGAGTAATATAATATATATGACGCCTTGCAATTTATTAAAACATATCAAAGTCTGATTTGATGATCGCCAGAGCCAAACGTGTTTGCATATCGTGAACAGAGTGAAGGCGCAGAAGAAGATTGTCTGATGCAGGCTAAAAAACAGCATTAGAAACGAAATTTCTCACGAATTGCGAAAGCGAATCGCTTACCTACCTCCGGCAGCGGCGCACTTACCTCCACGCTATAAGACCAACGAAATAAATAACCAAATCGAAAGGAGGCCGAATCGTGAAGCGACCGGCCGACAAGTCCGAATAAAGCGCAGCACCCGGATTGCGCGCGGAAAACGGCTGGGAAACAAAAGAAAACCGCGAGCGCACATTATCCTACTGCCAACCGCAAACTCCTACTGCCACTCTGCACGTGCTCGTACTCGTACTTCAGCATTTCAGCAAATTGTGACATTTTGCGACTCGTACTCGCCCCTCGTACGTCTCGCCACAGCTAACACTGCCACAGCCTGTGCACATCAATTAAAACACGTTAGTCGCAATCATACAAGTGTGTACAAAACAGAGTATAGCAACAAACGAGCGAGTACTTAGTTAACCAACGTGCGCGCGGCCCACTCGCAAATACAAGCAAAAAAAACAGGGCGCTGCGACGATGTTGGTTAATTACGCACGCCGCTTTACAAATTCGTTTCAATGCTCTTCTATCAACCACAAGAAGTTCATGTAGTTTACATGTTCGTCGATGGCGTAAAAATTTCAATTCAAAACTTTATTCTTCGTCATCAAAACAGCTTTCGATTGAAAATCATTCATCATTTAAGTAAAAACGGTATTATCTAACAAATACCATATCAAACCTGAGTATTGCTTTCTTTGTTTTCTGAATAACTTTTTTTTTTGCATCATTTCACCTCGAGAATCTAAAGAAATCTAAAGAATGTTTGAATGAAAGAATACTGCAATCATCGCGTGGGCTCTAAAAATATTCGATTTTTCGTTTAATAGAAATGCACAACAACAGATGTTGCCAGAGTCAGTATTAAGATGTGTATTTTGAGTGCGGGCGGCATGCCGGCCGCCGCGCCGCGACATTAAAATATGTATATATATATATATACGTTGAATGGTACGAAATAAAAATTATGATCTAAGGCTAATGATTTATACCTTAAAACACAAACCGCAACATGGCAAACAAAACGGCATTAGGTGGTAGTTGGCTGCGTCTGATGTATATCTCGGCGAGACGATTATTCTCAACTTTCACAGCGAATACCTTCAAAACAAGCAATTAAGTATTAATGAATCAATGGTGTGATGATTGAGACTTACTTAGAGTTTTATGATTTAGACCGCGACCTGGACTTGGAGTCGTTTCCCTTCGCGCTCTTGGATCTGGAGTGAGACCGGCCCCGCGAGCTTTTGCTGTCGGAGCGGGAGCGGCTGCGGCTTGCCGAGCGCTTACGGTACGAACGAGAGCGGCTGCGTCTGCGAGAACGCGAACGAGATCGAGAGCGGTCGCGAGAGTTGCCTCTACCGCGACGGCTGGAGCGTCCGTAGCGACGATGCGGCGACGTCGGCCGCCCGTAACGCGCCATCTGCACCCGCAGCTCGCGCCCGTCAAGCATATACCCGTCCATTGCGTCGAGTGCATCCTCGGCGTCCCTCTTATCGTAGAATCTGCGCACACATCACAACACACACCGTTACAACACACGGTACAATTCCAAAAACGCTCTAATTTCTAACTTAAATGCTTACCGTACAAATGCGAATCCGCGAGATTCTCGTGTGAAGCGGTCGCGGGGGATGTAAATGTCGCCAACTTCGCCGCAACGCTCAAACACGCGACGCAAGTCGTCAGGCGTCGTGCGATAAGTTAGGTTATCAACTTTCAGAGAGACCATACCCTCGATACGAGGCGGCGGACGACCGTAACTCATCGCAACGGATGGTGGCGATTCTAAATATTAACAACAAACCCCGCACGCTGGACGCGCACCAACAAAACGGGCGTTGTTTGGCGACACACAAGCGGCTACCAGAAAACAAGCACCCCAAGCAAGACAGTAACGGCTTCTCACCGGCGACAAAAAATGGCCGTTCAATGGTGAAATTGAACTCGCGTGCGCATGCGCCCTACGCGACGCCGTTGTCAAAATCCGAAAAGAATTTAAAACAAAATTTAACAATACATCTTTGAAAACACACATTTAAATATAATCATAAAAAAATTAAAAACAAAATATCTTTAAATAATAAACTGTCAAATAATTAATTCACAAACAAAATTCAATTTAGCGCTCAGTGCGCTATCTGTCATTCTATATGAAACTTATGTGTGTATATGTGACTGATGGTAACCGTGTTTTGTGTACTCGCAGAAGAAATAAATCCTGCGATACTAATCGCCGCAGCGATTAAAACAATGCTCTGAATACGCGCGGCATTTAATTCGTGTGTGTGCACATTACAAATACAAGATGAGTTTCAATTATAATTATGCCAACATTCACTCGAACAAACCGAAAACCAGCCACAATGCAGTGCCGCCTCCGACGTCGGGCATCAGCAAGCAGGGCTACTCCACGATGAACGCAATTAGCCAAAACAGTCTCTGTGCGGCATGGGGCAGCAGCAGCAGGAAGCGCGCAATCACCGAAGACGAGTAACAAAAAAATAATTTAACCACACTAAATAAATCACTAATAAAATGCAAATTTTCTAGATATTTTGATGATGATGATGAAGACAACACAACCAACTTAGCATATATCCCAGCACCTGACAGTCCAGTGAATCAAGTAAATAATCCAGCTGAGGAAGATGAAGAAGATGATCCACTGGATGCATTCATGGCTGGCATTGCACAACAAGTTCAAAAAGAGCAAAACACACAAAGTGGGCCAAAAGTTGTTAGAAATGACTTGGAAGAGGAAGATATCCAAGAATCCTACTACAAGTACATGGAGGAGAACCCAACAGCTGGTTTACTACCAGTGGATGAAGATAATCCTGACATTGAGTATGACTCTGATGGTAATCCAATTCCGCCAGACAGAAAACGAATTATCGACCCGCTTCCGCCAATCGATCACAGTTTGATCACATATAGTCCGTTCAAAAAAGATTTCTATGAAGAACACTTAGATATCTCAATGTTATCAAATAATAAGGCGAACGACATTCGTAAACAACTGGAATTGCATGTGACAGGCAACCAAGCGCCCAAACCGGTTGTTTCCTTTGGACATTTCAACTTTGATGACAAACTAATGAAAGCTATCATAAAAGCAGAGTATACAAACCCAACACCTATACAATCCCAAGCTGTGCCTTGTGGTTTATCCGGAAGGGATGTTTTGGGCATTGCGCAAACAGGTAAATTATATATTTGACATTTTACGTTGATTAAAATACGCACGCGCAAAAATTTTAGGCTCTGGTAAAACGGCTGCATTTCTATGGCCGTTGTTGATCCATGTGGCTGCGCAAGCGCCAGTTCAGGTTGGCGAAGGTCCGATTGCACTTATACTCGCACCAACACGCGAGTTAGCTCTCCAAATCTACAACGAATCACGTAAATTCGCAAGAGTTTACGATTTACGCGTGATATGCGCGTATGGCGGTGGCTCGAAGTGGGAACAGAGCAATGCGTTGAAAGAGGGCGCTGAGATTGTCGTCGCTACGCCGGGCAGAATCATCGATCATGTTAAAAGCGGCGCGACGAATTTACAACGCGTTACTTTTCTCGTCCTGGATGAAGCGGATCGCATGTTTGAGCTTGGTTTTGAACCGCAAGTGCGCTCCGTGGTCAATCACGTACGGCCCGATCGACAGACGCTTCTGTTTTCCGCGACTTTTAAGAAGAAAATCGAGCGATTGGCCAAAGATGCGCTTAGGGATCCGATTAAAATATCACAAGGAGTGACAGGTCAGGCGAACGAAGATGTCACTCAGCATGCGATGGTATTGGCCAGTCCGCAAGCGAAACGTAATTGGTTGTTCACCCGATTGGTGGAATTAACGTCCGCCGGGTCCGTGTTGATTTTTGTAACGAAAAAACTCGACGCTGAACAGGTAGCAGCCGAATTGAAGTTGAAAGAGTTCGATTGTTTACTTCTGCATGGTGATATGGATCAAGCGGATCGTAATAAAGTCATTACAGCGTTTAAGAAACAGATGTGTCCGATTATGGTGGCTACGGATGTAGCGGCGCGCGGTTTGGACATTCCGCATATTCGAACGGTTGTAAATTTTGATATCGCGAGAGATATCAACACGCATACGCATAGAGTTGGACGAACTGGCCGTGCTGGTAATCAAGGCACAGCGTATACTTTACTCACCGATAAGGATAAAGAATTCGCCGGGCATATTGTGCGGAATCTTGAAGCGGCCAATCAGGAGGTGGATCAAGACGTGTTGGATCTCGCGCTGAAAAGCAGCTGGTTCAAAAAGCAAAGGTATAAGAATAAAGATCAAGGCCCGAATGTCGGCGGTCTGGGTTTAGGTTTTTCGGAGAAAAGCGGTAAGAGCGCTGCGCAATACAAGCCGCCCTCATCCTCCGCAACGTCATCCACTGCATCACCGCGTGGTCCCGCCAGTGATCGACTTTCGGCGATGAAAGCCGCATTTAAGACGCAGTACATGACGCAGTTCACCACGTCGAGCGATCAGCAGGCGACGGGCCATCAACCCCAGGCTAGCCCCGCGCCGCCCCCGCAGCGGAAGAAGAGCCGCTGGGAATAGTCGTTGCGATTGTGTGTAGGCTGCAGTTATAAATAAATAATTAATCAGCGCTATCATGTTTTCTATCCGGCATTCACGCCGGGCTGCGTTCGAAACGGCGTCAAATGTTATAACCTAATTTGTATTCGCGCTTGGTGGTTCAGTTTTCACATGCATCACAATATGCGCTACTTTTCATTGTGGTACGTGTTTATATTATTCCCCAGTCAAATCAACAGCGTTCCAAGCACACAGAATGAAAATTTGAGTAAGTTACGCATTTAAATTGTTGAGTTTTTTTTCTAACTTCAGTAAAATTAAGTTTGTGCGGATTTTTACCAATACGCATGTGCGGGTTGGCTGCAAACTCGGATAAAACCCGATTCTGAACCGTTTTGGAACGTTTACACCGAAACAGCGCATCGGATAAGTCAAACATTACAAAATATCTTGGAAAATGACACATTCACCAATATTGAAGATGAGAAGACTTTGTACAGCGCATGCGTGCACCGGAGTGATTTCACTAAAGAATTAAAGTTTATCGTGAATAAACTCGGCGGTATTCAACAAACTTCGCTGAAAAACACTCGTTATGACTACATTTTACATATCATAGAAGTTACAAAACTGTTGAACATTCATCCGATATTAAAATTTCATGTGAAGCAAAATGAGTTACATGTGAGTATAATTGCCATCTTAAAACCTATCAAATTTTTATTTATTTCTGTTTGTTAGATAGAACGTGGCGATTTTATCTTCCCTGAATTGTTCCTATCACAACCAGACAAATACAACGATGAAATAAGCATCTATACATCATGGATACAAAAGTCCTTTGCGTTATTACACGCGGAAAACGCCGAGACATCATTTATTGCGAGTATTATGCGCGGTTCGAAATATTCGAAAACAAGCGCAACTCTAGCGAAAGAAATAGTTGACTTTGAAGTGGAATTGGTAAAGTTAAAACGCGGAAAATTAGTTAAAATGCCTCAAATGAAACTTCGAAAGTATTTATCGTTAGATATACTTTTTGGAGGTGTTGATAATGACGGGATAAAAGATATTTACATTGATGAAGTGTACTTTGAAAGTTTACGAAAACTTTTGCAAATTACACATTGGCGTCATGTTTGTATGTTAAACCACAAACAAAGAAAATAACTAAGTAGTAAATCATTAAAACATTAATGTTTCAGCTAATTATATCATCTGGTCAGCAATAAAAGACTTATCTCGCGATGTGAGTGCAGATTTTCGCCAGTTGAGTTTTGAAGTTGATCGTCAATTAATCGGAGTGACTGCGGATATCAACAGGGAAAGAGAATGCATAGATCAAACAATCAATTACTTGGGACATCAGAAATTACAAGAAAACTTCGAGATTATCACCAGACAGAATCACAAATTGATTAAAACTGAAGTAACAAAACTATCAGGTGCAATACGCGAAACGTATTTATCACGAGTGAAAAACAACGAGGCATTAACAAAAAAGACGAGAATTAATCTTATGAAGAAGATTGCTGGAGTAACATTTGAAATTCTAGAACCAAGTGTTAAACAACAGCCTAACGAACATGTTAAACTTGGTAAAAATCATTTAATAAACTTGCTCAGGCTAAAATCGTCTCGATTCGAGAGTGAGTTACAGAAACTTGTTAGAAACAACAGTTTTGTTGCTGATATTCAATGGCCAGGGAATATTTTTGATGTGAATGCATATTATACTCCTGCACAGAATGCAATCAGTGAGTATTCATGTTGTATCCTTTCGAATTTACTAATAACAATGCTAATTATTGCAGTTTTACCTCTTGGAATACTACAACCACCATTTTTCGAAGTTTCGAAACCCGCCGCATTCAACTATGGCGCTTTGGGCGCATTAATCGGACATGAATTAAGCCATGTCTTAGATCATTTAAGCAGTAACATATTAACAACGCCAAGCGATGTGAAATTATTCCAAGAGCGTGGTGATTGCGTCAAAACTAAGCATGAATCCACCGCAGCGAGTAATGAAAACATGGCGGACTTTACAGGAATCCGCTTAAGTTATTTCTCGATGCAAAATCAGCAGGAAAATGATGTACAAACCGAAAACAACAACGAATTATTCTTTTTAAATTATGCTGAGGTATTATACTTACCTTTACACTTTACATAAAAAAATTAATTAATTCTAAATTTATGTTATTAGATGTGGTGTGAGATAAATGGGAATGAATCAAAGGAGATTTTAGCTCAAGATGAACATGCGCCAGTTGCCATGCGAGTGAAAACAACATTGGAGAGTTTTCCCAACTTTCTCGCAACGTTTCATTGCGAACAAAATGCAATTGCAGCAAGCTGTGACCTTTGGTGATGCATGAATCACTGACCTTTACCAGATAAACAAGTAATTAAATGATTTCTTCCTTAATAACGTGCATGAAGATGTTTATTCGCACTTATTTTGCTAAACTAGGCATTGGTGTGGTGTGTGTGTGTGACAGGAAATGTTCGTTGTTTGTTATTTGCAGAGAGATAAAAATTGAAGTACACACTTACCTGTTGACACAAACATATTTCTGTTTTCTTTCCCGCATAGAAGATAGAAGAAACCCGATAGAGCTTAAATTATGATTACAATTATAGCCATTTAACATGATTATACATGATATTTAAAAATGGTCGTGATTTAAATGAAGAATCAAAGATTTCCGCTAGTAAGCATTACAAAAAATGACGTGTAAAAAAACGAAAAATCAGTTTTCTAACTCTTGAATTTTCAAAATCAACTCGTTCTTCCTCGCGACCTTCGCCAGCTGGTCTGGGTCGGGTTTCGCCAGCTCGCCGCTCTTGATCTTCGCCTCGAGCGCCTCCACTTCACGCAAACGTTTCTTTAAATTTTTTAACTTCTTTGAAGGATCCACATGCCCATTACTACCACCATTCATATCCATCTTTTTGAGATCTCTAGCCAACTGCTCCACCTTTGCAGCTCGTTTTCTCTCCTTCTTAGAAGGTTTGTCTTCAATGAACAGTCCTGGGATGGTTTTGTGGGTGACCAGACCATCAACTTTGACTGGTCCATCCTCTGGCTGCAACTGCTTGCTCATGAACTTTTTACCCTTAGACTCGTACAACGGCACCTCCTCCTGCGGCACGTAGCCGTCTTTAACACGACGTGCCTTGCGCCAGGTGCCATCCGGCCGCTGTGTGGCCGGAATAAAAGATGCTCCTGCACATTTCGAACGAGAGCAATGAATGAATTGAGGTTAGAATAAACGAAATCAAGTGAAACACTCACCACTTTCATCTGGGTGTTCCATTATGATTGTGGCTCAGCTCTCTGCGGCAACTTGGTGGCGAATGGTGCGAGGAATTTTTTACATCGATTTAAGTAGACAGCATTGCAATGTTTTGTTTATTCGCATTGATGAAATTAGAGCTGCTGTTTATGTTCCGCGAACGCATTTGAGTTGTGCATTTGAAGTTGCCTATAGGTTGCAACAAACGCTAACATTCCGATAACATTCGAAACTGTTTGTGATTTCTAGGTGCGAAAAAAGAAACAAACAATTGGATTGCTCATGTAAGTGAAACACAAGTTGTTTATTCTTAGTAGTTAAAGGAATGCTGGTTTATTTAACACAATTTATCTTTGCGCTTATCGTAGAAAATCGTTTTACATGCAAAAGGAGAAGAAAAAAACAACAAGAACACGTCATGTAAGTATTTTAAATTAATATTTTAAATGATAAAATGGTAACAAAACAAAAAATAGAACTGATTGCATATTTAGAATAATATTAAAAGATATATAAAATATAATTCGCGCCGTGCTCCAACTCTCACACGCAATTTCGATTAAATATACAATAGACATAACAATCCGCTATGTATAAAAATTGCCTAACGCGCATCTTCGATAACAATAAAAAATGTAGTACATGTAATAAACTATATTTACAATGTTTAGATAATTTCGTTTCATAAATACTTAATTTTGTTCAATTGCCGTCCACTACGTGCACACGCCACGCTCATTTCTTTGCCGCCCGCTTGGGAGAATATATATTATTATAAAATGTATCAAGAATCAAATTATGTCGAGATCCAAAAGCAAGTATTTACAAATTCAATTTCGTATGCCAATCGTTCGTTTCCATTCCTTGATATATATAGAAAACATATAGATGCATAGGTATGACACTAAAATCGTATTTTTATGTAATTTTACGCTTGCGACAGCTTCAGCAGCCGGCCGCCTACTTGGCCACGAATGGAGTCAGGTCAGGAAATTTGAAACCATTGAAGTTCGCGTTGAAACGCTGCGCGTTGACGGGTCGCGAGCGCGTGCTGCGCTGCGGCGGTGGGATGAGATCTTGATTCAGCTCGCTGGGGCCGCTCGGCCGTTGGAACAGATTGAGACTGGAGCCGGTGTCACCACGGAGGAGGAAACCGCACTGGGCGGTGCAGACATCATCGCGGAGGATGGTCTCCCGGGACCATTCACGCAGGAGTTGATTGCAGTCGGTCACACGTAGAGAAGCACATTGCGCCTGTGAGGTAAAAAGCACAAAATAAAAATATTTCATAAAAATTTAAAAAACGTACCCCTTCAGTGGTGCAGACACAAGAAGTGCATGGGCTTGGGAAGGCTGATTCCCCGACTTGCACCTGCGATTGTCCAATGAGACAGCCGTGGGTTGTAGACTCACGCCAAGCATTGAAATCCATGCTTGGTAAACTCTGACAAGACACTCTCGGGTTAAGGAAGTTTGATGGGATGTCAAAAGCAGCGCGTTGCATATCCGAGTGCACGTCGAGATTATCACACAGCACCTTCGACAGAGTCATCTTTCTGATCTCCTGCAACTGTTGTTCGGTGAAACGCGTGACTGGGTCTTCATTCTCATACCAGAAACGATCACATTTCCTCAATTGCCTGAACTGGATAGCAATAATACAAGCAAAGGTAGGTCCAACAAGACCTCCCTGCAATGGCCGCTCACTCATGCCACCTGGGAAGAGATCAATATCATCCACAGTGGCGTAGATGCGTTTGAACCGCGAAATAACTTCCTGCGGAATTTCCCTGGCGAGATCTTCAAAGGTAGTAGCACGTTTGAGATTACAAAGCGCGCGGTAGTTGTTATAGGAGGGAATACCATGATCACGAGCCCGTTGCACATTCAAAGCCACCAAATCAATACCAGAGAATGGTATCTTTCTATCTTCGAAGAGATGATTGGTGACTTCACCAGTGATGAATTGATCCAAGGTTTCCATCGGGGTGGAGACTAATCCACGCGTGATTTCGTCCACCATACCAGCTTGCATGATCATATCCACCTTGAAGAAACCATCACGCAGGAGAATTGGTGGATCGATGATTTGATAGTTCGGACTGAGGCGAGGAATGTGCGGACGGAGCATACTGTGACCAATTCGGTACGCCGCAGCGGCGAATTCATTCAAAATGGATGGATTACAGCTAGGATTGTAGTCTTTGTAATATCCCTGTGGCAGTAGTTTCAGTCCATAGAGGTTAACAGCATTCCAACTGAGGATCCTCGGCAGGAATTCATTGTAAGTCATGTGTTGATTCTCGGCGATTAGAATTTTACGCGCGTTTTCAAAGAGTTTATCCGAGTCCCAATGGGGATTCACTTGTCGCAAAGCGTCAATAATACGGTTATGTTCACGCATGAAGATGGTATGAATCACGGTCAATGCTGGTTGTTCAGAAGCGCGGCCATCGCCAGCAATGAAACACAATCCAGACGCGGTTTTACATTCCGGATGGCGATCACTGCGCGGGAGGAGATCCTTGAACTTCTCCGGATGGACTGTGCAGTTCATGCGACCACCCATACCTTTAAGATCTCGTAAAACACAGTGATTCTCACCGTAGACTTGCGAAGCGTCTAAAAAGGCAGTGTTCTGATTGACTTGCTCTCTAGGTCCCAGGTGAAGTTGACCAGGTAGGGATCTCATGAACGGGAAGCACATACGTTGTCCTGAGGTAATATTCACTTCCGGGTAGTAGTGATCACCTGGCGGTACCGGGAATGGGTTACATTCAGGGTGTACCGTTCGCGGGCTGTCACAAGCACGGCAGTTGGGGATAGACTCGTGGAATCCTTTATGAATAGGTGTCATGGTCAAATCGTGGTCCAAAAACTGTGCAAATTGCATAGTCATAAGTGTGTAGCGACTGTGGAGGTTACTGATATCCGGATGGATGACTGTGGAAACAACACGTGGAGATGGAAGGGCAGCCCCGGTTGCTCCCGTGACTCTCGGACGGGAAATACCATCTTCGTATTGACTTGGGAGCAGTCTAGCGAAAGTGGTCAAACTTTTACCATACGAAGGATTACGGATGTTATTACAATGACCAGTCAGGGATCTGAATGGATGACTGGGATCACAAGGACCAGTTTCTTCACAGTTCGGTTCGACTACATCCAATACATTAGGAGGAATTAATGAGGAAACGTCAACGTTTTGAAGACCATCGGAGAGCTCAACACGAAACACTGAATTGATAACGTTGTTATCAAACAGTTGTCTCTTCCTGCGCCGGTTCATCAAAGAATTGATGATTTCATTACTGGCGAATTCGAAGAGTAGAGAGGAATTGGCTAGTTTAAGTGCTTGTTTGTTTGCTTTACTGAAAGCAGCAGCTGTACCCGCATGAGACTTGGGATCAATACCACCTACGGTTGACCAGACTTCGTATTCCATTTTCCTACGCATGAGGACATCATGCTCGGCCTTGACAATGGCATCCATTAACATATCCTCACTCACATCAGTCATATGATCCATTTCCAACCAGGGTGTCAATTGTGGTAACGGATGTTGTTCACAACTTAACCTTGCATTCAAGAACGGATTTTCTTGGACAAAAGCTTTCGGTTGGATAGCATCTAAATCATCAGTGTTTGCGCATAGCAGACCAGCAAGCGTAACCTTTCTAATCTCCTTCAATTGCTCCGGAGTTAAAGAACTTGGAGGTAGGTCATTTTCATACCAGAATCTGTCAGATCTCCTTAGGAGATTGAATTGTCTTTCAATGAGGCAGGTTGTAGTGGGACCAACAGCAGCACCCGGTGTGGGAGCTTCCAAAATAGCTCCAACTAATAAATCAACATTCTGCACATTTCCGTAGAGTTTACTCAAGGTGGCGATGTTTTTGGCACCTATGCCCATCTCAGACAACTGCTCGAAACTAGTCAAAGTTTTATTACTACAGATTTGCGCGAATTTAGTATAACCTGGAAGTCCATGGTCACGACCCATGTGAATCAACAGGGCGCTTGTATCCCACTCGGATCTTAATGGCACAACCATGTGCAGACTCGGCGACTTCGCTTTGGTCCGAATAAGGAGATCCACCATTTCGGCGAAGTTCTCCGCCGATTCATTCATCAGCGCGCCGGGAATCATCGACAACAAACTAGGAAGAGCCGACAGCGCGACTTCGTTGTAAACGCCAGCCTTGTGATTACTGGAATAGTCGGAGTAATGTCCATGCGACTTCAATCGGAGACCAGATTTAGCCATGGTGGACTAAACAGGAAGCAAGGCAACGCATTTGTAATTCAAATCGATTCGAAATGCTATATAAAACTCACCTCATCGAGGATAATGGGTAAGAACTCATTGTAAGTGATGTGTTGAATTTCCGCGGCGACAATACGCTTCGATTCCAGAAACAGCGTCTCGTCATTCCAATGGCGATTCAACTGCGCGAGATTAATGGCGATGCGATTGTGTTCTCGCAAGATGGCGGAGTACAATGCGTTGGCGTGACACACACGACACGCTGTGATATTCACCAAACCAGCGTCGTAAGATCTTAGCTTTTCAACTGTACTGGCAGTGTTTCCGTAAATGGCGGAACCATCCAGGAAGGAAGAAGCTAAATTCATCTGATTTCTATGTTCTGTTGAAAAGATTATTAATTGATTGATTTTTAGGAAGAAGATGGAAAAACCTACCGAAAACACATTGCTCTTTGGGAATGCTAGGCAGTGTCCTCATGTATTCCATACAGTCATCATTTCCCAACCGCCCGAAACACTCGGCGTGTTGTGCGTTCTTCTCACAACAATCCAGACTCTTCAGATTACCAGTGCTGGCCAAGTCATGCAAAAGAAACTCGCTCCAAGCACCGAGTAACGCAGTGACCGATTCGTGGTCATGTTGCGGTTCCTGCTGTTGGAAAGCCTTCGCAACTTGCAGTACATTGGGTAACGCATGACCAGAAACCGACTCCCGTGGAGTTTCTTTATGGTTTTTATACTGCGGTGGCAGAACTCGTAGGAAAGGCGCTCCGCGTGCGCCCCATTCCGAATGGCGGATGTTATTACACTCGCCCGTTGCCTGTCGGAACTTGCTCGGCGGACAGGGCACGTCGAATTTATCATTACAGGGCAGATGGCCGCCTTGTTCGGCGTTCAGCGCCCATTGCACCTTCTCGCGCAGCTCGTACGGAATGTGCGACGTGTATTCGCTGACATTGTATTCGTAGCCTAGCACTGACAGTGTGTGCGTTAGGCATAGTAATAGGAATGATGACCTGAATCAGAAAGAAACAAATTCCAATCAGAGCCGGCGCATTAATTAGACACGACGCTGATTATCAGATTCGCGCAGATTTGTATGTGTGCCATTAGCAGATAATAAAAGGACGCATCGCGCAAAAAAAACCACCTCGCTGACATTTGCGCGGAATTGAAGGTGAATTGTTTTATTGTGTTGTAGGTATCTGGTTGTATCATCTGCAATCTCTGCGTCTGTCGCGACAAACACCATTCGCAAAAAACGTGCGCCAGGGCCAGGCGCGCGCACATTGCGCATCTCCGCCGCGGAATGCGACTCACGGCGTTCGGCGCGATTGCACAAGACGACAACTTTGCATTCTTGCGTTTTAATCAGCGAGCCGCCAATAGACGCGCACAAACATCGGCTCTGGGCACGCGCGCCGCCCAAACAATACGCACTCGAAGTAAACTTTTCGTACGCACGATAAGCAAATATCGGAGAAAAAATTTCTCGCCTCGTTCTTAATATGATACATGATGTGCATTAATGTCAAGAAGTAAAAAGGCAGTAAACTTTCACTTGTAACATGGTAACAAACAACTTTCGTATGATTCGCATAATTTGTTGTTATTTGCCGCTTTTCGCTGCGTTAAAATCATGAACGCGCATCAAACGTTCGAGCGATTTCCAGCGGCTGAACGGCCATACATCATTCGGCTGCTATTTGCGCTCGCGCGCGCGCAATTTACATAATCGCAATTATCTCGCGTTGTAATCACTTCTAACGTGCGTCTTCGCATGCATCGCCATAACACACACTACCAGCAGTATAAAGAAGCTTTGTTTATTTCGGCACAGCATCGATGAATCGATAAATATTGAAATATTCATGCGAATCAAGGTCACCAGCCACGAGTTTCGGCTGGCCGAATATTTCTTCGCGCACATCCCGAATATTATTCATATCGTATCGAATTATAATAAATAATTTGCATACGTAACTTGTTCGGCATGGCGCTACGCGCCGCACGCGAATCACGCGCTTGTTTCGCAACAAAAAAAAAATGATTATTAATACCAGTTGATTTTTTCCATCAGTTTACCTCAAGAGAAATTGTTTGTAATTTGAAAATCTCCTAAATCAACTTTTGGAAAACGTCCAAATCATTTAATTGTCGCACACAGCGAAAGTTTTTAACTATCGGCGGGCTATAGCTAACGTAAAATTGTTTTTAAATGTCCAATAAATCGATTCAATAATTATCACATCCGGTTTCCAGTCCAGCGAAAGTTAAAAAGTACTTTCTGCAGCAACAAATTGAAATTTTTCCAAACGAAATTTAATCGAGCACAGATTATCAAGTGGTTTTTTTTTTTAAATTTTATTATTGCATGCACAATTAGTAATCAGATCCGGGAACAATTTTCAACAACATCAGCATTTACGCTTGCGTGTTAACACCCACACAATTCATGTGAAGCGCGCAACACAACAACAACAAAAAAAAAACGCAATTACGAGCACACCAGGCGACTTTAATGCCGGTCCCAGGTGATGGCGGTGTAATTAAGCGCAGCGGCGCACAAATTTCGATTTCAATTGAACAAATAAATAGACGCGCGGACAGAGGCAATCAGAATGAGTGCTTCCTTATTGCAGTTTTTTATGCTTTCGATGCTCAAAAGTCACGGTGAACACGGTGAACCATTATCTAATTGAATCCATCTCGGGCGATATCGGCCGCCATCTTCGCATGCGTAACCTTTCCGTGAGGCTGCGCTGCGTTGCGCTGCTGCACGCGATGTGTGTGTGTTACATGCGCGGCGCCGATCGCCGTTTGGGCAATCTTCGCGATAGTGCTTTCACTCTCGCTTTCTATACAAATAAATTTCAATTGACACATATTCAGCGGCCGGGTACTGCCGGTACCTACGCGAACAATGCGGTGCAGCGCACGGCGCGAGAAATCCGGCGAAATAAAAACCACCTGAGCGCCGACGTGACTGAATGTGACTCAATGGCATTTAACAACCCGCCGCGCGCGCGCGCACTTCCTGATTCGCATGCGATCCACGCGGATGAAAACGACTCAATTGCTTTTCACTAGAGCTGCGCGCGCGTGAAAACGCAGAAAAGTCGCCGCGAATTGAGCGGAATTTTCGACGTGACGAATCACCCAACTGCCGCAACTGAGAAAGTCCGCGCCGCGCCGCACAACGAGGATTGATTGTTTGCGAGCGCGCACAGCACACACCGGCACCCAGCCATTCGTGTCGTAAAAATAACCTTTCAGAGGAAAAAAAATTAAATAAATCTACATAATTTATAATTGATGTGCTCGTGTGATCCTCCGCTTTTGTTTCATATTTATATTCTGTATGTGTGTGCGTGGTGTTCATTAGCGCGATCGTTGTGACATCTTACTCGGGGAATTTTGACTGTTGTCATCGACGATTAAGAACGCTCCCGGATCTTTTCAATTTAAATATTTTTATTCCAAGGATGTCGGAATCGCGCGAATCTCGTCGAATCTCCGCGCGTCCACTCAGCGCGCTAAGTTATGCATTAAATTATTCAATGAAGGACGATAAATTAGAACTTGGCGCGCGTGGAACACGTGCCATGTCGAATATTTGAGAGGCAGATACTTGTATCGTAGTCAATTGTGGATTGACAAATCCCATTCAAACACTTCTTTGTGTTTGGCGAGCCAAAGACCTTAAGAAATTCCTTAGAATGTTGCTTCTTTCATTTCTCAATTTATTTAAATTAAAAAAAACTAATAATATAGAGGAAGGTTAAGCTAAACCACTTTGTCTAATAATTATTAGTGAATTATATGTTTATATAGCAATTAAAATGACTAAAAACAAAAAAAAACTAATTTATTAATTTTTAGTCATTTTCTTCACAATTTTGGCATTAATTCATAATTTTTATTTGTTTTTAATGTTTAAATGAATAGAATAAGTTGTATAAATCATATTTTTATTTTTTTTTATGTTTAAAAAATATTTTTAACCGTTTCTACATTGAGTTTTCACCATAAATCAATAATTACCAAGCGAAAAAAATAATTAAAAATGTAAAATAAATTCGTTTAAGCTGTTCGGAATGAAGCAATCAATCCGGAATGTTTAATTTCGATTCGCTTATAATTTATTAATGCTTTTATTGCTAGAGAAAGTGTAAATTAAAAAAAAAAAACAATTTGACTACTACTAATCCGTGTCTATAGATCCCAGCAAATTTCTTACAATGGACACTGGTTACTCCGAATAATAAAAAAAGACGTAATTTGCTCTGATTGTGTAAGATGGCAAAAACACGGAAGACAAACGCCAGACAGGTTTTTACGTTTTTAGATCAGCATCGTACCTACGTGTTTCGGAAAGGAAGCGTTTACGAAATTGTCGAAACAAGTGTACAAACTTCCTGCGCAAATTAATTAATTACGACACCTCGTCGTACGGTACTCGCGGCGTAAACAATTTATTAATATAATAACAACACCAACAGCCAACGGTATGTCCTTCATTGAAATCGAAGCAATCGAAAGAACTATAAACTCCGGCCTGCGCGACACTCTCACCGCGCGACAAAAACAAAACAATTGTCATTGCCATGTAACACGATTTGTTGTCGACACACTCACGTATATCGAATCCGGCGATCGGAATGCGTGCGTCGAATCTCGTGGAAATTTGCATGATGTGGAAAGCCACAGCTGGTGGCTCAATTTATGAATGGCCACGTTCGCGGCGTAACGGCGTGTGTGTGTGTCTCTCTGCTGTTTGGGTTAAGTGCGTATGACCCAATTTAGAAATTTCACGCAACATTAACTGCCGCGCGCGGAGTTATGGTGGCATAATCAATAGATATCTTGACGCCGCATGGGCAATGTGGGCCATTATTACATGCGGCCTCACCTCGTGTGTTATTTAATTTCTAGTCGCTTGCGAGCGCGAATTTTTCTAGCTGGTTGAACTTGCACGGCGCGCGCGCGTAATTAATGCAATCATTCAGCGACCGCAGAAAGAAAACGCGTGTCGGCGCTAAGAGGACTTTACACATCATTAAACTACGCGGTATGTGTGGCGGTCCTTGAAAGGTTCGGTTTCATTTCGCATCTTTAATTGCAAAATCGCACAGATGCACATCGCAGAACAAATGAACCGCATTGTTAGCGCGAAGGAGGACTCAAAATCGACAATGATTGCGACAATAATCATTTGCGCGCATGCTGCACGCTTCCATTATGATGCGCGATTCATTAAACATCGATTATGCCATTGCCATCGCGACTGAAGTCATCGAACGGGAATACGAGCGGAAAATTAGCATCTTGACGTCATCGTCAAGTCGTCATGTCGGGAATCATGTTTTTTCTTGAATTTCGAATAATTTAAAGAATAAATATCAAAATTTTTAATTTTTATAATAAAATTCAACTAATTCTGCTTCTTTATGACTTTTTGAAAGAACTGAAGTAGGTAAAATGTTTGGTTATGTCAAAGAACATAACCTAAATCAAAAACTATTTTTGTTTCCATTTTTTTTTTCATTTTTAAATGGATTTTTACTTATACAAAGCATAATTCTGTCTAAAATTTATTTAACTAAAATATTACGTTGTCCTTGATGGCTATGTGGTAAATACCTACGTGGATATTAATTTTTGGCATCAATTAGATTAATAGCTAATGTATGTCTGCACTCTAGACTCCTCAATTAAAAATTTGTTAACATTGTGGTGCGCGTTGCTAATTTCCGACAAGTTTGCCACATACGAGCATGTAATTAATACGCTGCAAAACAAAACGGATGACGTCATGATTGTATATTAATAACGCAAAGCAATTAATTCCAACACGCTCGCATGGGTTTCGAATTTCATACGAAATTAGTGATTCAAGTATTTCGCGGAATACTCAACGATGACGTACAGAAAACGAAATCAATTTCATTGTCGCCACCGCAGGTCGAAATGGAAAAGTGATTTCGATTGCGGTTCATTAACATCACTCGTGCCTGGCTGAATCGTGCGTTCGTCTTCGTGTCCTGGCAAAACGGCGAGTAATAGTCATTGTTTACACGACGCGTATTATTAGCAATAACGGCGAGTTTATTGTATTCAGCGAAGGCTTTTCTTCGGCTGCTTGCGGTTTATAATTTACATGAATGAAAATTGTCCTATGAAGTCCCTCACCTGCTTGTCGCTTGCATAATAATAACATCTCTTCATATATTTGTGTAGAATCAAACAAAGGTATGTGACCTCTTTTGTTGCCACTTTATTTGAGAGTTTATTGCTCTAGATGCGCCCGGCGCGCTCGCCTCGCATGCGCTTTATTCTAATATGTTATTAATTAATCATCTTCAAGTACGCGTACGCGCACCGGTCATTAATTACACATTTCATGCGCCTGCAATGCGCATTAGTGCATCGTCGTGAGTGCCCCTTTGGAGAGTGAGTGATAGGCTGAAAACTGCACTAATGTAGTAACAGTGTATTGACCGACAAGGCAAGCAGCGTGGCTTTGTTGAAACCGTTGAAAGTCCGAAACGAAATTGATGTTTTCTCCAGCGTCTGTGCGTGGAGTACCTAACCATCCAAACCTGATTAAACTCTCTTTCCTATTATCTGCCTGATGCAATCGCGATGAAAACCCGGTGGCATTGTCACTCGCCGGCTAATTGCTGATGAAACAATGGCGCGCCATCGCGACTAAATGCTCATTATACGCGTGTAATTGACGACCGTGAGGCGTACTTACGAAAGTTAATTCCAGCGTTTCGTTTTCATTAACACCGTTAAGCGACGACGACGAGACCTTAATGCAGCCGATTTAAAACCGAGAGTGCAAAAGGAAACCGTTATTACGCGCGCGGCGCATCCAAATGAATCTTCCGAAGAAGCAAGAAGAAAAAATCATGCGTCAGTGATAGATAGATAAGCGGCGCGATGTCCTCGTGTTTATATGCAATTACGCGTGTGTCTGATAAGTTTTTAATACCCTTACTTAATTCACTTCTGTGTGTGCGTGCGTTGTTTTTGTTGTCCTGCGTGTGCAGCGCTGAAGAAAACCAAGGAAATCCCATCCGAATGCAATCGTGTTATCTAACTCGTCAATACAAACACAAGCAACGTTTACGTAATGAGGCATGCATGACGATTTGACAATAAACTACAATTTTCCAATGACCACGTTTGCGGTCTTTGATTGCACCGGAGTGGATGGAGATTCACTTTCAGCAAACAACGCCAACAACGTGAAAATCCACACAGATTTACGCGAATCCCGCATTTTACACGCAAATTAGGGTCACAACTATTTTGTGGCGTTTTCGTATTTCATTATATCTACATCAAGATGCATCACACGGTTAATTTCTTTCATTACGCCGCGCCGCGCGTCGCTGGCGCTCGGCAGAGAAAAGTAATGTGGCCATGAAAATGTTGATCTTGACGAATTGAGGTCCACATCATAAAAAAATATGATTCGGATCTCTCAGAAACTATTCTCGTCAAAATCTCTTCAAAACATCTCAACTATTATCTGTATTACAAGCATTTAATTTTCATCTTTCGTGTTGCATGCTTCGTGTACGATGTTTCAACTTTTGAAACCGATGATAAGTGCTTGGATATTTTACTAGTGTGTTTTGCAATATGCACATATTTGAGTGCGGTGTGTGTGTTTTTTTTCTCTAATGCGCTAATCTTTATAAATATCAGCAATGTGTCAACCTCTCAAAATGCTACCTACTACATTGCGGTCAAGTGAAGCTCGATTGCATGTAAATTACGTTCGGTGACAAAATCGCTCTTCAAATGTTAAAAGGTTACATTATTTACTTATTTACATTTATTTCCATCCACTAAATAAATAAATACGCGTAACAACTTAATATAATTAATAAATAACTAGTTAATTATCAAATAAATTGCGTTGATATCCGTTTCTCTCCGCTTTTCTAAACTTAAAATTCATTATGCTTATTATGAAGATAGAAAGTTCGTATGTAGGTATCGGTAGCATCCAAAACCGCGCCGTAAATTAATTAATGTTCCGACGTTGAACTGTTACTATCATTTATTTGAGCGATTTGTGTCCGCCAGCGAGCGAACTGTTTAGCAATAACTTCGCAAACTTTTCAACTTTTCACTTTGGTAGAAAATCACAGAAAAGAGAAATTCCAGCCGTGATATTATAAATAAATCCGCACAAGAACAATAATAAATTTAAAAAAAAAAACGTGCGTGGAATGATCGAGCGATGAAGTAATTGTGAAATTAATTTGTACTTTCCACACGGCGGCGCCGACGTCCTTTTCTCCTTTTCATAAATTGGCGCAAAAAGTGAGCCCAAGAGTATGTTACGCGCAATTTTCGATAAGTTTCTCTTTCACCGCGCGGACCACGCGCTGAATTCGCAGCCAGCCGCAGCTTACCGTATTAGGAAATCCATAGTATTCGGGCGAAGAAAATTCGGGGCCGAACGCAGCTTCTAAAAGTCCCCTTAGCGATGTTCAATCGGTTGCACACTCGGCGGAAGAACACAAAAACATGCCGAAGCACAGCCGCGGGACACAAGTCGCGAGAGCGCGCGGTCTCTAAACACGTTATTATTCAAAAAATATCGACACACGGCGGCGGTCGCGACGCGATTGTGCGCTGCCGCGACCAAGACGTCTTTATATTATATTGGAGAAAGTGAGCGTTTTCGATTGCCACGACTCTTCGGTTAGAGACGAGGCCCTCGGCAGACACACCGGTCCGAAGTCCTGCTCTGCGCGCGCGTCGGCCGCGCGGCGGGGACGGCTGCTGCCTGGCTGCTCTGGTACATCGCAGCAGCGAGCGCAGATTTGCACCGCGCGCGCGCGCGGCTCGCATATTGCGACACCCTTCGGGAGCTCGCGGGCGCCGATTTTTTTTGCGGTCGCGCGCGCGCGCGTGATAAGGGAAATTTCGGCGCCGTGCGCATTTCGTTTCTTTGACTTCTTTGCGTTCACGTGAGAGATGCAAGTGTGTCATTCGCGAGACACTCACGCGCGCGCGCACACACACGCCGCCTAACCTCGCCTAAACAAAACGTTTGTTTATTCGGTGGCATGTGACTTTTTCGCTCGAGTCATGTGACTTTTAAGTGTAGCTGACGTGGATACACGTTTCTTCGATAGAGAAATTCATAGCGTTGAGGTTTTAATTGTTTAACCTTGTCTACCTGTTCGATTTCTTTCGCGTTCCTGTCCCATTACCGCCGCAAACGACCCCGGTAATTGCTGAATTTATTCGTCAGTACAATATTAATATGTAATTAAGATTTCTTTTGAAAATAAGTTGTACCTATTCGTACAAATCCGCTTAAATGAATATTTTTCAATAGATTTTTCTAAAATATCCACTTGACATTAAAACTTTCCACCGTTAACTTCGAGTTCCTGACGCGTCGCGCATTGAAGTCTCGATTGATCCTATTAAAAGTTACGCGCTCACATAACGCGCAATTACGTTTAATAATAATAATAGTCGCGAATTTCTAAAATTACACGGATTTTGTTGACGTTTGTGCGCCTATTATTTATGTAATATTTCTTCCGAATTGCTTGGATTGCATGCGTGAAAGGAAGCGGCGGAAACGAAGCGGAATCTAGACGCGCGCAGAGACCTGCGGCGGCTGGTGTGCGCAATGATTTATTTCGCTAAAATCTAAAACTCTGCCGGCGTGTGCATATATCTCACCGGTTCGGTATGTTTATGAGCAGATGCTGAATAATTTCGAGCGCGCAAATAGTCTACCGCAGCAACTATAAAATGAGTCGTGTTCATTTCGACACACTGACATACTTTTTTAAGGAATTTTTATTTTCTATCTTCCTTTTTTTGAGCTCTTTGTTTGCGCGGCATAGGCGAGGCGAGCAGCGAGTGGCAAGATCAGGTAAATACTTTACTTTTCCAGAAAATCATCCCGAAATAGCAATAGAATTTTGTTAAAATTTGATTGGTAAGATTCAGAAATAAGAAATTTTGCAGTTTTTTTTATGACTTACTCAAAAACTAAAAAAAAAATTAAAATTATTTTATTTTATTTTTTTGAATTTTTTTCGAGTTTTATTGCTAATAACTTTAAACCAAATTACTTAATTAGCCATATTTTACCATTAAATAATATAAAATTTAACTGAAAATCTGTATCTTAAAGAATTTTACATTTAACTCAAATAGTTTCTGAGTAATTAACAAAAAATATCAATAAATAGAATATTATCACCGAATATATCATTAAATATAAAACCGGCGACATTATGAAGATATTTAATTCAAAAATATAAAATTTTAAAGCCAATAGGGGGCCTACACTTTCCTCTACGCATTTTCGACGCATTTTGGGAGTGGATTCCTTCGGGGCATCCATGCAAATTAATTTATTAAATTCAATCTCCATTTATCCAACGAGAATTTAAGCTACACGCCGAGTATCATTTTCTTTTCGTACGTAAAACTTGAATTAATTTCAAGATTAAGATTTTGGTTAGTAAATATGTGAAAGTGTTTCTTAATTCACTAGATAACAACAACAATTTTAATCAAATCATTAGGAAATTTAAAAAATTTTCTCTGCACTTAATATTATATCACATCACGCTATAAATAATAATTAATAATAATAATATCATCAGATTTTATTGCCCATCGCAAACTTCAACATGGCACAAAAATGCAAACACGAATTTCAATCTGTGAGATGTTGATAGAGTTGTAATTAATATCAGATTGGAGTTAGAGTAGCTGTATAGCTAGAGCTATAATCAAATTCGAGTGAAAACCGGCTATTTTCTAGCATCGGCGATTTATCAATCTAGGCGCGCGCGTTGCATCCACGTCCACCCCGGGCGCGGCGCGTACATTCGCAAGAAGGTACGTCTCTGCACAAACACAGCGCAGAGACACACCACACGATGCCGAGGCGACGTAAACGATCTCTCTAGGCCGGCCGGACGTTTCGGACGAGAAAGTGAAGAAAAGAAATGCTTCCTCGAGCGCGCATAAACGCCGCACCGACACATTGACGCCATGGTACACCTTACACGCATACCACCAAGTGATGGTGTAAAAGTACGCCCGAAAAAAATCGCCGGAAAAAAATCGAAGCAGTGCGTGAATAACTCAATAACAACAATTTACAACATTTTACAACATCTAGCTACTACTTGCGGTTGGTTTATGATCTTTTGTGATAATTTGCCTCTGAGTTTTGTTGAATTTGTTGTATTTTCAATTTTAATGTTTTGGATGTTTTATACTGTTGGTCACCAGGGAGTCACGCTTACAATTTCACCTGCTGATTTATTTCGCACACCGGTGAAAATGGAATACGCGTGTGTTGTCATTGCGATGCTGCGGGCACATCTGCGCGCCTTCGCCCAACAAAACAAACAACGATTTCCACTCGAACAAATATCTGTTGCAGGTTACCTGCATGCCGATGATATCAGTTGTGTCTTCGCCCCAAAAAAACAACAGCGATGACTCAAAGCGCCAAATGTTTGTTTTGTTTAAATATTAGCGCGGATTTTACTTGCGTTCGTTGCAATTACCTACTCGACTGATGGCCGATGTTACAAAAGACGTTTAGCATTCAGCGTTGAACAGCGATTTCAATTTCTCTTTTAATTTCTATTGGCATTGCTAATTGTCATGTGTGTTTCGCAATTACGCAACGCCGTAAATATGTACTACTTATTGCACAGCGCCCGGCGCGTTTAATTGTTGTGTGTTGTTACTTTAGTTAACAAATTACCAGCGCATTAATGCAATGCAATTTCGATTCGTTTAGGTCGTGATCGAACGCACGTGACTGCATGCCGTTAGACGATAATATTTCTACCTCGGCTGTAATAAAGTATACGCAGGCAAATAATTCACTGCCAGGTCATTATAAGTAGATTACATTTTCGTGCAGGCGAAAAAATGCGGCTGCGATCCGAAACACCAACGAATGCCTGCGAATGAAAACAAAACGAAAGTGAAGCAGAATAAAAAAAGAAACGCACGTATCGTATTCGTATGATATGCAATCGTTTATCTCCGCCATCGATAAAAGCATGTGGGCATGCTTTATTAATTATAACTGGAATTCTAAATTTAAATTCAAATTAGTAATCCTTTGCAGAAATAGAAATTGGTTGCTTTGGCCATTAATATCGCGTCGAACATTATTGATCTATAAACCCGATTTGGCGATTCCTTTTATATTTCGATTGGACGCGTTTTTGGTGTGTTCTACTAAAAGGTTATAATTGCCAAAAAATAACACCATCGAGGTGCCCTTATGTCGCGGTAAATTGGCGTGAAATTAAATATAATATGCGTACAAAGTGTGGGTTTATTTAATTTTATAAAATATAATTTGTGAAGTCGTAAATTTTTACGTAATATTGCGATCGACCAAAAATTCCGTGGAATTTTTCGCGAAATCAACTTTTAAAGAATTTTATTTTAATGTGTAATAGATTTTGACTGATTGAATAATTAAGAGAAGAATTATTCAACCATCATTTAGACATATTTAATGATTCATTCATAAAAAAGTGAAAATCTGCAGAGATAAATCAGAAAAACGATAGATATATTAAGGTTATAGTAAAAAAAAACAATAAAATAATATCAAAAGTTATTGTTTAACAAGTGCCACACGAATATATTTTATTTTCCCAAGTCGCCTGTGCATTTTTGTTTGTTTCTGACAATTCTAAACATTCATAATCTGATCAGAAATTATCTGTAGACGAGCTTCGTTCATTTAAATCTAAAATAAAAAATCATAGATTTTTGGTCCTTACCCAATTTATAATTTACTTTTTTATCAATTTCCAAGAGATTCAGTGCAAGATGCCTGGTAAAAAACGCGCGAATACTGATAAACACCCAACGTCCAATGCGAAAAAGGTTAGAATTGGAAAAACGGTGGAGCACCCCATTTTCGCGAACGATGTACATCCTGTGGTACCAACTGTCCCACAAAACATTCCCGAGTTAAAATCAGTCCTCAAGACCCCATCATCACCGATTAAACGTCCAAAGCGTAAAATTGGCAAGAAACCTATAAAATCTTCGGCTATCAAGAGCAAGGCATCCAAGTCGAAGAAATCAAAGACATCTAAAAGTCTCACTTTGAAAAATACTAAGCCCGAGCGCAAGAATATTAAAAGAAATGCCTCCAAGTCAAAGAGAAGCAAGAAGTTTTAGAAGCTCTGCCTACAGAATGCATTTTTGAAAGAAACTCTTCCAAATTTCATGTGAATTTAATGATTTTCAAATAAATTTTTGTGTCATTTTAATTGTATTTAATTCTATCAGGGGTTGTCACTATGAGAATATGCATAATGTAAATATGCGGCACGTGACTGCGAAGCAAACTTGTGATCATTATTCGGTAATTGTTTGCCGCGTTTGAGTGCGCTTTGAATTATGCGAGATTTGTTAAATCACGGCTGTTTTGTTTGTGCTCACATTTTGCACATTGTATAACATTATAGCACATTTGTCACACTTTCCACTTTGTTCCGCGTTTACTTTTGATTTCGCTCGCTCGCATCCATTTCTATTACATGCAATTACCGTTCGGCTTTTTGTGGTCGACATTTTGCGGTCGACGACGGCGTCTTAAGTGAGCGATTTATTGTGGTCCGGCTTGCATCCGGTCTCTTCCGTACATTCGATCGTTTGCAGCACACAAAGAAAAGAAAACTCGTCACTGCGGAACGTACCGCGACAAATGATTTAGAATTACGTATTGATCGTAAAGAAATTCACGTTGGTTTGAATGCACACCAAAAATGCGCGTGGATTACGCAAGACGGATTCATCAGCAAAAGGAGGAAAACGCAACTTTTCTAAATGTGTACGCATCAGCACGTAACACGACGCACAATTACGAAGGAGAATGTCCACCAGTTCAGCGGATTGCCATATCCGACGTCCGATGCCAAATTAGCCGCTGATTATACCCTTGTCCGCGCATTGCCGCGTTCGTCACGCTGCCATCAATGGCGTCGATTAGAAAATGAACTTATTGAGATTTTCCAATTGCCGCGCTGACATTCGCCGGCAATTATCGAAGGTTGCTGCTGCGCGCTGTAAAGCATCCATCTTTTCAACCAGCGCCGATAAATAAAGGAATTAAACATGTCAAGTGATTTATATTACAAGGTGATATTTTTGTCATTATTCCACGGCGGCTCGGTATTCATTCTGCTTCTAAAGCGAAACGATTTGTTTCAAATCAGCGCTTTGAATCACAATCGGGCTTTATCAATGCCCGGGACGTGTGACGGGTGAAAATAGAATACATATATATACGCATAGATAGTTTTAGTCAGTTCTTTATCATTCGAAAATAATTAATAATTATTAAGCGCAAGCGTAAATATAATAATAATAATAACGGAATGCGCCGACACTGCTCACGCAATTTTAATGCCACGACGTTCAATATACAAATACAATTGAGTAATAAGTTAAGTTAATAGGCATTACTACAAAGCGTGAAATAGATACATCCGAGACAAAAAAATCTCGGATGCTTTTTCCGAGAATTATAGTCAATTGTACAATAGTACACACGTTAATATAAATGTTGCGTATGACACTCATTGGTATTGGTAATTAGTCACTAGTAATGAATTGGTATAAGTTACGCATCTGCGTCAAAATGGTAAAAAATGCACCGAGGCTGAATAAAATTTTAAGAAATTGATAAAATGTCAATTTTTTTCGGTATTAGAGCACAAGGCGTTCGTGGCCACACCAAACGCAGAATTTGGCGGTGGCGATCGGGTAGGTTTTACCGCAGTGATGGCAAAACTTTGCGAAAACCGATTGCAAGTGACTATTGCGACTGATTTTGCCATCGTCGCCTTTTTCGCCAGCAGCGTGACTAGATCTTGCGCCGATTTGTGCGCCATCTACATTTTCTTCTTTCTTTTGAGCCTTTTCATGGTCTATCTGGTAAGCTGGTGGTTCCAATGGACTTATCTGCATCACTTTTGATCGTATTTTCGTCCGTGGTGTTCGATTCAAACTAAAACACATTAAAAAAACACATAAAATCAAACAGGAAATAATTTTTAGGTTATGTTGTTTACCTGGCATAAGCCGAATCGGCATGTACTGCTTGTCCTTGATAATCCTGGTGACTCTGCGCGAGAAGATGAAGCTGTTCGCCTCGTTCATGAACGTAAGTCTCCTCCAGCTGTTTGTACTCTTCGTAGATTTCATCACCGGGCGAAAACAATTCAAAAGTCGAAAAAGGTACGCTCAGGTTAGCAGGCGACAACTGCAAACCACACGGAATCATGAATGGTCATCATGGCGGAATACTTACTGATCACCCATTACCGGCGACATTTGAAACTCGCTCTTCACTCCAGTGACTTCCGACGATTGTGGTTTCGGTGACAGTGAGCACATGCTGTAAAAGACAGGGTTTGAAACAACATCGGATTTGTGCTCGGGTGGCTCTGGATGATAACGTTTACTGGTTGTCGTGGAGGTGTTGTGCGTGTCAAGATGGTCCGGAATGGACAAGTTATCGAAATCGTTGATTAATCGTGGGTCTATCGACACGTCATCAAAGTACGAGCTGGTGTTATCGTTGTTTTTTGTACTGCAACTGTCCAAGGATATGGTATCCAAGTCAAGTTTGTGCATTTCCTCATTACTAAAGTTGTCATTGATGAAATTCTCCAACATTTCGAAGTTGATGTCTTCCTCGGACGCACGTCGTGTATCCTTGAAGTCTCCAGGTGGATCAATGACAGACTGACGCTTTTTTGTTTTACCCGCGTTTGTAATTATAGGTTTATAGGGTTTGGAAGATGGTGATTTGGACTGGGTGTGGTTTTTGTTGGTGGATTTGTGGTAGGGTTTAAAATCGTTGCATTCGAGCAGTTCCATCAGTTGTCGCTCCGCAGTGAGAAACGGATTGTAGGTGTCGGTGTCAGAAGTGGTGTTTGACTTGTTGGTGGTGCTGTAAATGATTACATTTATGATTTTGATGGTTTTTAACTGATTTTAACTGATACTTCGTGCAGAATTAAGTGAATGATATTTTTAAGTGTAGATTTTTAAATATTTTACTTACCTTATTGTGGTATTCTTCTTTTCTTCTTTTGAAGATGGCTGATACTTCTCTTTGACTGTACGTTTAACAAACGTAGGGACACGGTAACTTAAACGCGCATCTAAGCGCTCCTTCGCCTCAGATCTACAATTATTCAGGACCATTGAGGGCTTACATGCGTGTTTCTCTCGACACCAAAGCTCGTGCCGTTCGTAGGACCTCGCAGCAAATTGGCGCTCGCAGTGTGGACATCGTTCAGTCGCCACTGATGATACAACGGAGTTACGCACACGCACAGGTACTTTGGCAGGTGGTTCAGGTTTTTCCGGTAGCGCAGGTTTGACCGGCGCTTCAATCTTGACAGGAATCTCAATTTTGATGGGTGATGGTTTGGCCGTGACTGGTGTGAAAACCTTTTTCTCCATTGGCTTTGGTGGTGACGACGCCCGCGGTGGTGGTGGTGGCGGCACTGTGGATTTTTTAAATGTTGGCATATGAAACAGTGCCAGATCGGTGCCCTCGACGCGCTGGCGTTGTGAATCGAAGGGTTTACGTCGTTTACTTGCGTTCTTCTCGCAGATCTTCATGTGTTTCACCAGCGATTGCGGCAGGAATGTCCTCCCGCAAATTGTGCATGGTTGACAGTCTTCTTTTGGTAAAACTTCTACAAGTAGAAAAGGTTGACAAAATGTAGATGCCATATGGCTAAAGGATGAATATCGTTGAAGGCGCACCCGCATCGAAAGTTTAACATGCGCTTGTTAAACTATTGTTACATAATGGAAACGTCTTGTTGGTAAATGTTTCGCGACGCCGCAGCGCACGATCGCCCGCCAATAATGTAAATATTGCGCGCGCGAAGGCCAACAACCAACGTAATGTTTACCTACGCGTTGCTGGTAATCGCTAGAGAATTTCCGAGGAGCGAGAATTTGCGGTGCGCGGTGACAGTCGCCCGACTTCTGCGCGGCCAAACATGAGAAAATAATGTCAAATCGAATCGAGCGCGGACGCATTTCGGCCCGAAATACAGACAGGAAATGCACCGATTCCCTAGCGCCGCTGTTTATTTCGGGCTCAAAGGGTCGGGGCGCTCCAGCGCCGCGCGGAGCACCGCGACGCCGCACCGCACCATCTGATGCTATTTTGAGCCCGGACGGGCGCACCGCCGGCGATAGCAGCGTACGGCCGTGCGGATACGCTCGCCGCACGCGTAAATAACGCGCCGCACTGAAAATCGCCTCGCGGGGCGCTGACCAACGCGCGAAAATACGAAAAAACGCGCCGAGAAATTGCACTCACCTTCCGCGTCGCTCGCCATCGTTTTCGGTTTGTTATGATGTCGCCAAGGAAACGCGGCGGTCGTCACAACAGCAAACAACAAAACTCTCAGCGCTGCATCAAACTACGCGGCGCGCGCGGACGGCGGTGCTCACCGCCAATTGCGGCGACGTGCGCCGCGGGAGGTGCGATGCGACGCAAGTAGTGGTAGTAGCGTGTAACCCACGCAAAACAACTACCACAAACACACAACACTCTCTCGTACGAGTCTTGATTTTCCTTTTATTTCTTGCCAGTTGCATGCAACTCCATATGTATACAAAGATATGTTACAGTACAAACGGCGAACGACATGTCTTGCCATTTTAACGAAAAACTTTCGTTATGGTTTTCCTTCCTTCCTTCTTCTATTTCAATAAAACAGCAAAACTTTTGTTAAATATACAATCATTTAAAATGTAACATCATTATGCCGCCAGATACACCTACAATTTACAATTAATAAACTTCTCTCGAGTGCCACACTCCGGCTCAATCCGATTGTCAACAAAATAAGTATTTAGGTTTGATATTCGTGCGCGTGTGAGTGTTATTGTATCTTGTGTGTACGTGGAAGCTGTCTTATAAGTTAGAGATTATTGTCGTCATGAGTGGTCAGCGGACATACGAACAGAAAACATACCTCCTATATTAATATATATATATTAATATATCTTGACCGTAATTAAATATATTTACATTCGTCCAGACTTGATTCTATTTTATTGTCTATCGACGCCCGGCCGATTCGCTCTGTGTCTCTCACATAAAACTTACGTGCTAATGGAAGATATGGTTCAGGACTTCTAAAAGTTTGTGTAAAATTGTCGAAACCTGCCGCCTGCCGAACAAAAGCGCAACATGAGATAATACTGCGCAAGCCACAACGCGTTTGATTCCAGTTTGATTTGGTGGTGGTTGTCTTTTTTTGTTTAGAATTTGCGTACATCTAGAACACGCTCCGATACAATATATAGCAAAAAATCTACTGCGTGTCCCTGGCGCAGCCGCCCGCGTACGAGTGCTTGGTGAATTTGCGCGCGGACACGACGACGACGAGCGCGAGCAGCACGCAGTGCTGCGTCTACCTCTGCGTGATGTACGGCAGCACCGGCACCAGACTGCACGCCAGCACGTACAGCACGCCGAGGAAGAGATTGAGTTTCGCCGTTTTCTTCGGTATGCTGTGCATATCTGCCGAACGGAATTGTTTCTCAATTCGGAATGCGTGCGGCAGCGTCACCAGCGGCAGCATGAACCACTTGGAGTACTTCAACGACGCCACCATGAACATGATGTACGGTGTGAAGAGCAGGAACGCGTACAGTACGTGCGAGGCGGTGTGCCCGATGAGGATCGCCAGCGTGACAATGCCGACCTTTTTGTCGGCGTCGGAGTCACGCGTGTTGTTGCTGTGGAGAATCGCCTCGGTGTTGAGCGCCAGCGGAATGGCGTAGTACATCGTCGCCCATTCCACGCGTCCTGTCTGCGACATGAACGCAAACAGCACTGAGATGGGGCCGAAGATGATGAGTATGAGCACGTCGCCGAGTGCGATGTACTTCAGGCCAATACCACCAGTATAGAGGAAGCTGGAGGACAGCCCGCCGAAGTAGACGAGCGCTAGATGCTCCATTTTCGCCGGTGAAAGCGCCGCCAGCATTACAAAACCAACGCAGCCGGCGAAGTATAGCAGCGCGCCGAGTGATACCACCTCGTCTTTGGTGAGGATGTGATCGACGAGGATGCGATCGTCAGACTTGCGGTTGTCGATGCCCTTCACGTAGTCGAAGTAGGTGTTGACCAGGTTGCCGGCACCGTGAACGGACACTACGGTGAAAAGAGTTAGTAAGAGCGTAATGTAGTTGAAGTCGCTGGCGCCGGGATATTTGTACGCTATTGTGGCACCCAGCAGGGTGGGCATGAGACTGGCGCTGAGGGACCACGGTCGCAGGGCCAGCACGTAACTGTTGAGTTTCATCAGGCCGGAGGATTTGGGCGGCGCGCTGGGCTTGCAGGCGGCGCCGTTGAGGAGTGTCTCGGACATCTTCTGCGGCGCGCCGTCGATTTACGTAAAACGTTCTTACTGCTTCGCCTAAACACTACGGTAAACACTATTCCGACCGCCACGGACACGCTTGTCACTGCGCATCCGTACGAGCGCGATGGCGATATCTCGAAGATATCTCCATCGCACAGCCTGAGCCAGGGATGTTAGGTTAGGTTACACCCCTTACTCCCAAAATGTTAACCTGCAAGTTGTCACCGCAACTTTTCAAACTCAATCTATTACAAATTGTGCGGCGACAGGTAAAATCTACGTACGGACAGAAATCTCCAACGGAATATATACCAGTGTATAGTTTTCCGTACATTCAATCACTGGCGTTTATCCACAAGGCGAAAGTGTACCAAACTGCAGCAACATTCATTGGCATTCCTGCTAGTTTTGCATTATCTGTTGCGAATGTATTCTCCACACAGGTGTGCTCATCAATCACCGTTTGCGGTAAGTAAGATAAACCGAAAAAATGCTATAAATCTAATCAGTTTATTAAATTTAAATAAATAAACAACAATATTTCGTTTTTTAGGTATAACTGGTTGCATGCTTCTGCATACACTCGGTTACTTAACATCCAACACCATTGGAATTGTTTATCTGCATAAAGATGAAACAAAGTCAAAAGTTTCATACTTGGACGCGTGGGGATCACGGCGGGATGTCATTATTGATCTTAAAAACATTGTACCCTTTAGTGATCAGCCAACACGCTTCACGGATCCGTTATATTTGCGATTTCAGCAGTACAATAGCAAAGACAAATATAAAATGAATGTGAAATATGGAATTGTGCTGGATCCAAAGAAGTTTCAAGTTATATTTCATAAAAATTCAGATTGAATAGTTAATTATTATGTAAAAACTTTGTAAATTTAAACTTTGAATCTTCAAAATTAATTTCTTTTATTTGAAGTTGCGTATGCGCAATACCGTTACTATAACGCGCGAAATTTAAATATTTTTGCAGAAAATTTGTTGTTTAAGTTGTTAACTTGTTAAGCAATCGATAATTTTTGTTTTTATCAATTAATTAGTCGTGTTTTGCACAGTTAACGTTATTAACAGCACATGTGGGTTTATTTAACGATGTGCGTTTCACCACGTTATTTTTAGCGTTTTTTTTTCGTAGTTAGCACAATTAGTCTTGCCGCCACACGCTCACAATTCTCCGCCCAGCCCCCGACGAAGCAGGTTGAATCTGAAATTTGACGACGCGTCGGTGGGAAATTCGGCGCGAGCTTTAAAGCGCTCGGCGTGCTTACCGACTTGTTAGAACGCGGCGTCGCGCGAACTAGAGTCGAAAATAGCACCGCGGCCAAAAACTCGCCTCTGTCCGCCGGTTTTCCGCTATCGCAAAATCGTGCGCCGCTTTTCGGCACGCTGGCCACGCTCACACACGGTCGAAATAGAGTTATAACGCTTCCAATCATAAACAACACATTAATTTGGCGTTAACCGCGCTGGTTCTCAAACAGTTTCTTTGACTTTTCAGTGAGTTTCGCACAAAATTTCACTGAATTCGGTCAGGAATGGCGTACAGTTGGGATAATCGTGTTAACTTTGTTATAAGTCATTTGTACGGTGAGTTTTTAACCTAAATATTCATAAATATTTAATGCATGTCCCGAAATAAGTGAAATTAAAGTTTTTGATTGGTGTTTTCAACTTTTACCTTATTATACAGCGGATATTATTAGTTCCACTGCAATGAAATAAAACTCGGTTTAAAAATACGCCTTGTAGGCGCTGTAAACAAGCAAGAAACAATTTCGCATAATTAACGATTGTAATTTGGATGCGGTTCGTAAACGTTACCGGGTGCCCGCAACCGGTACTGCTGGCAGCAGTAGTCGGAGTTACGCGCGATCTTATCGCACCACGACGGCGTGCGCCAAGAAACAACAATATCTACGCACATCTCCACACACAACAAAGCGTAAATTTGCGGCCGTAAATTAATGAGCGCCGGTCGTCGTCGTCAACGCGCTGCTCGCCCCAGCTGTTTTCCTGTATTTCATTCGATTATCTACGAAAGTGTGTTTTGTTCGCGGCGCGCCGCGCTCGCCATCGGCAATAAATAGAAATAGGAAGCACACAAACGCATCGGTCACAAATGAGCGGATGACGTTTGTGGACAAAACGCGCTCAACAAATTAAAATTAGTCACTCAGTTTGGTGCGCACTCGCGTAAAGTCATTTTTCCGATTCGATAAATCTTCAACTTATTATTAGATGCGTCGTGCGTGCGCCCGACTCGTTAGCCCGCGGCGCGCGTGAAATTTCGAGGACTGTGTGGTTTTTTGTTTCTCTTTGCAAATTTTTGTTTTGCGGCAGTAAATTTGCTTGTCGCAAATGAAACCCGACGTGACAGAGACTTATTTTAATTAGTAACTTGGCTCGGATTGTTTGCGCGCTTCTTCTAGAAACATGCGAAATAGATCATAATTTTTGAATCACGCGAGTTTCATTCATTGTTTGCGCGTGGCGGATGGTTCTGCCAAAATTGCATGATTTAACTTTAACGACGCGTTTATCCGCATGCGCCGTGGGCGATAAAACAAAATATCAATCTTGCAACAAGCAAAAATGTAAGGCGCATCATAAAACTTTCATGAACCCGCTTGAATTATGAGCAAGCGTGAAAATTCAAAGCGTGATTTCATCCTTGATACATCACGATAGTCATGATTGTGATTTGTAACTACTATTTCGCTACAAAGTTCTAATTTTACATTTTTTCTTTTTTTAATTTTAGATATTGACAACAATGGCTACCTGGATGAACGTGATTTTGCTTGTCTTGCTTTGCGCGCGACAATCATCGAAGGCAAGGGCGAGTTCAGTTTCTCGCGACTGCAGGAATATCAACATATCATGCTGAGTCTATGGGAGGAGATTTCGGAACTTGCGGACTTCAATAAGGTAAATGCGGTGGTGCACAAGCGCCGCAGCCGCAGGCTCAGGTGATTATTACGTTTCGGTAAAATTAGAACTTTCGATTCTGGAGCGCATCCGCGCAGATTTCAGGAGTGCACCGGCACAACACGGCTTTGGTTGTTTAGCGAATGCGCGTATTTATTTTACGGCCTGCCTTGAACACCGCCTACAAGCGCGAAATTCGTGCTTTCACTGTGCTTTTTCTTTCAGCGAAACCCAACCACCCACACGCGCTATTACACAAACACACAAATCTATTTTCAAGCTATTATTCGTTTATAGATCGGGCAATAAACCGTTTAACTCTCCATTATAACCCCATTAATTTTTGTATTTTTGTATTTTGCAACTCCCTAACTGCATCTTTGCATCACTAGATGTTGGATGTATATACGTAGTCGTGTTTTTGTTGTACTTTTTGTAGAAGTTGTTGAAACATTCAGGTCCCACACGTGCATTTCGAATAATCGCTGGCGATTCGCGTGTTGATCCTCTAGGAACTTTTGCAGGACGGCAAAATCACCACCGAGGAGTTCAAGCAAGCGGTGCAGCAGTGCTGCATGGGTCGGCGGTATGAGGATTTCCCACAGGCGATGAAGATGTTCATCGACTCCAATTTCAAGATGGTTGATCTGAATGATGATGGCCTCATCGGCGCTGACGAGTATCGTTTTGCGTGCATCACGAAGTTTGCCATCGAGGACATTGAAATCGTCGACGAGGCATTCAACAATCTCTTAAGCGTAAGATTTCATATTTAAAGATGCATTTCTAAAAGATAATTATGGTTTAATGTTTTAGGACGATGATAGAAGACGAGGCGGACTTACTTTATCACGATATCAAGAACTCTACGCGCAGTTCCTGGGAAATCCGGACGAATCCTGCCCAGCGGTGTATTTATTCGGACCTTTAACCGAATATTATCGGGATGAAGATTAAAACCGGGCTGTGGGACGTACCGCGTACAAATGTTTATTTACTGTGTATTTATTTGAGTTGTAATTGTAAGTTTTAAAAGATTTATAATAGTATTATTTGCATTACCACAAGCAATGAATTCGAAATAAATGTGATGATTGGGTTGCCTAGTTCAGCATTCAGCAGGAATCGATGCAGTTGACGGATCGCTAACAAAATATCGTAGGAGGCGAATGTGAATTTTGTTTACCTCAGTGAATTTGTTTTTTCGGCGATATCCCTCGGTCATTTCAGCCGCGTTTTTGCAGGCGACTTGTTCTCGACCCAAACCTTTTAAATTACTTGAGTATTTTTCCTTATTTGCTGTACTTACACGACGAAATCATGAGACGTGCATCACGTAGACATCCCTATGTCGGTAAGTATTCATTCAAAATACCTCAACTTGATATCATAATCATAATCAAATAGATCGGCGTTTTCACGCGTTTTCAGTTCGAAATCGATCACTAAACAGCCAGTTTGTGTCTGGAGGAGTGCTGAGCCCGCGGGTAAGTTTCCTTTACACTAATATCTATCTTCTATATTATTTTATCATTGACCGCTTATATTTTACTGATAATTATGTATCAATTGTTAATGCATCAGTAGGTATGCAATTCTGAATGGCATCAAGTGGTACTGTTGTAGGTTTATTAGGCATAAAAGTATTGTCTTCCAAGTGCACACAACCTGCAATTGGAAGCAATACTTGATAATGAACTGTGATTTTATAAACATGAGCAGAATTGTTTGTGCAATCATTGATTTCAAGTCAAACTTTGCTAATACTCCTATAATGATACCATCTAGAGACAATTTGTAATCCATGGGCAGGAACAGCAGCCTTTTAATCAGGATCAGCATCATGCTGAAGTGAAGCAGGAAATGCATGGAATGTTTATGGATCATCTTAAACCAGAAGGAGGAGATGGGATGAATCCAGCTGTTAATGTAAGTTTCAAGTGTACAAATATTTCAATTCATTAATGTAGGAAATATTCCAGGAAAATGAAATGTCAGTGGAGAAACCTGATGTAATGGATCAAGATTCATCAACAAATGAAGCTCCTGACCTATCTGTTCCCTGTAAAAGTGCTAGTAAGTCAATTATTTAATATGTAAAAAGTTGATCTTGCATGAAATGTAATCATCTGCAGACAGCAAGCGAGATCGTACCAACCGCGTCATGTCTAAGATAAAACCAAAAAGTCCCACGGCGATATTGAACGAAATGAGTTCCTCTCATACGTATGATTTCACGATGGACGGGACTTCCTACCGGGCGACGCTTCACTTTGATAATCAAGAATTCTTTGGTACTGGGACATCCAAAGCCGCCGCGCAGACAGAAGCCGCCGAAGAGGCGATCAAACAAATCGTGCTACAAAGCGACATGCAGCAATTAAAAGCCAGCCAGCTGCCGATGCTGACCTACCCACAGTTGCTCAGCTACTCCCTGTATAAACTGTTGATCACTTGGAATCCAAGCGGGACGCAAGTAGTACGAATGCAGTCATCTAGCAGTGTGACATCCACAGAAGTCAGGCCGGCGAAAAAATTCCCACCGAATCCGGAACGCTTGCATCCTGTTATGCTCCTTTCGCAAACCCATCCACATGCCAAATTCATTGAGGTAGCCATGAGACCGCCACCTAACGTTTCCTTCACTATTGAGTGCGTCGTCGACGAAAGGAAGTTTTTGGGCACTGGTGAGTGAACATGCGTACATTAAAAACTTGTTTATTTACTTGGATTGTATAAAATTAGGCCAAAGCAAAAAAGATGCGAAGAAACGTGCGGCGACGCTCGCATGCATAGAGCTGTTGGATGTGAAGTATCCACTCGAAGAAAAGAAGGACGAATAAGGTGTTTGTGTGTGTCTCGATCCTTTCTCGTTCGACTCACCAAATTGTGTGTATCACATACGTGTCGAATCTTTAGATGAATTGACTTAACTTTTCTAAGTGATTAAATTTTTTGACATTGAATCATGAGGAGTTCATTGGCGGACAACATGAATCCTTTGTCGAATGTTAAAGGTACTTTCACGCTCGGGTCTGCCACGAGGCGATTGTGCAGAAGCAGCTGCGCGATACCGACACGTATTTGCATCAACGCGAAACGCATACCTGAAATTATTAAAATCATTTAATTTAACACCGAGTTTGCGTATTTGTAATTTTTAATTACCTATACACATCCTTGGTCCTTCACCGAAGGGTAGATATGCAAACGGATGCCTCGCGCGTTTTGCTTCCTCTGTGAAACGCTCTGGGTCGAATTCAGTTGGGTTGGGATAGTATTTTGGATCCATGTGAATGCCATAAGTAGGAATAAAGACTTTTGTGCCTTTAGCGATGATGGTATTGTCAATTTTGAAGTCCCTGCTGCACTCACGATTTAGAATTGTCACCGGTGGATACCTCCGGAGGGTTTCTGAAATATTCCGCATTGGATTTTAAACAATTATGTTTTCTTTTTCTTTTTTTTAAGTGTCTTACCGTCAATAATTTGTTGAATGTACTTCAACTCCATCATAGCTTCATAGGTCCATTCGCCGCCGTGTTTCGCAAGCACGCGTCTTGCCTCCTCGCGCGCTTTGTTTTGGATTTCCTCACTTCGGGAGATTTCGAAAACAGCGAAGCTCATTGTGGTGGAAGAAGTTTCAAATCCAGCGTTGAAGAACAACCAACCTTCTGCTAGGACCTCCATCATTGTAAGCGCTTCTTCTTTGTTTTCTTTGTTTTTCAACTCGATCAGTAACTGGATGAAATCGTTGCGTGTCTGACCACTTTCCTCGCGCATCTTTACCGTTTCCGTGATCATATTCATGAAGAAATCGACAACTTCCTGTGGGAACGGTAGCAAGCTCAACCAAGTCGCGATTTTCGGATAGATTAGTTGAATGTTCCTCGAAAGCGCTCGTTTTGTGTCTGTTTTGAAAACTCGTGTGCCATAATAGTGGAATTCGGTGTTTTTATAACTGTTGCACTCGATACCGAATGCACAGGAACCAATCACGTTAATTGTGAATTTCGCACAAATCTCTTTCATGTTAACGGTTTTATTGCCTTCTACCGACTCAAGAAGCGGCTTAGTACACTCCACAACAGCGGGAAACATCATTTTCATTTTTCCGGAGGTGAACGTCGGCGTAAGTTTAACTCTCAAACGCCTCCAGCGCGCTCCGCCAAGTTGGAAAAGATGCGCTGTGACCGGCTGGAGTTTCTCATTGTAGAACATGCCGCGCTCATCAAAATGATCAAAATGTTTCGTTATCACTTCTTTAAGGATGTCCAAATCCATAGGCATGTACACCGGCGTGGTCATCAGGTAAATTCCGGCGTGTTTGATGTTCTTCTCGCGGAAATAGTCGTAGAATTTCTTGAACATGATGCCCATATTGGTCGCATTTTTATCGTATGGATTCGTATAGTGTCCGAAGGGAAACTTTGCGCCTGGATACGTCTGCAAGCCGCGTCGTTGCCAATAACTGAAGGACTGCTTGAAGAAGAACCAGCCCAGCAGGAATACGCACAATATTAAGAATAGCAGTGAAAACATCTTGCTGCTTTTCGTTGGATACGCAGACAAGTGTTATTTTGTATTGATATGAACTCGTCGCGGCAAGTGCTTTTAAATCGGTGGTTATCAATCACATGATGAAAGTATGCTTATAATCCTGAGTGGCAAACAAACACAGCAGATAACAACCTTGAAATATTGAGTAACATAATGTAACGTTCTTAAAAATATATTTAATATTAATTTAAGTATTTCTCTGTATGGAGATAAGATCGTTTTTACTTTTTTTTAAAGGATCTTTTATAATGTTGTGCAATACAAGTGGACAAATATTCATGAAAACATAAAAATTTATTTTTTTTTTCGTAAAAACTAAGAAAGTAACATTTTATTTTAATTTTACGTGTGGAATTACAATGTGTAGTTTTGAACTGACATGTTTTCAAACAAGTTTTAGACGATGCCCTCAAGCGAAACATGTTAGTTCAAAATCAAAAATTGTAATACAACTCGTGTAAATAAAATAAAATATTAATGCGAGTACAATGGATTATGTATTCTCTTATGTATAAAAGGAACTACTTACAAACTTATAATGAAAGTTGACCTTAAATGGTGTTTACTTTCACGATAACCTAAACATTCATTTGTTTGCAGTTAAAGAGATTATCTAATAGCTTGAAATCAACACTAGTGGAAAAGTTGCGACGATAACAGGCAAATTTATAGCCATAGCTAGGTTTGAAAAATGTGGCTTTGTTTGCGAAGAAGTCGTGCGGCCTGCAGATGTCGCTAGGTATACAATACACAACGCTTATGCAGCAGCTGCAGCAGTATGCAGCAAACGACGAGCAGCTGATCGTTATTTCCGTTTTCCCGTGACCAAACAAGAGATTTCGAGGCGCAATTTGTGCGAATTCAGTGATGTTTTGATTGCGCCTGGCCGATCGTCGCCGATACTCAGATCGTTGCATCGCTGGCCTTGCCTTACGCACATCGCAGCGCACCGGCCATGGAGCACGAGGGACGCAACGCCGAGGCGATGGACGCCTTGGATCGGCCTTTCAGGTAAATGCCTACCAACAACGTTATGCTTGTTTTTGTTGTTATTATCTGAAACGTCAGTTACAAAACCGGGCGACGATTACGTTCACGCGCTCGAATTGCCGTTTTTTCCACGCTATTCAACACTGTGATGATGTTATGTTTAAGCTGCCTCCTGTTAAGACATGCAAGCCAGAATTCTCTTGATGAGAGTAGTCAGAAGCATGGACCCCGACCAAATGGCAAGGAGAAGGAATACTCATATCACAACAGCAATCACACTGTCAAGTCATTTGAAACATTGAATCTCATGAGAAAGTAAGTACAGCCACACATTCACATTCACACTTGTTTCTTTCATAGAAATAATATGTTATTGCTGTGTTCACAGACAGAAGCAATTGTGTGATGTGACGCTTGTTGCTGAGAACGTGGAGATCACCGCACATCGCATGGTGCTCGCGTCTTGCTCGCCGTATTTTTACGCGATGTTTAATAGCTTCGAGGAGAGCAAGCAGGATAAAATCACGTTGCAAGGGGTTGATAGCCATGCGCTTTCGCTGATTGTGAATTACATTTACACGGCGGAGGTTTTGGTCACCGAGGAGAACGTGCAGGTGCTGCTGTCGGCCGCCAATTTATTGCAACTCACCGACGTGCGGGATGCGTGCTGTGATTTTTTACAGAGTCAGCTGCATCCGTCTAATTGCCTCGGAATTCGGCAGTTTGCCGATTTACACGGATGCCTTGAACTACTCAAATATGCTGAAGCTTATATTGAACAACATTTTATGTAAGTGAAAGTCATGCATGCCATCGCAATAATGCACGTTAAAAACGTTTGTTTTCGAAATGTTATAGGGAGGTTGTTGAGGGCGAAGAATTCCTTTCGCTGACCTCTGAACAAGTCTCGAAGTTGATCTGCAGCGATCGTCTTATTGTTCCAACCGAAGAGAAGGTCTTCGAGTGCGTTGTGGGCTGGGTACAGCATGATATGGAATCGCGTCAGGACCATCTTTCGCAGCTGATGGAACACGTGCGCTTGCCACTGATGTCGCAGGAGTATCTCATGCAGCGAGTGGAAGAGGAGCCGTTGCTCAAGTGTGATCTAAAATGCAAGGATTACCTGATTGAGGCCTTCAAATATCATCTGCTCAAGGGCGATAGCAAGATTTCTTTCATTACGCCACGCACTAAACCTCGTCAACCTGTCGGACTGCCAAAAGTATTATTGGTAGTCGGCGGGCAAGCACCCAAAGCCATTCGGAGTGTAGAATGTTACGACTTCAAAGAAGAGCGTTGGTATCAGGTTGCTGAAATGCCCACCAGGCGATGTCGCGCTGGCCTCGCAGTACTCAATGGTAAAGTATATGCCGTTGGTGGTTTTAATGGCTCGCTGCGTGTGCGTACTGTGGACGTATACGACGCCAGTCTGGATCAGTGGTCGGTGTGTCAGAGCATGGAGGCACGTCGATCGACGCTGGGTGTTGCTGTTCTCGGCAATTGCATCTACGCTGTTGGTGGATTCGATGGTTCTACCGGCCTGAACACGGCGGAGATGTATAATCCGGCCGTGCAGCGCTGGACGCCGATTGCATCAATGTCAACGAGACGAAGTAGCGTCGGCGTCGGTGTGGTGAACGGATTGTTATACGCTGTGGGCGGATATGATGGCTCGTCACGACAATGCCTCAGCTCTGTGGAGTGTTACAATCCGGAGAACGACGCGTGGTCATGCGTTACAGACATGATCTCCCGACGCAGCGGCGCTGGGGTGGGTGTCTTGGAGGGTATTCTGTACGCGGTTGGCGGACACGATGGACCGTCAGTGCGACGATCGGTGGAAGCCTATGATCCGTCCGCGAATGTCTGGAGGGCCGTTACTGACATGAATAGCTGTCGCAGGAACGCTGGCGTGATTGCGATGAACGGTTTATTGTATGTCGTTGGTGGCGACGATGGCTTCAGCAATCTGGCCAGTGTAGAGGTGTATAATCCGAAGACACAGACGTGGACGCTCACCACTTCATGCATGAGCATCGGACGCAGTTACGCTGGTGTGGCAATAATTAATAAACCCATATGAAATTTGGCGAACGCTGGCATCGGGAACGGGGTCAGTGGAAATGGAGGCGGGGGTGGCAGTGGTAGCACAAGTAGTAGCAGTAGCAACGGTGCCAGCGGACGTTACGCAAACTGCGATGAAAATAGCAGCGCTGAAGGTGCATCGACATCAGGCACGTCATCTCCGCCTAAAGCGCGTCAACCAGACGCGGTGCAATATGAGAATATCTACGAAGCCGTCAACAATGACTCCACCGGTGCCAGCAATCACGCGCATCCAGCGCAGAACCAAAATGAGTATCAACCAGTACAAATTCCCCATCAGAACGCGCATCCGCACAACGATCAAGCGCCCAGCGGCGATGAAGAGAATATCTACGAAAGCATTGAGGACTTGCGGCGGCGTTCAATCACACATGAACCACCCGCGGTAGCAGGGCCGTCGAGCGCTGGCGCCGACTTGCCTGGCTGCAGCTCGGTGACATACGGCCGCATTGGTAACACGTATGGCCGAATTGATGTCATCGGTCACGGTATCGGTCGCATTGAGCGCCACCTCAGTTCGTCCTGCGGCAGCGGTATCGACAATCACTATGGAAACATGGAGACTGTTGATCCGTCAGGTCGCATTAGTAAGGTCTCCGTGCAATGGCTGCTGGTAAACAAGTGGCTACCATTATGGATCGCCAACACCGATGGTGGCGGACGTGACTATCGCATCATAGACTTCCTCCTGGGTCATCGTGGTGACTACGAAGCGATGCCGCCCCAAGGCGTCCAGCAACGTGAATGCAATGGTTTCTACCACCAGCCATTTGCTTATGCTCAGCAGCAGGCGCAGCAGGCACCGTTGAACCAACCGCCGCAGGGTGCTGCCAACTGCCAACATCCACCGCCTGACTACGACAACCAGCCTATTTATCAGCCGGTTTACGGTCAGAACTTGTTAAATCCACAAGCGTATCCGAATCAAGCAGCGAATGCGCCGCACCACATTCAGCCGGCACAGGTTCACCAGAACGCGCCGGAGCAGGGCGAAGAAGAAAACGTGCCGGACGAGCGGCCCCACAGTTCGAATTCATAGATGCATCATCAGCTTTTGACGGAAACTCGATTGTTGAACGTTGTCACTCATTCTGTTTGTGTTAGTTGTGGCCATTCACCAGTCGACGGCTAGAATGAAATTTATTGTTGAGGGAATTGCAATGACACTATGAAGATATATCTTTCTAATAATTAGTTATTAGCCCGCGATAAAATAACATTCCATCTGCCACTGACATTAATATATAACGAAAAATAATGAAATTTGATGTTAATTTTGCCCTCAGCGAATATTGTGATTGAACCTGTGATGGTATCATTTGTCAAGGTTGTGATATAAGATTTAGATTGATGGACATCATAATTGATTAACTATATTCATTTGCCTCGGAGGAATGAACACGCTATCCGTTTCGACATTGGTGCAGCCACAACTAGACGCAGAATTGTTGCCTGATCTGGCATTATTTTGACTCTTCTTGACAATGAAAGCAGAAGCATAAGTTTGTGCGCGCGTTACCAAACTTTGCCTTATTTTCACGACACTCGATTCACTCTCCCTACACCCACTCGTATAAATGTGATATTTATTTTAGGTTTCTGAATTATAACTGTATAGTTTCGACAAGAAGAACTCGACAGATCCCAATCTGCCTTCTTTGAATTAATCCACGAACGATAATTACACATCACGATCGTAGACGTTGAGGGACGTTTGCTAATTTTTGGAATTAAACATGAACTTTGTTTCGAATACACGAGTTGTGTCTATTTTTACTGAATGTGTGCGAGTTGATTTATTATTTTGGCAGACTATGAAATATATTAGAGAGCAATTAGACTTATTGTTGATTAGGGGTACTTATTATTAGAGCGCATCTAATAATATAATCGTTATTAGATTATAGTGTAATAGCATTACTATGATATATGATAATAAATAGGTATACATTTCATGAAATTCAACGAGCATTTCTTTTAGTAAGTTTATGTTAATTGATAAAACTGTTTCTGCCAAGTTGCAAATTCCTAAAGTGAATGCCTATAGCGACTTCTAAATGGAAAATTGGTATTATGAGTACAAATATGCTAAAACACCGATGGCTGTGATATAAACAATGCAGTTTTCAAGATTTGTTTATTTCGTTACTAATGGCATCGCCGTTAATTCTGTCAACAGTTCTAGTCTCTCTAGTCTCCTACAACACGCATAAACGAAGAGCCAAGCTACCATGAATCAATTGCCTTCAGTGCAAAGCAAGGAGCTGTTGGAGGCTCGTAAGTCAGAAAACGATAAATTTATTTGCTTGCTGATGCACGCGATGAATTGCGCCAACTATAATTGCACCCAAGATGACTGCTGCAAAATGAAGATGTTGATCATCCATGTAGAGATATGCCAAGCCAGCGTGGACGTGATCATTTGTAACAGATGTATAAAATTCAATCGACAAATTTATTTTCATAGCAAGCATTGCACCAAGAGCATGTGTACGGTGCAAGATTGCTTGGAGTTCAAGCAAAAATCGAGGAAAAAATTAGTCCTGGACGAGTTAGTATTATGTGTACTTTTATGTACATGTATTGTATTTGCTTCTGTTTAGATTGAAAAGTGAATTCGCCAGACGTGGTGCAAGCGAAACTAATCCAACTGAATTTTTGAAAGGCCAATCTATAAAGCGGAAAAGGTACACATATATATGATTGCAAATATGGTGCACGTTTTCTAATAAATGGGATAAATAAGTTAGCATAAAGTTTTATCTGGTGAGTTTCCAAGAAATATTTTGAATTTATTAACGTAGTTTAAATTTACATCCAATGTTTGTTTAAACCGGCTGGGCGCACTAGAATGCAACCGGTTCGTTCTTAACTCTTATTGGCAGTTGATAAACGTACGATAGTAGTGTATAGTTTGGCTTATACAAGTTATCGCGTGATGGCGATACGTGTACCGTTTGTTGACGCTACAAAAATAAAACTAGTTTCGCCGTATCGCATGGACGGTTCATACGCGTTTGTTGCGACTCTTTCCATACCACGGGTTTTATTCAGTAATTCGCATTATATTCGGCGTATTTAGAGATAGTAGTGGCCTATTGTGTTTTGCTAATGATTTGTTGTGTATAAAATGTTCGCAGAGCGCAAGTATAGTGTATTTGTTCGTGAGGAAAGGGCCGTCGAAGGTTGGTCAGAGATTAGATAGATTTTCACCGTCTACTGGGAAAATTTTCCAGCGCTATTGCTACTCAGTAAGTCAATTCAACGTATTTAACGTGTAACATAATGGTGTTCTTTTTCTGGTGGGCACTGCGAGTAGGTAATTTGTGCAATTTTGGTCATCTTGCTGTGGAAATTGCGTGCAGGTGAAATCACGCGATGCGCCGTCATGTTTTTTTTAATATAATTCTTCAATTTCCGCCAAGATGTCGTTAAAATGCGCAAATTTATATTGAAATTCTGAATTTGTTTATTGCAGCCTGTTTGATGGTAGTAGTGAGTGCACATCGCCTTTACTGGCGAATTGCGGGCCCGGTAAAATACACGCGATTTTGTACCTCACATTGTGTTTTTTATCAGTTTGTTTGTTTACATCCGCCAATCTTCTTGCCGTGTGAGCTCACGCGGAGCGACTCAAGTTGTATTGCATTCGGGCAGTGGTGCCTTATCATTCGGCTTTGCGGGGACACAGCCAACTTCAGCTCGCTATTAATTAATCAATAATTTGTCTATTTATTTTGATTGTGTATTTTTCCTATTTTCCTTCGAGGGTTGCAAAAAATATAGACCTTTTGGAAGTGCTTTGAAATGCCCTTTAAAAGTTATCATTTTTAAAACTTTGATAACATGGTGTGGAAAACACCCGGGATCTCGTTAGCTAATTGACTTTTTCAAGGCAGCGGTAGAAGTGACTCGTATTCAGGGCACCATACAAGGGCAGCGGTAGAAGTGACTCGTATTCAGGGAACCGTAAAATAGGGCAGCGGTAGAAGTTCAGGGCACCTTTCGAAGCTAGCGGTAGATGTGACTCGTATTCAGGGTACCGTACGCGGGTAGCGGTAGAAGTGACTCGTGTTCAGGGCACCGTACGAGGTTAGCGGTAGAAGTGACTTATTCAGGGCACTGTACTCTTTTAGTTTAGTTTATTTAGTATTTTTGAGCACTTTCAGTCGCGTTTTCAGACATTTTACCCCATTAAATTCAATTATTTTAAATTTTCATCTGAAAGAGAATTTTCCAATCTTCCATAATCTACAATTTTCTAGTTGCTATCTCTTTTAGTTTAGATGATAGTCGCCATTGAAAATCGTCGATAAAAATTATCAAGCACCCCCTGCTCATTTTTTCTTATGAATTAAAATTTCATCTCAAATTTCCAATGTAACTAGCTTCTTTAAAGAGAATTGGCCGTAGATTAAGACTGCGATTCGTTCCTTTCCTAGTTTAAGGGGCTGTCCATTAATCACGTGATCTTTTTTTTTCATTTTTTGGACCCCCCCCCCTTGGTGATACGTCGTGAGGTTTAAGATTACCCCCACCCCCCCCCCCATCATCACGTGTATTTTAATCCCAACAAAGAATAATAAAATGTTTACAATTATTATAAGATAATATTATTATCTTTAAATACAGATAAAAACTATCATTTATTTAATTCATAAATTACACTATATTTAATATTTATTTCTTGTCTCTCACCAGCAACCCACCAGCAAGAAATTGGAAAAATAAATAGATGTAAACTAATAGCAAGCTAATAAAACTAATATATTAAGAATTTTGGGCCATGGCATGCAATGCAGATGTTGAAGAATTTAGAAGGCACAGATGGTGAGAAGGAAGTTGCACTACGGGACATAAAAATTAAAGTAAATGCTGAAAGTAGTAGAATTTGAAGTAAAAGAGCAATAAAAGTACTTAAGTAAAGATGTTGGGAAATAACTGGCGGGCTACTATTGGCGACTGCATGACAAGCCGGGTG